CACAGAGTTGACCGCTTGACCTGGGTGCTTGCCACCCGTATTGAAACCATTGGGTCCGCCAATCACTTGAACTTTGACGACGACACCCTCGCGCTGCTTCGTGTCTTGAATGCTGGCCCAAAGCATAGCTGCGTCTCCACCCCACCCTTGGATACGTCGTTGCATGTATGCGACGCCACACTCGTCCGAGCAGAACTTGGAGAATGCCCCGCGTGCGGGCTTGTGACATGCGGAAGGAGAGGATGGGTGTGGATGCTTCAGTCCGGCCATGCATCGCTGCTTGTACGTCGTCTGGAGGGGCATGTTGGGGTTGGCTGCAACCACTTCGTGTCAGCGCCACAGCGAACCATGCACGTTCTGCTGCGTCCTCACCCTTGATACAGAGGGGGCAGACGAACTGGTCAATCAAATCGACCTCCAAATCGTTCATGTTCAAACATTGCGTGTGATACCACTCATCGCATCTATTGTCAACATTCAGCATCCAACCACTGACGGTCAATGCGATCGAACAAAAGAGCGCCCACCTATCGCAAGCGATCATGACCTTGTCCTCATCGTAGTTCGTCTTGCAGATACAATACAGCTTGTCGTCCACAGCATCCTCTTCCGACTCTTCCTCCTCCTCCGGTTGTGCTTTGGGCTTCGGTGTCGGCGTCGGTTCCGCGGGCATGGGCATCTCAGACGCAGAGCGGGAGCGTGAAGGACCTACGGCAGCAGAGACAGCTCGTTTGGCAGCTGCGGCGACCGTAGCAGACGTCGCAGTGGCCTTCTTCCCCTTCGTCGCAGTGCCACTACCGGAGGGTGTCAGCCTACCACTGGAGCCTGCGGTCCCTTCCTTATCCTTCATCGGCTTGACCTTCGGTTTCGGCACGGGCTTTGCCTTAGGTTTCACAGTCGCACTCTGCTTCATCTTGGGTGCGTGCTTGTTCACATTATGCTCAGAACATTGTGAGCGATCGTAGATAGCAAGAAACTTACCTTAACTACTGATTCCTTTTTTTTCGCGCTCGCCGACGCACTAGGCTCCTCTACTGTTTTTTCAGCCGCTTCAAGCACCTGTGGTGTCGCCTGCTTAGCGGACTGCGGAGGCGCAAGGGGCGGAGGCATGGTCAAGCGTTCAGATGGTAAAGCGGGAGTACTCGACGGCACACGAGCAGAGGGTGCGATCAGTGTGCCCGGCTTGACCACAGCCTCGTCATTGGGAGGTTGCCTCTCACCGTGGGCAACACTAGGAGTCGTATGCGATGCCTTTGCCGTAGTCGCGCGATGGGAAGGAGATTGCAAATGTGAATGCGAGTGCGAGTGCGAGTGCGAGTGCGAGTGCGAATGCGAGTGCGAGTGATGAGGCTTGTCATCAACCAGGCTCAGCAGCTCGTCGTCGAGGTCATTGCCCATTGACATGTCAGGATCTGTACCTGCGTCAGGTGTCGCGCTCGCAGCAAGCTCCAGCTCCAATCCAAAGTCAGTGTCAGCATCTGAGCGGGGAGAGGGCGCCGGGACAGGCAAGTCGTCCGGCACAACATCGTCGAGCTCTTGTTCAAGCAGGGCGGTGGGCGTCGGAGACCTGGATGGGCTCGGAGCTTTCTTCTTGTTACGCTTTGTCGGCTCCGGCCGTGGTCGTGGAGATGGTGATACAGGCTTCGGCACGTCATGCGGCGGATGAGGGGGAGGAGACGCTTCTGACGGGGTCTGAGGTGGCTCTTCCGCGGCTGGAGAAGAACCTCGGGAACCACGAGCAGGCGAGCCATCGGCGTAGTGCTCCAATAACCACTCATGAGGATCCTCTTCGCGCATGTCTATGGAACGTTGTGACTCATACGTTGGAGGTTGAACGGGTTCGCTATCAGGCTGACGCGGTACCTCGGTCACCGCTAGTGGCACTGTTGTCGACCCTGCCTCTTCCTCCATCTCCGCCAGGGTCTCGGACGGCTCTAACGGCTCTTCGACCTCCATCGGGGTGGGAGAGCGAACCGGCTGCTCTGCTTCCTCCACACCAACGGATACCCGAGGCGAGTCCTCAATAGCGTCTACCTTGCGGGTAGGTAGGTCTGCCACGCTCGCCACGGCTGCGGGTGGTGGAGAGCCTTCCATCTTCACCTCCGTCGGAGAGACTACTGCGTCTTCCTGAGCCACAGGTGCCAAGGCCAATGGTACGTCGTCAGGGTCCACCGGAGCCTGTAGGGCTGGAAGCTCTTCTTGCACGATAGCGGACGATGTTGCTCGTGACTCCTCCACCTTCGGGATGGTCGCGTCCTCTACCGCCCTCACCGGCGAATGCGACTTCATTGGTGAGTGCGAACGCGCTGGCGGTTGCGTCCGCTCCCCCGCATCGTCCACGGGACTCGGCTCCGCGTCTAGCTTTTCCATCTGCTCTTGCACCTGCGGTACCTCCTGTTCCTCTGCCTTTGACTCTATCTCCGTCTGCTCCTCTGCTTTCGGCTCCATCAATCGCTCCGTGTTTGCCACCGTGGATTCCTCCACCGTCTCCGCCATTTCCTCCACCGTCTCCGTCGGTTCCTCCTCCTGTTTCGCCCACTCGTCCACTACCGCAGCTTGGACATCCCCCCTCACACCCACTGCGGGGGGCTGAGAGACTGGCGAGTCAGCTAGTAGCAACGACTGTAGTTGGGGAGCAACAGTGACATGCGGCGATGGAGGCCGAGGAGGGTTTGGCATGCTCTGACTGAGAAAGGATGGGACCTTGGGCGGCGGGTCAGGAGAGAGGAGTTGAGCTATGGTCCTAGGCTTCGCGGAAGGTGCTGGGGGTGCAGGTCCCGCTGGAGTCACAGGACGAACCGCTTGTTGATGCGAGGAATCAACTTGAGGCACGGGGGCAAGAGGCGGGGGTGCGGGAGGTCTGACAGAAGGAAGATCCTTCGGAGTGGGAGCGATGGGTGTCGCAGGGGGGCGAGCAGCTGGAGCACCAGAGCCAAAGCTCCCCGTTCTTCTGCGCCTCTTCATTGGCGGTTCGCCATCGTGTCCAAGCGAAATGACGGCCAAGGAGTTGACGCGTGTATCGCGCGGAGAAGTCGCCATCGGGATCTTGTGCAGCACCGGGGAATGCGGAGGATGGGGAAGAGGTGAAGGAACGCGATTAAGCACGGGGCTGAGGGACGCCTTACGCGCAGACTCTCTGGCTTCTAACGGGGTGGGGTGCTCACCACTCAGCCTACGCCTCTCTTCAGTAGCTGCCTGGACCAATGCTTCCAGACCACCCAACCCCCCAGAGTTTCCACGTGTTCCCATAGAAGCAACAGGTGGCCTCGCCGGTTCTGCGTTCAGCAGATTGTTAAGGGCAGCGGCAGAGGACGATCGGCCAACCGTCAATGGAACCTCAGGCTGAGAAATTGACGCCGAGCGGTAGTGGGCCGCGCGACTTGGCACGGGTTCCCGGTTGAACAACGCAGAAGATGCCAGCGTTGAAGGGCTCTGTGACTGGGATGAAACCGGAGTGGGGAACGGCGGCTGAGGATTGCCGTATGACGGTGAGTGGGACATGAGCCTGTATGTGTTCGTCGGGGAACCCAGAACAGATCGCAAGCCGAGTACAGGTGACTGTGAAGGGCGGCCGCTCGAGGGTGCCTGGAACGAAGGAGGAGATGGCTGTAGAGGAGAATGTGAGAGTGAATGAGGTGGTGCTGGGGGATATGGAGAAGTTGCCGGAGTGTCTGAATGGGCACTCCGTGATAAGTTTGGCGGAGAAAAATATGATGAGCCCTCAGACTGCCGATACTCCACCTGGTAAGGATCTGAGCTCCGACGAGACGAAGGGATCAGTCTCGGAGCACTCTGAGTATGGTGGTGGGAGGAAGGATAAGAGTAGAACGCAGTGTCGCGGTCAAGGCTTAGGGGTGAGTGCACGACTCTAGAGCTACTCGCTTGCACCTCGGGACGACCAAATGCGTCTTCTCTGTACTCCGTCCGTCTACTGGAATGCAACACCGCGTCATCGACCATAGGTGAGGGGGTATGTCTCCTGAGGTGGACAGCTTGCATTGACAATGGGACGGCATCGTGACTTTCTTGACTATATTCTTTATAGGCTCTACTACGAGATGACTCCCAATGCGAGTCGAGAAAGCCTTTGTCCTGCAGCTCCCTCAACTCGTTAGGAGGAGGCACGCCGGGTCCTGAGAGGACGGGAGGGTAGGAAGAGGAATGGGAAGGGGTGCTTGGGGGCTGCGATCGGTCCGGAGGCTGGTCGTCGGCACAGAGCAGGGAGGAGATCGTCAGCCGGCGTCCCGCCATTGGTTAAGCCAGCAGAGTCGCTGAAATGAGAGCCACAGGGAGTGGGAGACAGAACGAGTGAGGACGGCGAGATGAGACGTGCAAGCAGGGTTTGTGCAGGGCGGTGGCATTCAGGTCGAAGTCACAATGTCAAGAGGTCACAGGCGCATCTCCGCGCAAACGCAATCACTTCCCGGCCCTTGTCCTCTCTCCGTCGATCATCCGCACCATTATACACACGTATCCCCGCAACCGGCGTGCAGCCCGATCGCCGTAGATCTCACAAACAGGCGACGTCGGCAATATGCCCAATTCGAGTTGTCAAACGACAATGAGTCACACCAATGGAAGAAGACAGAGCAGATGACAGTCAATTGCAGGAAATATGTACAACGAGACATTGCGACGCAGCTCATACAGCGACCACGAAGAGTCGACTGCTAAGACAAAAGTCCCATCAACAAAGCACGAACGCGCCGCACCCAAGTCCCATCGTTCACAACCCAAGTCTTCTTGTTCTCCAGCCCATTATGACGGTCTCAAGGTCCTCGACCCACTCAAGTCCAGCGAACCGGCGAGCGAGTCATCGTCGAGATGCTTTTGAGGGCTGGAATGGTCGCATATCAGCATCGAGAGCGAGGTGGACAACGACAACGACGAGGAGCTCACCTGTGGTTTAAGCGTTTTGGAAGACTAGGAGAGGAGGGTTGGGGTTTATATGGGTGAGAAGAACTGTACAGCGATCGACCAGTGGCTTGACCAGGACCCCGGGAAGTGATCACCGGGTCCTGGGACTGCTCGATTTCTGGGGCTTGCTTCAAACCCCTCTCGCCCCCGCCGTCAGTCCACTTGACAGTAATCCGTCTTCAGGGATTATTAACCCCTACTGACTGCAAAAAAGGGCCCCGTCACTAAAGATGTCGGTGGCCAGCAGAAATCCCTTCGCCCTCCTTGATGGTTAGTCCTCGTGCTTTCTTTAGCGATATTTCGAAGATCGCAAAACCCCACCCTATATGCATGTACACGAAATCAAGGTCAGAAGCTCACTGATTTCTTTTGCCACGAACAGAGGACGCCTCGCGGCCGGCGAGCCCTGCTCCTGCTGCAGCAGCTGCGGCTAAGCAGGCAGCGCCAACTCCCGCAGCCACTCGCGGGACCCAGAAGGCTCGCGGTGGCCCCGCCTCAAGAGGCGGCAAGTACTATCAGCGCGGCGGCAAGTCTGCTCCCCGCGAGAAGGAGAACACGGAGGTCGCTGAGGACGCCTCTGGTGAACCTAGGAAGCGCGGTACGTTCCTCGTCTACCGCCTACTTTGTTGTGCTTCAAGAATTTTCCCGCGCCGGTCTTTGCTCATCTACTCTTCTGGTATCGCTCTAGCTGAAGGCGAAGGTCGCGGCCGCGGTCGCGGCAGGGGTCGTGGCGATCGCGGACGGGGAGGCCGTGGCCGCCCGTTTGATCGCCACAGCCAGACCGGAAAGACGTATGTCTACCACTGCTCCCTACCACCTCATTCACGATTGACAACGAAATGCATCTTCTAGCGACTCCGAGAAGAAGGTCCACCAGGGCTGGGGCGGGGACGAGGGCGTCTCCGAACTCAAGGCTGAAGCCGGCGCCGCTACCGACGCTGCCGCCGAGACCAACGAGTGGAATACCCCTGCCGACCCTTCCGGTTGGGCAGACGCTGCACCTGGCGAGGCGGCTGCTGCCGCTGAGGACACCCCTGCCGGTGATAAGGCTGAGCGGGAGGGTCGCAAGCCTCGCGAGCCGGAAGAGGAGGACAACACTCTTACTCTTGACGAGTACCGCAAGAAGCTTGCCGGCCTTGAAATTGTCCCCAAGCTTGAGACGCGCAAAGTCGATGCGTCCGCCTTCAAGGATGCTGTGGTCGTGACCAAGAAGGATGAAGAGGAGACCGCCTATTTCGTCGGCAAGGTGAGACGCCTGCGAGGATCCGTTTTTGCAGAACCCAACTCATCCCGTTATAGTCCAAGACTGCTGCGCCCAAGCAGAAGGCCAAGAAGGAAGAGAAGGTCTTCATCGAGATTGAGGCTCGCTTTGATCGTCCTTCTCGTGGTGGTCGTGGCCGTGGTGGTGAACGCGGTGGTGATCGTGGTGGTGACCGCGGCGGTCGCAGTCGTGGCCGTGGTGGCGCGCGCGGTCGTGGTGGGGCCAATGGCCAGGCCACTACGGCGTTGAACGTCGACGACGAGACGGCGTTCCCGTCCCTGGCCTAAACACCAAGCAAATATATTGCTGCGGCCAGCGTCAAGCTTGGCTGTTGACTCCTCGATGCGCGGTGCCGACAAAAAATCCGAGTCATCCTCTTCCAATCCCGATTTGTGTCCTGTCTGTCTTGATATCTGCGCACGCGTTCTGCATCCGCCTTTCCACTTCGTATCACTCTGCCGTCTCTTACCGCTGCTCTACATATCATGTACCTTTGTCCACGCTTCCAGTACCCCTCTCACTCACCATCGCCTGACATGACATATGAACCAAGACTATGCACGGTATATTATGTTCTGTGACCTGATATTTAGTCGTGTTGTATATGAGGTGTAAGAGACCGAGATGCATTTTGCGTTCAGAAACGGTGCTTCTGACAAATTCCAACAAAGAGTGCTGTTCAATGTCCGACATCGACATCTCTGATAGTGCTCATGAGCTCATTGCGTGCGTAGTCGCGCGACGGTGAAAAGCAAAATGCATGCGGCGACGTGCCGGTGGCCACGTTTTCGATAACACTTACGTCTCAGGCTTGTTAGAGCAAGAGCTGCTCGCTCAATCATTTCGTCCCCATAGATCTGGAAGAGCTAGAGGTATGTCACGGGCGTGCCACCATGATCTTGAATACGTTGCTGAATATGCTGAACACGTTTCGTTGATCTGCCTCCATCGGTCGCTACTACCTACCCCGTATCACCAAAGCAGAGACTCGTACATCGTTGACATGGCTATAGACCGCATATACCTCGCTAGACATGGTATGGCCTGATTAAAGAAATGCTGCATTCAGCAACTCTGATGAACTCCCCTGCAGGCTACCGTATGAACTGGGTGACTGAAGATTGGTAATATGCACTCGTCTCGCCACCTTGTTTGAGGTTTGATATCTCGCAATACAGGGTTAGCGTTACCGGTATGTATTGGAAGCGTGATATGTACACCGGAGATTTACAGGTCATCCAGGAACTGCACGGGACCCGCCTCTTGCTCCTTACGGGTTGAGTCAAGCGAAAGAGCTCGCTGACTTCTTCATATCGTTGCCTGAGGAAGAAAGACCCACAATTGTACTATCTTCTCCGTACCGTAAGCTCCGTACCTCAACAACAACTTGTCCAAGCCATTGACCGATGTTCTGTCCGTCTAGATCGCTGCTTGCAAACCGCTCAACCCACCGCGGAAGCCCTGAAGCTACCCATTTATGTTGAACATGGTATGCTTCGACGTCGTCCTTACGTTCCTGAACTGATGTGCAATGTGTCAACAGGTCTTTCGGAGTGGTACTCTCCTGCTGCCCCCGGCACTGGCCTCCACCCGCGTCCTGGCCAAGCCACTGACCTCCGGACCCACGTCCCTGAAATCAGCGACGACTGGCAATCGATCTTCTATCCCACACGCAAGGGCGAGGACGCGCCCGAGATGCACGACCGCTCGCACGATTTCCTCCGCGCCCTCATTCCGACCGTGGAGCACAAGTACGGCGGGAAGCACCAACGCATCCTGCTCGTCAGCCACGCTGCACCCATCATTGGGCTCGTCCGGGTCCTCGTGGACAACCGTGCACTCCCGCTGCGGGTCGGAACCTGCTCGATCACGGATCTCAGACCCAGGGACACGTTGTCGAATGCTGTGGGTAATTGGGAGGCCATAAAGCTCGCAGACAGTTCTCATTTGGAGGAAGGCGCCCTCAGGGACTGGGGTTTCGAAGACGCCGTGTACATCGATGGCAAGGTGTGTCTGCTACATGTCGCTAATTTGCTTTGTCGAGCTGATCACTGCAGGTCATCAACCACCACGGAGAACCTGGTACTGAAAATGAGAAGGACGAGCCCGTTGGGCTCCAGGTCCACCTACTTCCACCCGGCTTTCAGGCTTAGCTTTAGGAATATATCGACACTTCGCACATAGGATCTATCCAGCATCTTTCTTGCGCTCCCTACAATCTATCGTACACGCGTACTGGTTCCATCATCTGCGCATCTGCATCTATGTCGCATTGCAACCCTGTATTGTTCTAGAATGTAACGAACGCGCTAGCGTAGCTGACGCTGGAGTCTTTGACCGTCTCGCACGCGCTGCTCTGCTCGTAACGCACCCACTTCAGCTTCGGAGACGTCCCCTGCTGCTCCAGCGCGGCAAGTGCCCCGAACAGCACCCCGATCGGGTGACGGCCGCAGATGGTGTTCTTCGTCCTCGCCAGATAATCCGCGAATGTGCGGTGCGCTTGAGACGCTGTGAACGGCGGCAGCGTGAGGAGCTCCATCCCTTCGTGGTCCAGCGCGGATATCGACGCATGGATCGGATGGGTCTTGAGGGAGGCAGGAGGTGTCTCAGAGCGGGAGAGGCGGATCGGGGCAGCTGAGCTAGGCGGAGGCTGAGGGTAGTAGAACGTGTACTGGAAGCGCAGGCCCCTTCAATGCACCGTTAGCCACATAACACGCGGACGACGCTCGCGTGTGCGCTCACCAGTGGCAGAAGTCGCTAGATACGACGAATATGGTGTCCTCTCTGGCAAGGTACGGTGCCAGCAAATGGCCGTACGAAACTTCCTTGTCATAGTTGATTGCACCGACAAGGATAGGAACGATCTTGATGTCGAGACTGGGACACAGTGATAAGTCCCTATGAAGAGACAAATAAGGACCTCCTACCCTTCAAACGTCTTGCGGATGTAAGGCAAGTGCATCTCAATGCTATGCTCATCCTCGTCGGTCTGCAGTGACATATCAGAGAATTGACCAGTCTGTTTGAGCTCCTTCGTAGCTGCGCCAAATCAGTGACGAATGGATGATCATCTATGAGAACACTGACTCTCGACATCGATCGGTAATGCACCAATTGGCGTTTCATATTGAGCGCATCGCGTCAACGCGCACCCGTCAAGGTAGACGTGGTGAGAAGGTCCCAAGACAAATACGCGTTTACTGGAGGTGCACAGGGTGTAGGCAAATGTGTCAGTAGTACGTGGTTGGCAACCTCACATTCCAGTGGTATCGATGCTCTTGTATGCCCAAGCGGCTGCTCGTCCAGAATACGAGTACCCGGCGTGACTGCACGTGGTTCAACTCAGGTCTTATGAAAACACTCGGCTGCAGCCATACTCACGGTGCGATTATTGCCTTTGTTCCCGGTACAGGGGGATTGAAAGCATCTTCGGAAGCAGGTTTCACCTCCCCTAGCCATCCCGATAGCTCTTGATCCAGTTTGCTGCCATTGCCAGTATACCACGAGTCTGCGTGCGTTGCTTGTCTGACCTGATGAAGCAGAACTCATAAGAGACTACATATTGGAGTAGCATACCTGGAAACCATCGATCTTCGATCTGCGATAACTTGGAAGACTCGCAGGAGGGAATGCACGGTGAGAGACTGGCAGTAGGGAATACGGAACGGAGGTGATTGCTCGATCGCCAAGAGTCTTAGATGATGTTCAGTACCAAGCCGTACCTAGAAGACTCGGGAAGATCTATCCGGGAACACGTGCCATCTCTTGAGAGGCGTCGGCGAAGGACTGAGCTCTCCTGAATGAGCCATCCGGCGACTTGCGCCAATAGTGCGAATATACGGCTACGGCAGCATTACAACCGACACACAAGCGTATGATTTATCGGCCTGGAACATGGTCGCATGTCGATTATTTTCGGCATAGTCAAATGGATACATGAACATGGTAGAATGCAGCGAGCGAAACAACAATGATACCGACGACGACGTTTTACTCCTCTGACCGCAGGCGGGCAGTGGGGTTGGTGACCTTCACGCCGAGGACCTTCGCCCTATGAACCCGCGACTCGTCGGCATCGGTTCAGTAGAATAGGCAACACGCCACGTACCTCTCGAGGATGAGTGTCCGGTTGCGGCTGCTGACGTTGTGTGCGATCTCGGCCGCAAAGCTTTTGTTATGCAGCAAGAGAAGGTCGACGTCCCGGACGTTGTTTACCAATAACTTCTTCAAGCCGTTGGGAAGGAGGTGACGGGTCTGGAGCGTTGTCAGTTACCTTTGTTGTAGAATACGCTAAGGCCGGACCGACGAACCTTCTTGTTGCTGCCGTAGCCGATCTACACAAGGATGAGTGCAACGCCCACGGACGGAACGAGCAACAACGCACCTTAGGCATGGGCAGCTGGCCCTTGAACCGACGCCGCACACGGTTGTCAATACCCTTAGGTTTCCTCCATGCCTCCTTCACGCTCTTGTAGCGGTCAGACTGGTGGCGCCTACCCAACAGAATGAGCGCAGCTCCGAGGGAACGCACAAACAGTTCTCTTACTTGAAGGGCTTGGTGCGCTTCTTGACGATGGGAATCTTGACCATGGCGAACTAGAGGGCGGAAGCAGAATAAGTAATCGAGCAAGATCCCGACGGGAGACGCAAGATAGGGCAGCCCAAGTCCGAGGTCATCCAAAGTGTCGAGTTCGCATCCACCGCCTTCCAACCTGATTCCAAGCTCCTGAGTCGCACCGGCACAGTCCCGGAACGCTAGGCAGCCCTGTCGTACGTTCAGCATAACGGACTTACAACTCGTGGGGCTTGAGGGGGGGCGTTGACGGGGGTGTACTGGAGCTCGAGGACACTGCCAGATTTGCGTGCGAGGACTGGGCGTCTGTGCCACGTGGGGAGGGTGTGGGGCTGCCGAGCATTGACCGCTTTCGTCGCACGATGGGCGCCGGCGGGCTTATCACCCGTGTGCACTGTGAGCACTTTAAGAAGGGAGACCGCTCAGATCGTGGATCGAGGAAACGTCCCAACTGAACCTATAGTAACGACGACGACGGCCAGCTGTCCTCCCGCCCTCGACCCCATGGAGGTCGAATACGACTCGAGCTCGGAGGATGGCGAGTTTCTGTGGACTGCAGCCAGCCGGTTCAAGCAGCCGCGATGCGGCGGGAAACCATCGCGCACGTGCATGGACTTTGAGCCGCGGCGGTCTCACAAGCCGTCGTTCCGTTCACGCTCTGCACCACCATCATCCACTCCATCCCTCTCACAACGCCCCTACCACGCAAGGATCTCCAAGTTGGCTCCCTTACAAGGCATCATGCTCGCGGCTCCTGCTGTAGATCTCAGTTTCGACAACGACGACGACTGGTTGGCGCCGCCTTCTTCCAGCCCCCGGCTCTACCGCGCGGCCAGTGTGGGTAACAGCTGGGGAGTCACTTCTATCGGACGCGGAGCTGTCTGGAACAACCACAACCGGGAGGAGGAGAGCGAAAGCGATCGCGAAAAGGACATCGAGGACACCTCTACCGCCGCTGTCAGCACATCCAAGGACGGGGCTGGTCTGCTACGCCCCAGTGGGCCGTCGTGGTTGAGCACTTCCGCAGTACCAAGGTCCGCTGCAGCAAGTGGCACACCCATAATTTCCACGCCCATAACCCCTCCACCGCCCCTTCCTCCTCTTTCACCGCGTACTGCTAGCTACTTTTCAGGCCCTCTGACGCGTTCTCCCGTACAATCCCGCCCATCTTCACCTCGCCCATTCCCGTCCCGGCCTGCGTCCCCTCCACCTGCGTCTCCGTTGCTCAATGGTGTCGCTGCAGCTCTGAGTCCCATGTCCAGCACCCCATCATCTCCGCGATCCAGTCAGTTTCCCCGCATGCGTCGGCGGTCATCACAACAGCGCGTCTCACTGCTTGCCGGGCGCGTCTCCATAACTCCCGTTGAGCCACCGTCCCCACTGCCCGCAGGGCCCCAGAAACTCGTGCGAACGAACAGTGCTGCTAGCTTCCTCAGCGTAGCAAGCAGTGTCGGACCACCCACTCCCGGCGAGAAACCCGGGTCAGTAGGCGACCGCAGCATATCTGAATTCGTCATCGAACGAGAAATCGGTCGTGGCGCGTATGGTCTGGTCAAGCGCGCTCGAGAAATGATGGACGACGGGACGCTCGGGGTGAGTATCTGCGGTGTGTCACTTACCGTGCGTATCGTTAACGCTGGCTTCCGAAGCCGCCCCTTGTCATCAAGCAGATTATCAAGTCGCGCATTCTTGCAGACTGCTGGAAGCGACATCCGAAGTTTGGCACGATTCCAATAGAAATCTATGTTATGTCTGCGATATCCACTACGCACTACGTCTTGCCACCACCTCGCCCTTGGGATCCACTCCGTAACAAACCCGATGTCAAACAGGACTGGGTAGAGGGTAAAATCGTCAGCGGCCACCCCAACATATGCCCTCTTCTCGACTTCTTCGAGGATAACCACTACTACTACCTTGTCTTACCGTCGACTACACCAGAGCCCAACCCAGACGAACCGTCACCTCCCTCGGACCTCTTTGATTTGGTCGAGAGCTACCCCCACGGGCTACCCCCAGATCTCATTCGAACCTATCTTGGGCAAATTGCAGACGCGTGCGCGTTCTTGCATTCAAAAGGGATCGGTAAGGGTGACTATTCTCGACGTAATCAGATGGCGCTGAAGAGTCCCGTGCAGTGCACCGTGATATCAAAGATGAGAACGTTGTTCTCGGACCTGCCGGCAAGTGCGTTCTTATCGACTTTGGAAGTTCCGGGCTCGTGAGGAAGGGGGGATGGGATACTTTCAGTGGCACGTGAGTACCTATCACCCTCGATCAGTCCGTAATCGTTCTCATGCATAAGGCAATGTAGTCTCGATTATGCGGGTCCTGAGATCCTACGGGGCGAGCGGTACTACGGCAAGGAGCAAGATGTCTGGGCTTTCGGCGTTGTCGCCTACGTGATGCTCGTTGGCGAATGTCCCTTCACCACGGCTGCGGAAGCCCAGGATGGCCTCGAATCCCCATTCGCGAGTGCCTCCATTGCTCTTGACGAGCGGTGTATGGAAGACAAGGAGAAGGAAGGAGAAGAGTCGGACGGCGGAGGAGCATTAGGCGACGCAGCGGCCCTTGTCCGGGCCTGCCTACGAGTCGACGTGAACGCTCGGCCAACCTTCTCCAAGATACTCCAGAGCCGATTCCTGAGCGGCAACGGAGGATGGGGATTGCACTCATGATCAAGGATCTCGAAGTGGGATGGCCGCGTGTAACGTGCGTGCAATGCGAGTGCCAGAACACCCACGCAATCAGAAGTGTCCCTCGAATTGACAGGCTGACGGGCATTGTGTTTGCAGGAACGTCCTGTTATCTGATGGCTTCCGGACCTGTAGGCAGATACTTGAGGACGTCTAAGCCTCGTCGGCACTATCTCTCCACTCCCAGCAATCTCCCAAGTAGAACGCGATATTTATCTTCAGCTGCTCATGACCGCTTCTGTACTCGCATAATGTTATCGCCATCATCGCATCGACACTCGTTCTGACCATACTGCTTCTGTCAACACTGCACTCTCTTGTTATCCATACAAATGTATCTACATAGTCAGCTCTGGTCCTCATCCTGTGCAATAGAACAAGATGTGTAATTTTTGTACTCGATTTTTTTTTCGCCGCACGGACAGTTTTCGAGCCGATGTTTGGAGGGGCTGTCGGAGGAAAGCAGCAGGCAGCCAATGACGAGCGGCAGAGGAGCCGGCGGTGACTCCGGTGGGACGGCGGGGCCGGCCGGGGCATGGGTGGAGGGTTGGGACGGTGTAATCAGCAAGATCTCCATCGATCATCTGAAATTTTCGAGCCCGCGCGAGGGGGATATAAACCTTAACATGAGCCATCTCCAGTTTCTTCTTACCCTCATCTCCCCCCTCTCGATCCCCTCGCTTTCTTACACTTTCTTTTGCGTGAGTTTTCCTTTTGATGCGTTGCATCGTCTCGCATACGGCCTGCGCATGGATGTGGCGATGGCAGCGAATCTGGTGTCGCGCGCTCATCTGCTATCTACCCGGCCGGGTACGCTCGCGAGCGACGTACGACATCCTCGGCTCTTTGCATTTGCTAACTTGGACGCCGCAGATCTACATCAAAAATGGGAAAGGAGAAGACCCACGTTAACGTCGTCGGTGAGTTTTTGCGTTCATCGCCATCCATCGGAGCCAGACCTGACTCGTTGCAGTTATCGGCCACGTCGATTCCGGCAAGTCCACCACCACTGGACACCTTATCTACAAGTGCGGTGGTATCGACAAGCGTACCATTGAAAAGTTCGAGAAGGAGGCTGCTGAGCTCGGCAAGGGCTCTTTCAAGTATGGTGAGTACATCTAGACGCTCATCTCCCCGCATACAATCTAAGCGAGGCGTCATCGCAGCCTGGGTGCTCGACAAGCTCAAGGCTGAGCGTGAGCGTGGTATCACCATCGACATTGCTCTCTGGAAGTTCGAGACCCCGAAGTACATGGTGACGGTATGTATCTCATGCCCCGTGTATACCTTTCTGTGGCCGTGCGATGCTCATAGATAATGTTTTACAGGTCATTGACGCCCCCGGTCACCGTGACTTCATCAAGAACATGATCACTGGTACCTCGCAGGCTGACTGCGCTATCCTCATCATCGCCGCTGGTACCGGTGAGTTCGAAGCTGGTATCTCCAAGGATGGCCAGACCCGCGAGCACGCCCTCCTTGCCTTCACCCTCGGTGTCAGGCAGCTCATTGTTGCCGTCAACAAGATGGACACTACGAAGGTTCGTTATCACTTGCTACGTGCCTTAGATAAGGTTTTGACGTGTGTCTACAGTGGTCCGAGGACCGTTTCAACGAAATCGTCAAGGAGACGTCCACCTTCATCAAGAAGGTCGGTTACAACCCCAAGGCGGTTGCGTTCGTCCCCATTTCTGGCTGGCACGGCGACAACATGCTGGAGGAGTCCGCCAAGTGAGTATATGCGAGGCGTCACATGTGATACTCCTTTGACACGATTGCTCTAGCATGCCCTGGTACAAGGGCTGGACGAAGGAGACCAAGGCTGGTGTCGTCAAGGGCAAGACCCTCCTCGATGCCATCGATGCTATCGAGCCCCCCGTCCGTCCCTCGGACAAGCCCCTCCGTCTGCCCCTCCAGGATGTCTACAAGATCGGCGGTATCGGTACGGTGCCCGTCGGCCGTGTCGAGACTGGTATCATCAAGGCTGGCATGGTCGTCACCTTCGCGCCCACGAACGTGACTACTGAAGTCAAGTCCGTCGAGATGCACCACGAGCAGCTCGAGCAGGGTGTCCCTGGTGACAACGTCGGTTTTAACGTAAAGTACGTGCCCTTCACGGACTCCTCCGTTTCGCGCTTATGCTCATCGTGCTTGCAGGAACGTCTCGGTCAAGGATATCCGTCGTGGAAACGTCGCCTCCGACTCCAAGAACGACCCCGCCAAGGAGGCTGCGTCGTTCACCGCCCAGGTCATCATCCTCAACCACCCTGGTCAGATTGGTGCCGGTTACGCGCCGGTGCTCGACTGCCACACCGCGCACATTGCTTGCAAGTTCGCCGAGCTCATCGAGAAGATCGATCGCCGAACTGGTAAGTCGATCGAGGCGAGCCCCAAGTTCGTCAAGTCCGGCGATGCTTGCATTGCCAAGCTCGTGCCCAGCAAGCCCATGTGCGTGGAGTCGTACAACGAGTACCCGCCTCTTGGTCGTTTCGCCGTCCGTGACATGAGGCAGACGGTGGCTGTCGGTATCATCAAGACCGTCGAGAAGACCGACAAGTCTGGTGGCAAGGGTGAGTTCCTCTCACTGCCGTCGTTTTCGAATACATTAATGAGTTATGTCTTCAATCAACAGTCACCAAGTCTGCGGAGAAGGCGACCAAGAAGAAGTAAACGACGTAGACGGCGGTCTCTCTTTCCCTCACTCTTCTCTCGCTTTCCTTCCTCTCATCTCGCATGGTATCTCTAACTGTCGCAACTTGTGTTCTTACCATCTTCCACCATTGTTGTATTCACGATCACGATGCATGCCGTCAAGGTCCACGCAGGGCCGCGGCTCATGTTCTGTAATGTCGTTGCGTGTAGAGGTTGAGAAGTACGAATCGAATGTAGCGTTGCTCCCTCTCTTATCTCATCGTGTATGATTGCGTGACTTCCTTGATGATGCTTATTCATGCATCGGGCGGCGTCTTGACAAGTACAAACAGTGCTTAACAGACGTGCTCTATCTTGGTTCCATCGTCGACTCGCTCCCCCAGGTCTCGCCCTATGGTACGCTCAAAGACCTCCATCATGAAGGTGAAGAGCGACCGGGTCAATGCGGCGTCCCAGCGGCCTTTGGATGATTCGTCGCGAATGAATGCGTGCTGTGCTTGGACCTCAAGGAACTATATGACAATGTTAGCAGACTTCGACAATCTGCCCATGTCAGAACTCGCACCGAGGTTGTGACGTTGGCGTCCTCGAGAGTTTTTCTGATAAGGTCCCGCCCTTCGCGAGGAACGTGTGTGTCCTGTAGCGAGCGAGCGGACGGACGGACGAGAGATCAGCATGAGCCGGACTGCATGGTAAGTACGCACCTGTTTACCGAAGATCATCTACGAGAGGAAAGGCGAAGAAGGCACGAGCACGAGCATGAGCATGAGCATGAGCATGAGCATGAGACGGTGAATGCACCGCGGGAGCGGGCAGAGGGACGTACGACGAGCTCGCCCTTGCCGGTGAGGTCGCCGTTGCGGACGCGGGCGAGGGAGTTGTCGTTCTTGCCCTTGCCGAGCGTCGCGGAGTGGATGTCGGTCCCGAAGAAGCAGACAGAGGAGAGGACGCGCTTGTCGAACGCGGCCTGTGGGGAGGGGAGCGTCGTCATGTTCTGCTGTTGAGATAGGCGATCTCGCGATCGGAGAGTGCATACGTACCCTGAACGCCTGGAGTGGTGAGTATTAGTCGTGAGTTTCGGTTGCGCGAGAGTGGCGAGGACGTACGAGGTGGCCGCCGAGACACATCCCGGTAGCTGTGTGCGCGATAAGATCGTGCTACGTAGTCTTGCGTGAGGCGCATATGCATACCAGCGACACGTCCGTTGCAGTTCTTGAGGGAGCAAAGGAGATCTATGGCGAGTGTTGCGTCCTGTCAGAGGGGTGTTTAGCTGCGGGACTCCGTGGCGAAACGTAGGGTGAACGGTCAGCGCACCTCATCGTATGCGGCGAGTTCCTTCTCGATCTGAGCAGCGATACTCAGAGATCATCAAGCAGAGTACCAGAAGACGTGCATGCCTTGTACTTGTTTCCGCGGTCGGTGCCTGGGCAGGAAGAGGGAGCCGTTTCGAGTCAGAGGCAATCGTGAGGATGCGAGTTCCGCTGACCTTCGACGTCATAGGGGATAGGCTCGGGGCCTTCGAATTCGTGGTAAGTCGACGGACAGGCTGTATCGGAGGAATATGAGTAGAGACCCGAAGTTCACGAATAAGTTGACCGACCGACGACGAAACCCTGGCTGGCGATCTGACCGGCGAAACGTTCGACGGGGCCGGTCACTTGATAGATCTCGCTGTCGTTCGACATTTCGTGACGCTGCGCGGACGATCAATAGACGTGCCTCGCACCTGAACACAACAACTCCTGTGGTTACATGCAAATTAGTTGTCGTTGATTGCTGATCGATTTCGTACGTGCGTACCAGGGAACTTGGCGTTGGGGTAGCCGGGAACATTGGGCGCTATGACGAAGATCCTGATGGGCCGACCATTAGGGCTGAGTTTGGTGGGCACATCGTGGTAGGTCTTTGTGATCAGCATTCTGTGCTCGCGGGCGATCTGTTGTGTGAGTAGCTGCTGGACGAGCAGATGCAGGCGTGGGGTGGGCCGACGATGGCAGATAAGTACGCGCGCGTGGGAGGGGTGTGCAGCCCAGAACATCGTAAAACATCGAGACCGTCCAGTCCAGCCAGTCCGGCAGAGTCTGCCGGAGTCCCATGATACCCTTCGAACATCCTCCTGGAGCCCAGCATCCCAGACCGGCTCAGGCCCTCAGGGCTGTACAGGCTACTCGCTATGTGCTTATGTCGCCTACTCTGAGCTGTGACTACGACACTCTAATTGCAGGACCAAAAATCAATTCCGCTGCTTAGGATTCACGACCCTTTCAAGCATGGTTGTCATGTACTTACCCACCAAATACACTAAGGGCCAGTACTAGTTCGGATACCGGATTCTCAGCCAGAATCCAGGAGTTTCTGCACTGCATCTTCCGTGCCGCTAGTGGGGGCGCCTACTGTCACCCTACTAAATCAGGTAGTCACGGCGCTTCGTCCCTCTCATCAACTCGAATTCATAAGGAGGATAGTGGGAGTGTATGCTCTTTGCGGATGTTGCTGCCGCCTCTATTAAGTAGATGACTGGAATAAATCGACTCATGATCTCCATGTGAATTCTGTCAGCTAAGTAAGTCAAATGATGGGTTTCTCCCAACCATACAGCGCCCACCATATAGCCGCAGATGACTGCATGTACCTCTGCGCTTTGAGCATTATGACACATTTATGTGCTTTTGAGTGCTGTCTTGCAATCAATCAAGACAGGCCAAAAGCACGCGTACGACTTGCGCTCTAATGCCCGGCATGTCCGTTATTGCTAGTCACGTATGATTGTCACTAGATTAGGTTACGCAAGCGCCCAGGCGGAGGATGCAAGAATCTGGCGGAACCTGGACTCCTGGCACAGAGTCCGGTATCCGAACTGGCCCTTAGTATGTGCGTACAGGGCCTACTTACACATTTGGGTTGTTGTGTGGGGGGAATTGATACTATGAACGACATATTGATATTGTTGTACAAAATGCTATTGTGCGCAGAGCCTAAACTGCTATTTGGACGATAGACGTGCGTAGATGACGTAAGCGCCCGGGGGAGATCATGTGATCCCTGGAGGGTTTGTCGTGCAGACGAACGTGCGTTGCCGTCAAAACTCTCTGGCACCGCACCCCTCCCGTCGTCCGCGATGGCCTTCCTTGCTGGAGACACTCATATACAGAGCGGCAGCGTCTAGACGAGGCACCTATCCACATCTTGCCTCGATCTATCCTCGCCGGTCCAAATCATGGTCGAACCCTCTGCAAGGATACGCCCCGTCGAACTGGCGGACACAAACTTCGTCCGCTTCTTGGTCGGCAAGGCGGGCATGGAGCCCATCGTCGTCGCAAATCAGAAAAGTGAGTCGTGTGAACATTCTCATACGCTATCGTCAGCTGCTCAACATGCACGCCGCGCGCAGTGTACTTTCACCCGCTGATTTTCTCGGCGTGGGTGGCGCTCTCTTGCGTCTTCGTCCAAGTCTTGGGCTTGTGGCCCAAGCCGGAGCAAGGCCTCTACCGTTTTCTCGTGCCCGTTCCCGCCTTCGGGTCCCTCGCAATCGCGTTCATGTTCGCCATTGACTGGTACGCCGCTTTCCCGTTCTCCGTTCCCCGTGTCCTTCGTATACTGATACTCGACAGGATGAACCGGTGGGAGTTCGAGGACCGCTCCGCGCACGTCCTCCGCGGCCCAGACCTGGCCGACATCTCCGCCTACTACGCCCGCTCTCCCTCGTCAGGCTTCTGGGTGCTGCAATACGGTGAACGCTTCATCGGCCTCATCGCCGTCGACGCCTCCCTCGACGCCGACTCGGACGCCGCCGTCGCGGACAAAATCACGCCCAATAGCGACAAGGGCAAGGACAAGGGCAAGTCTGGGAAGACCCCCATCGCCGCCCTGCCCAAGGGCACCGCGAAGACGGCGACGATCCGTCACTTCCACGTCGAGGAGCAGTACCGCCCCGCGGGTATGGCGGACGAGCTGCTCGGGTTCGCGCTCCGGCACGCGTTCTCCAAGGACCTGCGGGTCGAGGCGGTGCGCGCGCACGCGTCGCCCTTGGCGGGCTACGCGAGCGACGCGCTGAGGAGGCACGGGTTCGAGCTGGAGAGGAAGACGGAGCGCGTCGGCGCGCTGCGGTGGCAGAACAGCGTGCAGGTCCTGAGCAGGGAGCGGTGGGCCGCCATCGAGGCCAAGCAGTGATATACTGATGCGCTATCGTGTGTGTATGCACTGTACTAGGACCCATCTTGTTAACAGGCAATGTCGCAAAGATCATTGTCACCCATCATCACATCCTCGTATCGGGGCTCCCCCTCTACTGCCGGCGAACCAAGACCCTTGAGAGCGGGCTCAACTCGCAGCAAGAATGTCTCGAGACGTCATGCGCGGCATTGTCTCGTCGGACGGTCATCCCGCCTCCGCGTTGCGAAGCATGCCGGGGAGGTTGGCGTTGGGCTGACATGGACCAAATGCGAACGTTGCCGAGTAAGAAAAACCGGGGATGGGCCTAAGCCGTCCAACGCAACTATCCGAGGTACGTGTTTCTTTCCTTCTGGTCCCGGCTCGCAAGGCACGTGGTTTCTGCTCGGCGGTGAGGTTTCGGGTACACGGTGAGTGGTTTCTTCACGCTGGTGGGACTTCGGCCTGGCAAGGTGCGTGGTTTCTCCTCGGTTGTGGGGTTCCGGCTGCAGGGTGGGTCGTTTCTTTTTCGGTGATGGAGTCTCGACTACAAGGCGCGTAGTTTCTTTTCCCGAGGGAGGGGCTTCGGCCCTGACGCATACCTTTACGTGGACTTCGGGATATGTACCCTCTCGCTCGTTGTCATTGCCCTGAGGGCTGGAGAGCGGGCGGAGGGGAAACCAAAATGCGCTTCAGCACTTCGATCGGAGTATTATATGTCAGGACGTTGACAGTGTAGTAGGACAGCGAACTGTACCGCTGGACTCGCGAATTCGGCGCTCTTTACACTACATCAATATGACTGCAGAACCCTGACCTCCGTCCGTACATGTTACGAGCCCCTGTGATGGGAACGGAAGAGCACGAGGCCATGAGTAGCTGACTAGCCCGCCGGTCACTTCAAGAAGCGGTCCAAGGCCTCGGCGACGATCCGCCAGTGCTCGTCCCTGAAGACGACGTCGTGGTAGGCCCCCTCGACGGTCACCAGCTCCGCGTGCGGGATCGTCGCCTTGATCTTCGTCGCCTCCTCGTACGGCACGATCTCGTCGTCGGTGCCCTGCCACGCACGCTCGTCGTCAACACGGCCTGTAGCTGGATGACGAGAGACGGCGACGTACGTGTATGATGAGGACTTGCAGCTTCTTGCGCTCGGGCCCGACGGAGATGTCGGCGAGCTTCTCGAACGAGCTGCGCAGGCCGCGGATGGGGCCGTGGTCGAAGCACGACTGGAGGCTGCGCTTGTAGCCGGGGAGCGCGCTGCCTTGGAGGTCGCGGAGCTGCGACGCACTCGGTGTCGGGTTTTCACGCGAAAAGGACAGGATTGAGCGCACCTCTAGGAACTGCTTCAGGGCCACTCTGTTGGTCTTCGAGGGGGCATCTGTGAGTTACGTTGCGGAGGTGGGATAGGAAGTGCGGCACGCACCGGCACCGGCTTAGACGGGGTTCTCTTGACAAACACGGTCAGGTTAAACACCGGTTATGTCACGCGCGCAAGGGCGCGCACCTCTATCAAGCCAGCAGAGGAGATGAAGACGGTCTTTTCGGCCACGAGGTGAGGAAGGCTTGCGCTTAAAGCACCTGCGATCCCACCGCCCTGAGGACAACGTAGGTCACCCACATGCGTCGGGCATATTTGTCAAACGCCACCGAAGCGCAAGGTACTGACCATTGAAAAGCCGACGATGTGTGCGGCATCCCAGCGTACGTACTGGAGCAGCAAGGCGAGTTGGGTGACGAACAGGTTGGCGTCGTATGTCGTATGCGGTGCCTCCGAATAGCCCTTTCCGTACAGGTCTACAGCAAGCCAAATCTTAGCTAGTCGTAGGGAGCTGAAGGGAAGCGCATACCATAGACAAGCACTCGGAACCCGCGTTCGGCGAGGTAGGGCGCGATGGTCGTCCAAGTGACTGCGGGGGTGGATATCCCGTGGATGAGAACGACCTAAGATACAGCTTGTACGTCGTTTATGAACGTGGAGGAGCACGTCAACCGTACTTTAGTTCCCTCCTCTGGACCGATGATCCAATACCGAACCCGGCCATGCAAGAGGGGGGCATAGTGACCTGTACCAGCCAGCACAGTGAGGAGGCATATACATCTCTGACGCGGCGATGTTCAGTACCATTCGGGAACAGATCGGCAGGGTAGACCTGACGGATCCGTGATGTCTCAGGAAGGGCCTCCATGGAGGGGTCGGCTTGAATGGGGAACTACATGCGCAATGAGCACTGATGTATGGCATTCGTTCCTTGGTTTGAACACCTACGGTATTACTGGCCATGATGGACTCTGTGTCGGCGGGTCTGATAGCGATGCAAGGAGTGGGGTCCTCGACGTTGCTGCTGACGAAAGCTGCTGGGCAACCTTTGGTATATATGCTCGTGTAGGCGTGTGGGAGCCATGGCGGTCTTCCGGGAGCCCGAGCCAGGTCTGTCAGTACTAACCATATCCGAAGCGCGGGGTGCGGGGCAACACCAGCACCGGCCCGGATCTGGTAGGCAGCAAGTACTACCCGACACACGCACCACCCCGAAATGCCCTCTCTTCTCTCCTCCGCTCTCGCGCAGACCGCGCGCAACCAGCATCTGCTGCTCCTGCAATCGTCCACCGCGCAAACATGCCTTCCAATCCTCCGCGCCGCCGTGAAACAGACAATCGAGAGGGCGCGCGAGACGACCATCCTCTTCTGCTTCCTCTACCGTCCGTCTAGTCTCATTGGCACAATGCGCGTGCAGCCCGATCGCGTGCAGGTCGTGGATAAGACAGCTAGCGTACCGGGGTACGACGATGCACACTACGAGTCTGAGCGCGAGAGGAAAACGGCTCTCAAGAGAGAGCTGCTAGAGGCCATTCGCTCCGGTGAGTCTTCGAGCCCTTCGAAAAGACCTCGCAAATGCCCACAGTCCCTTCCTGCAGCCCCCCCAGGACCCTTAAATGCCGTGCTCGACTCCGTCGACACCCTTCTGTCCGACATCGGCTCGCTCTCAGAGACGACGCAGCTATTGTCCGAGGCACTCGCCCTAGTCCGCGCCCGCGGAGGTCAGTCCCCATCGATGTCCCCCTTCCCGCGCTCCGCCCCCCACTCATCTATCCGTCCCATTCTCACCCTTTGTGCACAGGCACCTCGCGCCTGATCCTGCACGTCCTCGCTCCCAGCCCCCTCATCCCCATCCTGACCGAAACCCGCTTCTCCTCCTCCCTCACGCACCTCATCGCGCACCCTTGCGCGCTCCTCACACACGTCGCCGCCGCGTACCTCACCCCGCCCCCGCCCCTCTCCCCCGAGGAGAAGTTCTGGGGCGTGTTCATCCCCATCGCAGAGCGGCATTACGAGTCGGAGAAGCTCGTTTTCGGCCCCGGGAGCGAAGGCAGCGGCTCGCCCCAGGAGTTCGTCGTCGAGGTCCTCCTGAGGGGCGGCGCGGACGCTACGGGGCGGCGGAGAGGCGCAGAACGCGTGCTCGAGGGCTGGTCGGCTGCTGTCTACGGCCCGTGTGAGCTCCACCAACTCGAGAGCCTGAAAACACTGTGGTCCAGGAAGATTGTAATCGAGGTGCGTAAGCGCGCTGTATTCCATCATGTTCCCCCGTTCAAACACTGAATGCAGCTCAAACAGGCGCAGCGTGCACCAGACCCTACTCAGAATCTCTCATTCAATGTCAACCTCACACCTGAGCAGCAGCGCTCAAGAGCGCAGGTGCCGTTACCGTACGCGCATGCAGGTATGTCGTCTGCAGCAAATCGAGCGCGAGACTCTGGGGCTGACATCTTGGTCCAGGAAAACAAATCCAGCCTCAAACCCCAGGAGCGATCCTATATGACCCTGACTCCGCAGACGATTTAGACGATGATGATCCAGACGAGGATCTAGATATATAGCCTTGCTGGGGCCTCGCTGTACGTGCATCCGGAGTCAATGCAATTACATGTATTCCCAGGTCGCTCCCAAGCCGATATTCAAAACCATTGCGACTAACACAAATGATGAGAGCGATACAACATTACTGTACAACCACAACGGTGGCGAGAGACATCATACACATACACGACATACTACTCAGCGGTCCCCCGATTACCCTATCCATACATTATCACACCTTGGATCCCACCATGGTCGTTAAAGAGGCTCCTCTCTCACCCTCCGAGCGATCTCGTCGAACTCGAAGCCCAACGCGCGCATAAAGCTCAGTTCCTCCTCCTGATCTAGTCTTCCCAGGTCGTCTTCATCACCATCGACGTCCGAGCACGACAAGTCGAAGGAGAGACTCAGGCTAGGACTGAATCGCAGCGTCTTCGTGACAGGTGTGCTTGTACTTTCGCCGACTAGGTGGCCCACCGCGCCTCTCGTATACCCGGGTCCCGATGGTCGGCGACTTCGGTAAGGCGTATAAGACTCGGAAGACAGCTCGCTGTTCTGATGGTAATATTCGCGCTCAGTGCTCGACCCGAAGCTGAACGTTCCGCTCGAGTGGTCGGGCGTGCGCGCGAAGCTCATGCTGTCCAAGTCTGATTCCGACATAGATGCAGACGGCCGATGCAAGCGACGCGCGCAGTGCTCGTCTTCGCTCAGCTCTTCCTTGGCATCGTAGTACGTTGATTCTCCTGTAGAGCTGATCACTGACGGTACCTGACTCGACCTGTGTATGTGGGCTACGTCGAGTAGCGGGGGTCGGCTGCCCAAGTCAAGCTCGGGTCGAGGCGACACCATATCGAATTGTACGTTCGCGTGGGTGACCGTGGTGACAGTGTCTCTGGGTGGTCCGCGGGGGCTCAATCCTTTGGTCTTCTTGAGACTTGTCGGACTGGAGAGTTCTGAGATGTGCCCGGCTGTAGTGAGGTGCCGCGTAGACCGCTTGGCCATGATAGAAGACAGGGAAAATCGGCGAGAGCGTTTGTCCTTCGCAGTAGATGATTCCCTGTCGGGCGAAGACAGAGCCTGAGGTGGAGCGGTACGGGTTCTCGATCGTACTGGGGATGCCTGCCCCGCAGAACCAGCTACCGGGGAGCTGCTGGCGCCTACAGTGATGGGTAGCTCGCCTCCCCAGAAGCGGTCTTGTCGTGGAGATGACGAGGACTTCCGTGGAGTCGAGAGCTCCCCCGCATCCGGGGTAGACGCTTGTGCGGACGTAGTCTCTCGGAGTGGAAGCGATGGAAGTGGCGGGCGAGGTATCACTGTTGTTCGCAACGAGTCCATCCTGGACTTGCTCAGAGCTGACGACAATGAGAACCTTCGTGCTTTGTTCGAGGTCCCACTCCCCGGCTTGCCTTCGCTTCCTACAGGCAATACAGGCTGTAACAAAGTTTGGGTGCGTTCAGGCCGCCCCTTGGGAGTTCGCGGCGAGTGAGGGGAAACTGTGTCTTCAGGAGAGGCGCTCCCACAGTGATCATCCCCATCGAGAGCGCTTGGCTGGCGGGTTGAGGAAGTCGATGTCCGTAGAGTGCTGTCATGTTCGAGAGCAGCACGCTTGGATATGCTGGTGTGAACGCGATTGATACTTGTCGGGAGCAGTGCTGGGAGCGGAAGGGAACGACGATGGTTCCGTAACTTCTTGGTCCGTGGGCTGGGCGACGGTATGGGATGCTCCTGCAGTCAAGTTCGATTAGTTGTAGGTGTAACATGCACCGAAAACCTTACCGACTCGTACTCGACGTTTGTGATCGCAGTAGTCGTAGTCATCAACCCATACTCAGGAGTATCTCTGCTATGAAGAGTCTTCGACGGTACCTCTGCCCTGCCTTTGAAGAGATCACGGAGCCGCTCGCCTAATTTCCGCACCTTGCCCATGACAGGTCGTTTCGTCACCTTCCGTTTCAGAGGTCCATTACCGTCGCCGACAGCAACGCGACTGCTAACAGTGGGAACTGGCTGAGGGCGAGGGGTCTGGTGAACGGTGGGTTGAGGTGCAGAAAGACGACGGGCAATGACACGCTCCGTATGCTCCGATGCGACATCGGCACGATCCTCTTCGAGTTGTTCTTCACGTACAAGATGACCAGCGGAGGCCTCAGTGGTCCCAGAGGGATGCCTGTATGCGCCCAAATCAGGCCTGTGCGTTCCTTCGGGACTCTCCATCGGCGTAGATGGCTGTGAGCCTGACTGCACGGACGGCGGGATAGAGAATGAGGAGCGCGAAGCCGAAGACGCCACAGCAGCGGCCAATGCGAAGGCATCCATCTCGGACGCTGGAATGGACAAGTGAGCGAGGACCGCCCCATGCGAGTCAGCAGCATGTGCGTCACTACCAGAGGGAAGGACAGGCGAATCCGCCTCCGAAAGATGCGAAACTGTGGACACAGAAGACGTCGGGGGAAGGGAAGAGCTGCGTGTGACTTTGACTACTGGAAGGAATTCAACGGGAATGTCAGGGGATTGAGAGATGGAGGGCGTAGATTCCCAGCCTGTAGGTGTGATTGCCAGTGAAGCAGGGGTCAAACATGCTTCCAACTGAGGAGAGGGAGGAGCGGGGGGAGACTCGGGAAAGAATGGGTTGTTCGCAGAGCTATGCACGGGCAGCTTGAGGGGAGGGAGGCCAGGAATGAAGTTGAGAAGGGGTGGATCCAGATGCGGCGATGGGAAAGGGTGTTCTCTAGAGGCCGAAGGGGCAAGTCTGGGTGAACGAGAGGATGTGCCCAAGTCCGAGCTGAATGGAAAAAACTCGCTGGAAAGAGTGGTGGAATTCGAGGAGATGCCGCGATCGAGGCGTCCGTTTGCGTCAGGATGAGTTGGCCAATCTGCGAGGTCCGGGGTGTGGAGAGGACTCGACAATGCTGTAGATATCTGCGGAAAAAGGAACAATTGTGAGAAGCATTCTGCAAGATGGCAAGATGAAAGGGAGCAACCGTGATGGGGGAGAGTTTGGGATCGCTCGGTGCCCTCGAACTCAACGTAGCTAGATTGGCATAGGTCAGACCAGGCGGATCGTGCGGGCCACTTGAAGCGACGTATGGGCGGACAGGTCCGGTGTAGGTCCATCGCCTACGGGCCTTACGGCTGCCCTCCTTGCGGGACCGAGCATTGGCGGTGATTGCGGAGCCACCGTACGAAGAGACAGAAGAGACATCTGCATCCTGTGCAGTGTCGTCATGCTGGTCGCGGGAGCAGCTGGGCCACGCGCCGGGTAGGTAAGGAGTGAGGGACTGGCGGCGCGAGGCTGATGGGGGCATGGTCCTGGAGTGGGGATGGTGGGAGGAGGACAAGAGACGATGGAGACATGAGACAGGACATTAAAGAAAGGGCGGAGAGACCTGCCTTGCTCGTGCAGCTTCCTCGATGGCTCCCCTGTGCTCTTTGCCAGGGACCGAAAGCCGTCAACGTTTGACGGCGGTCGATCTTCTGCTGTGGCATATATAGCCCACCACGCACCATATCAGGGATCCCACCAAGGAATCACTCTCGGCACTGCCCGGGGTGCGCATCGCGCCGCTGCCTGTGAGCTCGGCACCAACGCCGGTGAGAAAGCAAGCACTGGTCGCACGAGACGACAGCATCCATTAGCTGCAAGCTGGTAGGGATAGACAAGAGCCCGTCTATGTGCTCTAACGCTCTAACAGATCAAACTGGCTCAGAGGTCTCCCTTGACGGCCTTGCTCACGCTCTCCGCGAAGTAGTCGATGTTGTTGCCGTTCAGGCCCGCCATCGAGATGCGCCCGTCGGCGGTCATGTAGATGTGCGCCTTCTCCGCAAGCACCTTCGTCTGCGGCTGCGTCAGGCCCGTGAAGCTGCATCACACACACAAAACCACCGATCCGTCAGCCCTGTATCACCGTCCCTGCAGAGACACCGTGCTTCCGTGATACGTACCTGAACATACCAATCTGCTTCTTGATGTGACTCCACTCGCCCGGCGTGTTCTGACCCACGAGGTTGTCGTACAGACGGTCACGCATCTGGATAATCCGGTCCGCCATGTGCTTCACCTCCCCCTCCCAGAGCCGGTACAGCTCCTCGTCCCGCAGGATCGTGCTCGCAATACGCGCACCGTGCAGCGGCGGGTTCGAGTACATCGGCCGGATGACGATCTTCAGCTGCGAGTCCACCCGCGCACGCTCCTCAGGCGAGGACGTCACCAGCGAGAATGCACCGACACGCTCGCCGTACAGACCCATGTTCTTCGCGAACGACTGCGCGAGCGCGATCTGGTGGCCCTGCTCGACAAAGTAGCGCACCGCGAACGCGTCGCGCGCAGTGTCCCCAGACGCGAAGCCCTGGTAGGCCATGTCGAAGAAGGGGAACAGCTGCTTCTCCTTGACGATGTCCGAGATCTCCTTCCACTGCTCCGGCGTCGGGTCCACACCAGTGGGGTTGTGTGCGCAGGCGTGCAGGAGCACGATCGACTTCTCCGGCGCAGCCTTCACGCGATGATCGACGTTCGAGTGAGCGGGGTGTCTTCTCCGGCGACACGTGAAAGGAGGTTCTTGCTCACCTTGAGGTCCTCCTTTAAGCCCTCGAAGTCGAGGCCGACGGTCTTTTTATCGAAGTAGCGGTAGCCCTTGACCTCAAGGCCGGAGTCGCGGAAGACAGGCGTATGGTTCCCCCACGACGGGACCGGGAGGTAAATCGTCTTGACGTGGGGGTAGAAGCGACCCAGAAACGCACCACCAATGCGGAGCGCACCGGTGCCGGATATAGACTGCGTCACAGCGACCTATTCACCGCCTAACGTCTCAGAGACCTGCCAGCTCACGACAACCATACACGCAAAGAAAAACGCACACGGCCCTCCTTCAACGGCGCGCTGTCCACGCTGTAGGCGAGCTTCGCGGCCGACGCAGTGAACTCGGGGAGACCAGTGATGGGGAGGTACTCCTTGTCCGGGTTCTGCTGGACAAGGATCTCCTCCGCCTTCTTGACCGCGTTCAGAACGTACGGCTTGCCGTTCTCATCTCGGTACGCGCCGACACCGAGGTTGATCTTGCGGGGGTCCTTGTCGGCCTTGAAGGCCTCGGTGACACCTGTAGTTCGCAACGGAAGCCCGCACGTCAGCAGGCAGTCGACATGAGCCGCAGACGGTGATTCGCGTGCACATTGGCGAAAATAGTCGCCCTCGAGTCACGAGTGCAACCAGTACGCCCGCATAAGGCTCGCAGAGAACCGCAGTACTCATTGGACGGACTTCTCTCGGGGAGAATTCCACACTACAGGCTGCGAGGATCGAGACGTACCCAGAATGGGGTCCGGAGGCCCAGCCGGGACCGCAGACCAGACGGAGAGCGAGCCGGCGTAGCGGACGTGCTTCGGGGCGACGCGTGCGAGCGGTCGGGCAATGGCCTGCATTTTCGACGGAAAGCTAGAGCGAGGGGTAAGGGAGAGAGCTATGTGCAGAGGACGGTGTGCGGGTATAAGTAAAGTACAAAACGCCAGCAGGGACAGCAAGTCTGGATGAGTCCAGTGCACGCGTGACCCCCGCTACTGCCGGACGCGATGATTTCACCCTCAGTCTCCGTGATTTCGCGCGGGGCGGGGCGTTTGAGCGGCCAGACCGTCTCCGTCTCGGAGCGACCCGGGTCATTTTTCAAAGCCCTAACCCCAAATCAAGGTTCTGGGTAACCCTCAGCGTTTTCGCGGATAGATCAGATAACTTGACAGATCTGCTCGACTCACCGGGACTCATTCTCGAGCACTGGTCTTGTGTATAAAACTACTAGGGCTCTGAGGCATAGCTTTGAAACACTACAGTCATGGCCGACTCGCAGCCAACACAACAACCCCCTGCTGAGGTGCCGTAAGTCACCAATGGCTTCCTCCTGTGTACTCTATCGCGAACTAATCGTATGTCCCCTAGGCCCGCCGAAGGTGCGGAGGCACCTAAGGGCCCCTCCAAGAGCGAGTTGAAGAAGCGCGCGAAGGAAGAGGAGAAGGCACGCAAGGCAGCAGAGAAGGCCGCCAAGCAAGCAGAGCTTGAGGCGCAGAAGGCTGCAGCGGAAGTCGTACGTACCATCTCATCGCATCTCAGCGACGGACGGACATACGATCAAGACGCGCTAATCCTCTCGATACCCCTTCGTATCGTAGGACTTCGCGACCGAGTTCTACGGCAAGCTCCCTCTGAACCAGTCCCAGTCACGCCCGAGGCGCGAGCGCGTCCAGATCGCGTCCCTCACCCCCGAGCACGACGGCCAGACCGTGCTCGTGCGCGCGCGCGTCCAGACGTCGCGTGCGCAGGGCAGCAAGATGGTCTTCCTCAACCTCCGCCAGCGAATCGACTCTGTCCAGGCGCTGCTTGTCCTCACCCCGGGCAAGGTCAGCAAGCAGATGCTGAAGTGGGCTGCGGGACTGCAGACGGAGAGCATCGTGCTCGCGGAGGGTGTCGTCAAGAAGTCCCCCGAGCCGATCAAGAGCGCGACTGTCAGCGACGTCGAACTGCACCTCACGCAGGTGGGCTACATGATCCGTCTTTTGGCTATGTCACATCGGCTGAGAGAATCCACGATTGTAGCTGCACCTTATCTCCGGCTTGGACACCAAGCTTCCATTCACCGTAGACGATGCGAATCGTCCCCAAGAGAATACTGAGCAGAATGCGGCCGACCAGGAGCAGGAAGCGGAAGCCCCAGAGGAGGCCGAGGCGGAGGAAGGCGATGAGGGAGGTATCAAAATCAAGCGCGTCCTTCTCAAGACTCGCCTCGATAACCGCGTCGTTGACCTGAGGGTATGTCTGTCCATTCGCTGCACAATAGACGATTGTTCAATTAGCACTGCGCGACAGACACAAACGAACCAAGCAGTATTCAGGCTACAGGCCGCAATTGGGAGCTTCTTCCGCGAATACCTCGAGGGACAGGGCTTCATTGAGATCCACAGTCCCAAATTGCAGGGTGCGGCGACCGAGTCCGGCGCCTCGGTCTTCGAGGTTAGCTATTTCAAGGGTACGTCCTACTCGATATACCCGGCACTCAGCGAGTGACGGTTGTCGTGGGGTTCATAGGCAAGGCATACCTCGCTCAGTCTCCTCAGCTCGCCAAGCAGATGGCAATTGCCTCTGACTTCGAGCGTGTCTACGAAATCGGACCCGTTTTCCGTGCTGAGAACTCGTTCACACATCGGCACATGACTGAATTCATCGGGCTCGATCTCGAGATGGCCATCGAAGAGCACTACCACGAGGTCATGGAATTGCTCGACGGCCTTTTCCTCCACTTGTTCCGCGGACTGAAGCAGAAGTACGCGAAGGAGATCGAAACTGTGCGGAAACAGTTCCCCGCGGACGAATTCAAGTGGCGCGAGGGCCCCGAAGGCACTCTGAAGCTCTCGTTCAGGGAGGCGGTCGACCTCCTTGTTGCGGACGGTGTGCCGAGGGAGGATCTCGACGACATTGAGTACGTGTCTTACAGCTGAAGCTGGCTGACACCTCAAACTGACGTCCGTTGCCATAGCACTACAAACGAGAAGCGTCTCGGAAGGATCGTCCGCGAGAAGTATGACACCGACTACTTCATCATTGACAAGTTCCCCATGGCTCTTCGTCCCTTCTACACCATGCCCGACCCCGAAGATCCCGTGAGCTCGTTTAACCACTTCTTCACTCGTATCATACTAACTCTACCTCCTTTTCCCCCAGACACTCTCGAACTCGTACGACTTTTTCATGCGCGGCGAGGAGATCCTATCTGGCGCGCAGCGGGTGCACGACGCAAAGCTCCTCTCCGAGCAGATGCGTCAGAAGGGCATCAACCCAGAGTCCATGAAGACCTACCTCCAGGCCTTCCAGCTCGGATGCCCGCCGCATGGAGGGGGCGGTATCGGTCTCGAGCGTGTGCTCATGCTGTTCCTGAAGCTCAACAACATCCGCCGCGCTTCTCTCTTCCCGAGAGACCCCAAACGACTAGAACCCTAGACGGCAGCACCTTCGGCTCCGTCCTCGACTCCGGTCGTCAGCCTGACCGGGCGGGCGCGGATCCCGGATTCCCATGGAGCGATCTCTGGTGCGGCCTCGGGGGAGCGGCTGTCAGTACTGTGCAGCTGAGACAGGGGAATTGGTGACGGGGTGAGTAGAAGTGAAGATAGACGTGTCCTCGACAGCGAGCAGTGTACTACCTGTTGTATCAATCAAATGCCACACACACATTCATGCTAACACTCCGACGGCAGACGTCTGCCCTGCCCTGGGAAATTGCATCGTCCGTGAGCCCAGTCTTCCATTCTTGACAGTGCCTCAAAGCCCCGGTCCGTTGCTGACGACCTGAGGCTGGGAGGGCGGGTGTTCCGTGTCAGCCTTAGACGTTTCCAAGCACGCTTCTGTTATAGGCCGACTTCGTCCCGGCAAGCCTCTCTCTCATTTCAAAGCGGCGGCAGCCCTCGTTCTCTCATTCTCTCGTTGCTAGCTGTTCCGCGCAGAGAGCTCTGCTCCTGCGCATCCTCAGTCGCGCCTTCTATCCACGTCGCTTTCCCGCACGCCCTTGCGGTATCTTCACGCTATGTATATCCGCGAGTACGAAGGCTACGCCGAGTCGGGCCACGACCTGCTCTCCAACAGTAACCTCTACCCCAGCTGCCAGCCGCCCGCCGCGCATTGCTCGGACGTGAACCACCAGCCCGCGCGCGCCCAAAGCGTCACAGCCCTCAGCAGCCCTCCACACCCCACGCCGACGCTGGCCGGGGGCAGACCGGCAACACAGGAGGCGTTCTCGGACGACATCACGCGCTTCGGGCGGCGTAACTTCATCGGGTTCGTCGTTCTGGGCGTGCTCGTGTTCGTCGGGCTCGTCCTGTGGATGACGTTCGGGATGTGGCCGAGGAGGGCGCTGTCGAGGCTGCGGGAGAGGCTCGCTCGCAAGAGAGGAAGACGGGAGCGGGGAGGCAGCACAGACAAGGAGGGCGGCAACGGCAGTGTAACGCGAGCGCAGGAGCTCGAGCGCGACCGATGCTCAGAGTCCGCCGCAGAGTGCAGCGAAAAGGCTCCAGATCAAGACGATGGCTCTATCGTCGAGGTTCGACGACAGGCAAGCGCACACTCAGCCAAATCGGCAGGATCTGTATATTCGCTCAGCAGCGGGGCAGAGACACTGGAAGAAGGCGAGGCGGAGGCAATAGGCCGGGCTGAGACGGTTCCGCGCGTACACTTTGCATGATGCTCTCCCGAGAGTTTTTCTGGGCTGGTTGTATGTCATCCGCATGGGCTGTGTAGGTATGCGCTTTTTATGATATCACGCGCTGTACGGGTTCTTTCCAAGCGAGGGTCTCTCGTTCAAGTCGAGCATCGGGTGTCTGCAAGCAGAAGTACTTGAGCTATACCGACAGAGAGGTCTGCACACACCGGATGTAGCACATAAAGAGGCGTCTGATCCGATAAGTCAACAAAGCAAATAGAGGAGCGATGCGCGAAGCGTACGATATGGATCCCGGTTGGGCGTTGGCAATGCAAGCAGAATTCCAATTCAGTCCGTGGGCGAGGAGACCGGGGACAATGAGGACGCAATATCATAGGTAGCAATAACACAACAGACAGAATGCATGATGGTGGGCCAGTCAGCACATGGACGCGCAGGCGGGCAACGTGAGGTGGGGTAGTAGAATGGTGACTGTTAATGGTGGTGTGTGATGCAAGTACAATGCAAGGCGCGTGCTAGATGGTGTTTCGACTTCAACTGACTGCCAACGTCCACGGCTTAGCGCGCCCTCATAGAAATACAAGCTTGATCAAGCAGCGACGAACCCGAGGTAATAAACACTCCGCCCTTCTAAACAGAACTTCCGACTTCTCCGCTCCTGTTCCGACACGACCTCCTAGTTCACACTCATGGTCTCCTCTCTCGCCGACTTCTGTGCCTGTCTGACCGGGACGGATTCCCAGTGCCGATGATATTAGGAGGCAGCGAGCCTCTCTCCAGCGCAGCGGCGATAACCTCCGCGGGCAAGTCAATATGCGCACCGTCAGGGTACGCATAAGCGTCGAGAGGGGAGTAGGCAGGGGGTGCGATATTCATCGCCTCCAGCTGCGCCGCCGAACTATTAGCAGAAGTATGAGCACTGTGGCCGGTACTAGGAGGACTCGAGGAGGGGGCTAACGCCTGCAGATGGATGTCGCGCGGACCGGGAGTAGGGAGGTCCGAGGCGATCGGTGATTCTGGGGGAGGGTGCACCTGGATCGCGAGGTCTGCACCTGAAACCGAAGAACGCGAGCCCGTGCGTGCATGAGTGATGTTGAACGGCTGTGGTCGGGGGACATTGAACTGGTTCGCACCTGCACCCGCAGGGCCGCGGGAGGGCGACCGAGAGGAGGCCGCGGAAGAGTCGTTGTCGTCTGCACCGGGATCTGCATCCCTTTGCGTTGGGGAAGCGGGCAAGTTAGCATTGGGAGCCGTGTGGAAGGGGAGGTCAGTTGGGGATAAGTACCTCCGTGAACTGGAAGGTCCTGCGCCGATTGGGGATTCAGGTTCTTCCTCGATGGGAGTGATGGGTGGGGGCGGAGTCATGGGAGGAGAAGGGGACGCCAAAGGACTGTCACGAAGCGGCGAAGATTCAATGGGTGCATTGACGGATAGACCAGAACGGGGCCGACGGGATCGATGCGAGCGGCGAGAGCGGGTCGAGCCGCCTGCAGGACTTGCAGGGGCGCCGATGCGGTTAGGAACGATCTCACCGCCTGCAGCAAGGAGGATGCTGCCAACCTCGCTACCATAAGCTGGAGGCGGCGCAAGCGTGCCTACGCTAGGTGCAAGTCCCCACCGTTTCACATTTGCCTCGATGAAGACAAAGCCAGACTGGCCGAGGTTAACGTGAATGCTGCACGGTCCGTCGGCGCCGATGGTAGGGAAAAGATTCCATGCAGTCAACCCAGTAAACGCGTCTTCCATCTTCCGCCCGTTCTTCGTAAAGAACACGGTACCAGAGCGGGGACGATAGCCGACCCCAAGGACGTCACCCTCTTTGAGGGTGGTACCACAAGCCTGCGCGGTGAAGGGGTAGTTATGCGACTTGTCCCCATTAGAGTGGTATGCCACCGAGTGTCGACAGAGACCAGGGAGGCGGAAGGAGGGATAAGGCTTCGTTGCCAACCCGACGGCAACGTTGGTTGTTTCCGGAAGGTCAAACATCTTCGCCTCCCAATAGTACACCTCGTTGAGCTTAGGGAGCGGCAGATTCGACTGCACCGAGGATGCGGATGCAGGATCAGGAAGAAACGTGAGCTCAGTACGAGCGTGGACCAACAGAGACGACAAAGCCTCAAAATCAGGCTCGAACGACCATGCTGATACACCCTTCTCCTGGATTGACAGGAACTGCGACAACGTGATGTCCGTCGGCATGGAGTTGGGCGGGTACTGCGTCTGGTATTCTGCACCGGATGAGATTAGTCGAACCTTGAGCAGCGCTTGCGTGAGAACGAATGGGAAATCACCTTTCGAACGAAGGTATGCTCGCTGTTCGGCTTCGCTGACGGTCTCCAGCCATCTCGACTCGACCCCCTCAAAACCGCCCTCGCCCTCAATGAGGTCCTCTCGGCTGATATCGATCGGTCCATCGGTATCACGGAGCATGATACCCCGTCGTCGCCGCAACAGAATGACGCATACCAGGAAGAGAAGCAGGAGAAAGAGGAACGTGGATAAGACTATGAGCATGGGGAGGATAATATAGAATGCATCTCGAGAGCTATTGGGCGTTCGTGGCGGACGATCTTCCTGACTAGAGGCGAGGGTGACGATGGGGTCTGGGAGGTTGTCCTGGATAGCCTTGATGCCGGCTGACAAGGCCTGTGCTACCTCCTCCCAGTCGGCATAAACGACTTGAGCTGGGCGCCCTTGTGATGGGCTCATGACCTAGAGCGAGAACAGAAGAAGCAGACAAGAACTGAGAGCAGAAGAGGCAGAGCAGGGAAGGAGAGACAAGGAGGGAGAGAGCACGGTCAAGTCCACGGTCAAGAGCTAGTGGGAACTGCTCTGGGCAATGACCGACCCTCCCCGGCCAGCGCCGCCCGCTGCGCCGGTCCCCACACCTCATTGCTTGCCGGGACTGTCCGGAGGCCCGCCGGGGGGGGGGCTGACTAAGGGGGAAGGGTGCCTGCGCGGGCGTCTGTGTGGAGGCGTTGAGCGCTGGAGCGTCTTAGACTTATTCCGGCTTGCTTGGAACTGCAGATCCATCCTCCGCATGGCGGCACATTCCTCATGAGTGCTCCTCTCACTCCCAACAGCTCTCCGAGAGTTCGCAGACGTGGCTCGACCCGCAGACCCCGAGCGGGCTCACATCTCCCTCCCTTTACCCAAGAGAGCCATGACGCTGCGCTCTATGCAATTAGGACATACCTCAAGGGCCGGACGTCTTACGACACCTTTCCCGTCAGCTTCAGGTTGATCGTCCTAGACTCCAAGCTAGAGGTCAAGAAGGCTCTTCAATGTTTACTTCTCAATGGTACATATCACCATCATCACGCGCAATGTCTCCTTCCGCTCACCGCATCCTATATACTCCCCCTAGGTGTAGTCTCGGCACCATTATGGAACAGCGACAAGTCGTGCTTCGCAGGCATGTTCACCGTCTCGGACATCATACATCTCATCCAATACTACTACCGGAGCTCGTCGTACGATGCAGCCGCAGCAGACGTGGAGACTTTCCGCCTCGAGTCATTGAGAGGTCTGTCTGTGCATCTTTCGGCCATCTTCCCATGCAATCATTCTCACATCGATACAGACATTGAGAAGCAGCTTGGCGTCGCCCCTCCTCCTCTTCTCCGGGAACATCCCTCTGCCTCGCTCTACGATGCAGCCAAACTCTTGATTCAGACTCACGCACGTCGTGTCCCTCTGCTAGACGTCGACTCCGAGACGGGCCATGAAGTAATCATATCCATACTCACCCAGTACCGCCTCCTGAAGTTTATATCCATAAACGTGAGTTCTCGTGCTCATACGCGTGGTATTTGGCGCCTGACCTGGCACATGTGTCTTCGAATTTTCTAACGCGTGTCTCAGTGCGGGAGAGAGATTCAACAACTTCACTTACCTCTCCGCCGACTTGGCATTGGCACCTATGTCAGTGCGCCACCTCTCCCCCCAGATGTTGAACGTCCAGAAGGCTACAACCCTTTCCATCCGATCGCCACAGCGACTATGAACACTACCGTGTTCGACGTCGTACACATGTTTTCGGAAGGAGGCATCTCTGCGGTTCCTATCGTGGACGAGGAAGGAATCGTGGTCAATCTGTACGAGACCGTTGATGTCATCGTAAGTCACGTTTGATTGCGTTCGCATCTGTTGTCTGCCATGCCAGATTGAGGCTCATGCTTCTTGATAGACTCTCGTTCGACTTGGCGCCTACCAGTCGTTGGACCTGACAATCTCAGAAGCTCTGAACCAACGGTCGCCTGACTTTCCCGGTGTCGTCATTTGCACTGCGTCGGATTCTTTGGGCACGCTCATGCAGCTCATCAAGAAGCGGCGTGTACACCGGCTTGTGGTTGTGGAGGGTGAAGTGAGTCGGAGTGTTTTCGTGACCGAGCTTGCATGCTTATGCTGCGTTCTCATAGGAGGAAGAGCGGAGGGGTGGCAAGAAGGGCCGCTTGCTCGGTATCATCACGCTCAGCGACGTGCTTCGCTACCTCATTGGCGATGTATATATTGGCGAGTCACTTCCGGATCCTCCTCCAGCGCCTTCAGAGATTCTCGCGCCGCCTCCCTCTGGCACTGCCCCTCCTCCCGCAGCGTCTTCGGGCCCAGAAGCGGCTGCGCCATCAGATGAGGCGCCAGCAAATCCAGCCCCCGCGGGGGACACTGTGGATACAGCGCCAGAGGAAAAGGCGGCAGAAGAGGCGCAATGATAGAGACCGAGTGACAGCGCGCAGATTACAGTAGATGTAGCCTTACAGATTTTGCTCTTGGCTTTGAACCGCATCTGTAACAGTATCTTTGTTGTTTTGGAGGGCTAATGGAGAACTCATGGATATCTTGCTGCGACGGCGTGCACCACGCACGCGCTGACTGAGGACTTGGCCGGACGTCAGGGGGTCGCGCGACCGCCATGCAGCTGACTTGATGCACGCAGACGCCCTTGGAAGGTGCGCTGAGACAGCCGACACGCTCCCAGATGGCTCTGGCAATCGTCCACTACCTTCTCCGCTCTCCTCCTCCTCCACCTCAGTGCTCCCTCGTCTCTGCTTGATACCCAACGGATGGCCGCCATCCAAGCCATCCATGTACGCGGCTGGGAAGACCGCCCCGAGCCGAAGCCGCACACCGTCTACCGCATCGAAATCCAGGCCTCCGTCCGCTCCTGGCAGATGTGGCGCCGCTACTCCGAGTTCGCCGACCTGCACGTCGAGCTCACCAAGTCCTGCGGCGCCCCTCCTCCCGCCCCTCTTCCGCCCAAGCACCCGTTCTCGTTCCTCCGGGGGAGCAAGACGAGCCCCGCGCTGCTCGAGGAGCGCCGTGCCGCGCTCGAGCAGTACCTCCGTGCGATTCTCGCCGCCAAGGACGACGTCTGGCGCGAGAGCTTTGCATTCCGCGACTTCCTCGGCGTCCCCGTCGGCAAGCAGGACGTCCTCGGGGGCGGCTCGTCCGCCGGGGGCACGGGGTTCACCGCGAGCTCGTGGCTGGACGAGCACCAGGACGTGCAGGCGCGCGTGCGCGACGTCCGTGCGGACATCAACCGGCGGGACGCGCTCGGGGACGCGAACGACGTGGCGGGCTCGCGCCAGGCGAACCTGCAGGCGAAGAAGAAGCTCGCGGGCGTCCTCACGCGCGTGTCCGCGCTCGAGGACGGGCTCAGGGCGCTCGGGCTGGGGGGCATGAGCGAGGGCGAGCTCCAGAGACGGACGGACATGGTGGCGCGCTTGAGGGACGACTGCGAGAAGCTGGCGAAGATCGTTACGGCCGCACGCACGACGTCGAGGGGGATGGGGAGTGCGGCGGAGCGCAATCCTGCATTGGAGACGGACCGCGAGGCGTTGCTTGGGCCGTCGGGAGGTGGGAGCGGCATGCCTGGAGGATTCAACAGGCCGGTTGCACGCGTCTTCGGTCAGAAGGCTCAGCCTGTGGAGACGGAGGAAACGCATCCGCTAGACGACCAAGGGCTCTTGCAACTTCACCAGACGAAGATAGACCAGCAAGACGCACAATTAGCTCAACTGTCGACCATTCTTCAACGGCAAAAAGGCATCGGTCTTGCCATCCACCAGGAGATTAATGAACAGAACGAAATGTTGGATGGCCTCACTTCGGACGTAGACCATGTTGGAGCCAAGCTCACGAAGGCGAAGAGAGAAATGAACAAACTAGGTTGATACAGTCGTTTATCTTGGTTCTTTTCACTCTGGTATTACACTCGCTGCATTGCTTTCCGGGGGATACTAATTGCATGTATGACAGTATTATGCGATATTAGAGTTATACTAAGTACGAATCCATCATGAGTCCCTATGTCTACGATCCTTCGACAAATGTCGCCCGACACCCTGGTAGACGTGCATGTGAGCATGGGAAAAACGTCAGTGGCCGGCTAGACACCTACCTCGAAGCAAGCAATCATAATACCGCACGCCGGTGCGATTTTCGATATGCGCGGCACAATACCCGCATAAAGCGCCGCAACGCCCTCTGTTCGGAGGATCTCGGCAGTCAAAGCTATTGTCGATGTCGTCGAAGTAGTCGCCGACAGTAGCAGAGCTTGTCTGCGTGTTTTCAGGACATCGAATGGCGATGTAATGAGCGCTGCAGCGGTCCCGCTGACGGCACCACTGACAAATGCGACGCCTGCGCCCTCGTATCCAAGCCTGCCTAGCCTGTGCTTTGATAGTTCGTAGCCGGCCCAGTAGAGACCGCTGAAGGGCACGTCGCGCCAGAGCGTGGGACCAAGGCCGCGCCAGAGGTAATGCCAGCCTTGGGATTGGGCTAGGCTACGGACGGATGCGAGAACAGAGCGGAGGGTGTGTGGGTGGTCGGGCGACGGCGGTGTTGACTGGAGGTTCGTTCGAACGAGTTCGAGGGGAGACATGAGTGACGTGATGGTCGTTCGTGCAAGGATACCGGCGGTGAGAGGGACAATCGAGGAGGGCAGTAGTGGAGGTAGCGTGTCGTTGAGTAGATGATCATACGTCAACATGTAGCATGTTGACGAGGGGATACCAATGAGCCTGTTTTTCGTCAGATGAGAGAGACGGTGAGAACGAGCGAGTTGACACAGGAGGCCAATACTCACAGTGACGTCCCCGCGCCCTTCCACAGGCCTGCGATGCCCTCAGCTCGCCATACATGCCTGGTAGCATCGAAGAAGCCGTTCACCCTCTCCGTCTTGTAGACGCCATGGTCCCAGATGCAGACAACCTCGCCTTCCACGGCACTCACTAGGGATGACATGTTGCGAATGCACGACGCTGGTGTCGCTTGGCAACACGCACCTGGCGGTGGATTCGGGAAGAGACGTGGTGGCCGTGGTGGTGGCTGCGTCTGCAGACGCGTTTTAACAACATCAAAAGGGGTCACTGTACGAAGGATCTAATTAGCGGGTCTCTCACATAGTTCCAGCGAACGTAGCGCTTACTGGTCAGCGCAGTGACCATGGACCCGGTTGCAGCAGCGATGAGCTTTGCATGAAAGAGTTCCATGCTCGCTGTCTAGCAGGCGAAATGGGAGAGAATAGGCACAAAGGCCTGAGAGAAGGAACGAGTCACAGCTGATGTAAAAACCAGCGTCGCGTTTCCCCCAGGCCTCCCTGTGCTCGGATCAGCGGCAGCCCCCTGCCGAGCCCCTCAAGCCAGCGCTCCGGCCACCTCCCAGTCAGGGGACAGGCTCGCCGTGACTGCGCGAAGTGTGCCCCGCCTCATTCTACGTGGTTTCAGAGCTACAGGACACACAATATTCTGCATGGAATGCTTCCCATGCAGATTCCTGCTGTGTGCGGGTGCTTCCAGCAGTGGACCAGAGTCGGGCAATGTCCTCGGTGTGGTATAGCTGGGGCTCGGCCGGGGTTTTCCGGTGATCCGAGCACATCCCCGGGCGCGGGGACTGCGACGCTGGTTTTTACATCAGCTGCAAGCGACTCGCACGGCCGTCTGAAGTGGTCGGGATGATCGGAGGTAACAGCGCCAGCCGCGCCGAATAGATGCGTCATTCTCTCCTCTTCCTTATCTGATAACGATTAAGTCCCGTGGTCTCAAAATAGACGCCCTAGATGAGCGCACAGCCATCATCACGCGGGGTCCGGCGGAGGGCTCAAGCTCAAACTCAAGCTTTACACGTCAAATCAATCGAGGATGTTCGGTGGCATGGAATATAGCCTATGGATTATCGACAGTGTCGGCAGTTTAGGTACAAAGCAGCCTATAATAAAAATGCGATGATAACCCATGACGTGCAGAGATGAGGATAAGAGTAATTGGTAAGGAGCGAACGGCCGACACTAGGAACACAGGTCTGCAAAGTGAGTGGGTGAGCGATACAGTATTGAACGAGCGTGCGCATGGTGCCGATGCGGCAAGGACATGGGGTAGAGGCAGATGGTGCGGAGGGAGTAGTAAAACAGGAGCGGGTTCGTATGCGTATTGATCAGATAACTAAATATGAAGATGGGCCGCGGATCAAGCTTTCGACGCAGGTATGTGGAGATTGATAGCTGCAAGGAGAGGTCAGGAAGACGTTGCCGTAAACACAGAGCACGTTACGTACCCCGGAACCACGTCAGCGCGTCGGAAGTAGACGGGGCGTCGAAATATAGAATCGCCTTGTTGTCAACCAAGCGAAGAGCTGTGTACCAGTGCAGCCGTTAGCAACCCGTAAGAGTGTGTCCATGACGACTTGTACTCACTGTTACCATGCACAATACTTGCTGGTTGCGGAAGCGTCTGCATCCGGAGCACAGCCCAGAGATCAACATTGGATGTAGGGTCCTGCCCTTCTGAAGGGTCCCTGCAGAGCACCAGCAAGTCATTGCACAAGATGCCAACCAGGGACCTTGGGGTCAACTCAGGCGATAAGCACTCGACCTCGACCGAGGCGGCGTCCCCCTGCGGATTGATGACCTCGAAGGCCACCGTCGCCTTCCTGACCACACGCGTGAGCTGCAGTGCGCCATCCATGATGAGACGTCTGTGCATATGATTTAGTACATACGTTCGAAGAGAGAAACCATAGATAAATACGCACCGATGCGGCTGCACCAGCGGGCTGGGGAACTTCCCGCGTATCCTCGATTGCCACTGGACAAGCCGACGCCGTGACTCCGATTCTCGCTTGCCCTCGTTCATGTTGGTGGCGAGGGAGGCGATCTCTGTCAACGCGCGCTCAATAGGATCGTCCATGTACTCGTACATCGGAGGACTGCTTCGGACGAGTTCTTCGAGCTGTCGGTTCGTGTGAGCAGACGCGATATACGGCGAGACCGACCGCGGCGCTTACCAGAAGCCTGTAACGAGGGATACGCTGAACGGGGAGGAGAAGATAACCTTCCAGGTTAAGCTGCGAGTGCCTGGGGTTCATTCGGCACCGCTTCAGGTACGCCTTAATCCGCTTTCGTTGGCTCGACGTGAGATGAACGACGTTCGTATCCCGTCCACCGTCCGCAGATCCTGCATGACCTAAGCCCGCCGCTATGTTCAAGCTGTGACCTACAAGCTGTGCGCTGCTGGAGGACGGTGACAAGGCGGCAGCAGCGGCCGGAGTCGTCGGCCTGTCAGACACCCACGACTTGATGCGCTGTACCGAGTTGTCGAAATTGCTACATTCGAAAGTCAGATTGTCACCGGAATCGGGAACGCCGGGCACCTACTTGATGTATGTCGAGTACATCTTCATGAACGCAGCATGTGAAACGAAAGTATTCGCCACATCCCGCGCCACATCCAATGACTTCTGTGCATCGACTTCACCTTGCGCGTTCAAGAGGGAGGCAGCAGCACGCTCAAGGGCCGGCAGGAAGCTCTCCCTGTGGAAGTAGAAAAGCGCCTCAAGACCGCTGAACACGATCTTGCGCTCCTGTGCAGGGACCACAGTGTCTTTGCTCTGCCCAACGCCACCGAGAACATTGACGGTGGCAGCGGCGGGCTTGATGTAGATGTCAACGAGCTCTTGGAGACCACTGACGTACGTGCGTTCCGTCCTGTAATTGATCAATGTTCAGTGACTGACCGGTATGGCTGACACGGCCGACCGCGCTATATAAGCCATACGCACTCGACTATCTCGCGGATAACCCTAGCACGTTTAGCCTTGTCGTCCTTGTGCTTGCGCTCCTCGCCGCCACCCGAGCCTCCGCTATCCGTCGTCGCCACACTATCCGTTTGCGTCGTGTTGCCGGTCCGAGCGATTGTATGCCGACCCTCGGTCGACCTCAGGTTGACAGACTCCGGTCGAGAGGGCGGAGCGCTCAAGGACACGGATGACATCGACATCTCCGAAGGCATACGAGCGCCGTCGACCAATGTCGGTCGGCGCGAGCGCGCCTGAGGAGAGTCGGACTGTGGGATGCCGCCGTACAGGGACAGGGTCTGGCTTTGGGACTGACTAAGATCGTGCATATCCCGGAGGTAGGACATGACAGATCGCAACGCACGAATGCGTGCTTCCCTCGCACGTTCCTCCTCACGACGCTGAAGCTCCTCATAAGACTCGATGTGCACAGGGCTAGGCGCAGGGAGATCTTCGGTGGATTCTTCCGTGCCATCCGTGGCGGTGACGCCAGGAACGAACTCGGAGGCATTGGGAATGGGGATAGGCGTCATGTCAATGGGAAGGAAACTTCTGCGTTTGTTTGCACGGGAGGTCGGCCCAGATGGTGGCACGAGAAGGCTGTTGCCGGCGTTGTTGGGTGCGAGCTTGGCGGCCTCGTTAGAGGTCTTCTTTAACTGGTCCAGGGGTGAGATTTTGAGCAGGTCCGCTGAGGCCTTACGAGAGAGGCTGGGCGGCATCTCCGGCTGCTCCTGCAGAGGAGCACCAGTGATGGAGATAGGAGCATCACCAGCAGGGATACTAGCCAGTTGCTGGTGTTGAGAATATTGTGCCGAGGGAGGCTGTCGCATCTGCCCGCCATGCATGGAAGTCCGAGACATGTGCGGTGAATCTGGACGAATCTTGCCCATCGACATTTTCTTGAGGAAACCCCAGCGACTGCTCTTCTCCTTGTCACCCGAACGCGGTCGTGGAGGCAGAGCATGGTCCATCGGAACGGGGCCTTCCTGCGGGAAGGCCAATTTGTTCATGGGCAGCGGTGGAACGGGCTCTGCCCCAGTGTCCTCCGTAGGGCTATCCCAGATGCTGCTGTCCACCGTTCGCCGCGAACGACTACTGATAGTAGGCGACACGGCACCTGAGGCACCTGAGGCACCTGCAGCAACACCGAGACTCGCGAACCTCCGCGGAACGTCACCTTGGGCGTCCGCAGCCACGTTGAGCAGATTGGAGCTCGACGCAGAGGTTACGTACTCCGTGAGCGCGGCGCGCTGGGGAGATGAGGAGACTGATGTTGAGGGTCCGCGGACAGAGCCGCCGTAATTCCTACGCAGCTCTCCCGCGGACTTCATCTTCCTAACTTCCCTATCAGAGTCGGGCGCGCCCCTGGAAGGCGCGTTCGAGGGACCAGCTTCGCTAAACATCGACTTCGGGCCATGGGAGCTGGTGCGGCTTTTGTCGAAATAGGCGCGGTTGGGCGTGGTTCTCGTGCGAGACAGACCGGGGGAAGCAAGATGAGTGCTAGTTTGCGGGGTGGGTGCGGTGATGGACCGCGCGAGATTGGGCGCACGAGGAGACGTCACCGTGAGGTCCTCGTCTCCGTGTGTGGCGCGGTCGGCAGAAGTAAGGGTTTCCGGCGTGTCTTCCGTTTCCGTAGTTGTGGAAGTCATGGTGCTCCTGATGCCAGCTGATAGCGGAGGGAACATCGGTGTGGAAGGCTGGTAGGTAGGCGACAGTGGCCCGCGGGATAGCAACGGCTCCATGAGAGCTTTCCAAGGGCCCTGGAACGGATTCCCATCGACGAGGAGTGTCTCCAAGGAGGGCAACACACACAACCAGCTAGGCAAAGAATGCATCTTGTTCCGCCGGATGCTTAGTGTGTGAAGTCGCTCGAGCGCCGCGAGGTTGGCCGGAAGCGTGCTGAGACCTGTTGAGTCGACGATGAGAACCCGGAGGTTTGTCAGCGTCGACAGGAACGTCGGCAGAGCACGGAGGGGATTGGAAGCTATATTCAGCTCCTCGAGATTGATGCATTGAGCAAGGGTAGGTGGAAGGGCACTGAGGAAGTTGGCGGAGATGTCGAGGGCGAGCAAAGAAGAGCATATCCCAGGCAGTATAGACGTGAGGAACATGGGTACGGCGTTTGGAGTTGGAGAAGACCCGATGAGCAGATGTGTCGTCCCTTCACACCATACCTTCGTCAATTCAAATATCAGACACGAGTGCGAAACGAAGCGCACCTGGAGCGACGTGCAGCCGCACGATGGCAGTGTCATCTCCTCTAACAATGACACCGCGCCCTTCCTCGGCCATGACTGCGGCACTAGTAGGCTCCTCCTCAACCTCGTCTTCGTCTTCATCCTCCTCACCGTCATCAAAAGATGGGTCCTCATCCGTATCCTCATCACTTCCAAGTCCAGCTTCGTCGCGTTCGTCCGGCTGTTGCCAACCAAGGTCAAAGCTAGGAGAACTCCGCAGCTGAGGCGGGATGGCCTTCTCGTGCATCGAATTAGGCTTGCTGCTGTTCGCAAGCGACGAAGAACGAGAGCGGATGCTGTTCTGGTAGAAGTCCGACCAACGTGTCTGATCGACCGGAGTCCTACCTGCAGTTGTCCGGGAAGCTCCTGCATCCTTTGAAAGCTGGACAACATCGTCGGTTGTGATACCGACTCCAACACCCTTTCCGGACTCGTCGTCTCCCAAGGCCACATGGACATGACCGTAGTCACCTGACTTGGCCGATCCAGTGTACCCCGACGACCGCGTCGATGCGGACGCAGAGTCTGTAGTTGAGAGCGCGGGAGTGCTAGAACCGACTTGCCACCGCGGTATTCTGCGGTACGGATACGGGTCAGGGAATTGAGAGGGGTCGGGAAGAGCGGTGACTGACGTCGAGCGCTGGGAGGAGTGGGAGTAGCTGGAATCGGATAGAGTACCCTCTTCATCGTTACTGCCGTTAAATGCGGTGTAGCCGAGGGCGGACAGTGATTGGGAGTTCATCACGGGAGGCGGAGACAACACAGAGGTAGGGGAACCCGCGACAGGGTAAGTGCTGGAGGGGGATGCGGGGCCAGGCGAATGCGGGTAGTAGTCCGAGCTCCAGTCATCTTGAGGGCCGACCTTGGACGGCGTTGGAGCGCGAGGTCTTGCGAGCATGGCAGCTTTGCCAGGGGAGAATGGAGAAGGAGGGGAGAGGGCGGAGAAGTGGTGATAGTCTAACTCTGGGGAGCAACTGTATCAGCTGCTGTAAAGACAGACTCGGAAGAGAGGCCAGGAAAGACCGTGGGGTCGGGGCGCGCGTGGAGGCAGTCGCCAGGGCGAGTGAGGAAGCCGGCAAGGACGAGGACGGGAGGAAGGAATGGCGGTCGGAGGACAACACGGACGGACTGCCTGCGATTACGGTACCGGGCAAGCTTCTCTTGGACGCATTTTACCAGGCCCCATTCTGGGCCTGCGGACCGTCCATCTCACGCAGCGTAGAACGGAACACTCACCGTGACCAGACCTCCTGCCCCTTACATGTTTCTCCTCGACGTCCGCCCAGAGGCCCAGCACCGGGCTGTCTACGTCGCCGTCGTCAAGGTCGGGCAGCCGAGGGCGAGACTTGTAAGACAAGAGATCATCTTCGATTCCTGAGCCTGGCATACGGCGCTGAATTGCTGGCTGTCGGTGGAACTGACAGGGAGGTCGTAATGGGCGTCCAGAATAATGTGCAGGAGGAGGGGACGACGTGAAGACGGGGCGTAGCTCTGCCTCTGGTCGGAGATGTCGTCGCTAACAGCAGTAACCGCTCTCCCATGAGGCTCCCATGCCCAGCATATCCTTCGTTGGAATCATCCATCACTGCACCCCCGTTCGCCATCATTGTATCATCCAGGTACAGCAACTCCCCCCCTCATATTTAAAGCCTTCTCATATCCTGCTAATAGAAGAACCTGCCCGGCCTCTTATCCCCAACAATAATAGCGCGGTGCTAGTGCTAGTGTCCACCGTCCTCAACAGTATAGCTGAATATATGCGTTGACCCACTGCTCCCGCCCCCTCCGGATTTCCGCCATCACAGGCTGCAGTTGACCTATGAATCCATCACCATAAGCGAGACCCCACCGCACGTCAGGATGCGACGCCACGGTTAGGGATGGAAGTACAGAAGATACCGCCCAACCCAGCAAGGAATCTGCAAGAACGCTTCTGTCTCCGCTGTGCTCGCGCGATCATTTCCCCTCCCTCCCGTTCACCTTGCTACCCTCTAACCATTCACCCTGCTACTGCGCGCTGCGGAATGAGGTAGACGAAGTGAAAAAATGGTTTGATATAGCCGACCGTCGGCGGCGATTACACAGGTCATCCCGTAACATGCATATGCGCCATACCGCCGCCATGAGCGTTATCAAGACGCTTCGCGCCCTCTCCAGCGGAAAAACTTCTCGCGCATGGACCAAGGAACCATGACACATAAGAGCATAATCTGGCACCTGCCCCGCACGTATCAGCGGAGCACATCATGATAATCATGTCATGTCAAACGACATCCGTACTGTAGCAGCTGCGTCTCGTAGGGGGATCAAGTCTTCACATCACCAACCGCCTCCCGCAGACTCGGCGCAGAGCTCTGCAGCACTGCGCCATCGATGCATGCCTGAGACCTCTCCGCGCCAGGAGGCGTTTCCGACATGCGCTATGTGTGACCTGCGCTGCGACTGTGCGTCACGTATAGCGTGGCTCAGACCGAGGCAATGTCGGAGACAGTCTCGACCCGTCTTGAATCACAAGCGAGGTACCACGACAATGCAAGTCTCGAGCAGATGCATGACGTCCAAAGTCTCATATCAGCACACATACTGTTACATCTTCCTTGACATTTGAATCCGACAATCGTACGGGAAGGCACGCTCGGCACGATGCAGTGGTCGCCGTGGGCACCACGTGGTATGATACATCCGTACCTATTGACCAACTGTCGTTTTGAGTTGCAATACAATAGCCGCAGACTCCACATTGAATATGTCACCGGTAGGATCGACCGGTGGCACACTGTGTCCGATCGCGATTCCAGCCTGACCTGAGCCACTGTATGATCACGGCCTTGCTCATCCGACCAAAACCGTGTTGTATGCGAATCAGATTGATTGTCTAAGGTGTGAACAACATGGGACAGCGATGGGACACGGGGAGGCACGAGGGTATCAGGATGGCTCGGGTCAAGATATGTTTGAGATGGGACACGGCGTCCCATAGTTGACAGATCCCGTTATGTGAACATAAACAGAGAACATGCGGCTGCAATGCACTTTTCTCGAAGTGTTCCGACCGGGCGAAATAGCGAGACGTCCACGTCTCGGGACGGACCTACCGTAGACACAGCACCCAGATTTGTTTGTCTCTGTGTAACCCCTCTGCGACGAAGAATATCTAGGAAACACGCAACCAGCACGCCTTGTCCTGCCGCGTTGGAGCGCTATGGGTCCATATGTACGGCGGACGAATTTGAAGGCACGAGGCGGGACCATCCACACCGTGGCTGCTCTACCCACTCCGTCCGCCCACGTCTTCTTTCGCGGCGTTTACGGCAGCCGCACGGGCACACATGGAAACGTTCCCAAGAGGATAAGACGGGATCCTCCTATATAATCGGTTGTCCAGGATATACAGATCCCTATATATATCTACAGTACAGTAAATGACAGCATTGCACGAGTATGCGCGTCAATGCGTATGTGCATGATGGGGCATTACAACAGATCCCAAGTATTACAGCAGCAGGTTGGATAGATATCGGTCGTCGGACGACGTTTTACATCTGAAGGGACCCCAGTCAGCGGAAAGGCCCGGATCGCACCGCAGACGGAGCACTCACCAGCCAAGACCAGAAACGCTCAACCCAGTTCCTCGGAGGGGGCTCGTCGTAGGTATCAGCCTCGATCTCCTTCAGACCGCTCACGAAGTCCATCTCTTCGAGCCTCACGAGCGGTGTGCGGAAGTAGATCTTCGCGCCAATATAGAGGATAGGGAACAGCACGAAGGGGAGATAGTTCGTGACGAAAGTAGCGGTGTCCCAGTTACCCTTCAGGAACACAGCCCAGCCCGAAAACTGCCAACCAAAAGCGCGTAATGAGTCAGCAAACTGTATGCAGCAACTTGTGTCTCAAAGGACTTACGAAGCAGATGATGAGGCACATGATGAGAGCGTACCACGCAGCGAATGGCTGCAGGAAATGCGCATACGGGAGCGTTGAACGATCAAAGCCTTGAAGCTTGAACCCCCGGTAGAAGCGGATATACGTGAGGGAAATTCCGAACCAAGTCATCAATCCGGCGATAGAGGTCACTATGACGGCAGTCCGTCAATGTGATTATCCAGCCATAGAAGCAGACGTTGACTTACTGTTGACGAACCAATTGAAGACCTTGCCGGCCCCAGTGGAGACACCCATGTACGCAAGACAGGAGAAGAGTGCACAGAAGATGAGAGAAACGATGGGAAGACCGCCACGTGTAACCTTGGTGAAGAACCTGGGAGCGTTGCCGGCAAGAGCAAGACCGTCTGCGATGATATCAGTCAAATGGCCCCCGTTCCGAGAGGTAGCTGGAAACGTACATAGTGCACGGGAAGAAGTGTACAAGTCACTAGACGCAGCCGACCAAGCCGAAGTCAAGAGTGCGGCGTTGATAACGGATGGTAGACCCTTTATGCCCGCATTCTTGATGGCGATGACAAAAGGCGACTTAGCGGCGTTGGACGCACCGATACCGAGATTTTTGGTATTCGAGGGAACGAGAAGGCCAATTACGATGACGCCACCAATGTAGAAAAGTAGGATACGGATGTAAACCCGCTTGATCGCCTTTGGCAAGTTGCGACGAGGGTTCTTCGCCTCGCCAGCAGCAATCTATGAAGATGTCAGTATTTCCTCTAGAATGGCCGCAAAAGATATATCTGGTGCGAGACTTACAGCAACAATCTCAGTGCCGATGAACGAGAATGCGGCTTGCGTCAAGACAGCTACAAAGCCAAGGAACCGGCCCTCCGCACCAGCGATGTTATCGTACTGAACGAATGGACCAGGATGCTTCCAGTACCGGAAACCGAGGCGATCATGGTTCGGGCCGCCGCCAAGATCGAGGACGATACCAAGGATGATCAAACCAACGATAGTGATGACCTTGATTGAACTACAGGATTGTAGGTCGATTAATTGCGAACTGGATACCGTGCGTGACTGCAGTACTTACGCGAAGATAAACTCAGCCTCTCCGTACGCGCCGGCGCCGAACATGTTGATGGTGATTACGACGACGAGACACATTGTGATCCATGCCGCATTGTTGACCTTCGAATCCCAGAAGTCAATGAGGATGGCGGCCGCACTTAGCTCCGCGGGCAAGATGATTGTCCAGTTGTACCCTGACTGGAAGTTAGACATCCCGTCACGAGGACAGCGGATTATGTGGTGACACACAGTAATTCCATCCCTACCAGGTTGACCAATTCGACAACTGTCAGCACCGTGACAAGCGCAGAACTTTCATAAGAGATTGCTCACCATCGTGAATGAGAAAGCAGGATCCACGAAGCGTTCAGCCAGCTTGATGTGTCCACCAGGAATAGGAAGGAAAGCAATCATTTCTCCGAGGGAGATCTGCAAGGGCCATAGCGCAATGGAGGAGCGGGGTCAGATACGGAGTGCGGACGGTATCTCAAGTGCTCAAGACACACCATGACGCTATAGCAGACCGTGCCGACGACCAGGAAACCGAGCAAGAGGCCGATAGGCCCGCCCTGTGCCAGTGAAGAAGCCGTACCCAAGAACAACCCAGTACCGATGACACCTGCAAGATAGCGGAGGTTGGACTCTACAATTGTCTGAGGATGCCGGTGCTGTACGTACCACCGATACTAGCAAGTCGCAGAGACCGCGATCAGCATCTGATGTCTAGAAACGAAAATACAACGGGAAAGCAGTACACGCACCTAATCATAGCGATATGCCTGTTCTTGAGCTGACGCTTCAAAGTGCCCTCCGCGTGAACTGAGCCCGTGTGCGACTCAGAGTCGTAGTCCAGACGCTTCTCCACGATAGTCTGGTTCACGACGGGCGAGCCATCGTCCTTGTCTCCGATACCCATGTTGGCGGGTGGCAGTAAAAGACCGACGGAAGACGGTACGGGGGAGGAAGATGGAGGAGGTGATGCAACAGGTGGTGAACCTTGTCTTCCAAGTGCTTCTTTCCCAGCCCCGGGTTATATAGCCCCACACCCGTGGGCCTCCGAGTGCCTAGCAAGCGCTCTGGTGACCGTTCTCCGTCGCCGTAGGCGGGCGATAAGTACGCGGCTGCACATTTATCCCGATACCGCCACTCCCTGCACACTCGAGATTGTCCTCTCTCCTCTTAGCCAAAGATATTTTCCGGCACTTTTCTCCCCATTCTTAGGCCCTCGTTGTGGGGCAATGCTGTCAGCTGTCACGGCTCCAAGAAGAGCCAGAAGGAGATAGGGAGGCTCTCCAAGGCATATCGGTCTCAAATCTGTCCCGAATATTTTGGGCGGCAAAATCCTGACATGCCCGTAAACGATCGCGCTGCACATATGATAAAGTCTAGCCGATGCGGGGTAGCATCACGCGCAACTTCCCACCGTATCTGGCTTATCGAGGCTAACCGACTTCCTGATGCACATAGGCGAGTGCGTCCTACTCATGTCCTGCTGTCGCGCATCTTCGAAACCAGGACAACACCGTCCTTGTCATCAGTACGATCAACGGTCGCTGTTGTCCGGTCGATACGTTGTGCGCAGGGAGGACAAGCTCGTCTGGGCTGCCGCAAGAGTGTGCGAGATCGTACGTGGCTTGACAGTTCTTGACAGGCCCCCAGCCAGTCGCGATCAGTGCATATGGCGACCGCCCATACTTGGGACCCCATTCACTTCCGATGACGGGCGTCTTCCCTATCACGCTACAATAGCCACCGCCCTTTCTGTCCATATCTGGCATACGTAGCAAGCGGCGTCCTCTCCCATCTCCCGCAAATGTCGGAACCCCACTCGATCAAGTCAGATATGTTCTCCTGCACAGCTCAGTCATCCTAGGAACCCACAGAGATCTGGAAGTTGTCTATAGAACTCCAGGACGGCTCATAGCCGCTCACACGACAGACACCAACCATCACTAATACTACTTAGGCCTAATCGTCAGGCACCGAAAGCGTCGATTACCAACTTTGAATCTGTTTTAAGGAACCCCTATCAGTCGTACCTATCGAAGTGCAATAGCCGAACCAGCCTCGCGGAACCTCTAGCCACATTACATCAAGCGGTCAGCCACAAAGTCTGTAAGCTACCAGACGGAAGCAGACGAAAGAGCTCGAAAGAGCTCCATGCGTAAGTACAGTACATGCACACAGAAGTACTCGATCGAAAGCGTTTCTCGCAGGCTCACGGGCGTCCCATGGCCTCCTTCAGCCACCTATACACATCAGTGTCCATCTTGTACGGCATCTCCTCGTCCGCGTCAGCAAGCGCGAGCAAATTTTCATGCGGCGTGAGACTAGGATCCCAGGCGAACAGCATCCCCTCCACCTGCCGCGCTTCGAGGTCGTCCATTTCCGCAGGGGTCAGGCGAACAGACGGAGCACGGGTCGTACGTCCTGTCATGGAGCCAAGGATAGAGGTATGCGGATGGAGGTAATCCTGTGCTTCACCTTCATCGACCGTGGCGTACGGAGGTTCCTGACGTGTGAGAAGATAATCGGAGGTGCTCGTTCTAGGGTCGCGACACAGTGCGGACGGCCCAGCCTCAGGCGCGGACGCCCTAGACGGACTACGTCCCGGAACTCGTCCGGGACGAGGGATTAGCCCGCATTGCTTCATGAGCGGTGTTGACAGTACCTCCTCCTCTGTGTGCTGTGGCCAAGCGTTGAGGTCATAGCAAACGGTTCTGCGAGGTGACGTCGCCTTCAAAATACCGCGCGAAGGATTCGGCATGTCACGATGACGAGGACGGGCCAGCGGCTCGGTCAGGCGACCACCCGTCTCGTACTGCGCGTCCTTCATCGCCTCTCCCTCAGATATGTCCTCGTAGTCCCACGGCATGCAATGCGAAACGTCGGCATCCCATCGGATAGTCTGATCCTTCTCTAGAGCCTCCTCCCATGCCGCAGTGAGAACGATCCACTTAGGTGAAGAGTCAACTCGTCTCCTTTTTGAAGGCCTTCGCTCGTTCCCACCTTCGTCCTCCATATCTTCCGCTTGACGCTTCAGGGTGCCGAGCGATATGCTCACACCTCTCGGTAACGGACGCTTGTAGCCAGGCGGGGTGAGGCTATATTCGCTCTCATCGCCACGCCAATATGGCAGCCCCAGCTGACCGCACGTTATCGCGTTTGCGTTGCGGATGTAGGCGGCGCGATAAGAAGACATAATCATCTCTGTGGGAGGGTGAGGGACGTAGTACCCGCGAGGACCATCGTACGGTTCGGAGGCGAAGTCGCGGACCTTGACTAGCGGAGGGGTGGCGGACGCAGCAGACGCCCTAGGTAGCTCGGACGTAGCACAAGAGTAGCACTGAGTAGTATCTAAGTAGATGCACAGTTAGCTGAAGTTTCGCGAAAGCGACGATGGCAACTTACGTTCCCATGTTGGGCCGGGGACAGGAGGTATATCAGACTCGGCGACACCCACTCGCGGACGCTTCGCGGGAGGCGCTCCGTGTAGAGTGCGGAGAGTTGACGCCTTGCGTTTTTGCCAGCTTCTCGATAACGAAGGATCGGTGGAAGGTGAGGCTCTGTTTCGGATAGGGAGCGGAGAAGTGGGGGACAAGACGAGGAGCGGGGAGACCACCTCAAGTGCACGCTGTTTCTCGAGGCCGACGACGGCTGCTTGGAATGCGGACACCGCCTCCGCGTACGTCTCAGGTGTCCCACCGGGAACGAGCCAACGTCTCGAAGGCTGCTCGTACTCCCGGATCCATTCCTCCCACATCCTAGGTAAAAGTGCGCGCCGGTCACCCTTGTCCATCAAGCGAAGCTCGTAGTCTTGTGCCGTGCCGTAGTTGAGGATGAACCTGACTCTCCGCATCTCAAGCGCCATTTCCCTCTCGCTACACCCCTTCAGTCCGATCTCCGGTATTGGTCGAGTGGTACGGGCCATCGAGAAGTTCACGAGGTTGACGCGACTATCGCCGCCGATGAAGATGTTTTTCTTTTCGACCGCCCCGTGCAGTACACCAGCTCGATGTAGCTTGGCATACGCCTCGACAACACGCTGCTTGAGCGCGTCGGACATGGAGGGAGAGGCCTCGACCCAGAAAGAGTGATGGGGCACTTCCATGAAGAGCTGAATCACGTCGTGGGTGTTGTAGAGGTTGATTATCCATGGTACGACAACACCTTGGAGAGGACGGAGATAGCTGTCGGAGGAGAGCAGCTTGAACTACAGTCCAGAGTGTGAGCAGCGATCTTTCTCGTGTCCCTCATTGGGCCATGACGCACCTCCCGAAGAAAGCTGGATCTTGTCTCGTTGCGAGGCCAACTACATGTGGGTCGTTTCAGTAGATGTTCGCCGCCACCGCCACGACTAAGATGCACGCCTACCTCCTACACAACACGTTCATCGGCTGCCCGCCAATCACTGCAGACATTAGGGCTGACGTCCAGCCCCCGCGCCTGAGGTCGGCGACTTTGTCCGACCCATAGTCAGCTCCGCTATATTGGCACACCAGGACAGAACTCACCTTCGAGGTGGGCCAACGAACGCAATTTTCCAGCAGGCTGACCGGCAGCCCAAGCGTACTTTCCGTGCGGGATGTAGGCAACCTCGTAGTAAGTCTCCGGAGCTACGTCCGCCTCTGAGTCTGACAAGTCTGCCTCATTCCGTTCGTCCTCCGAAGCCGGACGAACTGGACGAGGGCTCAAGTGGAACGAGGAGTTTTTGTGAGGCCGGATCCAAAGTTTGGGAGACAGCGGCGGTGGCAGGTCTACATACGGCTGGGACAAGAGCTCAGACAGCCCGGTTTCATCACTTGCGCGAGTGATTGGACGGACAGTGGCGTCGTCGCCGCTCACGCCACGAAACTCATGGTGACGAATACGGCCTCTATGGGGAGCGATGATTTGGCGCAGTTGGTCCCAGTCGATGGTTTCCGTGTTCATTCTAGCAAGCTTGACGCAGGAAGGCTCACCACCAGAGAAGGATCCATCGCCTTCATGACCGTCAATGATGCTGAATGTGGGGGAGAGCTCACGAACGGGAGAAGGTGAGCGCGATGGCGGCGTAGGAGAGCAATGTTTCTCCTTTCTTTCCAGGGGCAATGGTCGAGGAACGGTATGGCGTGGGGGTACAACTGTTGGAGCCATTATGGCGATGCGATGGTAGAGGTTGAGCGTCGGGATGCACAGTACGAATATGAGGAGAAGAGTGGCACGCTCATGTTGCTCTGCACATAGATTTCTAGCGAAGGCATGGCCTACGCACGCCCACAGAGGCTATAGGACTGCAGAGAACAACAAAGCCTTGTGATGGATTAGGGAAACCTGCAAGGACGTTACCACTCCCACCGTGGGCATATCACGATGGTTTGACCCTTCGATGTGCTAAAACCATGTGAATTATTATTGTCTAAATGAACTCCGCCTGAAGTAACTCAAGACCTGGTAGAAATATGCGGACTACTTAGTGACTGCTTGTGTCAAGCTCAGTACATCAAGGATGAACTGTTCAGAATGTTTTGTTGCAGACCTGGTATATATTCATGCGAAAATCATTCAGAATGCGGAGGGTATAGTGAGGTTCATTCACAAATGAACTCCGATATAATCTTTCCCATGGTTCAAGGGTTTCAATACAATGGGAGCTCAATGCTATCGGATTTTGGCTGACTAGATAAATACCATTCTATCACAGATCTGTCAACCATGCGAGATATTTAATCGGAGATCACCTGCGAATCACATTCAGTATATGTACCCTCCGCATTCTGAATAATTTCTGCATGGATATACACCAGGTCTCTAACAAAACATTCTGAACAGTTCATCTGTGATTGACCTATCCTTGAGCAGCCGGAAATTAGTCTGTACGGTTCTCCCATATCTCAGGTGACTGCAAGCGAATCTCATTTAAACAATTCTTTCCATGATTTTAGCGCACTGTAAGGTCGAACCATCATGATATGCCCATGGTGTCCGGCCGAGCGCCCTACCGTGCCCTTATTGTCGGCAGTTCCCGATGGGTACCCGGACCGCCAGATCAGACTCGGAGTCAGACCTGCCGTCTACCCCCTTCCCGCTTTCATCTGAACTCGCGGAATCTGCAGACCTCATGTAGGCCTCAAGCTTAGGAGAGATCCACGAGGACACGCCTTTTTGCTGATTGATTCTCTTGTCTTGTCACTTCGAATTGGGAGTATCCCTGAATTGAATTGGATGTTCGTACTACAGCCTGAGCTGTGCAACAATCCTTTCTGGTCTGTCAAACGCATATATATGCTATGGGATGGCTTCTGACCATGAACCTCACCGTTGACTGCTTCTCTCAGGTACACGTTTTGCATCCGGTCTCTCATGTGGACCAGGTTTCTCCGGTAGCGGAGCAGCTGTGCTCAGGATACCTAGACCTAGGCACAAGTGTGTCCTCTACGCATCACGTCAACTGACCAGACATCTCGTGCTCTCCATCGATGTCCTATTCTGCGGAATGTCATCACCGCCGTGACCTGCAATGTCGGCATACAGCATGCGTTCATGGCTTGAGCTTATGGGTATGCGGCGAAATGCTGCATGCCATGCGGGTTATACGGCAGCAGGTTTTGCGTGTCCGAAAGGCCTGAAGAGTTCTCAATTGTAACGCAGCAACGGGGTTTGTCCACTTTTCTATAGATCTCGAGATTGATCGTCTTGCGGCAATCTGTCTGCAATCCTAGGCTGCCAACCCGATCTATAGAATGGGTTAGACTTCGTTCAGAGGGAATTGGCACCGAGTGCCTCCTTGGTTGTCTCCATTGCGTCGGATTAAACCCCCCGTCGCCGCTTCTTCTCTGACCCTTCTGGATGCTGTTTAAGCTCCTAATCTCTGTGTTTTACATGTGCTACAGCTTCAGCGGAATCGCCCGGCATAATCTCGGTCATATTTGAGGTTATTGATCCTCGGAATATCTCCAGCACAAGACTGAGGTTCTTGCCAGAACTGCACGGAAATCTCTCGCGTCCATCGTGTACGGTTCACCTTTTGCAGCTGATTTCGCCTATTCTTCGGTTGCCGGTTGTCGTCATTCGCAATATACTCGGAGGCAGTAGCAATTGCTTCTTCTTGAAGTTCCCATATACTCCTCTGCGTCATGGACCGGGTATATAACATGAATCTCGACGTCTCGCATTCCTCCTCAAGCAACCTTGGCGCATCGCTCAGGCATGTTCCGCTCAACGGTCCTCACGGCTTTGTCTGTCTCCGCAGCGGTGACCTTCGTCGCCGCCGTCTCTTCCCAGACGTACACCTGGAAGAATGTCAAGATCGGCGGCGGCGGTGGCTTCGTTCCTAACATCGTCTTCAACCCGTCTCAGAAGGGCCTCGCCTTTGCTCGTACAGACATTGGTGGAGCATATAAGCTGAACTCCGACGACTCTTGGACCCCTCTGCTGGACTTCGCCGACGATGCTCGCTGGGATTATTGGGGTACCGATGCGATTGCAACGGATCCGGTTGACCCCAACCGTCTGTATCTGGTATGTCAAACATTCAGCATTGAGTGTCGTCTCGCTCACCTCATACCGGGTTCCAGGCAACTGGCATGTACACAAACTCGTGGGACCCCAGCAACGGGAACATCTTGATCTCCACTGACCAGGGGAAGACTTTCACTCCATCGCCTCTACCGTTCAAGGTCGGAGGGAACATGCCGGGCCGTGGTATGGGCGAGGTCCGTGCTTCCTTCGATGACGACTTCTGTCGGTATCTAAACCTTATAAAGCGCCTTGCTGTCGATCCGAACAGCAACAATATCCTGTACTTCGGTGCTCGGAGCGGACACGGCTTGTGGAAGTCGACCAATTTTGGCGCTACCTGGACTCAGGTCCAGAACTTCCCGAGTGTCGGTAAGCCGCGCACCGGAATACAGCGAGGATCATGACCTGATGTTCGTTTGCAGGTACTTATGTCCCCGATCCCACGGATACGACTGGGTACAACAACGACATCCAAGGACTGGCTTGGGTGACGTTCGATTCTACTTCCGCTTCCGGCAAGAACGGCACCGCGACGCCCCGTATATTCGTAGGTGTTGCGAACAAGGGTACTGATAACATCTTCGTTTCCAACGATGCTGGTTCGACTTGTAAGTCACAGCGCCTGATGGCGGACTCGTCCGACGATCTTGCTAACAGATCCTGCTAGGGGCCGCGGTTGCGGGGCAGAACAACACTTTCCTCCCCCACAAGGGAGTCCTTTCTGCCGCCGAGAACTCTCTTTACATATCGTACTCCGACGGTTCGGGCCCATACGACGGTACCGCGGTAAGCGACTTTGTCAAGCCAAGGAAGCTTTTGTTCTCATTCAGCGGGATAGGGGAGTGTCTGGAAGTACAACATCACTGCTGGAACTTGGAAAGACGTCACTCCAGTGTCTGGAAGCGACCTCTACTTCGGTTTCGGGTGTGTGAAGCGCATATATGCACCACTGCTCGTCCTAACTCTGCTCTCCTAGCGGTGTTGCGGTTGATGCCCAGCGCCCCGGCACCGTCATGGTCGCCGCCCTCAACTCATGGTGGCCTGATGGGCAGATCTTCCGTTCTGTCGACGGCGGTACTACTTGGACTGCTCTCTGGGCATGGGGAAATTATCCCACGCTGTACAAGTACTACACGTACGACGATACCCTTGCGCCTTGGATAGGCCCCGACGATACCAACACCGACGCTGGCACTCTCCAAATTGGCTGGATGATGGAAGGCTTGTCGATCGATCCGTTTGACTCCAACCACTGGCTCTACGGCACTGGCGAGACTATATATGGCGGCCACGACCTTCTCAAGTGGGACACCACTACGTCGCGTAACATTACCCTCAAGTCTCTCGCTGATGGTATAGAGGAGACATCAGTCCAAGGCCTGATCTCTCCCCCAACCGGGCCTCCCCTCATCTCAGCAATCGGTGATGTTGACGGTAAGAACTCATTCTTGCAAGCGTCACTCTGGATGTGCTCACTGAGTATCTGACAGGCTTCGTCCATAATGACCTCGACACCCCTCCCGCTGTATCGTTCTCGAACCCGTCGTACTCTAGCTCCTCGGACATCGACTACGCTGGAAACAGTCCCACTACCATTGTTCGCGTCGGGACCTCTACGGATGGCTCTCAAGGAAAGCAGGTTGCTATCTCAAACGATTCTGGTGCTACCTGGTACGAGTCAACGCAGCTCGCACACCGTGTAACCGCTTACCGGTTGCTTTCCTCAGGTCCCAGGACTACGGTGCAGCTGATGACGTCGCAGGCGGCAAGATCGCCGTCTCCGCAAACGGCGACACCATCCTTTGGAAGACGAGCGGAAGCGGGACTCTCGTTTCACAATACACCAACGCCTTCACCGCTGTCGCCTCGCTTCCCACCACTGCGGTCATTGCTTCTGACAAGAAGAACAACTCGATCTTCTATGGTGCCGATGGCTCTACGTTCTACGTATCCACCGACGGCGCGAAGACTTTCTCTAAGGCCGGGACTCTTGGCTCGTCGACCTCTCCCTTCCGCGTCATCGTTCACCCGAATGTCACCGGTGATATTTGGGTCTCCACAGACAAGGGTCTCTTCCACTCGACGGACACTGGTGCAACCTTCGCCGCCATCTCTGGCGTCTCGCAGGCATGGTCCATCGCTCTCGGTGCCCCCAAGACGGTCGGTGGGTATCCTGCCATCTTCGCGGCGGCGAACATCGGTGGCGTCGGATACTTCCGCTCCGACGACGCTGGCGTGAACTGGGTGCAGATAAACGACGCTGCTCACGGTTTCGGCTCTGCAAGTGCGAACGTCCTTGCTGCCGACCTTAGGACTTATGGACGGTGAACAATCTCGTGAGACTTCATTGAGCACTGTTCACTGACGTCGCCTCCAGTGTCTACATCGGAACGAATGGACGCGGTATCTTCTACGGCGATGCCTCTGGAGCGGACCCGGCCCCAACGGCCACAGCGTCCTCGACCACGGTTGCACCAACCACGACCTCTACTGTCAAAAGCACCGCCACGCCCTCCACGACGTCCGTTGTGTCTACCACAATTTCCGCAACGTCCTCCGCGCCGTCGTCCACGGCAACTGGAACAGCTCAGCTCTACGGACAATGTGGCGGTATCGGCTGGACGGGCCCGACGGTCTGCGCAAGTGCGTCTTGTTCTTCTTGTCTGCGTGATACTGACTACTAACGCGTAACATCGTGATAGCGGGAACCTGCGAGAAGCTGAACGATTGTGAGTCCCCTCATTTTTTTGCTTATTCCCATTGGCGCTGATATGGTACATAGACTATTCTCAATGCCTGTCGTCCTAGAAGGAGAAAATGCCAAGTTGAGCGAGTAGGAGAATGTTCGAGTCTTGTAACAAGATATGATGCAAGTCATATAGGGTTCAATGCAGTCGCCTTTCTTCGTTCTTCCACTCTTCCCAGACCTGACGGCCGCGTCGCATGATGACTTGGCCACGTGAAGTAACATATCCGCACGCACCTCGAAGAAACGGCGCCTCTCGCCAATCCTCACACCCCTGCAACTAGTAAGATCCAGCTTCTCCAAGTCCTTGCATGCATCAAGAAGGTGGAGCAATCCGACCTCTGTGGATGGCCACTTGGTCAAATAATGAGACGAAACGGGCCTATGTGCACATACTGGTGACCCTTGTTCCTGCGAGCTCGAGGGTCTTTAAGTTGGTACAAGCCGATAAATATGGTATCGCATTGTCATCCACTGGAGTATTGTTCAAGTTCAGATATTCTAGCCGAGGCGGTCCTTCCTCGGGTCCGTCAGGGGCTAACCCCTCCAAGTGGGACGGGCGAAGGTGAAGAATGCCGGACAGATTGAGATGCTGCATTTAGTTGTAAGCAGCTGGTGACAAGCATTGAGGAATACAGCACACTTACCGTGCACCTCCGACCCACTCTCCGGATGAATTGAGCAAGCGCCGCCCGGGGTCCCGGTCCAGCATTGAAGCCAATCCTTGTGTTCCAGACGAGACTAACACGTTCGAGTGCATGGCAATCTTCCAACGCATCGGTAATGGCGCGCAAAATGTCGTCTGTAATCGTTGTCCCTGACTCCTGAGATATCGTAGCCGTCGTAAATTCGTTGCCTCCCATGGCACCCAGCGATAGGACCTTTAACCCGGGAAGACCGGTCACGAGAGAAACGAGCTCGTTGCCAGAAACGTTCGTCGAGGTGAGCACTAGCTTTTCGAGCAACTTCCCGGACGGCAGCACGGGATGTTTGATTGGCGTGAAGGAGAGGTCTAGACGTCGGAGATTCGGACAAACTGCGAGTATGGGGTTGACACTCGCATCACCCACAGACGCCTGGCGTAGCTTGAACGAGCGTAAGTTAGGAAGCTGGAAGTCCCCGCTTGCTCTCAAGATACTCCACAGCTTTGCGCAAGCGTGATCCGTCTGTGCTGCCCGAGTCAATTATTGTCGATTCACGGGAGGCAAGGACCTACCCAGCTCACTATTCCCGCAACCTTCAGTACTTCCAGATGACTGCAGTTCTGGAGTAGAGGTGCCAAAGCCATGGCTGGGACCGCGGTATAATTGACATTCACAACCTCGAGCTGAGGACAATGATTTGCTGCAGAATGCGCCGTATCTGATCCGACCTTCGTACACCCTCTGTAGGATATCTGTAAACATGTGCTGCGTTAGAGATGGGGAAAGCGGCGCTACCTGAGGTTCAACTTCCGCAGAGACGGGAGCTTAGCCACCACTGATGCAAAGACGGAGTCTGCGATTTTCGAGAACCCTGTGAGCTCAAGCTCACGGAGCCTGTCCCTAGAGGGCATGTCCCCGATCGCAAACAAAGTAGAACGATTGACACCGGGAAGATCGCCACTTAGTACGACAGAAGATCCACGTAAGAAGTACTAATATACGAGAATTGAGGTCAACACATTCATGTACTGAAAGCTGAAGAAGACACACCGGAGCAATGAGAGCATGGGTGAGCAATGTCGGGCAAATCTGCCTACATGCTGCAAACACCTTCTGTACAAGAACGTCCGGGAGTTCTCTGAGAGAGTACTTTACGTCTTCCCATGTTTCCGGGTCACTAGACAGCTTCTGCATGTTTCCCGCAAAGGCACGGAGGCATATCGTCGCTAGAGAAGGTAAATGATCCGCAGCGTGCGGGTTGCGAATGGAGAAAGTAGACGTCGACGGGGCAGTAGATTGGGATTGGAATGTTGGAATGTCGTCATCGGCTTGTGATGCATTCGCCTTGCTCCGTTTGGCGGGCGGTCCGCCGATCTTTCGCGAGGATCTTTTGCGGCCCCCCATGCTGTTAGGATAGAGGGATTGTTGTGGAGGGCAAGGGCATTGGCAGGCTGAGAGTGGTTAGCATATCGGAGGAATGTGATGTGGTAAGGATTCGGCTGGATTCGGCAGCGACGACTCGGAAGCAGTCACAGCGCCCGGATTGGGCATCCTGGATCAGTAGCGCGGCAGAGCGGGTTTGGGTTGTCTCTAGGCCTCAAGCTCAAGTCCAAGCTTGGCTGCTGCCAACTGAAATGCTGTGTGTTTGTGTGGGTAACATTGACCCCGTGAGACCAGTCTGAATTCCGTACGAGCGCGCCTGTATTGCACCTCGCAATGTGCTCGTTTGGGTAACATAGACCAATAATGATGCTCAGTACTATTCATTTCGTCGAGGAATCTCGGTGCCAGTGCTTCAATATGTTTCCCGGACGTTTCTCTCCTGTCCTTTCCCCTCTCAACTAGCCTTGTAGTGAGTCCTATCTCGTATACCGCGTATGTCCGGACTTGGAGAAACCATTAGTGAGCGCGCTGGCCCTTTGGGAGACAAGAATGCCAAGTTACGCTGATTACTTTCCCGGATCACCTTGCCAGTTCGGGGGATACACCTCACAAAATCTTGTTTCTGATCAAACGCGCACATAGTCCCCGCAACTATCCGGGGTCCAGACTCAGGACTACGTCGTGGCTGACGCACTGCACAAGCATCGTCAGCATCGAAGATGCCTATAATGATGTTCGTCCCAAACAACGCCTGGAGAGGATTTTGATCGCGGATCTGCAGATGACTCATCCAAGGCAGAAGATCACATGCGAGCGGAATGGCCCCTTCGCATTGAGGGAGGCCAAAGGGTCTTCTCTCATGGCTTCTGGCGACCATATAACCGAGAGTGCCGCGCGGACTCATCGCATGCTTGGAATGCTTGGGCTCTGTATGACGGGCCTTGCATGAATCCATTGATACAGGACTCGTCTGATTGTCTCTTTGGTGTTCCGAGCACCTAGACGTTGTACAATGTCGTTGTTAGAATATACCTAATGTGGTCAGTTTTCAGGACGTGAGACCACAGTTCCGAAAGCCTCACGTCGAATTCCATGATCCCTAGTCTTGCTTAAAGTATCGGCTGATCGATGACCCTCCTCGAGGCAACTTCGTAGGCAGGTCGTGTAAGTGAACATCCAATCAGGAATATGATACATCCTTTGGCCAGCACAACCATAGCGCTACGGTAGTATCTTCAAACTGCACTAGATTAGCCCCAGTCATCGTCCGACATGAAGACGGTACCCTCACCTGAGTCTACCACCTCGTCCGCAAGTTCCATAGCCAAAGTGTAGATATCGCGAACGTGAACGGCGCGACGGTCACCCTCCAGAGGACCTCCTCTACGACTTCCAGGCTTCTCGGCGTGGCTTTGTGTCCGGCCAGGATGAATGCCGCTCGTGGGATACGGACGAACAGAATGTGCAAGATATTGAGCGGGGCAGGGAAATAGTACGGTGTAGAGTACGTCCTGACTGCACGAATGTATGCCTGGCGCGCCTCCAGCCCTACGGAGCTCGAGTAGCGGTCCCATGACGACCTGGCGGGGCCTTCGTGGGGGGCGAGGAACGGATGGATGAGCACGGAGAAGCCGAGCGCGCAGCAGAGGAAGATGAAGATGACGGTGAACAGTGCGAGGAATACCACGCGGGATGCCATAGGAGATGGGATCATAGTAAGAGTGGCATATCCGTTGAAGAGAAGCCTGTCGTTGAGAGAGGTCGAAAGGAGGACAAGGGATATGAACAGGCCGGGTATGAAGAACGCGACGATTGGCACGAACGTGCGTGCTAGGCCGCGCCATACGAGGACGGCTAAGGGGAGCATCTGCTCTGGAGGGAGGAGAAATAGGGGACTGGGCTGTACAGGGATGTGTAGGAGTAGGATCTTCCATGAGAATGCAAGTAGAAGGAGGGTATATGCAAAAGTGTCCGGAAGAGGCGGCAAAGGGATGGAGATGAGGAATGATAAAATTACGAGCGAGAAAGGTAGTGTTGCAGATGACCAGCTGGTGAAAAGCTTCGACAGAGCATACAAGGACAAGAGAGTGCTTCTGGTGTCGGATGTGGCTACCTCTGTCTGATAAGGTGGGTCAATCAGATAGTTACACAGCAGGCCAAGGAAGGCCAAGTAGACCAGCAGATCAAACAAGTGCAATGCGCTAGCAAGCTGTCAGTACAATGAGTCGCTTATCTACTAGGGTGACAACGCCTACCGAGGTGTTCCATTGCTATCCAAGAAGTGCAATAGGCGAGACGAGATGCCCTCGTTCCCTGCTTCGTCAAAGAGCCCATACTTCCAGGCATCGACGGCGGTTGTATGCACGAGCGGATGGCTGAGCAGCTTCGCGGGGACGTCACCACTCGCAAGGAAGTCAAAGACTGTGGAAAACCATATTAGTAGGTGCGAACGCCTTTGAGGGGGCTACGCTCACCTCGGACGGACCGCCTTAAATGGGGATAGAGTGGATACTCCGACCACAGAACTTCCTTCACGTCCTCCGACGACCCCTCCTCCTCCAAGAAGTGCTCCCAGACCTGAACGACGAGAGCGTCGGCATCGTGTAGGGCGGTCGCATTACGGTGGTCTTGGCGCCATTGAGCCCATACGTCGCGCCCACGCGGGGATGCCTCGGCCAGGTATGTACGGAAGTACAGAAGAGCGCAGAGGGAGAAGGCAGTCTGAGCAGACGGAGAACGGAGTGTTGGTGGATAGAGGTTGTCGAGAGTGTACTTGCGGAGGTCCTCTGGCCTCATTTCGGCCACAAACGAGCCAACGTGAGGCCGGCCATCGAGCAAGGGAGATGTCGTTGCATCCTGCGGCGTAGTCGAGCGGCTTGAGCCTGTCAAGAGGGGTGTGCGCTCTGTGGGTGTGCTGGTGGTGTCGCGGCTCGGCCGCAGACCGTTCATGGCAGATGATTGAGAGGCCCATCCAGCGACGGCTCCTCGTCCAAGGCTCTCTCTGTGACGGCCCCACGCCCGGCCCGAAGACAGCGGACAAATGCAATCTCGATCTCTGCCACGTGGGTCTACCCAATGGGCGCTTGTAGCCTCTGACGCAGGTGCGCGATGCTTGTAGCTCATAACATACCTCCTTCGCCACCATGAGCTCGTCTACGCCCTTATTTGATACCATTGAAGCAGATGATCCGGAGTATGAGCAGCGCACTTCAGCAACTGGGCACATCAATGCACCGTCCACTCAGGCCCCGTCCAATGCACGCCCACCTCCACAGATGGCAACCAATCTCGGCGATGCGGAATCAGGTGCGTTCAGGTGATGACTTGCGCATAGAAGATAATCATATGTGTGTGCCAGGAATTGCTGGCATTCTTCGACAGGTGAGTTGGTATCGGACGCGAATGTGCTTGCAGCCGCTGACCGCTGCGGACAATAGTCTGCACATCCAGCAGTCCTCTTCTTCCTTTACTTCTTCCGAGCAGTAGCAATAGCTGTCTACATCCTGTCCGGTCTCTTCATCTCAAATTATGTCCTTTCTGTCAGTACGTTTCCACACTTTTCCTGTTCAGATGCGCTCAACTGTCCCAATGCAATGGTAGTCCGTGATTGTGGTGGTCCTCCTAGCCATGGATTTCTGGAATTGCAGAGTGAGTCTCTCCATTGCAAGGCGAGCTTCGCAAGCCTGACGACATGTCCGTAGAATGTAGCTGGGCGGAGACTAGTTGGTCTCCGCTATTGGAACCAGGTAGCATCCAAGTGCTCATGTTCTCATGCCGAACTATCACCTTGACACGTCTCTGTCATGTCCCCAGGTCGACGATGATGGCGAGAGTTACTGGGTGTTCGAAAGTCGTGACGTGTGTACTTCTCACTTTGACTCCGAGAATTTGTCTTGATCATCCGACCATTCCCCTTGCTCACACGCACGCCTGTGAATGTGTCGCACCTTCCAGCCATCTCGACCAGCGAACCCAATCGACTCGAGGTGAGCTCGCCATGCATCCGCGTCTGCTGCTATGCAATCATCAATTAACTATGCCCTCGACACAATTCGGCTCGGCTCGCCCCTCCTGCGCGCTTGATGCCCGCCGCAGGATGTTCTGGGTCAGTGCAGATCGCAGTTTCCTCAACCCTGTCCGATCGTTTGGCGCTAATCCGCAGCCTCGCGCTCGCACTCTCGCTTTGCGTTCCCATCTGGTTTGTGCAGATCGCGGTCTACACCTTCCCGCTCCTCTGGCTCGCCCTCCTTATCGTCTCGATCCTCAAATTCAATCTCTCGTGAGTGGCCTTCTCGCCGTCTCCGTGCCCCATCCTCTCCCTGCCTCCGTCACGCCCATCCCGCCACAGACATCATCTGACCCAGCCGCCCAACGCTTGTGCTCACGTTCCCGCGTGGGTGCACTTCCTTTTCTGCAGGTTCGTGCCCATCGTCGTCCTCGCGCTCGTCTTCAACATCACGAACGCCATCGGCTTCACATACGCGTGAGTCCCCCAAACCCACGGTGTCTCCTGCGGGCGCCCACAAATAGCTGATTGACGTGTTGCTTGATTGCCTTGTGCAGCGACCGCGATGCCAAGCAGAAGTGGGCCAACAACCTCGCGTCCTCGGGCTGGAGCTTGGGCGTGGGAGGCCTCGGCGGCCAGATACTCTCCGGCGTGGTCAAGAACAGCGTCGGACGTGTGTTCGGCTGATAGCGACGACAACGGACATATGGCAACGTCTGACGAAGTCCAACTTCTCGCTCTCGACCTCAACCTTGGGCGCGATGTCGCATCTCGGTCGCAGCCGCAGTACCGCTTGTTGGTAGTAATTTATACTATTGCACGTTCACTCGACCAGGCTGGCGAAGCGCAGTGTGAACTTCAATTGCTCCTATTTCATTGCTTCTCGTCCGCTCTGCGGAGCGGCATAGGCGAGGCTGGGTACATGCGGATGCTATATGTAACAAGGAGAACAGCGAAGAAAGGTATGCAGATGCCGAGAGGAAAAGATGAATGCGATGAGCTCGATCGGAGTGGAGGACTAGATGATACTATGCAGACTGTCGAAATGCAAAGATGCGGAAAGTTGCAGTGCGATGCCAGGTCCAAATCTATCTACATGAATTGAACGATGCTGACGCGTGAAATGAGATGGGTAAAATCGCCGAAGAATGAACAGTGAAGGTGACGGGTAACGGGCCGCGATAATGATATACGCCAGATGTGCCGGAGACCTCGCATATAAAGAACGGCAGCAGCGGAAGATACGTAGCACAGTGTCCGATGAAAGAGAAAGAAAATGGTGCTCAAACGGAAAAGATAAAAAGAAGAATAAAGAAAAATGCTGAGGATCCGGAGTTGGCACGGATAAAGAGGGAGCGGGAGAGAGCTCGGGCGTGAGACGGCATAGACATGAGATGGACATGTGACATGCAAGGCATCCGATACGTGAGCCCAGCCCAGGGTCCTACGGTCATGCGAGCCAGCCGCGGACGTCGACGTGTGATGACGCGACCGTGGGCGTGGCAGGGGACGTCAGGCCGATGAACGACTTCCGGCGACCTTCCGACTTGAATGTCGACACCCGAGGGGTAGACATCGACGGAAATGGGTACGCATTAGACGTGAGCATCAGCGTTGATGGTGTGCGGGTTGCAGCCAGCGTGGGCGAGGGCGGGAAGACGAAGAGCGTCTGCGAAGGTGTCGCGGGGATTGCAGACCCCCTGGTTTTGGGTGGTGTGGATTTAGCCAGATTGCGAATATGTGCGGGAGGAGTCTCCGGTTTACGACTTTCCGTACGAGGCCGAGAATGACCGGTGGATGCATTGACGGGGATAATAGGGGATGCAGGGACAGCGGGTAAGATGCCGATAGGGGGCGGACGGCGACGGGGTTTCGAGGAGCGGGGTGTGCGGCTGAGTTCGAAGGAGGTTTTGATAGCGGTTGCGGGAACCGGAGGAAGTGAGAAAGAGGACTGGTGTGCGGGTGCAGATGGAGGCAGCGACAACCCGGGCGGGCGACGGAATGTCAATGGGCGTGCAGTGAGACAAGCAGACTGCGGCGGGCTCAGCACATTCGGCGGAGGGATTGGCTCGGTTGCCGAGTCGCCACTTGTTTCGTCTTCAGTAGGCTCAGCACTAGAGCTACGAGCGCCCATGCTGAGGCCGTCGAAGTCACGGGTGACACCGAGAAGCTCCTGCTCCTCATCCTCTTCCACGAGATCCTCGCTCAGCACGCTGCTGCTGGTCGCGACACTCGCAGCGGAACCTTTCCGCTTACGTGCGGGACCGTATTTCGACCGCCACGCTGGGCCCATACCAAGACCTTGACCGGTACTGGTGGACCCGAGCGAGGACGACGAGCCCTTACGAGCAATGATACGATCCTCCATGGCCTGATCGAGGGCCTTCGCCTCCTGCATGACATGCAGGCTCTCCCGCTCATCTCCGGTATCACTGTCCTCCATTGCCTGTCGTCTGCGGCTCCATTCTTCCTCGGCAGAGAGCTCGGAGGGAGTCGGCGAGGAGTTGCCGCCCTTGAATGAACGCTCATAGTCGAGCAATTGGTAGATTAGGCTGCGGAAAGGTCCATAAGCGTGAGGAGCCAAGTACGAGCATCCAGGGTGTCTGAGGATACTTACGACATGTTGGGTCCAACATGTTTGCTTTTTTCTTTGACGAAGGAATATGCGCCCTGCATTCCCTTGAGCGCCCATACCTCTGGAGGCACGTTGGGAGACTGCTGTGCTGCCGCACGCATGACGAGAGCGATGACAAGCGTTGCTGACCGTGAGACTCCACACTGACAGCTGCAGCACGAGTGGATAGTTAGTTACGATGGGAGACGTCGTGTAGGATTACAGTATACACGCACTGGATAAGCACGCCGTCTCCACGTTCCAGCGCCTGATCAACGTAGGCGAATGCAGCTGGGAAGCCTTCCGTGACAAGATCAGATTGGCCGTGAGACCAAGACAGCTTGAGATAATGCATGGCGGGTCTGCCGCTAGGTAGGTGCGCAGGACGATACGTGGGGTCTTGATTGGAAGGGCCGCCGAGGGGCGCGTTCAGATCCGGCGTGGACATGAACGGCCGCAGCGGCTGGGAAGCGGCCTGGTCGAAGTCGGTCTGAACTTCCTTCGCTACGTTCAGGATCGACCTGATTCCCCGCTCCATGAGCCCTCTCCAATCTCGAACATTGTCCTCCGAACCGAGCCAAATCCCTGGCAGTATCTGGATGGGTCCGTCGGCGTAGGCTACGGTAGGGGAACCATCGCCGTCCTCGCCCTTGCGGCGGAGCAGATTTGTGCTCGTGCTGGGGAGCGAGATGACGGAGGGGCGCCGCTTCTGGAGGGCGGGGGCATCGCAGAGGTTAGTGGGCGGATGTGGCTCCACAGCCGAGAGACCTAGTGAGTTCGCAGACGACTGAGCAGATGGGAGGGTTATTGACAGCTTCTTCATGTTTCGGAGGGATCGAGGCTTGCTGGGGGAGGGTAGGATAAAAGAGTCGGCGTCAGAAGTTGTGGAAAGGGTGGACGCGGGAGCGGAGCTGTCGCTAGAGAACAACGCTATGCCAGGGTTGTGGACGGGCGTGTCGATGTGAAGGGGGGTGGGGGGCCCCTTGCGGCGTGGGGGAAGGGCAGATCCGGGGCGAGGAGTCGCGACATCCATGCTCATGGCTGGTTCGACACGCCGGCGTGTAGATAGCGTTGGGTGGAGGCGCAAGAGAATACCAAGCGAGGTGCTCAGAAGATACAGAGAAAGAGAAATATGAACGGGAGAAATGAAACGCGAAGGAGGGAAGAGAAAGGGGGAAGGAGGAAACCCAGCAAGGACGGAGAGGGAGGAGGGGGACAAGGACAAGGGCGACGGGAGGTCCGAGTGCGACTCCCGGCGTCGTTCATTAACTCGAACCGGGCGCCTGTCACGCGCGTAACGCCGTGTTTGTCGCACTTTGTTCCGCCTGCCCACCAAGCCATCCACACCGCCCACCAGATGCCTCCGATCGCGACTGCGCTCCCCGGCTCACTCACCTCATCAGTTTTGCACAAGATACGCATAGTGCACACAATGCCTGCAGTACGAAAGTCTGCCCGGCACAAGTCCCCAGCGGTCGTCTCTCCGAGTCTATCAATCATAAGCCGTGTACCTCCCATAGTTGGCTCCCATGCCCTCCTCCTTACCTTCTCATGCGCCAACCTTCCGTCCTCAGCTTCCTTACCTCTTCAACACTCGCATCGCGTTGACAGTTGTTAATTGAGCCACATCACAGGCCACTGAGTGATCTACAGCATCTCACCCTAGCAGAGGCTCATCTATCATCAGCAATCACAACAAGATCGACAGGCACTTTCCTCGCCGTCACCCAACCGGCTACTTCATATGGCCACCGAGGACGTCGGCTAGCTTCGACTTGCCTCGCTCATCATATGTAGTCAAACACCCAAACACTGCGGTTTTCCAACCATCTCTGCGTCCCTTAGCCGCGTGGCATGTGCTCCCGCTCGCTCTCTCCCGCCACTCCTGCGTAAGTGGCACTGACAGTGAACATCCGACGGGTCGGCCGCAGTCAAGCCCCGCGTTGCGCTCGTTCAACATCGTATCGTCAGATCTCGCCCTCGAAAGGCCGCGTTCGACGTTCTCGATTATTGCGTCTCTAAGGACACACTTCGGTCCAGCTTCCGCCATACTACCTTGGTCCGCTGCGCCTGAATATGTATGATGTGGTTCGAACTTCGCAGCTTGCAACCGCCAGCGCACGACGGCCCTAACTCCGCTTATAGACCTCGCGGGCTGGGTGCTGCAGTCCGAACGTGGCGGTCGGTTCTAGGCTCTCGCCATGGGTACGGACCTTGTTATCATCCCGGGTCCCTCCGTAGCATCCTGTACCGAACGTTATTTACAGTAAGCTCGCTGTGCACCTTAGGCGCCGTGTCATTGTCCCTACGTCCATTCAAGATGAATAGCTACATTGAATCTTGTATACTGCGGGAGACAGTGTCGTTACTGCCGCGGCGTCAGCCACATGAATAGCGTCCTGCACAAGGCATTGTCTGCGTCGGCCATGGGAACGAGCGCGCGTGGTTGGTCTCGACACGCCGAGGCGCCGCCCCCAACGGGCGTGAGTGCTTTCGGCGATGGTGAGAGGCGAGAAGTGGTCTGACACGTATGTACAACCGACTGTAGTCAAACGGCATGCCCAACCGCTTCCAAGTCGCTTTTCTCATCTCCTTCGTCGCCACCCTCTTCCTGCTCATCGTCACCACAGAGTTCGTTAAGGCCAAGCTCCACCAGCGCGGCATCTACGTCTCGGACCTCATTCTACTTGGCACCGGCAAAATCCCCCAGAGGGAACCTATAGCATCCGCAGACATCATGTCCGACGTCTTCAGCGCATCGTACAACCAGCTCATCCCTCTTGCGCTCGCACTCATCACGAGCGTGCTGTTGTACGCCAAGTTTGGCCGTGGTCGTGAGTTATGTCTCCGTCTGCGCGTTCCGACACCTGCCATGTCATACATACTACCTCCGGGCACTTACGTCTCCTTGTTTTGGCTGTCACGAAAGAGCGAAAGCCTGTGCTTGACCCGCAGGTGTGGAAGGAGTTCCCCCTCAAGGAGAAGATTGTCATCTCTCCCAACACCGCCATGTACGTGTGCCCATGCTCCGTCTCCGCTCAGTCCGGACTCTATGAACTCAATCCCTCTCGTTCTGTGAAGCTACCGCTTTGCGCTGCCTCACCCGGAGGATGTCCTCGGTCTCCCCATTGGTCAGCACGTCTCCGTATCTGCGGAAATCAACGGCAAGGAAATCATGCGTAGCTACACGCCGACTAGCAGCGATGACGACCGCGGCCACTTCGATCTGCTCGTGAAGGTGCGTCTTCCGGTCTCCTTCCTTCCGGACCCGCCCTAACCCCTGCCTCCACATGCGTTTGTCATGCTCGCGCTCACAACGCGTCTCCGCAGGCGTACGAGAAGGGCAACATCTCGCGCTACATCTCCCTCCTCAAAATCGGCGACAAGGTCCGCATCAAGGGTCCCAAGGGCCAGTTCAAGTACCACCCCACGCTCTCGCGCGAGCTCGGCATGATCGCCGGCGGAACGGGCATCACGCCCATGCTGCAGATCATCCGCGCCGCGCTCAAGAACCCGCTCGACCGCACCAAGCTCTCGCTCATCTACGCCAACGTCAACTACGAGGACATCCTCCTCAAGAAGGAGCTTGACGAGCTCGCCAGCAAGCACAGCCACCGCTTTCGCGTGTACTACGTGCTCAACAACCCCCCGCCCAGCTGGGACGGCGGCGTCGGCTTCGTGACCAAGGAGCAGATCGAGACGCACCTGCCCCCTACGGACAGCAACATCAAGGTCCTCCTGTGCGGTGCGTGCCTAATTTTTGCCGGTGTGCTCGCTGAGGTTGCGGGCATGCGCACGGTGTGACGTTGGGTTGCTGAGACCAATCACTGTTCTGTAGGCCCTCCGCCCATGATCACTGCTATGAAGTGAGTTGCCTCAGTTCCGGGAAGACCGAGCGCGTGTTTGCTGACCCCGGCCCATCTACAGGAAGCACCTCGCGGAGCTCAACTACCCTGCACCCCGGACCGTCAGCAAGCTCGAGGACCAGGTATGCCCTGCCGTACTGCAGTATACAATGTGTATCCGGCTGACGGCCCGTAGGTGTTCTGCTTCTAAGTTCCATGGTCTGCGCCCTCCGCTCGTGGTCAGGTATAGAGACAGCACTGCTTCATATACTATAATGATAGAATCACAATTGAGTATATTTTGGGCTAATGGGAAACATGCGGTTCTGCCGGTCGTGCAAGCGTGCTAAGACGGCCATGATTCCGCGGTGCGTTCTCGCCGGGCTGACTGCGATGCTGGTGCTGCGGTTTCGGAAGAACATAGGAAAGACGCTGCAGCACAGACTAACAAACCTTTTCAGCGACGTCTGAGGCTTGTGGCGCAGCCTAATCGGTTCCGCTTGGGGGCTGCGTTTGGGAGCACGCACGGTGGACGGCCGACCTGTTCAGTATATGGACCTGCGTCGCCTTCGCCTGACCGACAATTATTCGCTGCTATCGGTATGCACGTTTCCTTTCTTTGAACATCTCACACCCCTTACAGTTCTTCCGGTCTTACTTCAGTCCTTACCTGTGCTCAGCAGGAAGAGCTCCAGGCCCATATGGCGCATACATCTGATCGCGAACGCCCCCCAAGCCCAATCATGCAGCCCGCGTTCCATCCACTTTCATCCGCGAGCGCAGAAATCACGCTTCGCTCGAAGGACGAGTTGTTCTACTCTGTCTCAGCCGAGACGTTGAGCCGCACCTCCGCGTGGTTCCGAACTATGCTGAGCCTGCCCCAGACCTCGGCCGAGTCGACCAAGGAGGCCATCCCGATGGACGAGAACGGAGACGTGATCGCAAGCTTATTGTCCATCGTGAGCGGCACGGACCTCCCAGACCTCGACAACATCGACAAACTCGAGGCTATCCTGCAGGCGGCGGACAAGTACGAGATGCCGCTCGCCATTGCGACGCTACGCATGGCGCTCTTCTCCCCCTTCCTGCACGCGTCGCCCATCCGCCTTTACAAGATCGCGTGCCGGATGGCCTGGGAAAGAGAGGCGAAGCTCGCGTCGTCGCGCACGCTCACGCTCGACCTCTTCGCTCCCGAAGTCATGTCCGAGCTCGTCGCGCTCGAGCCCGCACATCGCGACAAGCTCCTCGCGCTACACCGCCGGCGACGCGACGCGCTCGCCGAGAGCCTCGACAACACGACCATATTCTACGCGAACCTGCGCGGGACGCCGTGCAACCGGAACGACGGCGTGAACCGCTGTACGGCCCCCCTGGACCATGGGGCGTGGTCCGCGTTCAAGTACGCGTTCATCCGCCGTGTGGAGCGCGGGTTGGTAGGGGAGGAGCTCGACGGGGACTTCTACCGGATGCGGGAGCTGTGGGATCTGAGAATGGCGCACTGTCATGTGTGCAAGAGGATCGTGTACAACATGCCGAACACGCTGGAGAACCTGCAGAAGATCGTGAAGGAACTGCCAAAGAGCATTGAGGTAAGTGCACCGCGTGTCTCTCCTGTCTACTGCGTGGTGGACCGGGGACTGAGTCTGGGCAGTGGTCTCGTTCATGATCGGGCCGAGATGGGTTTGGTGGTCTGCCGCAGTTATGGTTCAAACAGAACTGTGAATGGCCGTCCTATGATCTGTGCATGTGATGCTGTCAATATATCCACGTTGTCTTCACAGGCAGCATTTTGGTGTTTATTAGATAGCTAAAAGGTTCGTTTTCACCAATCTGCATGTCAAGCGACTTCCTGGAGCTGCAGGTAAGGCTGCTCCAAACCCTGAGGTTCGTGGGTGGACGTCGTAGTGAGGCTCCGCAACGCTAACGAAGCTTTCTCAGATGACGTCGGTCCCGAACATTACCGAAACTAGCACCCCATCGCTTACCTCGACTACGGCTTACACCATCCATCCATCGTTTTCGGGGGTCTTCTCTGGCGCAACCATCCGACTTCTGTCCGTGGACAATATTCTATTCCCCGTATCTCCGGAGACACTCGCGCGCACGTCCGGATGGTTTCAGACAATGCTCGGTCTCCCTCAAGCGTTCCGAGCCGAAGATGTCGACTCCGAAGTCGTACCAATGGCCGAACCCTCCGAGGTACTCGCAGGCCTTCTATCCATGATTGGTGGAACAGGACTACCGCCTCTTCACGATCTTGCTTTTGCGGAACAGCTTCTGCTGGCTGCGGAGAAGTACGAGATGCCAATGCCCATTGCTACCATCCGCGCTCTTCTGTCACCGGTGGACTTCTCCCCAATCCAGCTCTACGGCGTCGCATGTCGCATGAACTGGGAGGCGGAGGCTACGAAGGCCGCGACGCGCACTCTTGCTCTCGATATCATGGCTCCTGAGAATATGATGGAGCTTGTTCGCCTCGATAAACCGCACTTGATGAAGCTACTCTCGCTGCACGATCTCCGCCGGAAAGCGATCGGAGAGGCCCTGGAGAACGCGAGCGCCTTCACTGCCAACTCGCGTTCGACGCGCTGCCGAAACATCCTGAGCAACCAGTGGTGCGACGCACCCATCGACCGTACCAATTGGTGGGTCTTCAAGCTTGCTTGGAGTAAGGAACCGTGGAGGTTCCTATCTCTAGGCGAGATTGGCAACGTTGGTGGAGTCCCGGCCGCACCTATTCCAGAGCTGGACGCGTTACTAGCGGATCAGTGTGTGCGCTGCAAGAAGAGCTTGTATTCCAAGATCGCGACACTGGACAATCTGAGGGCTGCGGCTCAGAGCCCACCTCAGACGATCGAAGTGAGCTGATTAGCTTCCCAAAATGTGTGCCACTACACTTCTCACGTACAACCCCCAGTGGTCGTAACACCTTCACAAGCGGCCGCTCAATGGCGACGTTCTTGCAGCATGGGATAATGCTTTTAGTGGTCCAAGAACGGTATACTTCTCGAGGCATAGCGATGATAGCGATATCGGTGTATCAGTTTCTTCCTGTACGATATAGGCGTGTGGTCATGAACAGTGTTTCAAGCCTAGACCTTACAGCGGTCATGGCGAACTCTAGATGGACGTTACCTCGCATTGCGAGTCTACCGCCGCTGTCGTGACACATAAATACTGTCCCTACGGGCCAAATCCTTTCGTCTGCTACCAAGTCTTAAGTAGGTATTACTGCCGTGTCCGAACTTGTGACCTTGCTCGCGTGGTTTCGAGGACGGCGCATCGATTGTCGACTAGCTCTTCTCCCTAGCCCCCTCTACCGAAGCCATCTGGATATCGATTGCGAGGTATGTAATATTCAACTCGACGAATCTGCGATGGCTATGACCAATTCTCGTAGACACTCACATCGCGAAACATTCATATCTTCTGCGATCACGGCAATGGTGTCCTCAGAGAGCGCAACGCGTGAAGTACACCCAGTCTTCGCGGCAGCCTTCCCGGACGGAGACGTGACACTCCTCTCCAACGATGATGTCCTCTTCCCAATCTCATCAAGCACGCTCAGTCGCGCCTCTCCATGGTTCCGAACCATGCTAGGCCTCCCACAAAACTCACCAGAGACCAGCGGGGTGGAGTCTGTCATCCCTGTGAGCGAGAGCTCCGAAGTTCTCCTGGGCTTGTTGTCCATGATCAGCAGCATCTCCCTACCCACTCTTGACAACGTAGACTCTATCGAACCCCTCCTCCATGCCGCGGAGAAGTACGAGATGACCATGCCCATCGCGATAATCCGCATCGCCTTGCGGACGCTTGTCGACAAATCTCCCATTCGAGTTTACGACATGGCGTGTCGAATGTCTTGGGAAGAGGAAGCAAAGGCAGCCGCGTCGTGCACCCTAAGGATGGATATTTTGTCGGAGAATACCGCGACAGAACTCGCACGTCTTGAAGGACCTCACCTCATGAAGCTGTTGATGCTGCATGAGCGCAGGAGAAAGTTGGTTGCGGCGGCCTTAGCGGACTCAGACCTGTTCAACGCTGGCAACAAACCTGGTCGACGGTGTTGCGATGAGCTGGAGGATCACACGGACTGGTGGGCGCTCAAAGTAGCGTGGCTCACAAAACCATGGAACTTTGTTTGTCTCGGTCGAGAAGGGGATGAGACAACCGCTGTTCCATCGGAGGTAGAACTGATGCTGGAAGGCAAGTGCCCGAAATGCAGCCGTAACTTCTATCAGAAGACCTGTACCTTGGAAAACCTCAGGGGAGTTGCACGAAGTCTCCCCCAAACTATCGAGGTATGAGCATGTTTCTGAGCATAGTGCTGTGAGTATTGCATTGACGTCGACATTCTATAGTGGCCATAACTCCCATCTTCAACTCATCCTCTGCATAAGCTGAGACCTACTTAGACCATGACTGCTATGTATCTTTGCTAGTTGTCATATGCGAAGTTTAGACCTTGTCATCATATGCCATCGAACTCGATCGGACTCTTGCTGGTGGTTTTCTCAAGCTTCTCGAATACAATTGCTGATCTCGCCGGAAGTGTGGGACACAACCAGCGTCGTCCAGTCGTCATGGCTACTTTACGCCACAGAGACGTGTTTTGCAGTGTCGTGTTTGCTGGTGTCATCGGTCGTCGAGCGGTCGATTAGTCGTGCAGGACTTGCCAACAAGCTCGATTACCCAGATATTATGGCGCTATTACAGGGCAGACTTATCGAAGCGGTCACGGACACGTTGAGACCGACTACTTCTTACATCTAAGGCTAAAGCTTTAGCTGCGAGCTGGCAGCAAACACGCCCACGTGACTAGGCGCACCATCACGCAAGCTGCTTTCCAATCGAGAGCTTGAGCTGAGCTGAGCCCAGTCACGTTCCGTTCGCACTCCTCGGGCCTGCATCAGTGCCGGGCTGTCGGCTGCGGTTTGTAAATCTCACTTGTGCTTCGAACCAGGCGAGAACGGCTCCAGCTTACTCAGGTTATCCCTTATGCCTCCCCGAGCCATAGGGAAACCATGGTACGCTAAGGCTTATGATGGCTGCTGTGCGGGCTGACGTAAGTGGTACTCATCAGTAGTCGCCACAGGAAACACGGGTGTTGACCTGAAGTGAAACTAGCATCAAGTCAGTCACCGAAGTCAACCGGTGGTACCCGCCGGCGTTAGCCTCACCCCGAGTGGATATATATACACAACGTAGAGGAGATTCCTAGGCCTCATCGACCCTACTTAGCCAGCCTTTGTCTCTCTCGCCCACACGTCCCTCAGTAGCCCTCCCGCGATATTAAGTATGTCCAAGGTTAGAACCGGAGCGGCCCTTCTATGTGTATCTAATCCGCTCACCTTGATCCACATACAGCCCGTCTTCTACACCTTCGGCTTGTCCGTCTGGGCTGCTGCACCCGAGCTCGCGATGTAAGTAGATAGGGCATACTTCACAAGCAAAGAACTCAACAACGGACGTCCAGTGCTGAGCTTGGCTATCCCGACGATGCTATTGAGACCAAAGTGGTCAACCTCGCAGAGGGCGCCAACTTCACCCCTGAATTCCTAAAGATCGTCAGTCCATCTCGATATCTTTCATCTCACGTCGACCGTGCATGCCCGAGTCTGACCATCTCGGACCCCATAGAACCCTCACGCCACTCTCCCCACGCTCGCCGCGGACGGCAAGACGTACACGTCTACCAAGGAGGTGGTGTCGTACTTGGTGGCGAACGCGCCCAAGAAGGTCGCCAAAGGCACGACGTTCATAGACAAGATCCACGAGGAAAAATACGACCCGAACGCGCCCCTCCTGCTCTCGGTGAGTACCACACCGCAGCCGCGTCGCCGGCCTTGCACGGATCATACTCATCGATAACGCTCTGCCTTGTAGCGCAACGAGGAAGAGCTGAAGGCAGCCGCTGGAGGCTTCCCTCTCCAATTCGTGCAGAACCGTAAGTCGCGCCATCTCTGATGCGGTTGCACCACCGACCGATTCCTAACGTCCATGTTTGATTTGACAGGCCAGAACACGCTCGAGAAGCACGCTGACCTCCCCGAGGCGGCCGAACACAAGGCATTCTATGATGCCAAGAGGGCCGCAAACGGTGGCATTCTTGCCATCTACAAGGGTGAAGTTCCCGAAGACGTGAAGCAGGGCTTCTTCAAGCAGTCCGTTGCTCACTGGCAGACGCTTGCAAACTTCATCCTCGTCGACCTCCCTGCTGTCCTCCCCGAGTCCGGATTCCTCGGCGGCGAAACCCCAGGGGAAGACGACTTCCACTTGGCTGCGTGGCTAGCGCGCATCGCGTTCCTCACCGGGGGAAAGAACGACAAGGACGGCTATGAAGCACTCGAGAGGGAGACCAAGGAGCCGGTCCCTGCGAAAGTCGTCGCTTACTGGCAAGCTTGGGCAGAGCGCCCCAGCTTCAAGAAGGTCTACCAGAACGGGCTTCACTGAGTAGACGCGGAGATTACAGGACGTGTACGAGTTGCTTGCCTTAGAACCTTGTAACATCTGCTGTCGTGTATATCAATATTATACAATATACATTGATATGACGTGACGATACGGCGTTAGCTGACAGCGCTATCCTTCTCTGCTGCATCTGTAGCGGGCATGGATTAGGTGGCGTAACCAGTGAGACGATTCATTTACTTACAAGTGCTTAAGTCCGTCGATGACCCCTCCTGCATCTCTGCAAGGCACTCAGTCAAGCTGTATGAAGAGCACCGTCAGCATGAGCAGTCGTTGTGTAGGTTCGCCACCGCGACGTACATGTCCTGGATCTCCTTCGCAGCCCTCATCCCAACAATGTATTCCTGCTCAGTAGGCTCCCTCGAAGCATGTCGAGCAAGCTGGATTGCCGAATCGTAGTAGTGCAGCGGGGTCAAGCCATCCTCATCCTTGCTCAGGAGCGGGAGGATGAACCGGAAGTGATGTAACATTCGCGCATGAGGGCGCAAGGGTGGATGGCGCGGAATGACATCGTGTGCAAGCTTGTCTGTGAGTCGTACGTGTATCGCGCAAGGTCTGAGGACAAGATGGCCCAGAGTATAAGGATTAGAAGAAGAGACACACCAATTTGACGAACAGTGTCAAGGAGGGACGCTCGGAAAGGGATAGACTGGAGGCTAGTGCCTGGCGTTCCCCAACCCTCCTGGAAACCATCCTTCGGACGCGACTCGTACGCGATGAGGCATGCGCGGGTATACTCCTGCTGAATATACTGGTACACACTCTGCGTATCACATATGAGAGCCTATCTATGTACAGCCTGCATGTCGCACTCACGTTCGGGACGTCGTTCTTTCCGAGTGTATGGAACGTCTTCGAGATTCGAGACAACCTCCTGTGCACCGCGATCCTCCGCTTCAAGCAAAGCGCCAACGACGCTACTAGCTACAGAGTCAAGGGGTCCTGAGCTTCGTCCACAAGCCCGGTAATACATTTGACCGACCAGAATGACATAGGCCGCTCCGATGACGACCGCATTGAAGTTCTGGACGAACCCCCTGTTCGGCGCGGTGCGTGCAGCCTGCGAGAGGAGGAATACACAGGAGATGGCAACGAAGAAGGCGACGAGAAGGACGATCAGGAGATAGGCGGCGAGGGAAACAGTCGACCGCCGAGAGATCCTAGGGAACATGCAAGTCGAGGGCTGAGCTCGCCGCCGCTTCCAGCGCCCGCATCCGTCGGGTTCAGGTGCGGGCCGATTTCAGAGAATCAATGCACGTGATGCGGGGGAACATAGGCGCTCATACATGGCTCCGGCGGACATAAATGTATGTAGTCGGCATGTAGAAGTCCCACTAAAAAACCCAACAAGGACGTGACGTTTTGGATCCGCGCTTCATGGTGACGTTGTGTTCCCTGGTCACTCTTGAGGTGGGACCGCGAGGTAGATGTAGGAAGCAGGTGGTAATACATTGAGTTTGCTTCGAGGAAAGTAAAGACAGGCAAAGCACCCGACAAAAGGATGATACAGCAGGAAGGGAGAAGGCACTAGTACTAGGTAAACAATGCGAGACGCGTCGTACATTCCTGATGCACCGGCGGCACAAAAGATAGCAAGTGAAAGGGGTGTATATCTTGGCTCTTGTGTTTCGGGTGCTCGTCGCAACCTCTCCTGTGGGAGGGAGGTCGTTCGACGTAGGACGGCGCTCAGACTTGTACGTTTTGCCTATTCGATGAAGATGCGATCAGGTAAGCGATATGGCCGAAGAGAACTCAGTGGAATGACGTACGGGAATTCACCGATGATATTGCCCTGGGGGGAGTACTCGCACACGAAGAACTTGGCAAGCTATATGGGTTCAGAAAGGTGAGTCGCGCCCTTGGATTCCAGAGCTCACGACCACTTACGCCAAAGCTGGCAGCAAAGATGCCAGAGCATTCCTGAACGGCGCAACCAACCTGAGTGCTGCCCTTCCACACGACCTGGGTGAAGTGGGAGGGCACCGGGTTGTTGGGGTCGTACTCGGCTGAAAGAAGCCCCGTTAGTACCCAATCCATCCCCGGCAAGTCCTCCTGAAGACACTCACAAACTTCATCGGTCCAGGACTTGACAGCTGCGGCGATGTCGTACGAGCTACCAGTACCGGCGGCCAGGTTCTCTGCGCACATTCCAAAACCCAGTCAGTCCTCATTCGTGCTTGGCTTTTGCGAACTGAGAACCCACCTCCGAAGGGACCAAGGGTTCCACCGGAGTGCTTGAAGACACACTTGTTCGCCCAGGTCTGGGCGGCGGCAGCAAGCGAGTCGCTCCAGGTCAAAGGCGCAGCGCCGTGCTGTGCCCGGATCGAGTTGTGCGCAGTGAGATACGCGTTGATGTCACTCTGAGAAGTGGCGCCATCACCGCTGCTGGTGCTGCCGCTGTTGCCGTTGCCGTTGCCACTGCTGTTGCTGCCAGAGTTGGCGGAGGTTGTCGGCTGCGGGGCCTTCGAGCTCGATGTCGTCTTCACAACAGTCGGCTCGGGCGCTGGGGGAGTGCTGGTAGTGCGAGGAGTGCTAGTAGTGTGCGGGGTGGTGTGAGTGGTGGTTGGCTCGACGGAGGTCGTAGAGTGCGTGCTTGGGGACGGCGCCGCGAAGGAGGAGAGAGTCAACGGCTTAGCAGAGGAGGCGGTGAAAGCGGCGGGCTTCGAGATGGTGGAGGAGGCCTTGGTGCTAGTTGATATGCTGACGTTGAGAGACGAGCTGACCACACTCGAGACCGAGATAACAGAAGAAACGGAAGCAGAGCCCTGAGCGTTGACGGGGACACCCGTAGGTTGCGCCAATACCTCAGTGGAGGTGGCGGCAACAGAGGACGAGTTAGCAGAACTAGATCTGACCAATGGACGCTATGTGAGCACTCTATCCTGCATCGAAGTCAAACGGGACACATACGGGCGAACGCGGCAAGCCTTGGTGACAGCAGCAGTGAGGGCCTCCGTGGAGGAGGCAGTCTTGGTCAGAACGGAACCCCAGCGATCGGTGCCCATAGCGTAACCAGGCCATCCCCACTTGTCTGCACAGGCTTTGATGCACGAATCGGAGCCCTGGCTGCGGCGAGCGCAGGCGGGTCCAGCTTGGACGCCACCGAGAAGGGTGAAGAGAAGGGGAAGGGAAAGCAGGAAGTACGCCAGGCGGTTCATTGTCGGAAGCTCGGAAAGCCGAGTTTATGACTACACAAATGAATGAATAGTAAACGAGGGAGGGTTAAAGGAAAGGACTGCGGACGTCGCAGGAACAGGCGCGCCGCGTCGTCAGAGGTGTGTAGAGGAAAGCACGCAAGGTCGGAGGCGGACCTTATATGTAGGCAACGCGCTTCTGGGGCGCATACGCGTGGATACGACGATGGATCACAGCTTACTCGGGCATCGGAAGCGTCGGTCACCAGGGGGACGCATACATGGCCATCATCTCTGAAAAAAGGCAGGATCTGTTAATCGGGCAATACGCGCGTCGTAGGCTGTCATGTCGGCCAGTCAATGTGGTATTTTGGCTTCTCGGACGGGCAGAGGTATCGAAGCATAGAGTTCTGGTCAGGGAACGAGAACAAGAGGTCAATGAGAGCAGTGGCAGGATCGCTTCTTAGTGTTGAGTGCCCGATTAGCGCGCGCATCTGAGAGGCGCGCAGCATGCGGGTGCCTTGATCGTTCTCCGGTTCGAGGGCGCGGACAACCATTACTTACGACCATCCTCCTCGACCGCCTCGCTCTCATCGACAGTTTATTCTTTTCTGGGGAAGACTTATCATCTGGTCGCCACCACCGCCTCCCGCTCACTCGTGAGGCCGATCCAATACAGCCTTGTCTCTATGGCTTCCCCTACAGCATCCGCTTCGACCGACCCTCCGTACTATGTGCTCATATCGCATAGCCAGTCTCTCAACATTCCCAGTGTCCCGACATCCACATCGCTCAGCCACCCTGTCATTGAATACCACTACGCTGATGACGCGCCCATCTCGCTCCTCCCCCAGTATCCAGGGGAGCATGTTCTCGTACTCGACTACGATCCCGGACGGCCTGGTACGCCGACAGTCAAGAGCCTCTCCCCTGACCTCGTCGTCTCTGCTCTGAAGGTCGCCGACCCCCCTGGGGCGTCTGTCGCCGGCGAACCAGCCATCACCAATAACAGCAACATCTATGTCATCGAAACCATCCCCAAGCCCCCAGACAAGTCCGTCGTTCCCTCCCAACCTGCTCCGGTCCGCCCTCTGACCCGCAGCCGCAGCTCCGCCGCCGAGGGTGATGAACAGCACGTCCATGCGGTCCTGGCGCAGTTCAAGCAAAGGTCACATTCTCTCGCCATCTTCCTTTCAGCCACCACGCTGACATGTGCTTGTGCCCAGGAACGCGGTCCTGCGGCGGATTCTCGACTATCCATACGGGAATGGAGCATCACCAGTGAATGGTTTACAGAGCACGAACGGCGCCGGTCAGGAAACTGCAACCTCATCAACTCCTCAGACATAGTCTGGTCCCAAACCCGCGAATCTCTGCCTTGTGGTTGCTGTGTGCTCATGCTGCCGGACCCCTATACCTGTGATCGTTAAAGCCAGTCAATAATGTCCCTCCTGGAATATACGTAATAATAATGTGTATCTATATCATCGCACAAGAACACACAGACCGGTTCTTCAACGCTTCTTGTTCTTGCCTCCGCGCTGCTTCGCGCCCGAAGCACTAGGCCCCTTCGCCGCTCCGGATGTTGCGCCCTTGGCCTCTTCGTTCGCTGCAGACAATAACTGCGAGAATCTAGACAAAATGCACAAGTTGGAGACGTCAGAGCCACATCCCTCTCCATGCTAGGTGGACGAACGTACCCGCCCATCAAATCTCCGCTCTGTAGCGCGCTCTGGGCACCGGACATCTTCGCATGTCGTTCTTTGAACTCCTCCATGACCTCCGGGTCCATGTTTTTCTGCGCACGGGATGACATGTCAGCCACAGCAGCATCCTCGCATTTGCCTCCCCGGCGCCGAACCATGGCAGGATGTCGTATGCGGCGAGAACCCGGCAAAGAATGTAGACGAAGAAGTGCACATACCATCATCATTGGAGTAAGGAGGACGAGCACGCCCGCACCGAGCATGAGCATCATCATCGGGTTCTTGAACATGGCGAGGACGTTGAAGCTTTCGCGGGGGACGAAGTAGTCATGCTTTCCCCGCGCGGTGAGCGTGATAGGATATGGGAGCGTTATGGTAGAAGGCGGGTCGAGCGGGGTCCCAGGGAAGTAGGGTCGCACTTCTGGCAGGGTCTCTGTCTCGAAGATATCGACGCGCAACTACGATGGGGGCAGGTCAGTCCTCCGGTGATGGAGGAAGAGTGGTATCAGACGCACCTGCTCGAACGCATGGTCATGGGCTATTACAGAGAGAACATACGTCCCTGCCGGCACTTCAGGTCTGGAGAGTGTCCCGGACGTCAGAATGCGCACTCGATGCCTCCGTGAGCCAGCACCCACATCACAAAGGTTCCGTCTTGTGTCACACCTCCGTGCAGCCTCCCGTTGTCGAGAACAACCTTCGTCTGGCCCAGCTCGCCAAGACCTGTCATGATACATAAGTCAGGGAGCGTACGGTATCCCGCATGACACACCTTCGCAATGCTCGTTCCACTGTATACGGCCCTTCAGATCGAGGGCAAGAGCGGAGAAGCAGGAGCTGACAACAGTCGAAAGCCGTCAGCACGCCTCGTGTCAAGCAATTGCCAGAAGATGACGCATACCTCGTAAGGGCAAGGAGGGCTAGAGGTATACGCATGTCGCAGTCGTGGAGGTGGGGTACGGGATTATCGAGCTCGAAAGCACGGCTGTAGTAACGCACGTCCCGCTCGCGGGCCGGCGTCAGTGGCAAATCTCTCATTTCGAGCCTGGACGTTCACCGTCTCCACTCTCGCTTCTGCTCAGTACTGCGCTCTGTGCTTGCTAGCCTCGCAATAGATTACCTACAGCCACATCGTCTACGACTCAAAAACACTATCTCGTCACAATGCGCCAAAAGCGAGCCAAGGCGTACCGCAAGCTCATGTCCTTGTACTCGATATCCTTTGGCTTCCGACAACCCTACCAAGTTCTCAGTACGTTCACTGTCGCGCGATCTGGGTCAGTGAAGCGAACTAACTATCTACCATACGCAGTTGATTCGCACATGTGCAAGGAAGCTGTCACGCACAAGATAGACCTCGTGAAGCAGCTCGGCGCCGTTCTGCAAGGCACTGTCAAGCCCTGTGAGTCCGCCGATCCCGTCTTCCTCCCGGCAGTGGTCCTCGCAACACATCGCTGACTTGCGCTCGGCGAAGCCGCCCTTCAGTGATCACTCAATGCAGCGTCCAGGAGCTCTATGACCAGGAGAAGGAGTTCAAGCCTGCCGTGGAGCTCGCGAAGACGTTCGAGCGGCGTAGGTGCAACCACAGGCAGCCAATACCTGGAGACGAATGCCTCTCTAGCGTCGTTGGTGAGTACCCTTCCCAAGATGTTCCAGGCATTTCAACATTCGTACTAACGCGGTCTGCAGGCGAGACGAACAAGCACCGTTACGTTCTTGCAACCCAGTCGCAAGAGCTTCGCCAGAAGCTCCGCGCCATCCCCGCCGTCCCCATTGTCCACTTCAACCGCTCCGTCATGATCCTTGCGCCGCCAAGCGACGCTACGCTCCGAGCAAAAGCTCTTGTACGTGACCACCAAGATGTACCCATGCGCTCACCGTCTCTGACCCCGTGCACACTACCCACCAGAAGGAAGAAAAGGCTCTGCACCCTAGTGAGCCTGAAACAACAAAGCTCACTAGTGCTACCGCTACCCCTGCGGAACCACCACGCAAGAAAAAGAAAGGACCCAAAGGACCGAATCCTCTAAGTGTGAAGAAAAAGAAGCCGAAGCCCGACGCGAATGCTCCAAAAAGCGAGAAGCAGCCGGAGGACTCTAAATCGCAGGTTGGCGAAAAGCGGAGGCGTGACGATGGTGACGGCGACGAGATCGCCACGCAACAACTAGAAGGAGTAGGACACAAGAGAAAGCGACGTAGGAAACACGGACAGCCCGCCACGACGCAGGGTGAGGACGTGAATTCCAAGGATTGAATATGCGCTCTAGTCCTTGGGTGAATTTTGTGTAAAGCACCTAGTTTTCATGTTCCTTGCGTTGTTTGCCTTGTACACTCTCACTCAGTCACAGTACTCTTGGTGTCTCAAGTCAGCGTGATACGACGTGATGCGATATGCGATGATGCTCTACAAGTACAACAAATGAACGACGCGCAAAGACCGACAGCCAGACGACAACACCTCAGTTGCCACCACGAAGACGGAGGACTGCATAGACTATCGTCAGCTTGGGCTCACGACGTGAGAACGGGCGGCTTGGAACTTACCGAGATGGAGCGTGCTCTCCTTCTGGATGTTGTAGTCGGAGAGCGTGCGACCGTCCTCCAACTGCTTTCCGGCGAAGATGAGACGTTGCTGGTCAGGCGGGATACCCTCCTTGTCCTGGATCTTCGCCTTCACATTGTCGATGGTGTCTGAAGACTCGACCTCCAGCGTGATCGTCTTACCCGTGAGGGTCTTGACGAAGATCTGCATGCCTCCGCGAAGACGCAAGACAAGGTGGAGTGTCGACTCCTTCTGGATGTTGTAATCCGAAAGCGTACGGCCATCCTCGAGCTGCTTGCCCGCAAAGATCAGGCGTTGCTGGTCGGGGGGTATGCCCTCCTTATCCTGAATCTTCGCCTTCACGTTGTCGATGGTGTCAGAAGACTCCACTTCCAGCGTGATGGTCTTGCCCGTGAGTGTCTTCACGAAAATCTGCATGCCGCCACGAAGACGAAGGACTGTGAAGTGGATTAGCAACTATACGTAAAAGTAACTGCGCGATCATTACTCACCGAGGTGAAGAGTAGACTCCTTCTGGATGTTGTAATCGGACAACGTGCGACCATCCTCAAGTTGCTTTCCAGCAAAGATGAGGCGCTGCTGATCTGGAGGAATGCCCTCCTTGTCCTGGATCTTTGCCTTGACGTTGTCAATCGTGTCCGAAGACTCAACCTCGAGCGTGATGGTCTTCCCGGTCAACGTCTTGACAAAGATTTGCATACCACCGCGGAGACGGAGAACAAGGTGGAGAGTCGACTCTTTTTGGATGTTGTAGTCGGAAAGAGTGCGACCGTCCTCAAGCTGCTTGCCGGCGAAGATTAGACGCTGCTGGTCGGGGGGGATGCCCTCCTTGTCTTGGATCTTCGCCTTGACGTTGTCGATGGTATCGGAGGACTCGACCTCGAGCGTGATCGTCTTGCCCGTGAGGGTCTTGACGAAGATCTGCATACCACCACGGAGACGGAGCACGAGGTGGAGGGTGGACTCCTTCTGGATGTTGTAATCAGACAGGGTGCGACCATCTTCGAGCTGCTTGCCCGCGAAGATCAGGCGCTGCTGGTCGGGAGGAATGCTACGAGATTGGAGGTTAGCAAAGTCGCCGCTGTGGTCTCAGATAAGCCGCCACTTACCCCTCCTTGTCCTGAATCTTGGCCTTGACATTATCGATGGTGTCGGAAGACTCAACCTCAAGAGTGATGGTCTTTCCAGTGAGAGTCTTAACGAAGATCTGCATTGTGGCAGGAGGATATGCGCGTGGAGGTAGGTGTAGTAGGGAGAGTAGCGTTGCTAAAGCAGCTGAGGCTGCGATGAACGATTATATACCTCACACTCGCGGGGTTTGAATTGGTGAGTCAGCCGGCCGCAAGGCAGTTTCCTTACTCGGAGCCGTTCTGAACGTTATCGCGTGTTCTAGAACGCCCGTCATTGCCACCAGGCGCATCTTTCATGGCCGTACACACGGCTACTCCAGCTTCCTACAGCACCGGGAGTTGGACCATCGGTGGTTGCTGCACTAACATTGAGCCCGTGCTGTGTCTCTATGTAGTGTCGTACAAAGTATGACACCATCAAATGTTATAAGCTGGTCACCGCTGTTGTCGCATCTGACCGTTATATGGTGCCATGTACCGCGACCGCATGCTGCGGAAGTTCTGGCAGGGTTACCACCCATCGCATGTAGCCTGGAATAATGATAGGCACCTGCACCTCACCGCTCCGACCAAGGGACAGGATCAATGCTGATAGAAGTACAACTGATACAAGAACTGGTCCTGATTCGTCCATGTTTTGCGACACGTTGTGAAGGTGTCGCGAGAGCGGTCACAAGCAGTGAATACCGACACGGTTTCAAGAAAGACAGCTGTGTCCAAGCAGATGCCTTGCTACCCTTCCATTGGTTGATCTATCCACAACCGAATAGTTAGGTCTTTCTCCATGGCGGCTGACGCGATCATACGTCGGGTGGGATGTGACTAGGCAAAACATGAGCATTGATTGTAGAGGCGTAGTAATGGTTTCTCACAGCAACAGCAATAACTACGTCTGCACAACAGATTCAGACGCCTGAGGACAGGGTGAAGGTTCATGAAACTGACCTCTGTGACCTTCGAGAACTTGGACGATCTCTCGTGTCTGGAGATCCCACAAGTAGATCTTCATGTCTTCGCTTCCACTTACGATATGTTTCCGTCCAGGAGCAAAGTCAGTGAAGATGCAGTACGTGCGGTTCGTATGTCCAGTGTAGGTTTTGACACATTTCGATGTCTGCGTATTCCACAGACGGACGGTCGAATCCTGGGTGCTAGCCAGGATAAACCTCGAATTTGGTGTGAACTTGATATGGGAACTGAGTCAGACGTAAGTGACAATTAGCAGGTACCAGGAGCAGCGACGAACCATATAGGATTGTCGTCATCTGCCAGAGTCTTCAAACACTGACCAGATTCGGTGTCCCATAATCGACTTACAAGTACATGCTGTCAGCTGTTGTGCTTTCAATTCCTGTGAACAAGAGCTGACATCAAACCATCCATAGAGCATGAACCAATCAGTGTCCCATCGTGGTTGAAAGTTACTGCGGTAACCGGATCTGAGTGTGCCGGTAGCGTCTTCAGTGTCTTGCCTGTATTGCGTTCAGCCCGCGCAATCGCGGTTTAGGACTGAAATATACCTCGTGCGACATCCCACACTCGGACCGATTCGTCAAAACCTCCAGAAGCCAGGAGTTTAGATGACGGACTGAAATTTACACAGAAGACGAAGTTGGTATGTCCATGAAGGACCTTCAACACTGCGAACTGCCCGGGTGGACATGAAACCCATTTCGTGACGAGCAAACAAAAAGACACCATAGTACTCACATTCTCTAGGCTCCACAGGCGGACTGTCTTGTCATCCGACGCAGACGCGAGAAACTCCCCATTCGCAGACCAAGCCACATCCGAGATGCCTTCCGTATGGCCCTCGAACGTCTTGATGATGTCGCCCGTCTCTGCGTCCCATAGCTTGATGAGTTTATCCGCGGCTTACTTGCAGCATTTTGTGAGTGCGCGATGCATGGCGAGAGTGCGCGCGGAGGCGTCCATTGCTACTCACCACATGACGCGAGCATGGTTCCGTCAGGACTGAACTTGATCGACGACAACGAGCGCGAATGTCCGCTTAGTATGAGATGTGGCTTATAGTTAGGTTTGTACGGTCCGACATGTTTTGGTTCGGGAATAGGTGCGGGAGTCTGGGCGGAGGAGTCCGGCGGCGGGGGTGGGGAAAGAGCAGTCGAGGCGACACCCTGTTTGACTTCTGGCGGAGGCGGAGAATGAGAATGAGCCTCGTCGTGCCCATTCTGTTCTGGGGGAGGTTCGAGGGTTTCGAGGGGTGGTTTGTGGTCGCCGCCGTCGACCTCCATTGTGACCGCCATCGAGGAGCGAAAGAGGGGAAGATGCGCCACAAGCCGCACGCGTGTCCGCGGTACGCGAGCGTGAGCGCGTCTCGAGATTTTGTGGGCGCTTGTAAGATCCCCTTCCCCTACTCCTCGCTACATACTCCGGACTCTCGACCTCTGCTCTGTATCTGTACTCATCCACCAGGCTTGCTCGTGAACCACAAGATGACTTCCGCATCGAACTGGGCGTCCCCTCCTACTCGCCCTCCTCTGATCGAGACCCTCGTCTCCGGCGTTGGTGCGCTCGAAATGCTTTACATGCCGCCTGATTTTATCTGACACACGACTGCTCCGAATAGATCGTTACAACCCGTCGAATGTTAGCATCCTTGAGGACTATCTCTACCATCAAATACGGAGCGAGGAGTATGACTGCCTGGCGAACCTCGCCATCCTAAAATTGTCGGTCTTACGTCCCTTCATCCCCTCACCCCTCCCGACTCCATATATCTCCCCCCTCCACATCGCTCGCATTGATACTGATCCCAGCCCCGCGCACACAGGTACCAGTTCAACCCCGACCTCTACAACCCCGACGTCGTGATCAACATCCTCATCAAAGCGCTCACCTCCGCCCCCTTCCCCGACTTCAACCTCTGCGTCTCCCTCCTCGACGACCGCCCCGCGCCCCCCGCGAACCAGGACGAGCCCGACCCCCTCCCGGCGCTCCTCCCGACCCTCACCGCGCTCCACAACCTCCTCCAGCAGTGCCGCTTCCCCGCGTTCTGGGCCCTCTACCGCTCGGACGAGGTCGAGGGCCTCCGGGACAACTACACCGTCGAGTGCGTCGGCTTCGAGGACGCGGTCCGGCAGCTCGCGGTGCGCGCCGTCAAGGCGGCGTTCACGAGCATCGGCAGCGAGCGGCTGGGGACGTACTTGGACCTCTCAGGTGCGCGCGAGACTCTCGTGGACAGGCGCGCTCGGTAGCTGACGGTCGTTCTGGACGCCGAAATGGTCCCTCTAGGCGCGGACCTCAGCGCATACGTCGAGAAGCTCGGCTGGACGACGAACGAGTCGGGAGTGGTCAGCATCCCCCCGAACCCTGACAACCAGATCGAGTCGACGGTCGTCCAAGAGAATATCCAGCTACCTCGTACGCGATCTCGCCACCATCCCTCTCGTTCCTCGGTCGCTAACATTCGTTTCGCATGCTACAGAGCTAACAAAAGTCATCACACACGCTGCGCAAACGTCGCTACCTATTGTACCTGCTGTAAACTAGTCGCCGTCGTTGATGTTGTTGTAAGACATAGATCCTAGGTGTCATTTCTTGCGTCTCGGCTCATTCCTCCTGCATGGATCAATGCGAGAAAGATGATCGTATGCTATAGAATCACACCTACTGGTGCATGAGACTCGCTTGCATCGAGGTGCGTGAAACAGATGGGGTCTCTACTAGTAAGATACAACAATTTGTAGCTGTCTAGGTATCGTAAAGTGTCGTGTGTGCGAATGGATACAAAACCGGGAAATTGGTAATGGAATGGACGCGACGATTACAGAGCAGACCGCGCGAAGCACGCGTAACAGTGGCAGGGCCCTCATCTCCGAGTGACCGCCTTTTCACGACCCACCACGACCCCTCCCCTCCCCTCCCCTCCCTCACCTCGCCTCCAGCACAGCAGTCTCGAACGCGCAGAACGTGCCCCACAGCGCCATGCCCACCGCGACCGCCAGCAGCGCGCCGTCCCGCGCGTTCCGCCCGCGCAGCGCAATCTGCGCGGCGAGCGGGCCGATGATGCAGAGCAGGAACGAGAACGTCGCGCCGAGCACGGCCATGACGGACGCAAACTGCGGGACGAGGATGGAGACGGCGACCGCGAGTAGCGCGAGCACCATGCGCTCGACGGCGACGAGCACCGCCTTGGCCTTGTGCGACGCGGGGGCGGCCGCGGAGGACGCGAGGTCGGAGCCGGCGTCGATGCCGAGGAACATCTCGATCGTGATGTTGAGCTGCAAGGGGGGCGTGTCAGGTCAGGGGCGGAGGACGGGGTGGGGGGGGGGGGAGGGACGTACCGGCCTGGATGTGAGCGCGAACTTGGACAGCGGAGTGAGCACGAGGCCCCAGAGCGCGATGGAGTTCAGGGCCGGGTGCGCGTTGTACTTCATGAGGTCCATGCTGAACTGCATAGACGGCTCAGCGAGGGCGGGACCTGCGGACAGGCATGGAGCTCACCTCGTCGCTGACGGCATTGCCGAACATGATGTACCCGGTGACACCAAGCAGCCCATATATGCCGGTGGCGATGATGAATGCCCGGTCGATCATTTCGTCAAACCGCGAGGGGTCGGCCATGTCCTTCGCCAACGTAGGGATGATGGCGTGGCCTGCAAACTGTCGTACAATTGGTTTCACGTTATGTTCGAAAACGCAAAGCTGATGAACATACCCCTGCCATGAAGAGGCCAAAGGCGATGCCAAGCTCGCGGTAACTATCGATCCCGAGGCTGGTGTCCGCAGGACTCCAAAGACTGCCTGGGCTGTCAAACTTGGTGAATCCGTCGAAGAGGATGATGCCCATTATAGCCATAAGGGAGAATATCCCGATAATGGACGCATACGAAAGCACAGATAGCGGCAGGAGCACCGCGGGTATAAGTCTGGAAGGTAGTCATCAGCGCGCGAGGGAGGCTCTAGAGTTGCGCATGTGACCCACATTACTAGGCCAAGGATCTTGTAGGTATCGGGCGAATAGGTGGGTATCAGAACGTACAAAGAATCTGCGTAGAGTGTGACCAGCGCGACCCTACAAGGAGCGTCAACCGGTGCCTTTCCTTGATGCATATTCGAACGGACGTTACGGTGAACAACTCCAGCCCGAAAATAAGGCTGATGAGAGGCATGGATCGAGGACCAAACGCCTTGCGGCCGATGTCGGCATAAGACCGTATGCGAGGATCTTCGAGGACGATACGAGCAAGGATTTTTGCCCTGTCAAAGTGAGTGTGGTTAGCTTGGCTACAACTTGGCAACCCTGGAGACGTACGTGTAGCACGACACGAGGCCATAGCCGATGATGAGGATGGTACCCCCGATCCATCCTGCACATGCGAAGGCGAAGGGCTCTGACAACATGCCAATTCCAAACAGCGCTCCGACGGCATTCAGCAGCTGGATGTGCGCCGCTTCAGCTCAACCGGTGACGTACGCAGCAGGGAGTTGTACGTACCGTTTGAGTAAACGTACTCTGGCCAACATGGTACTTCGCCTCAGGCGCTTTGGACCGCACACTGGCAGACGAGATCTTCCGCTGAACGGCAGCGTACGACGGTGCGCTCTGGTCTGCCGCACGACGTCCAAGCGAAGTGCTAGAAGACGATGCGCGAACGAGCAGCGGAGTGTGTTCACCTGGGGCGGCACGAGGCGTTGGAACGTCTTGTTCGACTTCCAAGTCCGCCGGAGGAATGCGGTGTGCATCGGCAGTAGGGAAGTCATACTGCCGAGTCTCAGAGGAGGGTGCCGGGGTCAGGTCGTCGTCCCACTCGACGTTCTCAAGGATGGCATCGTCTCCGGACGCGCTGTACCTTCTTCGCTCGCGGGAGCGGTGCTCCCATTCGTCCCCGAGGTCGTCCTCGTCCTCGTAACCAGCTTCAGCATCATGGGGTAGACTGCTCGGCAGTGAGGACGAGGAAACGGAGCCGGAGATGAAGTCGGAATGGTGAGACTGAGCGCGACGGTCTGGATGGGGCACGAAAAATTGAGTTGGGGTGCGGCAGGCGGGAGGCAAACGTCACGCACAGGACTCGAACGCGTCTATGACATTACTGGCAGACTGGTAGGAGCCAGAGATGATGGCCGCTGGTATTGAGGACATGGGGGTGCGTCAGGGTCGTCAGAGTCGTGAGGGTCGGGGCGGGAGGAGAACAGGGGGAGGCTGCTACCTGTGATCGAGTCGGTGGCGGTGATGCTGTCGGCCGGCACTTCTGTGGGTCTTTTCAGACGGAAAATTGGACTGGAGAAGCAGGCAAGGTCCGAGCGGGAAGGTCGAGGGCGTAATGATGGCAGCTACTCACTTTCGAGCAGCTTCCTTCCCACCCGTTTGTGTTCTCGTCGATTCTCGTTTTTGCACGCACGTACTTAGACAGGTTTATACCGCGCAGGGTTGTTGGATTGCTGTGATAAGCATGGCCGGACCGTGCATGCCATCCTGGAGCCCTGCAGAGAGATAAGCTCTTGGGCAGAGATGGGTGCACTGAGCGTGTGACGTCAGAGTCCCAGTGCGAAATCACAGGCGTCTCAGGCTTGTCCCAAGCCCATCTCCGAGTCCGCGCTACTCACATCCAATCTACTACATACCTACTCGCCGACCGTCGCACAATCCGCCGACGGCCGGTACGGTCCCCGACATATCGCGGCACGACATCATATCCGAACACTCTAGACGGCCATGCCGCGACTGCCCTTCCTTGGTCGTCTAACGACAAGAGACTATGTCGCCCTCATCTTCGGCGGCCTCTTCGTCGCCCTCGAGACCATCCTCACTTTCATCATCTCCTTCCTACCAAAGTCCGTCATACAATGGTTCTACGAGCGCTCCCGCACCATCTTCCACGTCGTCGTCGGCCCCCCAATACCCAAATCCGACGAGCAGCGCCTCGCTGAGCGCATCCGCCGCGCCGAGGATTTCCAACGCCTCTGCGAAATATTCGGCTACCAGCACGAAGAGCACGTCGTCCTCACCAAGGACGGCTACCTCCTCGGCCTCCATCGTCTCCCCGCCAAACGGGGCGAGGACAGGGAGAAGCTCGGTACATCCACCGGCAAGCCCGTCGTCTACCTCCACCATGGTCTTCTCATGAACTCCGAGGTATGGATCTGCCTCACCAGCCCCGAACGCTCTCTGGCCTTCACTCTTGTCGAGCTCGGCTTCGATGTGTGGCTAGGCAACAACCGCGGCAACAAGTACTCCAAAAAGTCCATCCACCACAACCCGAACTCGACCAAGTTCTGGGACTACAGTATGGACGACTTCGCCTGGCATGACATCCCCGACTCTATCGAGTATATTCTCCGAGTGACCAAGGAAGAGAGCTTGAGCTATGTCGGCTTCAGCCAAGGCACCGCACAAGCCTTCGCCGCGCTCTCTATCCACCCACCGCTGAACGAGAAGATCAACGTCTTCATCGCGCTCGCTCCCGCTATGAGCCCTGCCGGGCTCGCTGCGTCCGTCGTGGACAGTCTCATGAAGGCCTCGTACGTACCCTTCCCTCTCCCGCTCCCCTGAACGCACCGCTCAAACCGCCCTCCGCCCCCAGGCCCACGCTCGTCTTCCTCATCTTCGGCCGCAAGTCGATCATGTCCTCCGTCCCCGGCTGGCAGTCCCTCCTCTACCCGCCCCTCTTCGCCGCCTCGATCGCCGTTTCCCTCCGCTGGCTCTTCAACTGGCACTGCCGCAACATCGGGCCCCTGCAGCGCCTCGCCGCCTTCGCGCACCTCTACTCCTCCGCGTCCGTCAAGTCCGTCGTGCACTGGTTCCAGATCATGCGCAACGCCAAGTTCCAGATGTTCGACGACGACGTCCAGCGCGTCATCCGCATCCGCCGCGCGCCCCGCCCCGCCGGCGTCACCGCGTACGCCCCCGCCCGCTTCCCCACGCGCAACATCGTCTCGCCCATCGTCCTCCTCTACGGCGACGGCGACTCGCTCGTCGACATCGACGCCATGCTCCACGAGCTCCCCAAGCGCAACACGCGCGTGCGCAGGCTGCACGGCTACGAGCACCTCGACGTCATCTGGGGCGACGCCGTCCACACGGACGTCATCCCGCACGTCGTCAGCGCGCTCAGGGAGCACGCCGTCCGCCCGGAGCGGCTCGCGGCCTCGGTGAAGATGACGAACGGGTTCGACGCGGCCGTGGCCGCGGGCGAGGCGACGGACGGGTACAATACCCCCGCGGACACCCTCTCTGGCTACGAAAGCTGAACGCTGACGCATAGCTGATTGTATTCTGGATATGGTCGTGATACTTGGGGCCAGTGGATGGATAGGATGCGCGGACACTGGTTTGTCCGAGGCGTGGCGTGTTCGGACTCTCGCACGTCTCGAGGAGCGGACTATATTCTTGGTTTATAATGCACGTGCAGAGGGCTCTGTGATTTTGAGTAATCTCATCCAACCTTTTTCTCACCACATCTCGCGTCAATCGGAGTGATAGGCAAGAGCGAACTACGCGACAAACGAGCGAGCGATACGAGACACGCGACGACTGCAATTGTGCGCGTACGGCCGAGCTACATGATGTATACAAAACTCTATGGATTGCACGAGGGAGTGCTAGTGCGTAGCATCTGGGCGATTGGGGGGTGAGGCAGGGGCGATGGGAACGTCCGCTAATTAGAGTATAATGTGACATGTCGTGCTGGGACCCATGCACCGTGTTCAGTGAGCTGCAAATGTGATATCAGAGAATGCCGATGCAGGGAACCACCAATCAAGCAGTGAGATACCGAACGAGAGATATAGAGCGGCGGAAGGAAAGATGCGGCGACAAAGCAATGGTTGACGATCGACGGAGAGTGAGGGGGCCGAGGAGAGATTAGGAACAATGTACGGTATAGTGAGTGAGACGTCGTGGTACATCGCGAGTCCCCAGTGGAATCTAGTCTCAAGACCCGTTTACCGCCTTGCGGTTCGTCCACTGCATGTAGGGCTCCCGGAGGAGCTCGGCGTCGGGGCGCTTGCGTGTGCTCCGGCGAGCCTCGGGAATCCTGGCGTTCGCGTTCAAGTCCTAAAGCCGGCCGTCTCGAGTCAGAACGCGTCGATATGCGTCGACGAAAGAAGTGGACGTACCGCTGCGCGCCGCCGCATCCCCGGGGCGATGTGGTTCCACCACTTCGTGAACTGATTCTTGAGGTTCAGCTCCCGCACGCCCTTAGGGTTGAGCCACGCCACGAACTCCTGCACCTCCTCGAGGTCGTTGAACACTGCCCACTCGTTTGCGCCCAGCATGCCCTCGGGGCCCTCCTCCACCCGCCGTCGTTCCTCGATGTTCTCCTCGCGCCGGTCGAGGATCTCCCTGTCGAACTCGCTGGGGCCCTGCACGAAGATGCGCCCCGTCCCGTACTGCACCGTGCCGCCGCCGCCGATGAGGGACGCGGCGCCCATGCCGTCGAACCACCACACGCGGTTGTAGAACCGGTCACGCCCGAGCGGCTTGACGCGGATCGAGCCCAGGAGCTTGCGGAACTCGCGCTCGATGCCCTCCAGCTTGCGCTCGAGCTTGTTCACCTCCTCGTCGAGCCGGCGGCGTTCTGCCAGCGCGGCCTTGAGCGACGTCGCCTTCGCGCGGGCCGCCTCGCGCTCCTTCGCGGCAGTGCGTCGCGCGGACACCGCCTTGGACGGAGGGGCAGACTCGTTGTCCGAGTTCGGGATGTCGGAGAGATCGGATGAGTCCTGCATTGTGACGTCTTCAGACTTGCCGTTCCCATTGGCGCCGCCCTCGGTTTCGCCTTGAAGGGCTACCATCTCTTCGAGACTGCAAGAAGCAGAAATATGTCAATACGCATTGGTGGCTTATTGACGGATCAGAGACATACTACTGCTTCTTTGTGCGGTTAACTTCGATCTTTTCTTTCCGCAACGCAGTCAGCTGTTCCTCGCACAACTCCATATGCGCATGGATGGCCTTGCTCGATACGGCGAGTGTGCACATGAAGTCGAGGATCGCGACGCGGTCCTTAGGCGGTAGCTTGTGGTATAGCTGACCGGGTGCTGTCGGGGTAGTCAGACGTAGCGGTGCGGGACTAGTAGCTGGTGATGGGGCGGTCGAGCTGGAAGGATCTTGGGAATGGTCTGGAGCAAAGAGAAGACGGGTCAAGACCTCACGAAGCCGAGGGAAGTTCTCGAGATTCGCGTGCTATATTCAGAATTGGGTGAGCATCGATGACTGACGTGCCTCAGCGAACGACGTACGTCTTTGAGGCAGCCAACCAAGGACTCCTCCCAGCCTTCTCGATTCTCAGCGTGCCGCAAGGGTGCCCGCTCCCAGTTGTTCCCAACATCGGCCATCGCGGCGGTGAGCTGCTCAATGGTAACCCCAAGCAATTCGCCGTCGCCCCTCTGCTCCTTCAAATCCATGAGCGACAGGATGGCGCTATGTCTATTGAACGGCACAGTGCGAAGGTTATAGATGAGCATCGAATGAATCTCGCCGAGCAGTTGGCAATAGGGCTCGATCATCGAATGGCGTAATGCACCCTCGAACTCGTCCATCGTGAATGGAGACATATGTAGCGGTTGACTAAGTAAGGGAGAAGTCCGGGTCAGTACTTGCGCTCGCGCAAAACCTCAATGAACCCACCCGTAGACGACAAGGAAGTTCCACGACATGAGGAACATAGCGTTGGTCTTCTGGTCCTCTCCGAACGGCATAGCGAGCTTGCTCGGCACAGGTCGCTTCAGCTTGATGCCCGCCCTCTTCTCCTTGTCGCCCAGCACGACATCCAAGTCCTCTGTCGGATACCGTACAGGTTTCTTTTTCTTCTTTTCTGCTGCCACAAGACGGTCGTTCTCCTCCTTGACCTTCTGCTGCTGCTGCTTCTGCTGCGCTCTCTCGCGCTCCTCTCGTTGTCGCTGCTCCGCAACTGCCAAAGCGATCGCCTTCTCCTTCTCTGCTGTATTCGAGCACGATCAGCGTGACGACACTCCATGGCGTCTCCAGAGCAGGATGGTCCGCAAACGTACCTTTGTCTTCGGCTATCTGCCTCCGCTTCTTCTGCGCCGGACCCTCCTTGTCTTCCCACACTTTCTTCCGCTTGTCAATCTCACCCTTCTTCACGGCCTCCACACCAAGGCGGATCTCCTCGGGCATGATGCTACTCACGCCGAACCGCGCAGCAATGGCGGGTTTCACAGTCCATGGGGAAGCAACCGCGGCATCTCTGTCCACGCAGTCACGGATGAAGCGGCGGAGTATTGACTTGGAGAACGCGAGGCGGTCACGGCTGGGTGCAGAGTCGCATGAGGCGTCGGAGCACAGAACAAGCACAATGACAAAGCTACACACCTCATGATGTTGCATCGAACATCCAACTGTGCGTTGCTCCATTGACCACGGCTCGCCTCCTTGCCCTTGGTCTTCTCGTGACTCTTACCAAACCCGGGCTGCTTCTCTTCGTCGAGCACTTGCACTTGGTAGACGTACTTGGATGGGTCGTCGAGAGCTATCGAGTCCTTCACCGAGACCTTGAGGTCCTCCGCAACCTTGTGGATTGCTACAGGCTCGTCCGAGAGTGGTGATGAGGCGGTGGACGTAGACGCCACAGGGACAGGACTGCGTGCTGAAGCGGGTGCCTTGGGCGAGAACACTTGACTGACACGAGCAAGGTACCTAGAAGGCGGGGAATCATTGGCGGAGTTCCTGGACACACTGTGGAAGGCGTACTTGTCACCCTTGATATCAATGTACACCTCTGGAGCATGTGTGGTTAGCGGCCAGTTAAACGGTATGGCGTAAGTTGAAGAAAGGACGAAGGGAGACATACTCTCGTCAGGGTAGTATCGGTCCTTGAAACGGTCATACACGGCCTCAACGAGGTGGTCAAGGCGCCCCATAACCTCTAGAGGTATGGGAGGAACGTCCCAATTAATCAGACACGTAAACCACGCGGATACGCGAGGTACTTACGCCACTGGACTGCTTTGAGGACAGCAGCCTTCAGCTGGTCCGGGAACCTCGAGTGCATAGTTCGCGCCTCTTGCCGCTCACTCTCCAACGCCTGAAAGTAGTCGAGGCCACTCTTGCCGGTTACCTCGCATTGGAACTGCTTCATGCGATAGAAGGACATCCGAGCGGCGTAGGCCCTAGGAAGGACAGGAGGTTACACAGGCAGAACCAAGGCAGGAGGAGGTGGACAATAGGCGCACTCATAGTTGTCAAAGATCTCGCCGGTCTCCTCTAGGTAGAAGACTTCGTGGTTGGGGTCGTTCTTGAGGGCATCTAGAAGGGCGGGGGAGGGCTCTGTGAGGAGGACACGTTTGCGCCTGCAGGTGGGCATGGCGGAGGCGGGAGGGACGGGGGGAAGAGGAGAGAGGTGGGAGGGAGGAGGCAAGAAGGGAGGGAAGGCGGGAAGGGGGAGGGGGGCGGCAGGTGGCTAGGTTGGAATCCGGAGGCGTGAAGCGGTCCCCTTCGCATTTTTGCAGCAGTGCGTCTCTCGCCGAGGGCCTCCACGCTCAGCCGCCACCTCCTCCTCGTCCGTTTCCAACTCAGCTCGCGCTCCTTTTCTCCGCAACCACCACCACTGTTCCACTCCTTCCACCCCCGCACGCTGCACAACCTCGCTTCGCTACCTGCCACTCACTGTCCCAACGCGCGCCCGCGCGCTGTATCCGATCTTGCGCTGCGAGCACAGGCGGATATCCAGGTCCACCCCAGATCAACCTCTGATTCTCGGTCACGCCTTCGTCTATCCTCCCGCTGCTTTCTCTTGTGATCTAAACATGCTTGGGACGACCTGCCAATCTGCCTAACTCTACGGCTACACGACACAGGAGAAGTTCTATTCCCATGCTGTATCTACTGGTGTGCGCCCGCACGAGGACCAACGAAACCTCGATAGTCGAGCACGCACAGGCAATACAGAGGACTGTGTGCACAGTATCCCAGACACGCAGGAATGTATGCGGGTGGTCTCACGCCGGTATGAGCGTCCACAGAGCCCGGAGAGATACTAGCCAGGAGGTTCTCTGTACGGGATGGCGGTTTACAGGCATGTCATAGCTCCCATCCTAATCACTATCGCACATCTCTTTGCTCTCCATCACGACGCTTTCCAGCGGAGCGTGTATGGCTGAACGTCGCCATGACCCTCTTACGGAGTCCTTGCCGAGATTTTGATGCTCGCTGCCTGCGCCGACAAGACGCTGTGTTGACGCGTCGGAACGGTCACGTGCAAGCATGAGGCTCGTGAGACTGCAGATTTCTATGTCTGGAGGGTACGGAATAGAAAGGAGCGTTCGCAAGTAGTGTAGGATCTCGCGACGGAACACCAGGCCTACGGCTTGGGGTGTGGGTACCCTTCAGGTTGTTTGCCGGATCCGGACTCGCATCGGAGCGCCCCACGCTGACTCGCTGGAGGTGTCAGCTCGAACGCGACACATCATGCAATACGACAACAACACTAACGCCAACAGCAAACTTATATCTTGATAGCATGATTACTCGTACAAGAACGGGATACAATGTATGTCCTTCATCGAAGCGGCACAACACCGAATCGTACATGCAGTAGTCGTCAAAGATCGTGGGAGGGTAACAAGAGAGCGAGGGGTATTAAGGGTATGTGCATGTGGTGTATGCAGAGTTGGTCAGTAGGTGGTCAGGTAGTCATGGCTCGTTCGGACCTAAGAGAAACGTGCAATCAGTTCGCTGCACGACGGCAAAAAGCACCCCACTACTCACCGTCTAAGCAAAGGGTGGTTGTCCGTACGAGCAAGTTCGGAAAAGACAGGAGAGAGAGAGAAAGCAAATCCACAATATAGCACGTCCCGCCGCAGAGCACCACCGCGCCATCACTTCCTCGCCTTCCCCATGTGCACAGGGACGGTCTGCTTCGCCTTCGACTGCCCCGACCCCGCGCTCGACTCGGACGCATGCCCCCCGCCGCCCGACTTGTCCTGCTTGTCCTTGTCCTGCGTCCGGCCGAGCAGGCGCCTTAGCTTCCCCCCCGACTGCTGCTTCTCCTTCGCCTGGTCGACAGCATCGATCATGACGATCGCCTTCGCCGCCGCCGACATCGTCGACTTGCCCGCGCCCGTCGGCGACGTGCGCATGGCCGTCGGGATGCGCGAGTCCGAGTGGCTCCGCTGGTGCTTCAGCGGCGGCGCGGAGAGCGCGGAGCCCTGCCCCGCCGAACGCGACGGGGATGCCGCGCCGCCCTTGCGGTTGCTGTCGATGTTAATGAGCACCCAGCCCTCGGAGATGGACGACGCGCGAGGGGCGTTGGGCGAGCGCTGGGCGCGGACAGAGCCGTGCGCCTCTCCGTTGGCGTGGCCGTTCGCCGCGGCGGCGGGCTTCGCAGGGTTGGCGGCGGTCGGGGTTGCGTTGGCGTGGCCGTTCGCAGGCGGGGAGGGGGGCGAGAACGTCTGCCGGTCCAAGGTGCTCGTGTGCCCGACCCACGCCGCCTCGCTCTTCCTCGCGCCCTCGCCCTCCGCCCGATGCTGCTCCGGCACCTGCACCCGCACGTTTCCTCTCCTCTCCCCATCGTCGCCCTCCTGACTCGGCTGCTCCTTGATCGTGGGTGGTATCATGTTCGCGTTCAGGTTACTGCTCGAGCTGGTGGTACTAGTGGGGATTGCAGGGGATGCTGCGTCCGTTCCTGCACCACAACCCACCCTCGGCCCACTCTCCACGACGTCATGAGGCTTCTGCTCCTCCTTGGGCGTCGGCGCCCATGACCCCGGAAGCACTGGCCCGCTCGACCCGCGGCGCTCGAGAGGAGGATGCGTCGGCGCTTGCACCTCGGTGCGTGCGTCGATGCTGGCTCTGCGCTCGCGCGGACCGTGGGGTGCGGCGCGCCAAACAGAGAGGCGGGTGTCGGCCGCCATGGTCGTAGGATCGGGATCCTTGCCTGTCCAGGTGATGGGTATCTCGGTCGACCGCCAGCCTGTGCTTGAGGACAGGCCGGAGTCGCGGAAGGCAGTTGTGCCAAGCAGAGGTGGGGTGGGGATCCGTGGTGGATCCGAACTATGCGTCGAGAGAGCCGGCCTTGGAACGTCCGCGGAATGTCGCGCTACGACGCCAGGCGCAAGCTGGCTTGGAGGCGGCGCCTCAGAAGTAGGGGTCAGGTGCAACGGCTGTGGGTTGTTGCTCAGAGGTGACGCAGACAAAGGAGAGGACGCCCGACGCAGTCTGGAGCTATTCGAGCTCGAACTTTGACTTTGTCGAGCTATATCGTAGGGCGAGTCCTGAATGACCCCGCGAAGCATAGGGTCATCGGTGGAGGAGATAGAGTAGTGACGCGAGTGCTGACGTCCCCAGCTGCTTGGGGCTGGAAGCTGCGGCGCATTGGTTCGCGGCACGAGGGTCGGCAAGGGTCTATTCCAAGGGTTAAACTCGCGTTGATAGGCGTTCCCATCTTGCACTGGTCCAGTCGTGTAAAACACTTCGGGCGTTGGGGTTTGACTGGCCCCTCGACGATGAGCGGTTCCGACGCCAGTCATGTCCACGCTGCCAACCTCGCTAGGAAGTCGACCGTGATTGTCCAGAGAGTGGTCGTTCAAGGAGCTATCTGACTGGAATGCATGGGGAAGCTGAGCCTTTGGGAAAGGCTTCTTCAATTTGCTCATGCCACCGGAGCTGTTACTCGGTGTAACCTGCTTGAGGGGAGATGGGTGAGATGCCGACCGAGAATGGTACTGCCCCTCGGGCGAAATGCTGGTTTTTATCTTGATTAGAACTCGAAAGGGGCGATAGGTGTGAACATGCACTTGCCCGGTACGCTGAGGGGTTATTTCCCGCTTCAGTTCCAAACTCGAACCTGCAGGACTCGCAGGAGGCGAGTCGAGAGATGGGTTTTCCGGAGGACCGACGAATATCCATAAATCTCGTGTTCGCGAGCGACTTCCGACGGTCAAGGAGGTGAGTAATGTGAACGAATGTCGATCAAGGGTGCCCAGAAGGGTCAAGATCTGCTGAAGAGAATCTGCCGAGAAGGTATTCTCTTGGAACCCTGGCAACGCTTGTCAGATGCAGCAGGGTGCGGGCGTGCTGCGGACTTACACTTATATCCCTTGAGCTTGAACTCGTACGAGTCTCCCAGCTTCTTCTCGTAGGAGATGCCGCGAGGCCATGCACTCCTTACAGCCTGGAGGATTGCTGGAGTCAAGGGTAGCGGAGGCTCAATCACGCGCAGAAGAGAGGTGGAAGGAAATGAAATTGCAAACAGGAGTGGGCCTGCCTGCGGTAGCGTGCTGCATGACGCATTGGGGTTGGGGACGACGGGTATAGAGGAATTGACGGGGGCGGTGGACGGGCGGGAGAAAGCGATGGCGATGCGATCGTCGTGCTCCCTCGCATACTCGATGGTGGAAAGAAAAGAATAGCCATACTGAAAGACGACTGCGAGAATGGCGACAATTAGTTTCTCGGACGCAAGGTTCTTGACGTTGGCCCAAGGTTTGGTGTCAAGGGAGAACTCAAAGAAGTGACTGGCTGCGTTCTCGCGTACGCTGAGGATCAGATTCTGGTGGTCAAACAGACGGCGAAGGCCGTTGATCACAGAGTCAGGAAAGCTGTAGAGGCGGACAAAGCCCGTTCCGGCAAGCGTGAGGAGAGCGAAGGCGGAGACTACGCGCGGATGGTCGCGCAGGAACTCTTTGCGTGGGTAGAAGAGGGGGCTGGCGAGGAGGGCAGGGAGGGAGTGGGCGGGCGGAGGCTTGAGGACGTTAGGAGTGGGGGAGGCGGAGGGCTGGGCCATGGTAGGAGCATGGAAGAAGAGAGCGTTGTGATATCAGCCATGGACGGCAGCCATGGACGGCCTTTGAGAGAGCAGCGCTGCCCTGACTCCAGTCGCCCACGCCGCACGTCACTACTTCCAAAACCGGCTCAAAACACGTGCCGCGTGTCAGGCGCTCGTCGCGTCCTGCGTTGTCCGTGATGGCCTCACTGCCACCGCATGCCCTCGCCTGCCCGTTCCTGCTCTGCTTGCAGGTATGTATTCTCCCCTCACAAGCTACTGCCCCTCTCCGTACTCGTTCCACGGGCTTGACTGTCACAGAGGTTCATCATTTCCGTGCATCCGGGTTCTGGAAAACCGACCCAATGGCCCCGTGGTGGATGAGCGCGGATGAAGGTGGACATTCACTTCTAAGCACGGATCAATAGAACAAGATAGAAAGGGGGGCGCGTCTATGACTCTCACCAGAGAGCTCCTCGATTGCCGCGAAGGTGCTGGTGCAGAGAGCTCGAAGGAGCATTCACAAAGGCCGCGGGTGGACGCTCTACGGTCATGGGGACCACTCACCGTCACTCCTGTACCCATGTGTTGCTCGATCGAGTGAAGCTGCCGCAGCAGCAGTTCTGCTAGAACATTTCCAGATGGCTTGAGTGACGGTGAGTCTGTCTTCCCGGAGAAATGCCACCAAGTATAACCTTTATCCTTCTGCCTTGGATAGAAGAAGCTGGGTGGGCGCTGAACATGGACGCGTTATGTGAGCGCAGAAGAACGTGCGACGTGAGCTGACAGTCTGTCTCGCAGCAGACAGGCGGGCCTTCGTATACTGTTGCGCTGGGCTTGTCTAAGTACAGCTCCGTAGAATGCGAGCTTTGTGTGGACCGGGAGCATGTATGCGCTCCGGAGGCCGCGGCTCAACAGGCGCGGAGAGAACCTGGTGCTCCGGCCCGCCGGTTGCCCCGGACCGTAGGAGTACCGTCCAGAGGACCATGCTCGGAGGGACTTATATACAGCCTCCGTCCTCCTCGATGGCCCATCTCTCTTCTATCTCATATCCTCTGTACGCCCTTCGCAGGCATTCCGCAAGCAGACGATTGCTACGCCATGTCTGAACTGAAGAAGCTGAATGTTTTGATGTGTGAGTTGACCCCGCCGCTACATTCGACTTGCGGATCTATCAAACTGATCGTCCTCCATGGAATCCAACAGGTGGTACTGTACGTATCGATGTCCCTGTGGAAATGTATCATCGCTCACTCTTCCGCTCAGGGAGAGTACACCACAGGGTGGACCGGCGCCGGGGCTTCAAAGTCGGACAAAAAGGTATGAAGCAATCAATCTGAACAGCGGATGTGGGACTGACGGACTTGCGCTCTTGTCCAGATAGGAGTATGTCAATGGCTTCAATTCATGCATTTACGACATATGAACACTTCTATAGGTCGTTGCTTTGACCTGCTTTGACTTGCGCAGGCTCGGCAAGGTTAGCATCTCGTGAATACTTCTATGCCTACGTTGACATTGGATACTTCGCAGCTCGACCGTCTGAGCATGGTTGGTGTGAATGGTGGCAAGTTCCCTGCCATCCGCAAACATCTTCAGGAGAACATTGGGAACGTATACAAGGATCTCGACGTATCGTAAGTCGCAATCCTTCGCACACACGATCTCCGGCCTCAATATTGGCAGGTTTGACGCATACCCCGAGGGCGACTCCGTAAATGCCGAGGCTTGTAGGTATCCTCCATCAGATCAAGAGAGATATTGAGGACTCATTATCCCCTAGACAAGGAAGCGATTGACAAGCTGTCTCCTGGTGATGCCGTCATTATTTTCACGCCGGACAGTGAGTCGCTTCAGATGCGTGCAGCTGACCCGTCACTTAACCATCTCCCGCAAGGCACCCACTACCCCATCGCTCTCTACGCTATCGAGCACGGTCTGCATGTCCTCGTCACCAAGCCTGCCGTGCAACTCCTTCAGCACCATAGTGAACTAGTCGCCGCTGCGCAGAAGAAGGGCGTCGTCTGCTTCGTCGAGCACCACAAGCGGTGAGCATCAGCGCGGTTCGTTCATGCACTTGCTTGTGGACTGACGCTCTTCCTTCGGCTAGGTTCGACCCTGTGTACAGCGACGCAAGGGCGCGCGCCGCCACCTTGGGCGAGTTCAACTTCTTCAGCGCGTGGATGAGCCAGCCGAAGAGCCAGTTGGAGACCTTCCGCGCGTGGGCCGGCAAGGACTCCGACATCAGGTGCGTTCTCAGCCCCGGTCCGTCTGCGACACGTTTAGTGAGACTGACTGACTCGCGTGAACAGCTACTACCTGTCTTCGCACCACATCGACATCCACTGCTGGTTCATGCAAGGTCGCGCGGTCCCGACGCGCGTGACGGCCAGCGCTGCGACTGGTATTGCGACAAGCGAGCCTTTCAATTGCGTACCCCAGACAGAGGACACGATCACCCTCCTCGTCGACTGGCAGTCGCTCTCGAGCTCAAAGCACAAGGGCACCGCGGTGTACACGGCGTCCTGGACCGCGCCGCTCAAGTCGGGCGTACACACCTCGCAGCATTTCTACTATATGGCAGAAAAGGTATGCCAATGTCTGATTGAGAGAGCCACTGTCCTCTGCTTCGCGTGCCTGGCTGGCTATTCGGCTGCAGCACGGGATAGTCGGCGTGTGGCTATGCTCGATGAATAGAAAGTGACATACCTGATCGTGCACATCTTCCAGGGCGAGATCAACGTCGACCAGGCCCACCGCGGGTACGACATCGTCAATGACGAGACCGGCAAGGCGTGGTACAACCCCTTCTAGTGCGTCGCCCCTTCTGCATCACAGACGACTCAGATTTCTGACCGCGACCTTCGTTTGATCTATTGGATTGGTATTATTCACCTACCGCCCGCTGGCCATTCGCTTCTCCCACCGTCACCTCTTCACGCACCTTGTCGCAACGATCGTGATGATCGCGTGTTGTATGAATTCTCCGATCCGAACGGACGGCCCTTTCGACACCTCAGCATGAAGTACTCGCCCTCGGAGAGCGGGCACTTCGATGGCCAGCGCGGCTACGGCTACGTGTCGATCGAGAAGTTCATCGACGCCGCGCGGAGCGTGAACGCGGGGCAGACGACCGCGGCGGAGTACGACAAGCACGGGCTCCCGACGATCGCGAACACGATCCTCACCACCGCCATCTTGCACGCCGGGCGCATCAGTCTCGACGAGAAGCGCTCGGTCGGAATCAAGCAGAACGGAAACGACTGGGTCCTCGAGTAAGCGGGTGGACGGACCTGAGCGTATCTTCTCGGTCTGGTTCGTGGTGTGGGAATGGACGGCCGTGGGTCGGGCTGGCGAGGTCGTGTGCCTGCGATGAAGCTGATGTGGGGAGTTCCTGCGTTGTTGAAGTCCGTGTGCGCTGGGCTGGGCAAAGTTACGACAAAATGTAGTAGTGCGCACTGTGTAGGATATCCGCGACAGCGACAAAGCCCCTCATGAGAATTTGGTCTAGAGACCAAGAACTTCCGTAGTCTCATACCAAGACCAGTCTTGTGCCGAACTCGAAAAGTCCGACGCTGTAGCGACCACCGTGTTTAACACCACAATTCGTTCCTCCCCACCAACGTCGCGGGCCGGCCGCTAGAGCGCGTCACCCTTGATGAAAGCTATGACGGGTCGAATGATTGCTGGGTGCAGATCTGTGCATACATACCAGGCACGATCGCCGCACCTGCTAGACCCGGCCTTGTCCCGTAGCGTAATCCCTTGATGTCGCGGTAGCAAAACATTACGTGCATTATGTTTCCACGGCCAGCCTTGAGGACGATTCTGGGCACATATGTAGTTGTCGTCGGAAACGGCCCCCAATGCGCCTTTCGGAGGGGGTCCACTCCAGGCCTGCTGCTCGGGCCACCGGCCCGGCACACCGCCCGCCACGGCTGATCTTACCGTCGGACGCGGGCCGGTCGCTACGGGCGTCTGTACAACACCGTCTTCGATGACCGCCACCAGGGTCGTTTCCCCCAGCTCAGTCGCTACAATACCAAGATATTGCTTTCAGAAGTTCCTTACCCCCGGCGATGCTGCTGGCCGGGTGGCGTAGAGTGCATTCCTCCGCCTCGCGTAGGGCTGATCACTCTAGCGACCGCGCTATCGAGCCACCGAGCACAAGGTCACGAGCCTTGGCTCCTCCCACCCCGCACGGGAGCAGTAGCGGGCGAGGCGGCCCAGCACAAGACAAAGGGCGCGCCTCGTGTGCGAGCCGGGGAAGCAGCGAAGCGCGTCCCAGCATCATTCTTCTGTCCGTCCTCGTGCCTTAATTCGTGGGCCGAGGACAGCCGCCGAGGCCTCCGGGCCACCGACGCAGACCGACGGCCGGCGTTCTCGCCGTGTCCGCCTTACGTCACCTTAGTTACATGGAAAGAACAGAACGACGCTCTGTCCGATCACCAAGCTTCTTCCTTTGTCCTGCGAAGGGACCAGGACACTTCGCCGCAGCATGATCGCCGCGATACCTTGCACAGCCGGAATGGGCTCTCGGAGTTTGCGATAAGTATCGTATTGCATATCGAGGGTTGCGACGGATTGTGCATTGTGCACTGGTCTTGGGGCGCATGTGTCTCCTGAGGATCGAAGCTAAACGAAGACTTCGAAGCTATACTGTACCCGCGACTGTCAGCCCAGCCACCTTGATTCAGGTTCGTCATCGGCGGCGCAGACGTTCGTTTCTTGTACATCGAGCATTGCGCCTGAATCGGGAAACAGCCTTCGCGAAAGCGTACTTATGGCTGGCCGCTTTGGTGCAAAATAATGTAACTTCGATGCACGATTTGGCTTGGTAATGTAAACGACAGGAGTGTGCAAAACAGTGCGGTGCGGCAGACCCTTCAGGCCCGGACGACGACAGATGATTGTGGGGCTGACTCAATGCTGCGACATTGACGAGATGGTACGGAAAGAAGGCGACTATACGGTGGATATGACACAATGCGCAACGGGATCGGTGATTGCGGAGGGGACGGACGCAGACGACAAAGAAATGTACAATAAAAGTGAAGAATAAGATATGAACGAAGGAGGTGGCTAAGTTGGACCGGGGGAAAGGAGAAATAGGTGCGTCGCGTATAGCGATCCGGGATAGGTGCGCAGAAAGGAAAGGCGGGATGCATAGGCTAGGATATGTCTGAACAATGTTCGCGCGAGAGAACAAGGAGTAGTGCCAGAATGCAGCCGAACGACGGATACACCAGAGGGACTGCGCGGGTCCTAATCGTACACGAGAGGATGCGTACAAGGCGGTGCTTCTTGGTGTCGACCCGTCCGATTCGACGTTGTTCTTGTACTCGTATAGGCGACGATGTCTGGCACAGGAAAACAGGAGAGACGAGACTATTGCAGGAGAGAAGTATGCATGCATGATGAGACGATGATGTTGCTTTGAGAACCGGAGAATGCTTGGTGGATGCCGATGAACGACGTGTATGATGTGTTGATACATTTTGTGCGCGACGAGAGGATTGCAGGATGAAGGAAAGCGGCAGGAAAGCTTTTTACAACCTATACACCTGGGCTGACAGTGTCGACCACGGGCGAAGAGACGGGGGCTAAGCGGCACGAGGGGAGGAGATCCTACGAGACCATTGCGGGGCGCGGGGACGACACGTTGAGATTGTGCAGCGCTTGCCTCTGGTAGGTGACGAAGTCGTGGGGCAGGAACTGCTCCGGTACTTGCTCGATGAGCTGCTTGTTGAGTACAGGCTCGAACTTCGGCGAGGGCAAGTTCTCCTTGTCGTCCGACATGTACGAGCCAGAGAAAGCGTCGCTGGACAGTATAGGACTCGTGGGGGTCGCCGGCATGTCGTCCGAGAAGTCGGAAGCCGTCGTGGAAACGCTCATTGGGGTGCAGACCTTTGAAGAATAGGTACGCACAGGCGTCATAGGCAGCGTCACAAGGGGCTGACGCTGGAATCGGCCACCTTGGAGGTAGAACTGGAGGGTGAAGGTCGCAGCCTTCGAATAGAAGGCATAAGAGTACTTCTTGACCAAAGTCTCCGAAAGCTCGTTGGCGTGCTTCGCCAGCCGGTTGTCCAAGTGGTCCACGATCTCCAGACACTCCTCTGTCTCCTCGAAGAGACGACGGCCCTTTCCGCAGAGGTACCGAGCAAGCGTCAGGGCACCGAAGGCGATGGCGGATGAGGGGTACTGCACAAATTCGCGGTAGAAGAGAGTGATCTCCATGAGGAACCGAGCAACGTGCTGAACCTTCTGCTCTTCCATGATGGGGCCGCAGCAGAAGATACGTAACCACGACTCCGCGGTAGGGTGTCCAAGTGCCCACTGGATAGTCGAGAGGACATGCCCCTCCATCTGGATGAACGCGGATTCGTCGTATGTCTCCTGGCACATCTGCGCCAGGTCATGTACGGTAGGTACGCGCTCCTTCGCATCCTCAAACTTGGCAGCGATCCAGAGGGCTGCACAGCCGACAAGCTGGTAATGCTTCACATATACAACACGCTTCGAGACGTAGCGGTCGATAATGTTCAGCGTCAGGTAGAGGGTCTCGGGGCGGAGGCGGAACATGAAGTGAAGTTCGACGAGGAAGTCAACGAGACACGGGCGCATGTGCCACCGAATCTCCGGTTGCTGATCCATGGACGAGATTGAGCACATCGTCAAGCGCTATGCGGGACAAATCACAAGGCTCAACGAATGAACGGAACCCCTCGGCGAAGTGCGGCTCACCTCCATCTCGTGCATATACGCTCGAATCTCTTCATGATACTCCTCCTCCAGGTAAATCCCTTCCCGCCTGAGAGCGCTGATCTGCAAATGCCTCTGACGCTGCGCGATTAACTCCGCTTTCGCAGCGCGTGGGGTCTTCCGGACAAGAGAATGAGGGGGATAGAGGGGGCTTTGTCGCCTAGAAGACTTGGAGACGCCGTAGGGAGACGGCTTCTTCTTGGGATAAGCGGAAGGGCGCGAAGCCCTGGTTGCGTTTGAGACGTCCTTCATCTCTGAAGCTGGAGGAGAGGTGGGATGTTGACCGGTGCTTACTGAGGTGATGCTAGACGAAGAAGAGCTCGTGTGAGACGTCGCATCAGAAGTAGAAGGGGCAGAAGACATCATGACGGCACAAGCGGCCCAAATGGTGCGTGTCGGATAGCTGGGTTGGATAGCCGAGCTCAGAGAACGGCGTAGGTGGTCGGCAACAGTGTGAAAAACGAAGGACTCGTCGAATTAACCAAGAAGGCGCGCTCTCAAAAGGTAGTATAGACACGGTTCAGAGAGAAGGAAATGAGGCCTCACGGATACGTGGGCGAACATAAACATTTCACGACCGGGGGTAGTGCACGCGAAGAGGACACTTCGTCCGATCGTCACATCGCGATTGAAGGTAGCAATATGCATTTAGTGCGTTGGATGCTACGCTGAAACGCGGAAAGTGTTCAGGGCGAGGAGAAACTCACGGGAGGGCCAAGTGATCATGCAAGTATCACGGGAAAGCGAGACTTGATGGGGAGAAGAAGGACGTAGGTGGTGGTGGAGTCGTCGCGATGGACTGGAATGAACGTTACGAGAGATCGTCAGTGGGATCGTTATGTTATAAACAGGGCTCGGAGGAAGGCAGGGGGTAGACGGACGTTGCCAACGTCGAGTCTGGGCGGGGAGACAAGAGGAGGGAGAGCGGGTGAAATAGAGAGATATAAGGGATCCGGTATACCGGTAGGGGTAGACGCGCGACGTTGATGGGAAACAGCAGACGACTATTGGCTGGGACTATTCGCCATAATAATCCGATAATAAGTCGGACGCGAAAGCGTTAATCGCGATGTTATCGACCAGGCCCTCATCAGATGCCTCGTGTAAGGCCTCTCCACCGCGCCTTGGCCATGACATCGCCCCCCGCGCGACGGACATCCCGTGACGAGCACGCCCGAACAGACCCTGCACGGGCATGAACGACTCCGCATGCTGCCCGCGCAAGATAACGTAGAATGGAGCTTGTAGTGCAGGGACGGTACGCCCCAAGTCGATCGGCAGAGGGTAGCGCGCACAATAGACCGCGCTTCGCCTGTTCCCACGGCCCACGTTTTACGGCCCCGCCGCACCCATAGAAGGAAGGAGGGCAGACATTGGACGGCGGTGCTCACCTTTGATCTCCAAATGCACGTCCGTCCGTATGCCGTCCCCTCTCTTCACCGGAAAGTATGTTATCCAACAATCGACGATCAACTCGGCGCGCGATCCAAACAGTCTTCTTGAGCCTGCAAAATCTGCCCCGCGAGAACATACCCCCGTCAGCCTTCATCCAATCGCCCTCGCCTCATTCCACAGCGTGCAGTCGGCACTCACCGACACCGATGCCGTTGTAAGCCTTCTTGCAGCAACTTCGACGAACCGAGGGCAAGCGGGAGCCAAGGAATTAAATGCCGACCTTATTCGATTAAATTTCTTGTTCTGATACTGGCGAAACCGCGTACGAGACCGAACGAACGACTGGGGAGGGACAAATGAGGGACTTCGGGCGAATTTGCCGTCTTCTATCGAGAGGTGGCGGCCAACACGAAGTAGTCCACGACTAGGGGACACCACGGATATGCTGGGGCCAGAGGGAGGAGAGGTGTCGGACACTGAGCGAGAACCTAATCTGCGCTCGGTGGCGAGAACCAACGGAAGCCGCCAAGGGAAGCTCGCTGGTATGAGAGGGGAGAGGAGGATACGTGTGCAGCGGACGTCCAGCGATACTTCAGTGTGGAGGAGCCGGTGAAACGTCGTGGGCGGATGGGTGAAATCACAACGCACTAAAGGCGTGCCCCGCTTAGATCTCCTGCACGCCGTCTAATCCAGCAGGTTCCTCGGGACCTTTGCCAATTGGCCCCTTTCTCGGCGTGAGCTGCGTGGGGTCGAACACGTTGTCTGCCTGCAGGCAGCTCCCGCTACCAGATCAGGCTCATATCTCATGATTTAGGTAAGCCCCTGCTTCTCCGTCCGACAGGCTCGCGCGCCGAGGAACGGTATCGCCTTCTGTACGGTGCTACAGCAATTCTATTACTTATTCATGACCTGCAGCCCGACACGATTACCCTCTTGTGTGCCGTCTTGCACGTCTCGCCCATGCGGGTCTAACGAGGAGGGTCCGCTCAAGCGACGGGCCCTGGTCGGCATCATCATCAGCACGGGCAATCAACTACGCTAGCTTGGCCTACAGACTTATTGCAGATCTGAACAGCGACCGGGTCGCACGACTATATATCTTTGCAAGTGCTTCCGCCTGCGGGTATAAGGAGCTTGCCTGTTGCCGGTTGCGAAAGTAAAGATGTCATGTCGGACCTATCGCGAATAATTTCAAGGTATCCGGTGCTGACATTACAGGGATCATCCCAGGCCAGGACGCCTTCTCTTCACGCCGTATGTGCGCACCGCTCTCAGGACCCCTCCCCATCAGTCACCTTATCGAATCAATCGAGGCGCTCCCTCTGGACACCAGCGCAGGACGGTGCGGGGCTGACGTACTTCTGACGTTGGGGAGAAGGGACTGACCGCCTGCACTGACAGCGTACATTCTGATAGCCTGCCACCGTTGTGCGGCGGAGCCGGGGGAACCTGAGACACAACCCGTCGTCCCAGGTTCTCCCCCCAGGGCTGACGTCCAGACGGGCAACGTGCCCAGCCCTGGTTGTTCGCTATTTTCGCGCCCGCTTTCTACTCGGCCATTCCCTCGCCAGGAATTACAGGATGACTGTAGCGCTTCGTTCTGCACAGGAATCGCAGAACTCGCACCTTCCGAAGGCGCAACGCTGGCCCGCGGGACGCCGAGTTGACGTCCCCATTGATCGTCTGCATCCCGTCATGCCGTTGCACGATCCAAACTGCGGCGGCAAGATCGACTTGAGTAAGTGCAATGCGACGGGAGTGCGTGCGCCCACGCTCGGCCGCAGGTGAATGGCAGACCCGCCGTGAAGCCGGGGGGCTGGGAATGGCATTGCGCTGGCCGTATGAACGCCTCTTTCAGACGTTCATACGTACAACGCGCCACGAAAGAATTCATCGGGCGCGGGGAGAACGTCCATCAGGGGCTTCTAGCTTGTCCTCGTAGCTAACGCGGCTTTATTGCAGGCAGCAGATGGGAATACGGATGCGCAATGCTATCTGATATGAGTGGCATAAGAGCTGGTATAACGGTTTTCACACCGCACGGTGCCAGCCGACCAATGGCTGACCTACAGTTGTCCGGGAAGGCCCTGGGAGTAATAGAACTTGTCAAAGGTGCAACGCACGGCCTTCGCGCGAGAAAGAAGGGAGCATGATCGCAGGCTCAGGAAACAGGCGTGTGGACTCGCGTGCCGCATAGCCGAGCGCTGGAGATGCGGAGGCCAACTGGACAACGAGCAAGGTGACAAACAGCTTGGCCGGCGGGCGATCAAACATTTCTAGGCCCATCGTGCCATGTCAATCGTGTAGGGTGCAAAACATAGTACAGTGTCGCTGACGTTGTTGTATGTCAAGGACAAGCTATTCCGAAGAGAACATATAATCCTAGTGTTAGGAAGCACAAGACTAAACGGCTGTCTCAGGGAGAAGACGGCGGTTGCATGTGGTAAGGATGTTTAAATAGAATAAGCTCAGTCTTTCTCGGCGGTATTGGAGAAGGAGCGTTGTCAGACTGGCCGAGTTATCGCTGAAGCCGCGTGAGTGCACAAGACCAAGAACAAAAGCAGCAGGGAGGAGCGGGTGCGGTCCTCACGGAACAGGCAAGCTCAAAGCGCTGCTCTTCGGCTGACAAACCCTGGCTTTCCCAGGTGTGGGCTCGGCCCTTCCCTTCTGTGCGACTCCGGCTTTCCGGATCAGATTCGCTGCTAAGATGCACGGAAGCCACACGGAGGGGGATGTCGTGAGCATCTCGCCGCTCACATCTGAGAAGGGAAGTACTATGCGACGCCCTTGGGAGTACAATGTGGAAGTAGCCATCCGCATAAACCAGTGAGGACCTCGCTGGACATGAGCAACGGCAGAAGTAGAGGACACACGGAAGTTGGAAGATCTGCGGGGTCGCGTTTTGGGTAACCATCGAGAAGCGCGCGATCCTTGATCAGGAACAAGGCGGACGCGTCCGTGGCCAGAACATGCTATTTTGGGCCTATGACGTCGGGGTTGGGAAGTGCGACGTTTACGGGTTGACGCGAGTGCCGGGCGAACCTGTTCAGTGCTGAGCGTTAAGCGCCGAGTGTTCTACCAGTACTCTTTGCCTACCAGCCACCCGCCCGCGTTCGATTGCACACCGGCATACAGACGTCAGCATTGACACTGGCGGCGACCAGCGACAAAGGCGGGGCTTCCGTAAGAGATGCGCTGCTACACGTGTGATGGACGGCGGAATGCAGTGGCCATGGCGTGAACTGACAGTGCGCCATCTCTGAAATTCAATCGCCAGATGTTGCCGTCCCTTAGGGCCGATATAGACCAGGTGATATACGCCCCAGACCCTCCCGTGCCAGCTCATCGAACGAGGGATTGATGTCGGTCGTCGCAGACAAATCAACTCCTAGATGACGTAAGGGGCATCGTTCGTTTGCTAGACGTCCGTCAAGATTAGATACAGAATCGAAGGTAAGCCGTAACGACACGAGAATGAAACGAAAGTATGGATGGGCCAAACGGAAAAAGGGATATCGACGATACAATAACAAAAATGCGTTCTGATTGCAATTGCGGTGCGGGAGCCCATCTCTGGCGTGCTCGAACCTCGGGAGTCGGGAACTGTTACCGCCCACTGTCAACTGCCACTGAGTGGCCTGAGCGAGGGCGCACATAGTACATTGCTCATTCTCGGTGGCCGCCCATCAAGAGAGCCATCAAGTCCTGCGTCGTCTGCGCGTGACCTCCAGAAATCCCCTGTTGTTGTAGGTGCGACGGAAGGAGCTGCTGCACCAGGTGCGGGGGAAGCTGCTGCTGCTGGAGCTGCTGGCGCATCGCGACGTGCGACAGCTGTCCCCCAGGGCCACCATGTTGGGGTCCGAACCCGGGGCCGGAGCCGCGCATGCCTCCACCGCCTAGGCTGCCCTGCGCGAGGCCCAACAGCTGCGCTTGGTTCGCCGCCCGAAGGTCGATGTTATTCGGGACCACCCCGCCCAGCTGGTTGACCGACAGGGGGGCCTGGGGTCCAGACGGGCCCCGCATTGGGGGATTCCCGTTGAACCCGAGTCCGCCTTGCGTGAACGTGTTGTACACTTGCTGCGCGGGACTGGCACCGTGCAAACCACCACCTGGGATGCCGACGCCTGAGCCGAGATACTGAGACGGGTCGTGCGGTGGGCGTCCGCCGAGATTCGCGAGCCCAGGAGGAAGCCGCTGCGACGGCGGTTGAAGCGGGTTCTGAGCAGAGATGGGCGAGGGGCCGCGGAACTGGCCCTGTTGCATGGGGATACCGCCGCCGTTACGAAGCAAGCCTCCTTGCTGTTGGTTATACATCGACTGCAAGGGGGCGTTGTACATTTGCTCCAAGTTCCGCTGCTGGGTGAGGCGCTGTATGTTGAAGTGGAGCGGGTCGTCAATCTGTTCGTTGAACAAGACGCCAACGGTTTCTCCTCGGCTGCGCGAGCGCGGCGGAGCTGGGCGAAGGCCAGGGACGAGGCCATCCGGCACGAAGTTCCTGTCATCGAGACGGCTCTCGTAGAGGGAATCGAGGCGGTTTTGCGCAAGCTGTTGCTGTTGGAGCTGCTGCTGCTGCAGAAGGTGCAACTCCAGCGTAGACTGCGGAACGTGGCCGCCGCCTGAGGGTATCCGGCTTGGCTGAGGCAAGTGAGGCGAAACCCGATGCTAAAGCGGCGTTAACGTTGACGGGATCAAACCCAGATGAAGGTACTGACCTGCGCTGAGCTCTGCAGCATTGCGAAGATGTCCTCCATTGTCCGCTCTCCCCGAGGTGTGCCCATGCCGCCCAAAGAAATGGAGTCCTGTCGCTGGTTGGAATGCGACATTGCCGAAGGCATATTCGGAACTTGCTGGGTAAGGCGCGGACCACCGGCCTGCACCTGTCCCTGAACATCTCTCGTCTTCTGGTCGAAGAACTTTGCGAACCGACTGCCCTTGTTGGGCGCATAGCCCACGCCACCAGGAACATTGCCCACAGACGGGTCAAAAGGTGCACCTGGGGGGAACGCGCTAGACGTCGGTCCACCTACGTCGCCGTACGGTGCGCCGCCTTCTCCGGGGAGACCGAGGATAGCTCGCTCGGCCGCAGAAGGACCGGAAGCCCGTCGGAAACCCTCGTTCATTTGTCCAGGATGCACATGCTCCCGCAGATCTTCTAGAGGTACGGTAGGTTGAGTCCCATTACTGAGGGGCGAGAAGCTCCTGATCCCACGAGACGAGTCCGAAGGGGTTATACGGGGCGCACTGAACTGCATGTCATTAGGAACGGCTTCCGCGAGGTGGGCCGGGAGACCGGAGGCGCTGGGCTGTAGAGGATGTGCGTGAGGGGCAGCAATGCCAGGAGGCGTGCCTGAGTTAGCAGACGGAACACGTGACTTGAGAGCCAGGACACGAGAACCTGCAGGAGGGTTGAAGGCATTGGCGGGGGCAGAGAGGTCGACAGGAGGAAGAGCGGGAAGTCCCGCAGCAGTAGACGGGACCCCGAAATTGCCCGGCCCCGAACGTGGACCAACGGCCCTCGAAGCGTCTAGGGAGCGGTCGAAAGATGGACTGGATGTCTGCGATTGACGAGTGGAATCCAATATGGCAAGGCCGCTAGCCAGAATGCCATTGTTCGAGTCCAGTCGTGGGGAGGACTTATTGCGGTCCTGAGTTTGGGGAAGAAGCGCTCGTGGGACATCGGATGTACGCTGGGCAACGATGGCAGGGTCTATCCCGACTGCGTCGGAACACTAGCAAACTATGATTTCAGCAATTAGGACTCACCTGCGAGACTCGTTGTTTCCCCCTTTTGACTTTGGAGGGATGGACTACTGGACAGTCCCGGTGGGCCCGCTTCGGGGAAGGTGTGGCGCGCGAGTCCATTCTGTACCTTGTCACCTTCTTTCTTTTCAGCTTCACGCTTCATCATCAGCTTGAACAGCTGTATTTCGTCCATGGGAGTTTCAGCATTGGCAGAGGCAGGAGTAGTCAACGAAGTCTGCTGTCGGTCGAGACTGTCATTCGCCTCTGAAGCCTGGGCTGTGTCAGAGATGTCGCCCTTCTCTTTGCGTTCTTTCTCCTTCATGCCTTTCTTGAACGCTTGTATTCCGTCAAGCTCACCCTCTGCACCTTTGCCGCCCAGGATGCCACCGCCAGGAGTGGTCGGAACATACGTCTCCATCCACGCAGGCTCTGCCTCGCGGTCCTTGTCACGATCCCGGCGATCTTCCCTGTCCTTGTTGTCATCGGTCCCTCCCAACCGTCTGTCTCGTCCTGCCCCGCGGCGAGTACGTGCGTCACGATCGTCGCCAGCGGAAGGCCGCTCCCTGTCGCGGTCCTCGAACCGGTCCCAGCCCCTTTCGCGTGCCTCCCGCTCCCGCCGTGTAGCAATCCGTTCGTCCCTGCGGCCATCATCTCGCCAGTGTCTGGCATCGTTTTCGAGGTCACGATCGGTATCGCGATCTCTTGCACGGCGATTATGATCATAGCGATCCCGACCGTCTCTTGCATTGTGATCATCGCGGTCGCGCTCACGATCGACACTATCGTCCCAGTCACGGCGCGGGTAATCATCGCGGTCGCGCCGGCCATTATCGTCTTTATCTCGTCGGTCGTCGCGGTCGCCGTCAGTTCGGCGGTCTCGAGGTCGCTCCTTGTCCTCACGATCACGTCTTGTCGTCGACGGCTCTCGCCTTGCCCTAGACGTATCACGAACACGCGAACGCGGCCTCTCACGAGCGTCACGATCTCGGCGGGGGTCAGTCCCTGAAGTACCTCTTAGAAACAGAGTGCGTGATAGGTCTGAGGAACCTCACTTTCATCTCGCCCAGCCTTGCTGGGTTCCGCACCTATAGTTTTTGTTTCAGGAACAGGATCTCGCAAGTCGCATCGCATACGCACCTCTTCGCCAATCATCGCTACTTTCAACCGCTTTCCTCTTTGGTACATCTCTTCCCTCTCCACGACGACCATTCCCTTGGGTCTGGCCTAGCCGTGCAGTAGACGCACCAGAAAGATGTGGAGCTGCATCGCGTTCCTTGTTACGCAGGTTAGATGCAGACGACAGGGCGAGACGATCACGGTCGAACTTGTCAGAGAGCTAGATGGCCTGCATGAGCACGCTTCCTGAACCGTGATTTGTTGAGGCTCACGTTTCTTAACCGCTCTTGTCCCTCGCGGTCACGAAGATCACGTTCGCGTTCCCGGTCGAGATCTTTGTCGCCAGTGCGGTCGGTCGTACGGATGGGCTGGTGTCTGAAGTTGCCCATTTGAGAGGGTTGCGAGAGGCCAGAGCGGAACGAAGGTCGAGCAACGTCTGCTCATGATCTTTTGAGGACGCCGCGAAGAGAGATCTATTGAAGTGCACATACCTCCATCATCTGCATCTCTTCGGAAACTAGAAAACGAGGTTGAGAGCAAGCTATCTAAGCAGCCAAGTGAGACATACCGACGGTCCCTTGCATTGGGCGTAGTAGATGCTTCAGATTCCTTCTTGCTCCCAACTTGTTCATTCCAATCACTATGCCCGACCTGTCACGATGGTGGTGACACAGTATCTATGATTGCAACGCACCCGAACCAGTCTTTGAGATGCGGCATGCCATTAGGGATGTTGACAAGCGACGACTTTGAGAGATACAGAAGCTCATTGCGAGTGTAGACTTTGAGGGGACGAGCAGTGTCAGGAGATTTGTCGTGGACATCCGCCGCCACCTGGTCTTGTAGGGAGACTTTAGCTACAGCTTCGGCAACGTCTTCCACCGTGTTTGCTGGGGGCGAGGTCAATGTATCTACATTGGTGTCCGAGACAGAGGAGTTGACGTCCTGAGAGGCCATGCCGGAGAGTGAACGGGGAGGAGAGGTGAGAGGGGAGGATCTGCGGTGCAGACAAGTTTGACCTTTTCGGTGTCTCGGTGTCCAGTCCAATGCTTGCGCTAGGCGCCCGTCTTTCACTTGCCTTCGTAGGCTCTTAACTGACATTCGTCACCTGCTGAGCATCCTCTTCCTTGTACTGCTCTGTGCGCCGCACCTCATGCAGCAGTTCACATTGAAGCATTTCATACTCAAGCAACGTGTCCTCAATCTCTACCGTCAGGCCGTCAGAGCCACAAGATGTAATGCACTCGTGTCCTTGCCACCACAAGCTGCTAACATGATCTCAAGCTATACCCGACAAAACTACTAGACAGGAGACGATTTCATGGCTCCGCGAAGAGTTTGAGCGCAACAGATACATCCAGGATGTGGTGAGTTACTGAGGGCTCTTACTCTGCGTCCGCTAAGAATACGTCCGGCCAGACATTGATTGAACACAAGATATCGTCTGGCCGTAGAGAATTAAAACGGTTGTTTCCCGGAGGAAACTTCCTTCCCTTCTGAATGCGCGCTCTTCCCATGAAGCCCGGATAAAGGCTGCTGGACTTCATGTACGCAGTCGTCAAGTGCGTGGCAGGAAGACTTATCAGCGAGCTGTTGCATTCCCTGGCACGCAATTGTAGAGCGCAACGGAAGGAGAGACCCGCTTACCTGTTCATCTCATGTAAGTTAAGGTTCACCGAAGCTGGACGTGCCTGTCATGCGACTCTGCTGTAGCACATCTCCGAGTCTGTGCTGCGGCATCCTTGGAATGCATATATCGCCGTAAGCTACTGACAATTGTTATCGCGGGTCCTCCACTTCGCCTATTCCTCTCAGAAATCGTCCCAACCATACTCTCATCTGTTTCTCTGAGCTATTGAATGACATCCGCTTGCTACAGAGTGCAAAAGGAAGCTGCCATCGCCCGCAGACGGAACGCCTCCTTACATTTTGGATAGCCCGCCTTTGTACGTGCAGCTTGTCCCAGTGTCATATACTGGCGTTGAACAGGACCTGCACAGTCCCGTTCAGCTGGCTCATCGCGTCATGGAAATTTACATGAAGAATATTCCTGCTTCTACTAAGGACACCAAGCTCAAGTTGGAGCTCGCGGCTGTCCTCCACGCACCCCCGTTCAGGAATCCCTCGGAAGAGCTGTTCAATTTTGGCGTCTTCTTGATTCAGCAGAGGAAAAGAGGCCCCTGGCGGACTGGCTTTTTGACTCTCCCTTCTAACGAAATCGCCGAGCTCTTCCTTCAGACGTATGGAGGTCCATCCCCTCGCCACTCATTCGTTCTCGATACAACTCGTGTCCAGTTCCAGGTCAGCAACCGAGGAGCTCGCCCGCAAGTTCTTGAGCGCATTCGCCGGGAACCTTTCCAAGACCCTCGTGAGGCTTTTGCGCGGGAGCAAAGGGAGGCCGAGCTACAGGCACTGCAAGTACGCATCTCCACTATACAATTTGGCTGGGAGTGCAGAGATCAAGTGTATTCGGTGGAGTGGGAGACGGCATGCCACGCCCGCCTTGCCTTCGACGGAGAGCGAAGGGAGTTCCGCGTCCGTATGGACCAAGGTGGCTTGTTCTCAGATACCCGCATCATCGCCATCCGCGTTAGTCAGATCTACTACATCTCCGCCACCGTAGACAACGACTCTCGACGTCCAACCATCGTCTTCTCCCTGATCCACCCTCCCGCTCTTGAGTCGGAGTCGACTCTCAGCCAACTTGCCAGCCTCTTCTCTTCAAATGCAAAACCTCCGCGCCAACGCTGGTCCTCGTTCAACGACAGCGATGATCTCGCGGCGATTATGCCTTATGTATCTCTCTCCATCCGTCTGGAGTGCGAGTCCGTGGAAGACCTTCGCAACTTCCGCGAGTTCGCCGACGCGGCCCACACTCGCGTCGGCAGCGACTTGTGCCCTGTAGAGCGGCGGGGACTCTTCTCGGATACGGTACGCGAAGATTACAGCCTATGGATCCAGCGACTCCCTTGGACGGTGGCGTTTCAGATCGAAGCGTTGCTTAGGTCCTGGCTTCTGAACATGAGGGAGGCTCTCTCTCTTCGTGATCACGTCGAACGAGTCCTCAGGGCTAAGGGACGAGCCTATACAGCAGCACTCCTGCGCGACTTCACCTCGCACGCAAAAGCGTTGTACTGGTATGGTGAGGCTCAGCCTGGTGCCGAGCCCAGCCTCCAGACCCACCTGAATGCGTCGTGGTCAGACCCGGTGACCCATCTCTTCCAGTCGGTCGAGGCCCAGTTTGTGTACAAGCCCGTTGCAGCACACGCGCCCGCTGTAGATGCCCCAGCGACCTTCCAATGCTTCCATGTCTCTATCACGCCTACGACGATGATCCTTGAAGGCCCCTTTCCTGAACGATCCAACCGCGTTATCCGAATGTACTGGCAGAACGAAGAATGTTTTCTTCGTGTCAGTTTCCAGGACGAAAATAGGCTCCAATTCCGCTTCGACCGCGAGGTCGATGGACGCAGTTTCATCAATCGGAGATTTAGAGGTGTCTTACGCGACGGGATCACCATTGCGGGCGCCCACTTCAGTTTCCTGGCGTACTCGCAATCCGCTCTAAAGGAACATGCAGTCTGGTTTGTGAAACCATTCCGCCATCGAGATGGGCACGGCGTGGAGTGCTACGTTGACGCCACAACTATCATCGAGAATCTGGGCAACTTCCGCGTATCATTCGACACCACTCTAATCCACTGCCCTGCTCGATATGCTGCAAGGATAGCTCAGGCCTTCACGGCGACCGACGCGTCCATCACTGTTGATGTCGACCAGATTGAAAGGGGAGAAGATCTGGAAGACGCGACGGGGAACTACTGTTTCACGGACGGCGTCGGCACCATCTCCCGTGAGCTTGCTAGAGAGATCTGGCGCTCTGTTCGCGAGCGAGGACGTCGTTCCCGTCCTGACAGGACGTACCCGAGAGCCTACCAAGTCCGCTTCCAGGGTTCGAAGGGAATGCTGAGCGTCGACCACACGTTATCCGGCCGAAAGATCGTCATCCGGCCGTCTATGACGAAGTTTGAGGCTAATCAGTCAAGCACCATCGAGGTTGCCCGTGCGTTTGATAGACCAGGGCCGTACTTCCTCAACCGCCCTCTCATCATGCTCCTGGAAGGCCTCGGGGTGTCCTACGAGACATTACAGGCATTGCAGGACGCTGCCGTGTACGATGCTCAGCAGTCTGTGACTTCGCTCGAACGCTCCGCCCGGCTGCTCGAAGCTCATGGACTCGGAGTATCCTTCCGTCTCACCTCCGCGATGCTTGGTCTCCACAAGCTCGGGCTCGATCCTCTCAATGACGATGTGTTTTGGCGACAAGCGATGGACTTCGCAATCAATCATGTCCTTCGTGAGCTCAAGCATCATGCGAGGATCCCCGTTCCAAGCCTGGATAGCTGGACCCTTGTCGGCGTTGCGGATGTCCACGGGGAGCTGCAGGATGGGGAGATCTTCGCGTGCATCGACTCTCCTACTGAGTCGCGTCTGATCTATCTCGAAGGACCATGCTTGATCTCCCGTTCGCCGACCATTCATCCCGGGGATGTTCAAGTAGTGCATGCCATCGGAAGACCACCTGCCGGTAGTGCTCTGGCTAAGGAGTCGCTTAGGAATGCTGTGGTCTTCTCTATCCAGGGTGCGTCGCGTTGCATGATGAATCCTCGATGTTAACTCATACGTCTGTGGGATAGGGGAACGACCGCTCCCATCTTGCTTAGGCGGGGGCGATCTCGATGGGGATTTGTATAACGTTACCACTCGACGTGATTTGTTGCCTCCTCGTACATACACACCTGCGTCGTACGAGCCAGCGGCAAAGAAGCTCGTAGAACACGAGTGTACTATGGAGGACGTTGCTGATTTTGTTGCCGAATATATCAGTAGCGACGTAAGTCTCCACTGTTGTGCCAAGCATTCAAGGCTCAGCCCATATCCTTTCCCAGACTCTGGGAATCATCGCTACAACCTGGTTGAAGATTGCGGATCAGAGTGCTGATGGAATCCTGGACCAGGATTGCCTTAAGCTCGCCGCCTTGCACAGCCATGCGGTTGACTATCCGAAAAGCGGTCAGCCTGTTCCTGTGAATCAGATACCGAAGCTCAAGTCCAAAACGAAGCCGGACTGGAGTGCACCCGAGACCATCAGCAGGGGTAACGAAGACTACTACACAAGTATGAAAGCGATCGGAAAGCTCTTTCGGTCTATCGACTTGCCCGCATTACAAACAGTCCAACGGGTCGCAAGAAGACAACGCAGACACATGCACAATGCCAATCAAGACGATGAGTATGCCGATGTCCTCGAACTCCTATACGACGAGACGCCAATGGACGATAGGACCGCGGTGGCCGTTCAAGAGCGGATCTCGGAGTTCATCTCTCCAGAAGAATATGATGGCGACTTCATACGCCGTATCTGGGACTTGTACAAGTCCTACACTTCTCAATTGCGCGCGATCTGTGCTGACCACACTCTGGAGCACAAGCGCTCAGCAATGCTGACGGAGGAAGAGGCTGTCGTAGGTCTCGCTCATCAAAATTATCTGTTGATGCGCTCTAACACTTGTGTGATAGATCGGAACGATAGTCGCGAAGTGCTCGCAGCCCAGAAAGAGGAAGGATCTCATGTCGCAGATGAGGGAGCAGACAGCTACTCTAGTCAGCAGCGTCAAGGAAGAACTCTCTGGCGATGACGAGATACCGCCTGAGACATCGCTCCAGAGGGCATGGATTGCATACAAGCTTGCGAACATAGAGGGTGAGGCTTTCGGAGCGCGTAGTTTTTGCTGGGTCGCGCTTGGAAGTATCTTCGACGCCATCAAGGAGATTGAAGATGAAGATCGTGCTCTTGCTAGACGATGATGCGTCTCAGCGAGCAGATAATACACACCGTTTTTCGAAAGGTCCGGGGGTAATGGCATATTGATGACCTGACAGATGATCATGTACAATCGTGTATGAGTACTCAGGCTGGATTGACAACAACATCCGTGTACTAGTACAGGGCCCATGTGCTATGTAGGCAGAATTTGGTGCATATAGGGGTTTGGCTGGTGGCGCTCATCCAACGATACGGACTGGTACAACTTGAAGAATTCGTGGTGCATATGACGCTTAGTGTACTGATTGAGTCTGGTAGTCAGCTCTTCGGCGCTTGATTCTGAATAGTGAACGTCCGACGTCGCGCTTTGAGATATCATCACTTCAGGCTCCTATCGTCAAGGCACAGGCTCCTCCAATTGCTGCTGACCTCTTAGCTTCTGATAAGGGCAAGATCGCATTCTCCGTTTATCTGTGAGCGGATTGCTATCATTTTGTCCAACAAAGGTTCAAGAGCATACACTGTAGTAGCCGCGTTCGAAGTCGGCCATGGATCGGACGTCACGGCGGCTGTTCCTGATACCACCTGCGCCATATGCATCTACTCATGTACGTCGCAGACGAAGGATTTCAGGTTGTGTGTACTGCTGCGGTAGGTCTTGTGCTCTCTCTGAGACCTACTTAGGCACTCCTATGATAAGAGACGACGTTTGTGCTAGCCAGTCGAATCACCATGTCAGGGCCATCGACGATCAACTGGCCCAGACGTCTGCAAGTATGGGTTGCAATTGACCTCAAAATCAGTGCTCCCTCATATAAGATACCGTAGAGTATAACGAGGTAGTTCATCACACCACGTGTCTGGTGTGCACAGGTCCATTCGTACCAGACAGTGGGATAGTGATATGCAAGGTTTCCATGAGTTGTTGCAAACAGTCCACTTACCACAGCATGTCCTAGTGACTTTCTGCAACTCTGCGGGCCTGAAGCACTGCTGCAGAGAGCTTCTTGCGTTGCGCTGTGCCGCAGCGTCAAGTCCTTTATAACAGGACCGTCATCAACGCTGAATGTCCTCTCATCAGTACTCCCGTTATCAGAAACACCAAGGACTCACATTCCTATCTGCGCTTAGGCCAATCATGGACTCAGAAGTCTACACCTCCAACGTCGCGTTCGGGACGTCGGTTCACGAGCTCAAAGCGGAGCTCGCGAAAGTTCTTCACGCTCCCCCCTTCCTGTCACCTACTACCGCAAGCAAGTTTAACTTCGAAGTGCACCTATTTCCCTCGAAGCGGAAGGGCGCGTCTCAAAGCGCCGCGCTCACTCTACCCACAGAGGAGCTGGCAAACCAGTTCTTACACTGGTACGGCCGGCCCTCCCCCCAACTCTCCCTTTACCTCGGATCTTCTCGCATCCAGTTCCAGAAGAGTCACAAAACCGCACGTCCGGAAGTCGTGGAGCGCATCCGCACGTTGCCTTACGAGGAGCCTCGAGTATCCTACGCGCGAGAACGCGAATCTGAACGTCTGCGAGACAGCTCCGTCCGCGTCACCACCATCCAATTTGGTCGAGAGTGCCGCGATCATGTATACTCCGTCGAATGGGAGAAGATCTGCGATGCTCACATCGTCTTCGACGAAGACAGGCGAGAGTTTCGTGTGAAAGTTCGTGGTGATGACTTGGACGACACTCGCATCATTGCCATCCGTGCATCCCAAATCGCATGGGTCTCCACTAGTATTCATCAGCCGTCCGGGAGTCCCGTCATCTTCTTCTCCCTCGACTACCCTCCCTCTTTCGAAACCGAGTCTGTCCTCGCGCCTTTATCCACCTCAAACTTGTCGCATACGACTCCGCGCCAACGATGGACGGCATTCGATGAGAGTCACGAGGCAATTGCTCCCTACACCTCCTTGGCCATTCGGCTCGAGTGCGCCTCTGAGGAGGACCTTGGGACCTTCCGATCCTTCGCACGTGCGGTGCACACCCCAGTGTCAAGCTATTCCTACCCAATCGAACGCCGGGAACTATTCACAGCCAGAAGGCGCGAGCTGTACGAGTTATGGCTGGCGGGACTACCCTGGATGGTTGCGTTTCACCTCGAGGCGTTGGTACGTTCATGGCTAGTCGACATGACGGAGATCCTCTTGCTGCGCCGTCCCATCGACCGCATCTTACGTGATCGTCCCCTCGGATACACTGTTGAACGACAACGCGAGTATGTAGCCGCCCTCCTCCGAGAGCTGCGCGCACGGGCGAAGGAACTATACTGGTATGGCGAGGACCAGCACCGTTCCAGTGACGGCGTCATGACGCAGCCCCCGCTCCGATCGAGTATCGGTATCGCTGAGCTCTTCGAGCAGGTCCGGGTTCAATTCGTCCATAAACCGCTCACTTCATTCGCCGCGGGTGATACCTCTGCCCCCTTCAACTGTCTTCGTCTCACAGTCACGCCCACTACCATGATACTCGAGGGGCCCTTCCCGGAGCGGTCCAATCGAGTCATGCGGAAGTATTACCACAGCCAAGACTGCTTCCTGCGAGTCAGCTTCCAGGATGAGAACCGACTTCAATATCGGTTCAACCGCGAGGTGGACGGGCGTCGTTTCATCGACCTCCGCGTGAAGCGCGTTCTCCTTGAAGGTATCAGGATCGCCGGGGCGCATTTCCGGTTCCTCGCGTACTCTCAGTCCGCTCTCAAGGAGCACGCTGTATGGTTCGTAAAGCCGTTCAGATACCGGGACTCCCATCAAAATGTCCACTTTGTCGACGCCACGACCATCATCCAGAGCCTAGGTCAATTCCACAATCTCCCGTTCGACCCTACCTTGATGAGGTGTCCCGCCCGATACGCTGCTCGCATCTCCCAAGCGTTCACTGCCACCGACGCTGCAGTATCCATGGCCGTCGGCGTGGTTTATATGGGTCGCGACATCAAGGGTCGGAACGGGAAAGATGTCTTCACTGACGGTGTCGGTACTCTTTCGCCTATGCTTGCCGAATCAATCTGGAAGGCCCTCCAGAGCAGAAGTGGCAAGACAAGAAAAGGCAAGACCTACCCGCGGGCCTTTCAAGTCCGCTTCCAGGGCTCTAAGGGCATGTTGAGCGTGGACTACAAGCTCACGGACAATGCTATCATGCTCCGCCCTTCTATGATCAAATTTGACGACTCGAAGTCTGCAATAGTGGAAGTGGCGAGGGCCTTCGATAGGCCCGGAGCATACTACCTGAATCGCCCCCTGATCATGCTCCTTGAAGGTCTCGGCGTGCCCTACACCACTTTCAAGAAGCTCCAAGACGATGCCGTACGCGATGCGCAGACATCCGTCACCTCTCTAAAGCTGTCTGCCAAGCTGTTCGAAGACCACGGACTTGGTGTGTCTTTCCGTATCGCACCGGTGATGCTCGGCCTACACAAGCTCGGTCTGGGCCCACTCGACGACGATATCTTTTGGAGGCAGATGATGGACTTCGCCGTCAACCACGTACTCCGGGAGCTGAAGCATCGCGCGCGGATACCCGTGCCCGGCACCGATAGCTGGACCCTCGTCGGGGTCGCCGACATCCATAGGGAGCTGAAGGAAGGGGAGATTTTCGTGTGCGTCGACTCCCCGAAAGAGAAGGGCCTCATCTTCCTGGAAGGACCTTGCGTCGTCTCGCGATCGCCGACCATCCACCCTGGAGATGTCCAGATCGCAACCGCAATTGGCAGGCCGCGGCCCGGGTCGCACTACGATGTGGAGTCGCTCAGAAATACCGTGGTCTTCTCTACCACCGGTGCGTTCTACATGATTGCATCTGTAGTCCACGGACTCATACGCGAAGTCAGGTTCTCGACCGTTACCTTCTTGCCTAGGAGGTGGCGATCTCGACGGAGATGAGTACAACGTAACGACTCGGCCCGATCTCATGCCCAAGAGGACGTATGACCCAGCGTCCTACGAGCCCGCTCCGAGGAAGATGGTGGACCACGAGAGCACCATGGACGACGTCGCAGAATTTGTCGCGGAGTTCATCAGCAGCGACGTGAGTAACCCTCCAACGCTCAGGCTTTCTGACGAAGATGTACTCATTCACGGACTCCAACAGACCCTTGGCATCATCGCTACAAACTGGCTGATCACTGCGGACCAGACCAACGATACCGACGGCATCTTAAATCCCGATTGCTTACGTCTCGCCGAACTCCATAGTCTCGCCGTCGACTACGCGAAGACAGGGCAGCCTGTTCCGATAGAGCAGATCCCGCGACCCCCGCTGCGAATCAAACCCGACTGGAACGCGCCTGAGACGCACAGTGGGAAAAATAGTTTGTCGTTCTACCGGAGTATGACAGCCGTTGGGAAACTCTTCCGCGCCATCGACTTGCCTGCCGTACAGACGGCGGAGCGAGCGGTGCGTTTCCAGCGCCGATACATGAACCAGGAGGACCAGCTGGCCGACGTCCAAAATCAGTTCGCCTACACCAAGGTGCCCAGAGACAATGTGGTGGCTCGGACTGTCCAGAGGCGCGTCTCTGAATTCATCAGCACGAATACACACGACGACATGACGATCAAGGACATCTGGGAGCTGTACAACTCGTATATCTCTCAGTTACGGGCTATATGTGCCGACTTTACGCTGTCCCCTTCGCGGTCCGCGATGATATCTGAGGAAGAGGTTGTAGTGAGTCCTCAGCTAGACTCATACAACGCAACGGTGGAATGACGCCCTTTCTGGCAGGTCGGCACCATAGTTGCGAAGTGTTCTCAGCGTCGGAAGAGGAAGGACCAGATGTCGCAGATGAGAGAGCAGACAGCGACACTCGTCGACAGCATGCAATGCGGCATCGCGGGCGACGATGGCGTTGCCTCTGACCAGTCGCTTTACCGGGCATGGGTCGCGTACCGTATTGCGATCATGGAGCACAACGCGTTCGGGGCACGGAGTTTCGCGTGGATCGCCCTGAGCAGTATCTTCGACGCAATCAAGGACATAGAAGTCGAGGAACGCACCACATCTCGACGGTGAGTTACTGGCTTCTGCGAGTTCGATATCCTCAAGATTGTTGACATACTATTCAAGTGGGTGACGACCCCACCAGCTGGTGGCAAGGGGGTTCCAAGATGTATGAGCGGGTGTTGAGTGGGGAATCTTGCGTGACATAAGCTTTTGGCGAATCAGAGCGTCGACAAAGTAGAGTGAAAAAGACAGTACGATACGTGATACATGATAGAGTATACACAGCATTGACAAGTGAAACGTTCCGGACAACTCCTCACCAGGTGGGAAACAGAGTGCAAGGGACCAGATGGCAAACCTCAAGCAGTGTTGCGTAGAACTAGGGAGATACATCAGGACAGATCGGCCGGTGGTACCGCGGAAGATGGCTTACCCAGAATGACAGAATCGCCACTACACAGAAATCTTCAAGTGAGCAACGCAGTCCACTGAGTAGGATGGACATGGCAGACTCACCGGAGGAACATCTTGCTGATGAACCTGTCCTTGTTCACCGGCTTCTTGTTCTTGCCCTTGGGCAGTTCTGTCCACATCTGGAAGTCTTGCGTGAGATAAAGTCGTCTAGTTAGCAAGGGAAGGTGTAACATGCCTCCTTCACGTTCTCCAAAACCTAGACAAGAGAGGGGACGTGAGATCGACGCGTGGATCACTACGCCCGTAGGAGCACGCACCATGTTGCTGTGTCTGTCAAATGCCTTGACGCGTGCTAGCAGCTTTTTGTTGTTTCGTAGGGAAATTAGGACTTGTGTATGATTCCGAACCGCCTGCTGGAGGACCGACAAGGGGCCCTGACTGATTTCGTGCTCCTCGAGCGCACGGAGTTGCGCCTCGTCGAGCTCGGACTTGGGGACGTGCACGTACTGACTACAACATTCGTTCAAAGTGAGCGATTGAGCGCAAACGGATAGAAAGGGCAGAGAGGGACGGACCTCATGGTGGACGAGGAGGGAGATGGCGAAGTGCAACAAGCTCACTGGCTGTCTGCGCGTGCCACCGACAGGCGCCCATTGACCGCTGCAGTCCGAAAAGTTTGGAGAGCGCTTCCTGATTGGACATCTCACCCCAGTCCTTCCTCCTCCCCCTTGCTTCCTCTCTCCTTTTCCTCCTTCACTATCTTGTTCCACAAGATTTGTCTCCACTATGGGTCGTTTAAAGCAGAAGGGAAAGGCCGGTGCCGCCAAGGCGTACATGACCCGCTCGATCGCCATCAAGAAGCTTCAATGCTCCCTAGCAGACTTCCGGAGGTTATGTATCTTGAAGGGTGCGTTGCTCACCTCGTGCAAGAACACTGTGAAGATACTCATAGTAAAATACTCAGGCATCTACCCCCGCGAGCCTCGAAACCGGAAGAAGGCGAACAAGGGGTCCTCCGCTCCCACAAATTTCTACTATGCGAAGGATATTGCCTACCTTGCACACGAGCCCGTCCTTCGAAAACTTCGGGAACACAAGGCATTTGCAAAGAAGCTCTCCCGCGCGCTCGGGAGGGGAGAATGGAGTAGCGCGAAGAGCTTGGAGGAGAACAAGCCCGTGTATCGTCTAGATCACATCATCAAAGAGAGGTACGTCCCTGTCGTTGCAATTATGCGCGGACAGTCGTTGCGAACAGGTCTATCCAGGTATCCGACATTTATTGACGCGGTGCGCGATATCGACGATGCCCTCTGCATGATATTCCTCTTCGCCTCCCTCCCTTCCGACTCCAAGGTTTCCCCTACTCTCATTGAAAACTGCGCCCGACTCGCGGCAGAATGGCAGTTATATGTCATGCACACCCACGCACTACGGAAGGTCTTCCTCTCGATTAAGGGGGTATACTACCAGGCGGACGTTCTCGACCAGACGATCACATGGCTGGTTCCCTACCAGTTCACCCAAACTGTACGTTGCGCGAGTTCGCTCTACCTACATTATTCTGATACAAGACATTCATATTTAGATCCCTGTGGACGTTGATGTCCGTGTGATGCTAACGTTCCTGGAGCTCTATCAAACACTCCTCGGCTTCGTCTTCTTCAAGCTGTACACCGACGCCGCCCTCGTCTACCCTCCGCCTCTCGACACTCAGAAGGATGAGGGTGCAGCGGGCGTTGGCGCGTTCACTCTCCAAGAAGCGAAGGACGCGCGATCGGCACCGACTGCCAAGTCAAAAACCGTTGAGGTCGATGGCAAGCGCGTCTCCAGCAAAGACGTTCGGCAGACCATCAAGAGCATCACTGCCGGCGCAGCTGGCGACGCAGACGTCGACATGCCCGCGGTGGACGTTGCAGCAAACGACGAAGACGAGGAGTTCGTAGAGGACACCGCCGAGGAGGAGAACCCCGATGACGCCCCCTCCGCTCCCGCAATGACCACCGCCGCCCTGCCGACCCTCAAAACGCTCTCGACCCTGCCACAGTCGACCTCAGCCAAGCTCTTCGCCCCATATACCTTTTGGCTCTCGCGGGAGACGTCTCGCCCGATCTTCGAGTTCATCGTCCGCGCATTCGGCGGGCGCATCGGCTGGCCTGCGACGTCGGGCAGCGGCTCGCCGTTCGACGAGGCCGATGACTCGATCACGCACGTCATCATCGACCGTCCGGTCGTGCAACGCGCGAACGAGAGCGAGGAGGAGCGCGAGCACCGTCGGCGGCGCAAGTACGTGCAGCCGCAGTGGGTCGTCGACTGCGTGAACGCGGGCAAGATCCTTCTCGAGGACCTGTACGCGCAAGGGAAGACGCTACCGCCGCATCTATCTCCTTTTGGCGAGCGCGCAGACGCGTACGACCCGACGGCAGGGATTGCTGGTGCGGACGAGGACGAGGAGATGGAGGACGAAGAGGAGGTCGTCGAAGGCGGGAGCGACGAGGAGGAGGAGGCCCGCCCGTTGAAAGCCGCACTGAAGGCTGCTGCTACCGCGGAGGACGCCGCGGCGTTGCGTGCAGCCGAGCTAGCAGCGGAGGCTGCCGGCGTCGACTTTGGTACGTTCGAAAAAGAGTCGAAGAAGGCGCAGAAGAAGGCAAAGAAGGCTGAGGTAACAAAGGAGGACGAGACGGAGCAGAACATGAACAAGATGATGATGAGCAACAAGCAGCGCAAGCTATACGAGCGCATGAAGTACGGCGAGAAGAAGCGTGCCGCGGAGGTGAGTTCCATCGACAGATCTTGCTATGAATGCCAATCAATGCGCATGTTCTTCCACAGCGGCAAGATCTGGAGCAGAAGAAGCGAACTATCGAAAAGGAGAAGAAGCGCAGGTCAAAGGCATCATAGTGCCTTGCTTTGCTCCATTATCATGTGTTGTAGTGTCTTCATGTTGTCGCCTCGGGCATACTGTCGTATTCGTTGTTCACTGTCTCATCTCATCTATAGCGTACACATTAACTCATTCCACGTCCCCGCTATTGCTGACCGCAAGTTTATGGTGCAGCACCCAAGGAACACGAATTACTGTGGTCACCGTCAGCGCACACAGACTGCAGCCGAAACTAGCGACAAGACTCACAACGTTGGCCCCAAATGTGAACGCGTCGCCCAGCGCGATTCTCATGTCAACAAGCGACGATATCAGATGTCTCCATTCTCCCAAGCCTCCAGTAGTTCGAACATGTCCATCCGGAGCTTGTGCAATGTGAGGTTATACTCGATGGCGAAGCCCTGGTGTCTAAGCTCGCGTAGGGCAGTCCAGGCCCAGTTCTGACAATTCCATTCCGGATCGTGGCGTATGACGGGATTTTGAGACAAGATCTTCTCAAACTGGTCTAAGGATTCGACTGGGATACGGCCGACAGCGAGTGAACCGCGCCAGAGATCGTGTCGAATGGGGACGCCCCGCTCGGCCTCGTAGCGCAAGGTATCGATGTTGCCGGCGGCGTTGTAGACGTTACCTCTTGGCCGCTCATCGGAGCCAGAGGTGTTGAACGTCAGTGCCCAGTGGAGGGGTAGGATTTTGCCCTCGGAGTCTTTGCCTCGCCACCATTGGGTCACATAGAGGACTATCTGGGAGTTGTGGTCTGACATCATGAACCTGGATGGATGACGAGGATATGAAGACGTTAATTGCAGGTGGAAGAACTCAACATACGGTTGACAATGAGGGGAAGTTAGTGGGGAAGTCAGCGTTCTAGGCGGTACCGCCTAACGTGTTTACAAGTAGACGTGAGCATCGAGACGCACAGGATCGCGATCTCACTGTACCAGTCTACTCACCGACGAGATTTGCGTCATGGGAGATACACGGTTCCGCGCCCGAGGGCGTGTTCATAAAACGATGGTGCAGCAACGGGTTGGCGTAAAGGACAGACGGAATATGCCACCCATAGAGCTGAGAACAAAGGAAGACGAGAGGACGGTCTGGAGGCATCGCTTCTGGGCTTACTACTTAGCTACTACTGTATTAGACTTTGGGGAAAACCATGGTTTCCGTGACTGTTACGTCGTGACTCACACAAAATATGGCACGTCCGAGTCACTCATTGCGGTCGACGTCGATGGCTGTCAGCGAAGATGTCAGCTCTCCGGTAACGATCAGGCTCGTAACGTCCCCAGATATCCAAGTACTGCTTTTCTCTACCAAATTGCAGTAGAAAGGCGTGTATTACCAGAGACGACCGAGGCTGGCTGCGACATAGCCGCCACCACGCTGACATTGCATGCGCAGGCGTCTTATGCTTAGTTGAAACTCCCGTTTAGGACGTCTGCCTTACTCACGACGAGGTCTAACGTCCATTGTTGATACGGAACGTCGGCGGTCTAAAATTTGACTACAGCCATATCTGTCGACACCGTTATTGTTGGAGGACAGTGCTTCACGTTTCTTGTGGCACGGGTTCGTAACGTAGCCCGAACGGGCCTGCCAAAGTCGTTACGCCACACGGCAGGATAAACGAGTCTCTACACTTGCTCCCGGCGGGTATATGCGACCGCCGCCCTTGTAGGGCCCTGCCTTCACCCAGCCAAGCTGTACGTATTTTGTGCGACGACTGGGTGAATCCTTCCACGCCGGCGGCCCGCCTGGTCTTCTCCCAGGAACTCATGCCCGGAGTAATGTCCAACAGTGCACTGCGCATCAAAGCCACGTGATTGACAGGGGCGGTGGTCCACTTTTGGCAAGGGGTCTATGGGGTTGTAGCTCGAGTTCACGCCAGCTGCGAATACCGCCGACCACCATCTCCCCCGTTCCCGTTTACAATCCTGGAGTCCTCCCCTGATCCTCCCTTATCTACCTCTCCTGTCCAGCCTTACGCGGGCGCGGTATGGTCGCCCTATTCGGCCTGTCGAGCAAGGGCTCGCCCGCCAAAACTCCCCGCACCAACGACGCTGTGACCCCGCCTCCGCCCTACTCTCAGGACACTCCTGATCCGTCCGTCTTTGCGGCGGAGATGACCACAACGACAACTACTCATGTCGTGATGACTACGACTCAGACCACCACTCATTTCTTCTCTCTACCTCTGTGGAGGCGACGCGGCGGCACGCCTGCATATTCGCCCCCCAACGCGCGTTCCACGGACGAGTTGGGGGCGATCAACCCACAATCCTCGCTTCCCAGCTCCGCCCAATCCACTTTGCATACCAGGAACAAGGAGCTTCCACCGACACCTGAACTCAGTCCCGATAATCTCATCCCCCCTACTCGCCTTTACCCGGATGCACATTTCCCTCATGATGGCGATGGCCTAGCGAGTAGCGTCGGGAGGGCTGCGGGGTCAATGTCTGGGAAGTCGTCTCGTGCGTCCTCTGTGCAGCCTGCGTCCCGCTCCTCGTACGCACCCAGCGACTCCCACAACCCGGCTCAACCGACGGTTGCACTCGCTCGCGCTGCGCTAGGTCTCGGTCTTCCACATGCAGCCCCCATATCTGTGTCTGCCTCATCTTCTTCCTCGGAGGTCAACACTGTCGCCTTTTTCCCCCCGCAATCGCCTAGTACCGCCGACCTCCGACCCCCCAATTTCATGGTCCGCCATGCCAAGAGCTTTCACAAGGAGCCTGACAGGGCACCCGAAGACGCTCCTCCGTCGGTCACTAAAGAGCGTAGACGGGCTAGGGGTTTTTCATTGGGTCCGTTGCATCTTATGACCTCTGATGTAAAGGGCAAGCAGCGTGAGACCGAGAGTTCCATTGTCGCTGACTCTCCTGAGGGCAAGTCTTTGACTCGGAAGAGCTCATTCTGGTCCCGCAGAAGAGTCAACTCTCGTCCCGATGCACTCGCACTCCCGTCGCCCACGCCGCAACCTACTCTTCCTACGTTTCCCCCTGTCTCTCCTTTTGACATCAATACCCCTGTACCATCATCTGGACTGTCGGTATCGACTCATAAGCCAGACCTACATCGACGACATTCGGAACGGATGCGCAAGCAGTCGGCCAGGCAAGGGGACGAGCCACCTCTGGTCGAACCTTCTCCACAAGAGCCCAATAGCACGATCCATGCGCGCCGACGACGCTCCAAACGACCTCAAACGGCTGATTCTCCCCCTGTTGCTGGACCCCGCCTATCCTTCTTTTCCGAGGCACGCTTGTTCGCTTCCTCCCCGACATCTTCGCCGATCCTGACGCCTCAAGAGGCCTCCGCACCCCCATTGCCTTCTGCGCCCTCCGATCCGCGAGCCCGCGCACAGACCAACCAACCGATTCTGCACCGCCTGTCTGTCAACCTCTTCGGTTCCTCGTCCAGTAATACCCTCACGCCGACTTCTACCAGCTCACCCAACATACCTGATGTCGCAACAGCGACGTCACCTCCTTCGAGTCTTGGCTCTTCTCGCCCATCTCTGTCCAAGCCCTCTATTGAGATCCCCAAGCCGAACTCTGAGGAAGAGACTCCAGAGGATTATCTCCAACGACTGGTTGAGGCGATCAGTAAGGGCGAGGTAGCAACCGTCTTGGCATCGAGGTAAGTATAGCTTCGCAGTGTTCACGGTTCTCGAACCTGACCGCATCCACCAGTGCGGATGCTTTCCACGCTCGAGCGCTTCGTGCTTACATTGAGCGCTTCAACTTTGTCGGAGATCCGCTAGACGTCGCAGTACGGAAATTGCTCATGGATGTTGGCCTACCCCGCGAAACGCAGCAGATAGACCGCGTCATCGAGGCATTTGCTGCACGATATGTTCAGTGTAATCCTAACTTATTCTCCTCCGAAGGTGAGTAGACGTTCGTAATAAACAGATGTGGCAGCAGCATTGATTTAGCTCCATTTATGCAGACCATCCATATATCCTAGCATTCAGCCTTATAATGTTGCACACAGACGCCTTCAACAAATCCAATAAACGTAAGATGACGAAAGCTGATTACATCAAGAACACGCGGTTACCGGGGGTGGCCCCGGAGGTCCTCGACGTGAGTGGTCATACGAATTCGACTATCACGGCGCGAGATTACTCATGTCCTGCTCAGTGCTTCTATGACAACATCGTGTTTGCGCCATTCATTTTCATAGAGGATCCTCTTGACGTCAACGGACAACGGGGCCTGGTGCCCGATGCTATATCAGCAAGACGCATGTCTACCATCAACGCTCCTGCGTCTGGCGGGTCTGGCTCGACATTACTCGGAAAGAGCTCAAAGATTGATCCCTACTATCTCATCACGCGGGTATGGCCATGTCTCCAATAACCGCAATGTCTGTCGGAAGGCTCACGTCTCTCATTGTAGAACCTCCTCGATGATCTACGGGTTGACGTGCATTCCTTCATTCCTCCGGAAAGCCCTTACCGTTATCGCGGAACCGCAGATTCTTGGGATGAGGACGAGCTCCAGCGTGCCTTCGCACTAGCGGGAACGGTCGAACTGTCAAGCGTCGATAGTAGATATGTGAGCTCGCCTTGGTTCACTCTCAGCGTGTCAGGTGGCCCAGGACCGGTGTTCCAAAGCACCGTAGGCTCGCTGCCTCCATTGACAGCGAGCACCTGGAACGTCAAGGTTACTAAGGTCGGGCTGATGCTCCGCAAAGAAGACATCTTGGAGGGCGGCAAGCGCGCGATGAGTCGGAAGTGGCGGGAGTGGTGTGTTCTTCTGACCGGATCGCAGCTCATGTTCTTCCGGGATACGACATGGGCCACCCACATTCAGGCGCAAGTCAGTCCAACGGATGGCCATCTGGTCATTCCTCACGCCGCCCTGCCTCAGCCGGAAGAGACGTATTCTGTGCGAGACACCATCGCTGTGTTCGACAAGACGTACACCAAGGTGCGCGGCCCGGGATGATGCTCGTGTCCTTGGGAATACATACTGATGCCCGGGTATTCCCGTCGCAGCATCCCCATACATTGCGCTTCGTCTTGCCCGACCGCCGGCAGTTCCTTCTTCAAGCAGCAGAAGAGAAGGACATGAACGAGTGGATTGCCCGTATCAACTACGCTGGCGCGTTCAAGACGGCTGGCGTGCGGATGCGCGCCTTGGGGCTGTCCAACAAAGACATCGAGCTCACCGGGATTGCGGCCGCCGCCTCGCACTTGAAGGACGTCAAACATCACTTGGGCCCAGGTCACGCCCCGTCTCCCGTCATACGCACGTGGACCGGTCGTATGTCGGAAGATCTGGACCGGGCATCCCGCGCCGCGGAGACTAAGGCCTCGGAACCGACGCGTGTGTCTGGTGGGTCTGAGGCTCCGCGCATTAGGCAAGATTCGGGCGGTTCCGTTGGGTCTGATCCAAGCACACCTCCCTTTGAGAACACATCGCGGCTGTTCAAAGCGACGTTCGACGAGGTCAAGACGGAACTCGCGGCAGTGCGATTTCAGTCGCTCGACCAGATGAGCATTCGGTCCGCACGGAAACGTGCGTACAGCTTGGAATCCACGCTCGGCTCGCCTCTCGCTTCTACCAGCGCGCAAGGGAACGTTAACACCAGCACCAAGCCGCGGCTCTCCTCTACGCGGCCGGAGATCCTCAAGTCCAAGGTAGAGGACTTGGAGTCCAAACTGTCGCTGGCGCAGACGCAGCTTGATACGGACATGCGCTTTGTACGGAACCTGGCTGTACTCACTCCCTTCCAGCGCGCTACCCGCGATCGACTGCAGGCCGCCGTGCAGGTCGTGGCGAAGCGGGTGATGCAGGTCCGCCTCGACATCGAGAAGCTCGCCTGCCATCGGGAAGTCCTGACGACTGACTTGGCCGCTGAAGAGCGCGACTGGCAGCGGACTAAGCTTCTCGCCATGCAAGCCGCGACTCAGAAGCTCACTGATCAGCGTAAAGCCGATCGAGAGGCTGAGCGTATTGCCGAGCGGGATGAGGATGTCCGACGCCAGGAATTGCCCAAGCTCACGCTGTCTGCGTACGTCGATCAGACCGCGCCAGCCACAGCGTCGTCTCCGGTCACCATCCCTCGACGTGCCAAGATGTCTCGAGGCCAGGAGACGTCGGTCACCGACTCGTTCCAGACTGCTCAGTCTGGCGGCAATTCTGCCTGGAACGGACGCCACCGCAGTTCGACTGTGACGTTCGGCTCTCCGAAGACATTCGAGTCCTCGTACACGTCAGCTGTTGAGATGGGCTGTTCAGTGGCGTCGAACACGTCCTTGCCGTCCCCGGACTCCCCGGAGAGGCGTCGTGCAGTCCCACTTGCCGCCCAGGCTTCTCTCGATAGCACGGCTAGCACGGATGATGGCGCAGGCACGATCGGCACCCACGAGAAATTCTACACCGCGCCGGAGATGCTTGAGGAGCAGGCGGAGGAGTGGAACAAGACCCGGGCTGCGAAGAGGGTCTCGCTCGTGAAACTCCCGTCTGACCTCCGTATCTCGATGCTCTTCGGGAAGCACGCTCGAGACCAAACGAGCACGCCGGAAGTCGCGGAAGATCGCTCGTCGACGCCCGCTGGCTCGCCTACGCTGAGAAGACGAAGTCTTAGCCCTTACGAGCAACAGTCGAGCGCCACTGTGGCCATGTTGGACCTGTGAGGTTATTCACACAGTGGGGGCAATAGCAGGGTGGCGTTATGTCGTGTTTGTCGTGTGTCGTTGGTATCATTCGCACTTGTGTTCATTCATTGCATTTATTGGATTGTCCAGGGACCCTGTCACGCTAGTCATATTCGCTCGTTCACTCTTACTGTTGCAATTCCTTTGCATCTTCTGCATTTTTCTAGCACGTTTTAGATAGACTCGCAATCAAAGACATGTCTTCCAAACACGGTGTCAGCCGCCATACCGACGTGTCCAGGGGTAACGCGTTGTTTGGACAGCCCGACGGGAGACGAGGAGCGGGATTATGTAAGGTTGTGGATGGGCCATCAGAGCGCTACTTATGGAACAGATGGTTCCTGCGCCGAGGCGGGATCCCAATCAGGACATGAAGGAACGATAGATCTAAGCCTGAGGCTCAGGGTAAGTATCCGGTATCCAGGCAAACAAACTCGACCAAGCGATCCCTTGTTGCCGGACAACATACACCCGTGGGTCATAGCAATGCCGCTATTTTTCTCGCGCCTTCTCCTCTACGCTCACTGGGTATACGGTTGCGGCCCCCTTGCGCTCGCCTGCTCCTGTTGACATTGTGTACCTGGCTCTCCCTTCTCTTCGTTGCCTGCTTCGTGCTTCTGCATTGTCTTCTTATGTTCAGTCTCTCAACGCCGCGTTCACGTCTCATCTGCCTATCAGTCGTCTTCTACCAACTTCACCTCTAGTTGCGATCCTTCCCCGCGTGTCGCACAACGGACATCCTATCAACATGCTTCCGTCAAACCCCAATCGCAAGAGCTTTTCGCTCAGCTTGAACCTCCCACTGGCAAGGCGTTCCTCGAACTCGCGTCCTCAGAAGGATAGGTCCCGGAAAACCGCACCCCCTCCATCCCGCGAGTTCAGCTCGCCACGCAACCCACTCTTCCCCCCTTCACTACCTTTGAAACAGGAGCAGCCGGTTCTTCCTCTCTCTCTAACGGACGCTTTGGACCCCAGCGAGAAGATGAAGCTGCTCAGGAAGACAAAGAAGCTCAGCCGTATCCTCGGAGAGATGCCTATCCCCGTAGCTATTAATGAGGCAAGTTCCCAAACTAGCACTCCGACCGATTCTCCTCTCGGTCTCTTCGGCCTTCGTGAAGAGGCCTGCAGCCCCGCATCATCCTCCGCGACCAGCACAGTGTCACTGGTGAAGCAGCAGCAGCCGGGTATGTCGCTAATGGGCTCGCTCAAGCGTAGTATCACTATTGGCCACGGAAAGGCCATAATGTCCCAGCAGTCAGGAGTGCAACGGGCACGGTCCCTCGCTTCGTATCCTGTAACGTCCCCGCTTCCAGAGTCTGTTACAACTCAAACCTCGCCTATCTCTCGGGTAGGCTTCGCGAGGCCCGAGAAGCCTTTGCCCGGAATTGACGACGCGCGGGAGGCGGGCGTCCCTTCGGCGACTTCCTCGAGCCGGCGAGACTCACTTTTATCACTGTCTTCAATCGCCACTGCCCGCCGGCGCAACTCTACTTCATCCTCCATTCTCGTCGTCGAACGGACCCTGGAGCAGCTGCAGCGCGCCCGTGCAGCGAAACTCACCCGCCAGCTCGGGGAGAACGTCCCCCCTGACGTTCTTCTTCGTGCATCTTCACCGCCCCCTCGGACACCACTAGCTCCTTCGCCTTCGTTCTCATCTTTTGCCGACTCTCCCATGGACGTCCACGACCTCCAACGTTCTGTCAGGTCCGGCGCGTCCACCAAGCGTGACTGTTCGCGCAGACGCCGTCTAAGTCTTGACGTCCAGACTCTCGGCGGACGGAACCCTGAGGCAGCATCTTCGGAGGCAGTCGCACAACGAGCGATGAGGAAGAACGGTCGCGCTTCAACCAAAATGCGTCCCTCCACCGCAGACACGATTGAGAGGTCCCTGTCGCGGAGGCCCAGTATGATGGATGACTCTGACATGGACTCTGACATGGACCTCGACAATGTACGATCGCTCAGCCTGGAGAAGAAACGCGCCCTCAACGTCCGTCGGGCCCGCAAGATGGCTCAGGTACGTTGGTCTTCATCATCTCCGACTACACTGTGTCTCTTATGTGTGCTTTTGGGCTCACGGTAATATGTCATGCCTCGACAGATGTTCGGGAACGATCCCCCGCTGGCGTTGTTCCAAGTCACGACCGTTCCTGCGAGGGTAGCGGATGCATCTTTCTCTGGCGCGCTCGGCTTTGCTGAACGTTCAAGATGCGACTCCAATGCCACATGGATCTCAGTGACTCCCAGTGACATTCCCGCTCAGCCACCTATTGGGGATGATGACAAGCGCATCAGTGACAGATCCCCTACCCGCAACCTCTCCCCCCTCATTTTCGCCAATCCACACTCGGGCACGTCCTCGAATTGCACCACACCATATCCTGGAGATATACTTGGGGACGCGGAATCTGAGCTCCTCCCGTACCTGAACCCTGAGCAGGACTCCGTCTCAGATCTATGCCCAGCGTCGCCTCTTGACCTTCCACCCCTCGCCTACCCGCTGTCGTATCCCAGCCAAACGAACATCTCCGTCGCGTCGTCAATTTCAGTACCCCCGTTTTCTGCCACACCCTCGGAGCACTCTCAAGCGCCGCTGACGTCCCCGACTCGCAGCGCGTTCCGCGCCCCGAGTCCACCGCTAGTCTTGAACAAGCTCCAATGGGACGCACCTCTACGGTCTGTCTCCGCTCCGACCTCTCCCCCGACGGTGCACTCCCAGCTCGCGCCTCTGTCCTCGCTCTCGGCTGTGCCGTCCGGGCCCGTCAGCGCGCTGGACCTCAGTGCCTCGGACCCCATGTTCCGCATGCGCCGCCTGCGCGCCGCCAAGCTCTCGCGTTTCTTCGGTGTAGGGATGAACGACATCTCAGGCATGCTCGTCAGCACCGACTCCCTGCCCAGCAGCCCTGCAGGCGGAGCCGGTACCGACCCCAGCATATGTGCCAGTCCGCGCTCTGTTTCCACGCAGCTGTCCTCTTCACACACACTCTCCCTGTCCCACTCCTACTCGCGCACGCACCACGGCGACGACGACAACGTGCCCCCGGTCCCGCCCGTACCACCGCTCGAGGCGGTGAGGACTCCCTCTGCCGAGACGGACTCAGCCCCGCCCTCCCCCTGCTCTCCGTGTGTGTTCAACGAGCCCGATTACGAGGAGGGCCGCTCACGTAAGAGCTTCGGCGGGGGGCGCAGCCGGAGCGCATCGCGCCTGCCAACATGTGCCACTTCTCAGCCTTCACAGCCCGCAGTGCAACCTCGCCAGCCATCGGTCTCATCGGTCACGGATACTCCTGCGGTAGCCGATCGCAACGGGTCGCACAGTGAGCATGCGGCTCTGGCTTTGCAGGCGCTAACGTTAGGACGGCCTCATGCGACCGTGGTTGAGGTCGCGGCGGAGTACAGGAAGTCCAGGTACTTTTTCCGGGAGAGCCGACAACCCAAGACGAAGGAATTGGAGATGCAAGCCGCCATCAAACAACTTCGGAAGATTAGGTAGTATGTAGTGTCTGCTTCATTTACTCTACGTGACAGCTTCGCGGGCGTGGCGTTATAATTTCGGGCGTTTCGCGAATACATCGTGTTATGTTTTCACTCACTCACTCACTTTAACCGTGCTATCGTATTACATCTGCCTGCAGCCATTCTCATACTGAACGCAATATTGATAGTTTGTTGAATGCAAATACGACTTATACAATACAAACATGATTCGTCTACGGGTGGTACGGCATACCCCACCGTGCGTCGGGGCCACGTTCGGTCGATTTCACCATACCATCTGGTACAGTAGTGGTGATTCCAATGGAGGGGAGCCTGCTGTTTGAAAACATGTCTTTGCCAGTCGACCACTTCTGACCCAATTTATATTACATCATGCGAGAGGCAAAGTAACACCGGGTGGGTGACGTTGTTCAGTCCTCCAGGTCACCCAGAACCTTCTTCGATTGCTCCTTCGAGTCCTCAGAAGTACGAGCATTGCTCAAATTGGCCTGTGCATCGATGTTCATGATTGATGTACTGCCACGCGGACCTGAGGTATGACTCGCCTTGTGACCACGCTCGACTTGACCGGCATGAGCTTCGGCGCTGTCAACCTGGCCAGATTCATCCATCTCATCGAGGCGGCGTTGAGCATCGGCACGGGCCTCCTCAGAGTTGTTGGAGTTGTTGGCAGCACCCTCTAACATATTACTTATTGAGAACGATGCTACAGAGTGGCGTAAGTATACTCACTTAAGCCGCGAGCAACCTGCAAACGGGACATCAGCGCAACCGAAGGTAAATGCAATGGTGCACTCACATTTCCGGGGTTCGGCATGATGACGTTGTGGGTATGGATTATATGGATGAGGATGTATGCGAAAGGGAGCGGGTTTAGGGGTCGCTGAGCATGGTGGGGGATCTTATAGACGGTGGTATGTGAAGGTGCTCGCGATCGACCGCCGCTGTTTCTACGACACGACCAACATTGGGAGGGCCGTAGCCTTTGCGGGACATGCTCAACGGTGACGTCAGGAGATAGTTACATAGCAAGTTCTCTGTGACGTTGTTGTGTGCCACCTTGGGCCGCCGATCGCGCACGCCATGATCGATATCAACCACATCCCCCAAGTTCCCACGGTTACAGTACCCGTTACTGAACGCGCCGAGCTGCCGCCCATGCTGTTGCCTACGTTCCTTGTCAGACCACACTACAGGAATTCACTTTGAGAAAATCTCAGTCTGAAGACAATATACCGAAGGAACGATCCTGCACGCTTTCCTGACCTCCTCATTTCATTTTGATCGCCAGCCGCCTTGAGCCCCTTCACGTAAGAACGATAGAGACGTTTCCAACTCAAGCTCAAGGTGTACAATCGACGCATCAGCCGACGACGGTCTAAGGTGCATTCTTTAGGTAAATGGACCTACCTACTTTCGCGCATTTACGTGTTGACATGGCGGAGTTCAGCGTTCAGCGCTTCAGCTGTCATACCAAGGCCAATGACTTCCGCATGCAGATACTAGGTCTATGTCGGTACGTCTACTGTGCATTCCTTGGCTCGAGGTAAGCACTAGTTGTGATCGTCACGCATCCCTGGATGAGGTAGGTCCATCCTCTGCATACAAGTCAGTACAGTTGCGGGGCAAATCGTCTCCTGCATTTACACGCCAGCGATGGTCTCTGCGTTCTTGGCAGATCATCGTACCGCCGGCATACGCTGTCCAAGTGCGGCTTCTTGTGGTCTGACAAATATCGGGAATCTGTCAAGACGTGTCTTTGGGTGGGGCAACGAGGTGTGTCTCTTCCCATCTGTACGTTGAACAGCGGATGAAAAGGCCGCGCTGTGTTCTAGCGCGAGGCGGTGCTATGGTAATAATATGAGAGCCCCTTAATGCGTGCGGGCTCGTCTTTCAATTTACCTTGGCGCCCAAACTAGCTCTCGTTCGACTACTCTCCCACCTGGACATCGTGATGCAATGGGGCCGTGTTTAGTATCAGGCCTACAGCAGAGCTATAAGTGCCGAGAACTCGAAGCAAAAGCGTCAACACCAGCATGTCTAGCTATCCGTATCTAGGCGATACCTCTCAGGAACAGTCCACACGTAGGCAGTCCGCACGCAGGCAGTGCGTTTGTCGCCTTCATGTCCATGTCCATCACGCACCGACGTGCAATTTAACCTAATTCTCCATGTCGGTCACCCGAGAAGCTGAGGCGGTGGGAGAACATAATTGACACTGGAGGGCGCCCCGGCTCTCAAGGACGCCAACTAATCTTCATGCCGTAGACGTCTGAGGCGTTTGTGTCTGTGCACACGTACCGACGTCCTGCGTACAGCCTCCACGTGCATTATAAGGGTGTGAGCCGCTTTGAGTTCCGCTACGTTGTTGGCTCTCCTCCCCGGATCTTGTTGTTCCTATCGATCCCCCCAGGTGCGTCAGCCTTGACTCCTCATAAACCAGTCAAGTTTTTGAAACACGTCTTCGTACCCCTTATTCTAGACGTTGTCGTAGCGCGAAGATTATATCTTGCCCTAAAATGTACTGGCTTTCGATCTTCCGTATCGCAGTCTTGGGTAAGTCCCATGTATCTTAATCGGTGGTTGCATCTCGCTTACACAATTGTGCTGTAGGCTGGACCAGCTTCTGCGCTATCGTGCTCCTTGGTGTCGGGGCCCATGTTCTCTCAGCCGTCGGGGGCCTGCTATTGCCCTCCTTCCCCTGGGCGGGGCTGGCTGTTGCAACCGGAGTGCTCGCCTTCCTCACTGTGCCCACGATGTACGTAACGTCCATTCATGTCCGGGGATCCAGGCTCAGCTGTCATGCTTTCCGCCATCTAGGCTCGCCATCGACTTCATTCGCAAGGGAGCCTTCACCTCGATGATCGTCGTGGAGCTGTCGTGGCTGGGTATGTTGTGTTCATCGTGCCACAGTGCAGGTGGCGGCGTCTGACTGTCAATGTTGCGGGACGTAGGCTTCCTTGGCATCATGTTCCTGGCTAGTGGAGGTGCGGCAGCGGACACCGCTGCGAACTACTTCGTCAGCTGCAGCACCTGGAGTCCCGCCCTAGCACGCACGGTCTGCAGCGAGACTTCGGCCGGAGCTGCCTTCGGTTTCCTGGGCTGGCTCCCACGTGAGTCCACTTTCAGTTCATGACGCTCTACAACAACGCTCTAACCCCGCGCGATATATTAGTGTGGGCGTATACCGGGACGCTCCTTGTTCTCCTCATCATACAGGCCAATCGTGGGAACTACGTCTGGAGGCGCTCTGTTAAGGAGTCCTTCCCTGCCAGCGGCATCCCGCCCGCCGCGACTGGGACGTACGACGAGGGCAAGCTGCAACAGCCCGTGGGGCAATATCAGTATCCTCCCGCGAACAGCACGACGTCGATGGCGGGCTACTGGCCGGCTGGAGGAGCAGGCGCACCCGAGCCAGCACACCCGTACCCCCAGGTTTAGCAGCAGTCCAATCGTAAGAGCTGGTGGTTTGGACGATTCGATAAGACTGCGACTACTTTTCCCATCACTATGTTACACCACTAGTTCCCTGTCGCGATCGACGGTCCCTGGGGGTCTCTGTTATGGGTTCTCGCCGTACCTGTATTCGGTCCTACACTGTAATGATCCTTCTAATCTCAGCTCAGGCGACTATATGACATGCTCAGAATCGGGCACTTATTGTGAACGTTACATGAATCCGAGCCGGGAAAACTTGAGCTCGAGTAAACCGCCCTGCGGAACTGCCGGCTTAGTATAAACACCGCAAACATGAGGAGCCTAGAAAGGAAGGTCGTTCACATGACTACCTTCTAATACCGTACAAGCGGGGCATACCCCGCGTCGACGTCGACATATCACCATCCCTCTCGATCGATCTCTGTACGACCGACAGACTGTGTGTCATGGAAAGCATACCAGCGACAAGAGATGACCCAGAACTGGTTTCTGAGATGATCAGGCTCCTATCCGATGAGCTACAGCGTGTCCAGAACGAGACTCAACAACTGCGAGGCGGTAGCCTTCTTCCTACTAGAGTACGTCGGCTTGATTCAGGATGCCTAACGACGGAAGACGTCATCATCATGACCTGGACTACTTTTAGAATCGTGCAGAGAACACCAGCATGGTTAGTGCCGACGAGCTTTGCGCCCTCCAAGAAGAGAACCTTCAAATCAGATCCCAAATCGCAGACGCCAAGGCAAATTTACATCACATCGACGGGAATCCCCAGGTCAGGTTATAGTTCATCGATTGCTACATATATATTTATCATAGCCTCTCGTCTATAGAGTACAGCAAACCACAATGAGCAACTCAGTCAGCTTTCTGAAGAGGCCGCCCAGAGAGACGCCGAATACGTATGTTATTCCGATTCGTTGAACACCTGCTGAGCTCAGACATTCACTGATAGGCGAGATCGAGAGAAAGGCTCTCGGCCAAAATCGAGGCCATGCGTGGCAAATGCAAGGCGGAGAAGGAAATGGGATCGAAGCTACGAGAGGTAGGTTATCTGCCCGGGGTCCCTGCGGATCTTCGGAGCTCGTGGATTAATAACCTGTCATAGTCAATATCCGAAGCTGAAACTCAGGTGTCCGATATCGAGAGGATGAATGAAGAGCAGTCGGGACGCCTCCAAGATTTAAGGGATGATTTGGTTAGTCCATTCCGCCATTGCTATAACGGAGGATGGCTGAGCCTCGTGTAAGACGAGAGCGCAGGGCTCGGCAGTGCCATTTGACTTCTGCGCGTTCCTTGGCGATGTTGGAGGAGAGACAGGAGCACCGCCGACAGTGAGCGTTCCAGCTCCTCAGTCTGCTCTTGTTTTGCCAGAGGTGTGTCTCACTCCCGTCCATTCCGACGTCATTCAAGGCGACTAACCATATCGCTTACCTGGTCAGGCTGTCACCTCCCTATGGTATGACATTTGTGTTCAAGGAACCGAGACGTGTTCAGCTGATATGTAGCAGTGCTCCAGGTGGCTTTTTGGCTAAGAAGAGACAAGAAGTGATATTGTCATCTACCCGTGCCGGGTCGCGTTGCTTGGTCTTGGCCCCCACGCATCTCTACAATCCGAAGTCGAACAACTCAGAAGGTGGATGGCAGGTGACGGAGAGGGTCTCGCAACCTCCTGAAAACACCGAGTTGTTTTACCGTGAGAACACTACCCACTGGAGCTACCTCGGAACATTCCAGTTTGTTGCACAAGAAGAACGGTCCCTCCAAGATTTCGGTCGCATGGCCAAGGAGGTAGAGTTCAATACTACATACTGTTGATGTAGATCTATTGACTCCAACGCCTCACAGGCCATGCAGGTCATTCGCGACAATACAACATTATTCCCAGAAATGATTCCACCTATCCTGAAAGGTTTGATCAGGAACATGTACGATTGTGGGCTTCTAAAAGTGACATATACTGCTTGGCGGCGGGTCGGATTCAACGAGGGACTGGCCGATGCACTACGGGCAACATTTCAGCCTCCTCGTCTCATAGGAGAATCTACTGTAATACCGGTGCCAAAACCAGGTTCGTGGCTAAATCACAGAGTTCCAACAAAACGCGATCGAGAGGAGGATTTGGGGGTGGGTTCTCACAAGAAATCCAAGGGCGCGTAACTAGCCGCTATAGGCGATATTCATGTACCCAAGAGGTCATGTCAATCCCGAAGATGTCTGTTTTGCTCCTATCAGATCTATTACAACATTACAGATGTATTATACAGTCACATATGATACGTGTTCTGGACCAGAGGCCAAGTCAACCGGCGGAACAGATAGCTGACGAAACACATCGCTTACTCTCATCATAGATAGTCATGACGGTCATGAAGGGTATATGTCGCTCTAGCTGAACGTCTCGTCCGCGAGTTCACGCTCCATTTTCATGTCCTCCTTGACCTGGCTCACGCTAGAGAGACCTGGAAGCACCACTTTCCAGGTGCCCTTGTCCATGATCACTCTACGTATCTATGGAGACCGTCCGGTCAGAACTGATCGTAATCAGTATCATGAGACCGACTCGCCTGATTTTGGATGAGCTCGTGGACTTTCGGGACATCCTCGAGCTTCGCTCGGCTTCCCATCAGAGAGGTCGTCTTGATGTCAAGCGTGAAGTCGGAATGGGGCGACGGAAGGGTGAACGTGATTGTCGGGTGTGGTGAGTGGGGGTGCGGCGGAGTCAGACGGACCTGCAATCGTACGACCGTTAGCTCTATTCGTGTCATCTTTTCGCCGCGTAGTCTGCTTACAGGCGCCGCAAAGAGGGATAGTGAGATAGTCAGAGAAACGGGTAATCGCGCGAACGATGGGAATGGGTAGTTGAAGAGTACGGATGTGGATATGGATATAGCGACGGTGTCTACATAGCTCATGTCATAGTCAATCTCCTGGAGAGACGGTCAGTCTCTTGGCAGCGGTCGCTCTTCAGGCACTTACTGGATCAGATCCTGGTGAGAGGTCGCGGCGGATACGCGCATTCGAAAGGCGAGGCGCAGACGAGCCCAAGCTCACGGAATGCACCTTAATATAGTCCTAGGATGAAGCGAAATACAGTCAAGTATGCCAGCTGCGCAAGCGCACTCATACGTACCAGCAGACCCGCCGGGCGCATTTTGTTCGCAAACTCCTCCACACGTCGTCGGGCTATCTCGTCTCCGTCTGGCCCAGAAAGACCGTCGCGCAGCTTCGCGCGGTATGCGTTCAGCACCTGCAACGCGCCAAGTCAAAAAGGCATAGATTGACAGGGACGGACGCGCGGACGCACCTGTTGCACGAAGACGTTCAGCCACTCTGAGCTTTCCGAGTCCCCTTCACGCTTAGTAGCCTCGAAACTATCGAGGTTGAATCGCGCCGCCGTCACATCTTCTTCGCTGCTGTCAAACTCAATTTTCGGTGGATAAGAAGCCTTCCTAGACGAGCGTTCTGGGTCGGTGTCGAAGAACAGGTACTTCAGGATGAGGAAGAGCAAGAAGAGTATCGAGGCCTGGCCCAGAATCAAGCCCTGCGTAAATGTTGGCTGGAGCGTAAAGATATACGCCGACCCCATGGCTGTCGGCGGGAAAGATGAGCGGTAGACGGTGGAATTGTAGCGGGGGGTTGGTGCCGTGTGCTTACGCGGAGGCCAGGGAGCGAGCGCGACGACGACGACCGCACAGACGCCCGTGTATCCCCGCGTCATGCAGAATCACGTGTGGCGCGTGTCTTCTCGCGCCAAGACTTGCCACTTGAAATTGCCAGTGCTTCGCTTGCCCCTCTTACGCGAACTCGAGATGGATGGCTTCACCGCCTTCGTCTCTTGGCCGTCTGCTCCCCTCACCAACCGCCTCGTTCTCGATGCACTCAGGCCTCTAACACCTACCCCCACTGTCTGGGATTTCCTGTCCAAGGATACTGTCTCCTCGCCCGTCCGACTACTCCAATGGGCAACATACGATGCGCTCGATCACGATCTAACCTGCTCTCACGACCCCGCTTCTAGAGTCCTCTCGTCGTCCTATGTTATCCGGAAAGCTCTGATACGGAAACACTACCTCTCACGATGTATCCACAACTACCTGACCAAGCACCCGGATTCTGTCCTGACCCGAAGTGTGCCCAGGACCTGGGAGCTTGAGCTCAGCTTCGCCGACGAGCTCGACGAGCTATGGAGCGACGACCTCTATGACTTGTCCGAGCAGGTCGAGAAGGGTGACCCGTCGAAGTGGTGGATACTGAAGCCAGGGATGGCTGACCGGGGCATGGGCCTGCGCCTCTTCCACACGAAAGAAGACCTCGAAGCGATCTTCCAGGAGTTCGAGCAGGCCGACTCGGATGAAGATGATGAAGAGGGACGCGGCGAAGAAGGACATGATACAGCTGTTGTCACCTCACAACTGCGCCATTTCGTGATCCAGGTGGCTCGTTTGGATTCGAGTGCTATCCCGACAAACCACTGACTTAGGCCGATGCAGGAATATATATCAAATCCCCTCCTCCTCGATCCTGCTGAAGCCCCACTGGACGATGCGCTCAAACCTGCTAGAAGTGATCTTCGCGGCCATAAAGTCAGCTCAGCCTTTATTCCACTCCGACGCCCTATTCAAGCCATGTATAGTTCCACCTCCGCGTATACTGCGTCGCATCTGGAGCCATCAAAGTCTACGTCTACGAGCGCATCTTGGCCTTATTCTCTGCCGTCCCGTATGTACCACCCAAGTCGGTAGACGGCGAGCAGGGCACTCCTAGCATCGATCTCGCCCCTCACCTCACGAATACCTCGTTGCAGACAGAGCGCGGAGAGGCAGGCGTCCGTCTGCTCGACGAGCTCGTTGGATGTCATATACTCTCTGGAGGCTCGAGCGCTGCGCCCCCAAGACAGCCGCAACGACCTCCTCGCGCCACGGGACAAGCTCTCGATCCGGAGGCTATAAACGCGGCGAGGAAGTCCCATGCACGGCATGCCACGCTCACGAAGGAGGACGTCGAAGACTTGAAGGGACAGATCAGCAATGTCCTTGCAGAGACGTTCAAGGCAGCCATCGAGATGAGCGTCCACTTCCAGGTGAGTTACTGGCAGGCTCGGAGACGACGGCACACTGACGCAGTGCCAGCCGCTACCGAACGCATTCGAGCTATTTGGTGTGGATTTTGTCGTAGCCCACGACTCGTCGCCGGGGGCCCTCCGGAAGTTCCAAGTGAAGCTGCTGGAGGTTAACTCAGAACCTGCGATCGAGCTGACAGGGCCGCGCCTCACCTGGGTCCTGGAAGACTTGTTCAAAGGTATCGCCAAGACGTGTGTCGAGCCCTACTTCAGCGCCGAGGGCTCGCCGGCGCATGCGGTGACGGATGCTTGGAAAGTAGGAGAGACGAAGCAGGAATTACGGATGTGCCTCGATCAACAGATACGCAGCGCATGGTAGTAGAAGCGAGCGATGTTCCCCGCGTGCGTGCGCGGATGTAATCTTCTCTACGAATCGTGTATGGTAGTCGGAGCGCGTTCGTACAAGACTGCCAAATGGGGCGGTTCGGCAAAAGCCTAAACACGGTGTGGCGGGAGCGGTCAATCCTCCTCTCCAGCAAACATATGGGCCTCTTCGTCGTGAACTACTAGAAATAGGCTTCAGCGACGTCCAAAATGTCTACGAACACGTCCAACATCCTCTTTGACGACATCTTCTCGATCAATGACATAGACAAGGAGGGCAAGAAATTTGACCGAGGTGCGCGGCGTTACAGCCACACCTGCAACCTTCTACCTCTGCTTACCACTACGCAACTCCTGCCCACGCAGTCTCGCGTCTGTACGCACACTCAAAAAACTATGACATGGACCTGACGCTCGACTACAACACCGAGCTCTTTCCTATCCAAAGTGGCCAGTCCATCGCGCTTGCGCTCGCGTCTTCGTTGTCGCGGAACCCACAAGGCGCGGCGGGTACGACGGAAGATGAGGATAAGGACCGGGACGTGTGGAGGCCAGATGCAAAGGGGAGGAGAGGGCTGGACGACGACTATGAGTACGTGATGTACGGAAAGGTAAGTGAAGCCGCGCTCCCTTCGCCTTGCACCTTCCCCGACGACGTTCTTCTGCTCCTCCTGCTGCACCGTTCGTCTCGCGTCTCATCTGCCCGCCTGTCTCGCACAACGTTGGCTGGCTCATACGATTCTGAAGGTGTACAGGTTCGACAGTGGCTCAGGAGAAGTAGTGTAAGCCCTTCCGTCCGCGTTCTGCAACACCCTCGGCAGCACTGACGTTCTCCCAGGACGGCATACGCGTCCTTCGGCGGGCTGCTCATGTCTCTGACAGGATCGTTCAGGCATTTGACGAGCATCGTTCTCGGAGATCCTGTATTCATACTCCTGCGTCGATGATGGCTCACGCCGGCGGCTTTGCCGTATATGTATCCTTACACGATATTCCGTTGGATGCAGCATCTCATCACGTACGTCAATAACATGGGTGCTCTGACCGACTCCCAGGTATGTCGCCCCATTGCGCCTTTTCAGCGACTCCGCAATTCTGTGTTCGAAAGCAAGACAAACGTTGGATCATTTTACAACTGGTTGTACACCAATTGCAAGATCGACGAACGTCCCCGTGCACCACTCAAGAACGCCCCATCTCGTCAAGGATCTGAGCAGAGTGCTCTTTGGCCCCTTGGCTGGTGTGGGGGTTCGACAGGTTCGCCTACGAGTTCACGGCAGTCAGTCGCTGCCGTGTACGGCTTCCCCTGTACGGCGGCGCTCACCTTGTGACCGATTGCGACGTTGTCCTCGTGAGCTTCGCGGGATCGAAGCTCGCCGGTGTCTTCCAACTTCTGCAGGCGCTCCTGAGCGCGCTCCTTGGCCTCCTCTGAGACGTTTGGGTTCGCGATGCTGGCCTCTGTGAGGGGAGGAGCAAGACCATTGCCACCGAATCGCATTGGAGCGGGCGGGAAGGGAGACTGCTCACTGAGACCGCGCGCAACCTGCAGAGCAGAAGAGCATGCGTCAGCAAATTGTGCCGAGACATATGAAGATGCAGGGCGAGGATCTGCCACGTACGTTTCCTGGAGCTGACATTGTAAGGTTCTCTGAGGTTGTGGTGGTTGAGCAGTGATGTGTTTGCTGGACGTCTGTTTCCTAACCAGACGAATTCATACGCCCTCGCGCTGGCAGCACTACGTCAGAATGTTTGCATAGCCCGCACTCGCCGTTGTGTTATGTCAGGCTCGCGTCACTCCAAACCATGATGGTGCTCCCCGTACTAGAGCTAAAGGGGATCTATAATGCGCTCCACAACTTCGCTGTACGTACGCGAGCCGGAGTACTTGGTGTGCGGCGGCGGCCCAGGTAAGTACGCGCCTTGCCGCATAAATGTCCATTTTCACAGCTCGCAACGCTCCCCATTGACGCGCCTTGTCTGGCGTAGTTCCTCGGTTTCGGGTCGTGCGTCCGTTTTGTGCGGGCGGGCGTAGTATGAATCAGTCAGTACTGCTGCGACGGTGAGTCGCGCCTCTCTGACTCGACCACCAAATATGCGATTTTGGGTTAAATCCCGGTCACTTTGCCGGCCCTCGTGGTCGCCGTCAGACCGTGCGGGCGCAGGAGCTCCCACAGAGTGACAATGATATGGATGTGCAAGATCTGGTAAGCAGACATCGTAAGTAGAGTACGTGCGTGGCAAGTGCAGCACGGTTCAGTTCAATCCAGTCAAGACTTCTTCTGCTTCTTCTTCGGCGGCCCCTCATTGCTCCCCTGCCCATCCCGCAATCTCTTCTTCTTCTGCTCCTTAGACCTCTTTGCTGAGCTTCGGTTCGGGGGCTTCTTCGGCTCGGAAGGGATCTGCTTCGAAGCCTTCTTCGATTTGGAAGACATCTGCTGGAGCGCCTTCTTGCGCGATAAGAGGACATCGTAGAAGGAGTGATCATATCCTATTCTTTCGAAACCGAAGCAGTCGAAAGTGAAGGGTCCATGTCCGGACAAGGTAGAGATGAACCTGTGAATGATGGGAGGGGTTTGTTCCTCATGAATAACGACCTTATTGAGGCAGCTACGAGCCATCTATAGGGTTACGAAGGAGTGAACAATGTCATAGACAGGGACCGAATGGACGAGACTCACCTTTGGACAGATTGTTTGTGCTTCCTCAGTGTCGATTGATGAGTTCCCGACGCATGTATAGGTGCCATAGTAATACCAATCGTTATGGTGCTTATAGAGGATTTCCCACTGCTTCTCCGCTGTCGTTGACTGAAATCGAGTGACGTCCGCGTTCCTAGTCCATCCACCGTTACCAGACCGAGCTGTGGGGTCATATATGACAGAGGGAAGGAGATGCAGTCCACGGTCGATGCTGCTGCTTGACCACAGGAATTCATCGGATCGGACGGCCAAAATGTTGAGCTCTCGGCTGCAGCATACACATCAGCAGCAACGCAGACGAGGATGTGAGTTGGCATACTGTTTCTTTGGCATATCCTACCATAGCAGACAGTGAGGATCCCATACTCAATCATGGTTGAGTGTATCACACGCACTGCGGGGAGCTGAGAGAAAGCTGCCGAAGACAAGAACGGCTTCATTCCTTTCTCCTGGGGAAATCCTTTCCCAGACTTGACAACGGCTTCGTTCTGAAAGCGTGTCGGGTCAAACTTCAGAGACTCTTTATTGAGGGCTTCCTGCACATCAGGATGAGTGTGAATGAAGGATCGTTGTCCCACATTCGTGACAGGTTACGTACAAGTTCGCTTGCGACGTGAGCGGTCTCTCCCTGAAGGCCATTCAAATTTCCAGTGGCCTCCCGGAGGGTTTCAGTGGCTTTGAACAAGTCCTCAATTGAATGAGATTCCCTTAGTGGCGGTGACATATGTGCAGATCTTGAGGATGCGGAAAATACCTTCTGAAGTGCTCTATTCTGGGACTTGTACGAGTGGTACTTCTCCTGGTACTTGTCGAGTTTTGCTTGAAGTTCTCCAAGGGTTTCGTCCTTGCCCCAGTTTGTAACACCATAACTAAGCAGTCACTGAAGAGGTGTGATGAAGCTCTAGTCACCTGGATCGTCCGGCGCCGTTGGAGATCTTCCGATGCCTCATGCACTGCCTTCCCGGAGTCAAACAGCGACTACGATGCAAATGAGCTCAGTTGGCCGAATGGCCTGTACACACCAATGAGGCAATCAGTCGTTCTACCGTGTGTCGAGAGGACTCCTTGGAGTCTTGTTCATCTGAGGCGGCCGATAGCTGAAGTTTCAACGCCGCCAGTTCCGACCTAAGGTTCGCGTTCTCTGACCGCATTGGGGTGCTATCTACTAGCACTAGCTCTGCGGCAGACTAGAGAGCGGATATGCTAAGTATCTGCTATCGACTGACCATTCCATCCTCACCGTCCTACGGAGTTCATCTAATTCTTGTCGCCTTCGCTGTAGCTTCCTGTAGAGAAGCTGGAGAAGTTCTTGACCGAGCTCTGGATCGCTAGCGATGGAATCCATGATATAGAGTTTACTCGGAGAGCATGCAGCTAGTCCTTATGGTCGCTTGGTCGATCAACATGTGAGAGCAGCAGGTAAGTAGTAGCGCGCGCTCAACGATCAGAGCACTCAGCTGCCGCATATATGGGCGCCTATCCCGATTCACGTGAGACATGGCATAGAAATCATGCAGAATGCAAGCATCGACAATACGGCGGTGCTCGGTATATAACTAGCTTATACATCATAGTCAGACTCGAGGATGTCCGTCGCGTCACCAGTGTCGACGCAGCTGGCGCTTGACCGACTCGTACGCCGCTTTCGTTTCAATACGACTGGGCTCCAACTCCGCGAGGTACTGTTCGACAGCTTGATCTATCCGGAACACAGGGAACTCTCCGCGCGAGGCAGAGGACTGCGGCCGCTTCGCTTCTTCCACCCAGTCGGTCAACAACACCGCAATGTCGGACGAGATCGCTTGCACGTTGGCTTGCTCATTGAACGGCGGGACCTACACATCCGGTCAATAGGGCGGAGCGCTGCACGATTTAGGGGACACATACCTGTGACTCGTACATCTCGTGCAGGATATCCCATACTTCCGGATACGGAACACCACATTGAGTCAGAATGCGAGGAGCCCAGCCGTAAGGCAGCTCGCCCTTGTGTGCGAGAGCGAAGCGGACCAGTAGGGACGCGATGTGTTCTACAACACGTTGAGTATGTGAATACGACGTTTCAGTTGTCGAGGAAAGTACTCACGAAGCGGGAAAGCGCTCTCGGAGGGATAGTATCGCTGTCCGAGGGGAATGACTCGGCCCATGATCCGGTCTGCGGCAACCTTCGCTTCGACGCCTTCGACGGCTGGTGCGTTGTGAGCGAGAGCCAGTCGGATGTTGGCAGTTGCGACTGACCTTCTTCAAAGATTTTGTTCCATATGGGTCGGACGATGCTCTCATCACGATGTTCCGAAACGTGCAAGATGAGGAGTTTGATGAGGGGTAGGTCCAGCGGATCGGCATATAGTTGATACAGCTATATCGCGAGACAAAATCAACACAATACATGACAGACCGAACCGAGCAACTGACCTCAGTGATGTTGTACAGACGGTATGATAGCGCCTTGAATCGTTCTGCAAGTTCCGGATCATTTTGGCGGGGTAGGAGTGTATTGTACAGCTCCAGTTGCACTTGGGCAACCTCCAGCTTCTCCTCGAGTTCTGTAAGGAACGCGATAGCCGTTTCATGCCGACCGCCGACTGATACGGGATGCGACTTCGCATTGCTGACGGCAAGCGTCAAGTACTCCAGCCTCGTCTCGAGGGACAAGTTGAACCTGTGGGATGTCAGATGATCCGCGTGCTGTGACAGACATCAACATACTCAGTCGATTCAGCGAGTACCGCGAGGACCTCGGCTGCACGGAGCGGCTGGCCATCCTTGACGTAGAACTGCCATAGTAGCTGGAACTTCTCCACAGTGACTGGTTCACGCCGCAGGTGAGCCTCGAGATAGGCTGGACGCATCTATGGGAGCCAAGTGAGCAGAGTCCAACGCCTCAACGATGCAACCAGCTACCTCAAGAAGTTGGTCAGCCATGCCCCGACCAATCAACCAATCGTATAATGTCGAGTGGAACATCTCATCTTCGCTCGCAAACGCCAACTCATATGCATGACCCCGCACGGTCTCGGGATCATCCACTTGAGCGGCGTCCTGCTTTCCAGGAACACAGCGTTCCTCAAAGACTGACAGCGAGTCGAGAACAAGCTCGTAGCAATGCTTCCGGCGCTCCCAGAACTGGGCTCGGGAGTCGTTCTGGGGGTATCCTGCAATCCAGTACTCTTGTCCTTGGAGGTCGGTATCGAAGACTTGCGCGCAGTACAAAGGGAGTTCAACCGTGCCTTATAAATCTCCACATCAGCGACAGAACATTGCAATGTAGCGTGGTCGTACCTTTGGCATAGCTCAGTTGCTGATAATCTCCGATGATTTCTCGCAACTTGTCGAACTCGAGATTGCGAGCACCCTTCATAAACAACCTGCAGAGGGCTCAATACCAACATGTTAGTCTTGAGTGGAATATGTACCTGAGGGACTCCCCCAGCCACGTCTGGCGTTCGACTGGGTTGCGAGTCTCAACGGCCTTACGGACGTTCTCGCGCGCCTGGAGACACAAATGCTGTCAATACTACCATTTCAAGCTGTTGTCTGTGCACTTGCCTTGTATAGCATCACATCATCGGTGCTGCAGAAGGACCCACAGCGTTGCTGAAGCACCTCGCTAATGGTGTCGACCTATGGCGGGTGAGGGCGGCATTGACTCAACATGAAGAACTGGACCTACGCTAATCTGCTGGCCGATTTGCTGATTGATGATGACGTTCACCAGTGCACGAGAAGCAGCGACGCCCTTGTCGGAGGTGATGAGCTCCTCAAAAGTCAGAGAACTGACGAGCTTCTGGATATCGGGCTCACAACTATTCGGTTGTCAGCTATCAGTATGTGCCATTCCCTCAGATTGAACGCACTGAGCAATGAGTTCGCCTAGCCTGTGGTCATTCAGGAGCAGGATGAAGGCGATCGCTTCGATGCTTCGTCCCAATAGGCTCAGGAGCTGAGCCACGGAGCTTTGCTCCGCCTATCAATTCCCGTCAATCTACCGACAGCGACAACAGTTCTCCTTTCACCGACCTTCCACGCTTCTTGTTCGCTTGCGGTCGCAGAGCGTGCCCCGGTGTGGTCACCTGGTGCAGAATGGAACAAGTGAGGGTTTGTGTCCAAGAGCTCCTTGAGAGCGAACAGGTTCTTCTGCGCGGTCACAAGGACATCGTCGGGCACATTGAGGTCCTGCAAGCCGCCAGATCTGTGACGCATTAGGGTCTTCATATAGCAACTCGAATGAACGCGTTGATCACATACCTCGCTTTCGTGATCGACACCTTCCAGAACGGCCGCACCAATCGAGCAAAGTAAAGAGCAAGTCCTTCTCGCCTGCCACTGAACGTAGCTGTACCAGAACCTTCACCTATATAGTACGTCAATACCGAGCCGAACAATCTGTCGTACTGCCGACTCACTAGTGCCGTATGTGACGCGCTCCGCCCAAGTTGGGCGTTCGCCGAAGTCGTAGAACGCTTGTTTCGCAGCAGTCACAAGTTCAGGGCTGACACGGCTCATGGAGCCCAGCGGCGACTGCTCCATGGGGTCCAAGAAGGTATTACCACTAGCGATAGCGAGAAGCATTGCACATGTCTGATCACGACCATAGCTTCGCGGCATCAGCTATACTCGGTTCGTGGAGTACACAGAATGAAGTACCTGTCACGGAACTGGATCAACGGTTGTGGGTTGCTCTCCCCTGAAAATTCCTCAAGGACATCCCTGAGAGCATCGACAGCCCTCCGCTTAGCTATCCAATGTAATCCGCCGTTGGTCAAGATAATGTACTGCCTGGCGGGCTCAGAGAACTGCGTGGCGAGCTCGTTCGTGACAAGGGGTGCGGGGGTATTGGGAGGAGCTGTGGTCGCCAAGGAGTACTTGGACCGAGGAACAGGAGCCAAGCCCCAGGTAAGGCCAGGGATTGGTACGAGCGTGGCACGCTCTGTGAGTGGCGGTCGGCTTGGGCCCGTAACCGCACCATAGGTTGGATTGGCATATTGCGCGGAGGACTGCTGGAGCTGGGGCGGATGAGTCTGCCCTAGTGACCCAATTTGGGTGAGGTCAGGCGTGAGACACAGAACGTAGTCTGTGTCGGCGATGTCGGCGTTCTGAACAGCGATAGTGATTCCGTGGTCGTAGCATGAGTTGTTGAGGTTGGAAAGGATGAACGGTCGAGGGGGAGCAGGCTGGGCCTGGCCTACACCATACCCAACGTGAGTTTCGCGGAACTGTCGTCCTTGCTCGTCGGGGTGGATCAGGTTGGGTGGAGGCAGGCGCACATGAACGAGCGAAAGAGGACGAACGCCAGTCGCGGATGTTGAGCCCCAACCATAATTTCCGTAGGAAGATGGTGAGAAGTAGAGGCGAACACCGTTGATTGTGACAGCTACTAGTTGAACGCCAGTACGCGACTCGCTGGGGTCGACAACGTGCAGGGCGATGATGTTGAAGTTTTGTGGCGTGAGAGCAGGCGATCCGGGGACCTTGTCTTGAGCAGCCTTGTAGAGATTTGAGATAGTCTGAAGATGCTGCACGTGCTTGTCTCCGTTCGTTTTCCAGACGGAGATGGTGTTGTTGGCCGTCAGAGAGTAGAAGCAGTTCCTTGCGGGATCAGAGACTAGGGTGATGATCCTGTCTGCGAGTTGTTCGTCTAGTCAGACAGGTTGAAAGCGCATTTAAATTCATGACTACCTTCTGAGCTAGACGAGCCAAGGCGGGGGAGCAAGCTCTGCATACCACCAACCGAATGGTTGATTAGTTGAACCCTCTTACCGAACCACCCTTCCTTCTCCTGGTAGTGCAACTCGTACAGGTTTCCATCCTGTTGTCCGCACATGAATATGCGACCGTCCGGAGTACCGATTACAGAAGTCATCTCAACGTCGCAGGCTAATGACATGTCAGTGGCGTATAACTTGATGTCCTTGCGGGTCTGATTGTTCGGCCCAGGTACGGGATGAGTGGAGACGCCGATGAGGAGGACAGTAACAGGCGTGCAAATGACAAGGAGGGACGTAATTTCGTCAATGAAGACGCCGCTTTTTGGGTTCACGAGAGCGACATGGGTGATCACGTCTGGTTGATCCACGTAGGAGCTCAACTCTTGACTGGGACTTCTATCAGCGGTGCACGCGGGGCATACTCTTCTTGTCAACGCACCCGTCCACGTAATCCCATAAGAAGAGGTTGTGGTCTATGGATATCCAGACGCGTTCGATCTCTGGCAGCAGTCCCATATGCGTGGCCAAATGTGTGGCTGCGGCAACATTGTCAATGAATTACACATTGCTCCTAGATATCTGACTCACAAGTGTAGTACTGCCATAAACCCTCCGGTATCCCTATGTGTCTCCTCTTTTGAAAAGGCGCGCGGTAGTCGTCGGGAAACACGGTATACAGGGCGGACGAAGGTTGTCCCGCTACACGGATTGTCACCACTGTGTGATTCCGACGCGTATATGACGACTCACAGATCATATCACCTAAGTCCGGGATTGTCTGCGAGTCCTTTACCAGCTGCTCCTGCAATACGCGGCTAGCAGCCTGGAGAGCAGGGAGGTCAAGGACGGGTGCAGGCTTAGACGCGACCTGCGCCTGCCTGAACTTGCTCCCATTGACCGACGCGATCAATGGGCCAGACGTGGACGTGGACGCAAAGTTTTGCGGGACAGCATAGGTCGACCGGAAAGCCATGGGAGGGCAGGTAGTGGCGGAGGAGAGCAAGACTTGAACAAGAGCAAGCCCGCTACCGATCACGCGTCATACGCGCGCGCGAACTTTTGTTTTCTGCTGTCGCGCGACCGGCGCTTCCCACCCCGACTGCTTTTGCTCTCTCGCTATCGTCTTCGCTATTGTCCTTGTCATGTCCGATGTTGCTGGCCCCTCCACCCCCTCTCGCAAACGATCTCGATGGGATACAGAAGAAGATACCACCCCTCAAGTCGATAAACCTGTCCCAAAACGCCGCACAAAGTCCAAGGTCACAACATCTGCCGAGACCTATACACCAGAGCGTACAGCTACCCCACCCGTTCGTTCGCAAAGCGTCGCGGGCAGGCTACGGCCCTCTCATAGTCGTCATGTTCCCCCAAGGACCGAACATCCGCCGTTCATGCCGTCTCGCTCCGTGTATTGCTACGAACGGCTGAACTCCATCGAGGAGGGCTCGTACGGAGTCGTCTTCAGGGCGAGGGATAAGGAGACGGGAGACATCGTTGCACTGAAGAAGCTCAAACTTGACGAGGAAAAGCATGGATTCCCGATAACGGCGCTGCGGGAGATCAACTCGTTAATGGTTTGCAAGCACGAGAACGTGGTTGGCATCCGAGAGGTGGTGGTGGGAGACACCTTAACACAGTTCGTGATTTCTTTGCTTGTACGTCATGCGTATTGATACTCTTCAGGGTTTTCATCGTCATGGATTTCATTGAACACGACCTCAAGACACTACTCAGCGTTATGCCGTCACCCTTCTTGCAGTCTGAAGTCAAAACACTAATGCTCCAGCTACTCTCGGCCGTCGCGCATTGTCATGAACGTTGGATTCTCCACCGAGACCTGAAGACAAGCAACCTGCTCATGAACAACCGTGGTACCATAAAGGTCGCGGACTTCGGGTTGGCGAGGCGGTACGGAGACCCGGTGGGCGTCGGCGGGCTGACCCAACTCGTGGTGACCCTGTGGTATCGGTATGTAACATGCCTTCTGTATATTACGACGTCCACACTTCCAATCTATTCCGATTTGTGCTCAGTGCGCCAGAGATCCTTCTCGGTGCCACGACCTACTCTACAGCGATCGACATGTGGTCGGTCGGATGCATCTTCGCTGAACTGCTCCTGAACGAGCCGTTGTTCCAGGCGAAGGGCGAGATAGAGATGATATCCATGATTTTCAAACTTCTTGGCCCGCCTACTAGCCAGACGTGGCCCGACTTCCTTAACCTGCCGCTCGCAAAGACCATCACCTTGCCCGCCCCACAGCCCTCACAGCTGCGCCAGAAGTTCCCATACGTCACGTCGGCGGGGCTCGATTTGCTCTCTCGCCTACTTGCGTATGACCCGGAGACGAGGATATCAGCAGAAGAAGCTCTGAAGCATCCGTACTTCACGTACGTCATCGCGTATTCAGCATTGAGGAGCCTCGGCTAACCTCTGACCGCCAGCGAGTCGCCTCTACCGAAACATCCAGATCTCTTCGGGTCTTTCCCATCTGCTGCAGCCGGCGAAAAGTATGTATTGATCAAGCTTCAGTGAAATTCAGCGTTGACCCTCTGCTTCAGGAGAAGAAAACCAGACAGTCCTTCGGCTCCCGCAAGGGCTGCCGATTACAAGCTACTTACGGAGTTCGACTAGCCTCGCTTCCTATTTCTCCTTAACATTGTATGTTGCATACTAATACAACATTGCATGAACACGAACATGAAGACGTCCATGGCAGCTACGCGATTGGTGAGACTGGCACAGGCGTGGGTACTGGTACAGGTGTAGTTGAGGTTGCTGGAGGTGCTGACGCAGGCTCATCTTCATCGTCCTTGAGCGCGTTCAGTACGTCCCGCATCTTCTTGAACCTGTTCCTTGTACGTTCAGGATCGCCGCACTTGTCATAGTACTCTTGCACCTCCTCCGTCGTGAACCTGAACTCGCGAGCAATATCTTGCACGGCTTGGTCGATAGGGTGGAGTCCCGCAGCTATTTCTGGAGAACTGGAAACATGTAGAATAATAAGAAATCGCAAACGGGAATATTGGAAAGAGATATAACGGACTTTAATCGCGACCGCTTGTTTGGACCCTCTTCCTCGTCGAGCTTCCGCTTGGCCCACACAGGAGGCGGGGCGTCGCCCTCACGTATCTGCCATTCCTCGTCGTCTTCCATCTCCTCTTCCCGCGCTTGCGACCGTGCCGTCGCTGCGTCCATGTGTTGTCCAGTAGCAGAGACGGGCATATGCTGGAACACCGATGCAGCTGAAGGGTATACCACCGAATTGAACGCGTCGTCCGGCCCGCCCACCTGGCCAATGACGCCGGAAAGGGCGGGTAGGGGCACTGGCATCGGGACGGAATATGTGTCCATCGAGTGCATCGATGGGCCTGCGATGGGCGAGGCAGCTTCCGCCCCGTTGGCATTACGCTTCTTCCTGACGCGTTTCGGTCTCTCTTCTGGCTTGCGGACGTAGCCGTATTGGCCCTTCTCGCCGTGCGCGGGCTTCTTCTGGTCGACTATCTCCGCGATCTTTGCGTCGAGGCGCGTCGCGTTCTTCTTGTACCGTTCGCGCCAGGACTGCCAGGTGTGGCGCGTCACCCACGCGTATTCTGGATCGTTGGCCTGTGGCGTACGATAAGACGAATGCAACGAGTGTCCGACGGAAGAGTCGACTCACCATCTCGCAAAGTTGTTGGTATAATCGATTCCCGGTTCTTCCGCCTGTCTCTTTGTATGGAATCTTCGCGGCGATCCAGCTACACAGATTCTCTTCATCTCGTTCGGTGAACTGAGTGCGTCTGCAATTGCGTCAGCCGCCGGACCACAGGGACATATACCTCGAGACATACTCCTCTCCAGGTCGACGTCCTCCAGGGTTCTTGTAAACCACGGGCGTATAGATGACTTGTCCCTTTTCGATGCACTTCTTGACCCACAGATACGACTCGACGTACTTGTCCGGCTCGCCTTGGTACGTCTTGACAAGGTGCTGGAAGATCTCCGTGTTTGGGTCCGCGAGGATGACGCGCGCGGACTGGGCGCTTGCCGTGGGATCCCCGCCGGAATGCTGCCAATGCACGCGTTCAGCCCATTGCACCCATGCGCACCCACGAAGCCCTCCTGCCCTTTCCGCGCCCCCTACAGCCAGCCATGGTCCCGCCTCTCACGCAATCGTACCAGCGTAGGAAGCAGGGAGGACAAGCACTCACCATGATGCGTGTAGCGAGCGCTGCGCGGACGTTCACGTTCGCGATGCTTGAGTCGATGTGCATGCGGATCGGCTGGCCGTCCTGGATGAATATTTGCTTGAGCAGCATTCCTGTGATCTTGCACGCCTCGACGTATGTGTACGGCACGAAGTACCGTTCCGGACGGTCGGCCGTCGACCAGCACAGGCGGAGGCGCTCCTCCTCGGCTGTCCCAGGCTGCACGAGCACGTAGCCCGCGCGCGGGACCTTCGGCTCGACGCGCCCGCCTAGCGCCTGAGTCGGAATGCCAGTGGGGATCATGCAGAGGCGGATGTGAGCTCGTGCGCGAGGGGTGAGGGAGAAGGATGGGGAAGAGGGTAACGCACGGATATGGTCTCGCACACTTCCGCCTGTGTCTTCTGCGGGATGTCCTTCTGGATGAAGAACTTGACCGCCATCCCGTTGGCATCTTGGAAGATTGGCTGGGCCGTTTGCACACGTCAGTCTGGAAAGCCGCGCGAAGGAGTTGACCATAGACAAGTACCATCTCGTAGCCAGCCAGAGTGCTCGAGGAGTAGTGGTGGGCGGGAGGGAGGTAACCTTGTGCAGGGGTTAGAGTTTGTTTATGTAACGGCGGGGTTAGGGTTTTTAAACCCCAGAGACGCCCATTTGCACCCCGATCTGAAAGTTGCCTATTGGCGCTAGTTTAACAAAGTTCTTTTCTTGGAGTGACATCCGATTAGAACAAACGCGAGGAAAACAAGATATTGATACAGGTATGTGCTAAATGAATGGGGCAGATGAGGCGGAGCATGTCATGGGAGTACCTTCCCGGGGTTCATGATACCATTCGGATCAAACAACGCCTTGATCTTCTTCATCCATTCGATACTGGTCTCGTTCTTCGAGTACTTCAAGGCGTGAGTCTTCATAGCGCCGATACCGTGTTCCGCCGAGATCGAGCCTTTATATGAGGCTAAAGGACAGTGAGAACAGAATATGAGGGCTGAACTGGTCTGAGAACACTCACCAACCAACTCGTACACGAAAGGCTCGAGAGCGGCCTCGATCTCTGGAGTGTACGCGGCAGCCACCACGTTCAAATGCAAGTTGCCTGACAAGGTATTCAATTTTGAAGCGCGCTATCGCACTCAACGCCAATACTGACCATCTCCTACATGACCATATCCGACGACATACTTGACCGCATCTTCGTGCAAGAGGCCCTTCTCTTGTAGGTGGTTCTTGGTCTTATCGACGACCTCCTGGAACTTGTACAGGGGAACGGATATATCGTACTTGTAAGCCTTGCCTTCCTTCGAGACTGCCTCGGTCAATCCTTCCCGAATGGCCCAGAGCGACGAGAATTGCGCAGGCGATGTCGCAATGACACCAGTGTTGATTAACGGCACGTCGGCTTCCATAAGAGACTCTAGTAAAGAGTTGAGTTTCTGGAAAGATGGAATCAGCGGCAACAGATATTTTCGCCCCGTACAACACTGACCTGCTCGTCATGTTCGCGCTTGCCGCCGCTCGTCTCCACGAGAACGAAGCACTCGGCGCCCTCGACATCCTCGGGATTCAGCGCACGGCCCTGTCCATGCTTCACTGCGAGATCATAAACAGTCCGGTCCATGAATTCGAAGGCAGACAGGATCTCCGATAGTTGACGCTTGGTCTCCTTGTACAGGGGCAAGACGTTCTCGAACTTCGGGAGAGCGAGCATAACGTTATTCGAAGCTTGAGGAGCTGGGGCAGCGAGAATAGAGACACCGGTAACAATGCCGAGCGTACCCTCAGCACCGATGAAGAGTTGCTTCAAGTCATAGCCTGTGCAGCGTCAGTGGAGCTGAGAAATATTGCATACCTCGTCGCTCACCGGTGTTATCTTTCCGGAGAGTAGTCAGTTGGTCGAGGATGGTGCCATCAGGCAGAACTACCTCAAGACCGAGGACAGAGCCATGAAGGGAGCCGTATCGGAGGAGCCGGAGACCGCCTGCATTGGTAGAGACGTTCCCACCGATTTGGCAGCTGGGAGGAAGGGGTTGGTGAGCATCCGGGATAACGCACGGCCCACGTACCTGCCCTTTGCGCCAAGATCAAGGGGGACGATGTGATTATGAGGCGCAAGGTAGTCCGTCAAAGACTGGAGGACGCAACCTGCATCCGCTACGAGGATGCCTATGCATTTACCCTTGAGCGACTGGCTTTCCAAAATACCTAAAGAACATACCGGAGACATCGTCGAACGAGCGGATTTTAGACATGTTCGACAGACTCAGAATGAGCTCATCCCGGATGGGCACGCTCCCTCCGACTAGACCGGTGTTCCCTCCTTGGGGCACGATGCCGATGCGGCGCTCGTTACACCACTTGACGATCTTGCTGACCTCCTCGGTGGTGCGAGGTTTGAGCACAGTCGTGGACCTGCCATGGTACTTGTTCATCCAGTCATTGTTGAACGACTCGAGCTCGGAAGAAGGCGCCGCGCTGGGAGATAGAGTGGAGACAATTGAAGTGGGGGGGAGGAAGTGGGCGAAGTGGACGAGGTCGTCCTCAGTGACCGACTTGAGGCCTGCGAGAGCAGCGGGAGAATGAGTCCAGCGGCGAGGAGCCCGTATGAGGGGGCGCCGCGCAAGCTGACGAGAGAAGAGCATCCCGAGCCGTCAGCGAGGCTGAAAGAGCGAGCGCAAGCAGCCCAGAGCTGCTGACCCGGGCACGGTGCGGAGTCCAGTGTGTAGTGCACGTGACGGACGCGCTGGGAAGTCGCGTCCGACTCCGCTTCGCCCGCTGCCAGTAATATTCACTGGCAATTGTCGCAACCCCGTCAACCGCTGGGACACCATCTTGCCTTCTGGCTTCATTGGGTGCCCGCCTCGTCTCAAGGATCTGTCGCAGCACATATACCATGCCTGAGGTCATCGACCTCGTCTCGGGTTCCGAGTCGGATGCGGATTCCTCCGCTGACAGCGAGGTTCAATTTGCCGGCTACCATCGCGATGTGAACAAAAGTACTCAACACGCTACCACACTGGAAGAAGACGGCTATGTTTACGCAGGCTTCAAGGCCCTCCCTCAACCGAAGATCCCCAAATCCATCGTCAAACGCAAGAAACCGGAAGTCATCAGCTTACTCGATAGCGATGACGAGGAGCCGCAGCACAAGGTCAGTTCGAAACAAGGTATTTTTTCAGTTCCTCACATGCTACGCTTGTACTACAGAGACAGAAGACTGGCTTCTCAGGGTCACCAGCTTGCACCCGTACAACCAGCCGACAATCAACGACGCGGAGACATAAGGCACCTGGCCCCCATCCTAAGGCAAGCGGTCGTATGCTTGGACGTGATCTGGATCACTCACCCTGTAACAGAGCCAGGCGGAGCTTCAGCGTGATCTTGAACGCGAAGAGGAAGAGGATTACGTTACCACACTCGCCGCTCTCGACCTCGATGATGATGCGAATGTAACGGCCACCTTGACCGTCCTCTTCATCGCGATGCTCGTCCTAATGCAGTCCCATAGTGGGGCAATAGGCTAAATCTACAGAAAGCTTACCTGGAAGTCAACGACGAAGGGGATGCTCATGTTGAACTCGCTCTCAGTGCCGCTGCAACAGCTGTTGACAAGAAGATATCTGAACGTGCTTTCCGTCGGCTTGCAGAGCTGCCTCAAGACTACTTTGATCTTGAGCTATCCCCAGAGAGGACGTACAAGACTCCCCATGTATATCAGCAGGTCAGCTAGGCGGCAAGCTCTGAATCCAGAAGTCATACTAAATATGACTTGTTTGCTTCAGATGCCACCGCCTATTTTCCTTGCTGCACCCACTTTCAATATACACAAGTCAAGCAGTATCACAAATGTTATAGGCGCGAGACGCTTCCAGTCGATAACCGGACACCCATCGACTGGCCACCTCGTCGCCAACAAGACGATACACTATGCAGGCGGAGGTTGGACCCTCCTTCCTTTTGGCTCCGTTCAGCAAGCGGGATGGGAGTAGGAGTGGGCAGGGATTGTCCGCCAAATCCATCGTAGCCGCTTACAACTCCAGTCCCATCTCTAGGCGGCTACGAAGAATTTGGCTGACATTCCCACTCCAACCCGCTTCCCAGAGGGGCCTTGATGTTTCTGCTGATTGACAATTATGGGCAGCCGTACAGACGATAGTACAATCCAAGAGCATCATAGCGATAGCCAGCGCTGTTGTCGATGGCAATCTTGATGGTGAGAGTATACGTTCACCAAGCGTCTTGGCTTTGCGCCTCATTTGTTTGCTCAGATGAACCCTCGCCATACAACAAGGAAGGATCGCTGTTCGCCTCATTCCTGATGAAGGGTAACATTACACACCAGAGCGAGCCGGGTACATTCTCACTATTGACTGCGCCTAGGCAGAGTGTTAGAGGAGCACTCGCTCGAGCTGGAGGAGCATGATATCCGGGATGGCAGGGGTAGGCATATTATTCCCCGGTCTCTGTGAAGCTCACATGTCAATGATCCATATACAGCACGGAAACACCACCTTACCGTCTCCGACGTTGCTCTTGATCCTATAAGGCACGTCTCACCACTGCCCCGTTCGACTTTCCAGGTCAATCAATCCATGTCGTTGTCAGTTCCACTAGATTTGCTTCGGCAGGCCGAGACAACAAAGTTCTACTATGGGACTATGACCCGATGGAGGACGACGGGGGCGACGATGAAGATCCCCATCCTTGGAAAGTAGCTACGGAAGGTTAGTTGTTATCTCTCTTGTATAAACGCAGGACAGACCAGACTCCTCCACAGTAAAGTGTAAAGATAGCCCCGAAGTGGTCAAGTTCAAGCCGGGAACCTCACTGTTAGCTATCCAATGCAACGATGGGTATGTCCCCCTATTGTGACTCGCTAATGTATCTGACATTGCATTACAGCTACGTATATCTCGTTCAGCCTGATGGCCCGGATCGCTGCTTCCTTGTGGCCCCTCCCCAGAAGAAACACGTCACCGCTGACATGGCATGGGGCTCAGGGCCTTCTGACGGTCTTCTCTTCGCGTCATCAGCCTGTCGTGAGGGTGACAGCGGTTTCCACAAGGCCTACGATATTGTGAAGAACAAGGTGGTCACAGCCTTCGATGCGGACAAGCAGGCATGCAGCTCTCTAACCCTCGATTCACTTGGTACGCTCATGTCGAATGTTCGCTTACTCACACCTGAGTGTCATCAATCTCGCTCGCATTCCAGGTGAAAGGCTCTTCATAGCTACGGAAGGCCCCGGCCGCACTCCATCATACTTCCTCCGACAATACGACGTGAGGAGCGCTGCGGACCGCAGGGCCGTGCAACAAGTGGAGCTGGAACCCTTCGCCGGCTCGCCAGATCGTAACTATACGGATATCAACTCCCTTTCCCTAAGTCCTGACGGAATCTACATTGCTGTCGGCCGTACCGACAACTGGGTCGACGTGTACGACGCTCGCATGTTGCAGCGCGGCCCCCTCCATAATTACGCGCACGAGGGCGGTGGTCTGCATAAGTATAGGGCTGTCAACATGGGCGAGGGCGGCGCTTCGGATGAGTACGGGGTCGTCAAGACCCAGTGGGTCGATAGCTATCCATTCGGCTTCGGGCTCGTCTCAGGGGGCGCCGATGGTGAGCCCGATGCTTAGTCCCTTCCTCACTCTGTCATGAGTGCTGATCAGGTTGCTCGCAGGATGTGTCCGGCTCTGGGACGCCAAGCTCGCGTCCAGCGACCCCGTCAACGGCCGGATACTTGCGCAGAGCGACGACCACGTAGCAACCTTCTCCCTGGGCGACATTTTCCAGGGTGAAGTACCGATCATCTTGTAGGTCTCTCCATGACGGCAGTACGTGTGCATGCTCACTTAGGTTCGTCCCCAGGGGAGATACGTTTGGGAGAGTAACTCTATTCGACTTCCCTTCGGGAAGGAACTCGTAAAACATACACTATCTAACCTGGCTGGCGCGGACACGTCGTATCCGCATGATCTATGTATCCTTATTGCATACCCCACCCCGCACTCGTACATACCCCATCCTACTTCTTTTTCTTTGCATACGCCATCCACTCACTTCGCAATGGGATGCGAGCCGTTCCAACTGAGTTTGCATTTGTTGTGTCCATTACGGGAGACCGAGCATGATACGAGCGACACGAGCGAGGCTATACAACAGTAGAAATACAATACTGGGATAACAAAAAGAACGCAGAATCTGACAGCAGCAACACACAGTCCAGCATATAGCAGCTCGTACCCGAAGGGGCCAAAGACAGCAAGCGTTCACCGACCGACCCGCGCGAGGCTCTCCAGCTCCGGGAACAGCCCGACGTCCGCGACCTCCGAGTGCATCATCAGCCCGAGCGTGACGTCCTCCTGGTACGCGCACAGCATGCCCACCCCGCGCTGCACCTGGTTGTCCCCGTGCTCGCCATAGCCCACGCCGAACGACAGCAGCGGCATCGTCGAGTTTCCCGGGTCGAACTGGTCCTCGGCGTCGTCCACGAGCTTGAGGAGCTCGATCGCGCGGCGCACGATGCCGGCGAACGTGGGGCGCGTCTCCACGGGCGTCTGGAGGACGAGCTTCTTGAGGAGGCGGAGGACGACCTTGGCGAAGCCGAGCGTGCTGCTGCGCTTCGCGCGCTCCTTGAGCTCGGGCGGCGCGAGGAAGGCGAGCGAGTACAAGCAGTGGATGACGCGCTCGACGTACCCGATCCACGGCTCGCGCATGATCGCGTGGAAGTCGTGGTCCGTGACGGGCAGGCGGTGCACGAGGGCCTCCAACATCGTCCACAGCCACGCGGACGGGACGCACATGGAGATGGCGCGGCGGTTGTCGTCCGGCAGCGCGAAACGCGCGAACGCCTCGAGGGCCTGGTTCGCGAGCGAGGGCGGGGACGGGGGTTTCGGTTGGGGCTGCGAGAGGGAGATGCCGGTCTGCAGGATGTACTGGAAGGGCGAGACGGTCTCGGACGGGTCGACGATGAATGACGCGACGACCTCGTATGCGCGCCGTATCGTACGCTGCATCTGCTTTGACGGCACGGGTGTGGCAAGCAAGTTGATGTATACGCCAAAGTTGACAAGCATATGGACGACGTCTTTACGTATGCTGAGCACATCGGCCAATGATAGTACAGGCGAGAGTGGAGTGGGAGTGGAGGATTTGCTCTGAGGCGCGAGAGTGCATAGTCGGAGCATGACATGCAAGAGCTTCTCGTGTTTCGCGAGGTACTGTGCACTGAGCTCGTCGCCCTGTGAGATATTACGGATGATGTTGACGACCGTAAGGATGATGTCCGCTGGTCGTTGACGTGGTCCATGGTGAAATTCCTTCGCTCCAGAGACAGGGTGGAGAGCAGCAAAAGGCTTCGCGCCGTCGTCCAAGAGCGAGTTGACCAACTCCTTGTGCGTGATCAAGAGCTCGTCCGAATCAAAATCACCGTCGTCCTCTACACCGTCGAACGCAAGATCTTCCATCAGGTCTATCGCCTCGTCCAGCAGGTCTGGAGCCTGCACAATCGGGAACCCGCCTTCTCGCTCGCGTTGCCCATGCTGCTGAGAGTGGTGACCGCGTGCGAGAGTGATAAGAGCGAACGTCGTCAGCGAATATGAGAGTTCAGTAGATATACGCGAACGCAAAGATAGCGTGAGTGCGTCGATATCGACGTGTCCCCACTCATCACTGTGCCGGAGAGGGCGAGAGGACAGGCGATTCCACTCGCTCTGGATGAAGTCCAGATTACGTCCGCCTGTGGTGTCGAGCTCGGGGTGGAGTGGCATATACTCAATTTTGCGGCGCGAGGGCTGGAGAATGGTACGTGTTATCACCGTCTCGGTAGGCTGGCCGGGAGCGACCGACTGAATAGAGATCTCGATGAGCAGGATCGCACGTCACAGTAGGAAACGCAACTCACACCGCGAGCATCCGATACGTCCGAGCCTCCTGGACAGTCATCAGTGATGCAAACCTCGTAGCGTTCACATGAACTTACCGGTCTTTTGCCTCACACGCTTCGCGTCCGATTCCACGTTTTCCTGCATCTTCCTCTTCCGGCTATCTAAGTCATGATCAAGGTCAGCAGGTCCGTTTGGGGCGCCCCCAGGTATTGCCGGGAATCCTCCCGACGGCATCTTGGCCAAAGGCACGCCTCCGTTCAAGGCTGGGTGGTTAGCGCCGCTCGGGGACATGCCCACGCCTGCGCCCGTCATATTAGGTGGTTGGAAGGGCAGCTGCGGGACCTGGAACTGACCAGGTAGGGTGCCGTCCATCGCAGCGTTGGGCTGAGACATCATGCCCGCAGCGGCGGGGTTGCCGCCGGGAACCATGCTCTGCCCGGGCATGCCAATCATTCCTGGGCGCGCTTGGGAGTTCATGTTGCTCTGCTGTTGGGCGCGCCTTTGCTGCTCGACAATGTTCTTGCGGTATGCCTCCTCGAATGGGCCGAGGATCGCAGTGTAGTATCGCTCGAGGACGACAACGACCGACTGGTGCTCTGCGGGGTTGCTGGGAGAAGCCATGGTCTCGGGTAGTCCGAGAGCTTGACGGACGGCTTGCCAAAGACCCTTTTGTGTGACCTGTCATGCATACGCGCTGTTGAACAAAGCGTATGGGGAATAGAGACATGATGAACACGCACTCCTTGGCCACCGCCATGTTGGGTAACCAACCCCCACAGCCTGAATAGATCCACATCTTTCCCAGCTAAGCGGATGACGCCCAGGTCGGTTGAGGAGACCTCAAGGGATTTCCATGGCATGTTTGCGGGGTCAAAGTTGGGCGGAAAGGGAACGCCGGTGAGCTGTGGCGGAAGGGGCATGTTGCGTTGGGCCATCAGCTGGGCGAGGCCATTGAGCCAGGTGCGCCTGCGCTGCTTGAGGAGCTCCTGCTGCTGCATGGCTGCATTGCTGGGCTGCTGGGGCTGTGGGGGCTGTTCCAAAGGGGGAGGGACGTAAGCGAGTGCGGGACGGGGTGAGAGGAGGAAAGGGACGGACGTTCATGGGCGGATTTGGCGCCTGGAGATCGGGGAGGGGAGCAAAGGGATGGCTGTCATGGGGCGCATCTGGGCGGGGATGGGAGCTGGACTGGTTCATCGACATTCCTCCGAAATAACCCGCCGAGGTTCCGCCAGGAGCAGACCGATTCGCAGCCTTTGCCAGACTCGTCGCCTGCAGGGCGGCCATCTGCTTCGCAGTAAACGGGTCGAGATTGAAGGGAAGAGCCGGCCCACCCCCATCAGATACGCTGCCGGTGGCATGTGGGGCGAACGACTGGGGGAAGGCGGTGGGTGCGATGTTTGGGACGTTGTGCTGCCTGCATACCAGTCCACAGCGGTGGGAAGCGGTTGGTTAGTGGCTGGCATGTGTGTGGGATGCAGCAGGAACCGATACGCACATGTTGGAGAGTTTAACCTCGACGGAGCGTTCTCGGAATGCACTGAACCCGTATCCGAATCTGAATCGACAGCGTAGCGACGCCGGCCGTCGCTGCTTGCAGGCGCCAAATGCCCGCTTCCCGAGTTCGACTCGTTTCCCGCACCCACCCGTGATCGCTTCCATTAGACGCGCAACAGACGCCCCTTGTGCATTTTTCAAGACCTTTGTCTCCTCCTCCTCCCATGCCTGCCTCGGAAATAGACGACATCTTTGCCTCTAAAGGCAAGCTCCCTGCTGCTGCCCCTCCCAAAGCCTCGTCTTCATCTGCACTCCTGTCCGACAAGAAGAAAAAGAAAAAGATAAAGGACAAGGGCGAGGTTGGGGACAAGCCTGTCAGGCGTAAACGCGAGGACTCCAACGAAGACCCTGCTCCTAGCGTGCCTTCCAAGCGGAAGGTGCCGGAGACCGTCTTCGATCCCTATGTAACCTTGCCTTCTACCAAGTCCAATAAGAGCAAAGCCCCAAGGGTAGAGAAAACTGAAGGCGGTGTACCAAAAGCGAAGAAGGCAAAGAAGGACCGGGAGGAGGAAGACCGCTTCAAGGACTCCCGGGGCACTGGCCCTCGTATGTATTCTGCACACTTAGCATGATATGTGTTCTCACCTCAGGCAGGTCGCAAAACCGAGGAGGGCTTCTCGATATACAAGGAGGACGAGTTGGGTATCACCGACCAGGGCGGCGGTCAGTACTGCGCTCCCAAGCCCTGCAACGGCTTGCTTATGCACTGCGACACCAGATACCGCACTATGTCCCTTCGACTGCCAGTGTTGTAAGTCATGCTCTATGTCTGTATAGGTAACTCTAATGCTCACTTTCTCACCAGGTTTCTAGGTGTATCCATATCACGTTTCTTTGTACCATTAGACGATACCCCCCGTCTACCGCGTGCCTTCTCGACGTCTCAGCTCCGTCCTTCCGGCTCTATCGAAGCCTCGCCTACCGCTCCGGCAATGGTAGCATGAGGTCAATGTGCAGCCTAGACCGAACCATGGATTCCCATAATACGAAGCTGTGCTGTCACTTTTGTATTCACTGACGGCATGCTACACTCAGGGAATGACACCTTCCGTTGCCTCGTATAGTTCTCAGTAAGACCGAATTGTAATGGTTTTGAAGCTTTCGCTGATGTCCGCCTCCAGAGTCGCATGTACCTACCGTATGTTTGACAGCAATCAAATCGTTCGTCAGGAAACCTCTTGGACTTGCCTTGGCAGGCTGCTAAGGTATCCTCCATGGTCGCCGCATTTCACGACCCTGCGAGGTCAAATCGTAGCCGAAATCCAAGCTTATAGCCTCGCATAGAATAGTGGCACTCTATCCTCTCGGGAGTACTCACTACTGGGGCATCTCGACATCCGATGTAGATTCCTTACCTTCGGTCTGACATGTTCGATATGTCACGTCCACATCTCATGTACTTATCTTCGAAGAGTCTGGTTCGAGAGTTACTCCATTGTCGTACTGTTGCGCTGTCGCTCTACGCATGCACAGGCCCCCATCGTCGTGCAGGCTTCTTGCTAAAATGCCTGCATATTCTTGACCGGTACCACGAACTCAGCACTTACTGTGAAGCCAACAGTTGTTAAGCACACATATCTGTGAGATTGATGATGGTCGAAGGCCATGAGACACTAACCTATTGCGCTCGTTGAGGCGCAGGAAGTCGGCGCTGTTGCGTGGTACTCTGTGTCATCCTGATACTCCACGGGCTAGGCGCACTGCAACCCGAGCACGTTCGCGCCTGCTTCCTAAGGTCCTTTTACCATATCTCTCTGTTAGACCATGGTCCCATCACCCACTTCCACGTAAACCAGGATCTGTCTCTGAGCTTCGAGCTACACGCTGAGTCTACTACCAGCGCTGCCACTGTCCCGCGATGTCAGCGGACCTCCCTCCCACCTACACACAGGAGCCATCCGAGGCCGACGCGCAACTCTCGGACGACTCGGATCTCAGCTTCGTCTCCGCGCATGACGAGCAGCCCCCTGCAGCAGCTCTGAACGACGCGGACGCGGACGATGCGAACGCGGAGTTAGGAGGAGGGAGCGCAGGGCCCCAGATCCTCATCATCCCCGTCGCCGACGGCGGGGTGCACTTCCAGAAGGGCTACCTGGGCGCAGACGGGGAGCGCGCTGCTGTCGAGGGCGAGCTGCAGATCAAGAGTGCCGACGCAGGCTTTAGGTGGCGCAAGGTGTGAGTGTCTCGATTCCGTGCTCGCAGTGTGCCCTCCCAGCTCCCTCCTTCGCTCGCGGGACGTGCGATATGGCAGTATACGTGAAATCGACTCAACGCTTATTGCTGTAATGTATGTAGGTCCGTGGCACTACGATCCGTCGAGAGGGCGCACGGGCGGGAGATCGAGCTCGCCAACACGGAAATCGTCCTGGCTAGTTCCCCTGACCCTAGTCCTCAACAGCGTTCGAGCTTCCCTTTCTCGATACCCCTTCCCCTGGACACTCCGCAATGTCTACACACGGCAACATCGTCGCTTGCATACTCGCTATCAGCGAATGTCTGGCCTGCCGCAGGAGACGCAGACCCTCTGCGCCGATCGCTTGTCATTCATACCCGACGGTACACCTCGCACACTCATGACCTCCATCCGGTCCCAGAGACGCGGGTTATCACGGAGCCGAGCAGGGTCGAGGTCCAACTCCCGAGGACAACCTTCAAAGCTGGGGAACAAATTCCTGTCTACATTACGGTGCCCACGCCGTCTGCGGACTTCGTGGTGGAACAAGGCCAGCGTCTTCGCAACCTACGGGCGGAGCTTGTGCGCGTCATCAACGTGAAAAAGAACGAGTCTGAAGAAGGCGAGCTCGACGAGGACGACTTCGAGAATGGCTCCGAGAATGGCGGCCAACCCTCATCGCTGACACAAAAGACGGTGCCTGGGCCTTCCACTTCTCGCACACCTCCCGACTTTATTGTGCGGAGAGGCGAGCGCGGAGAGCGGAAGGTGATAGCTCTCTCGGGCGCGTCGTGTCGACTACATCCCTCTCGGCCGCTCCGGATCCGACTTGTCTTGCATCAACCTACCGAGCCGCCTCTACCTGACTCTCCACGCCATCAACCTTCCACAGAAGAGGCTTACTCTACAAGTTTCGATGCAGAATGCGCATACATTACGCAGTCGACAGTCCTCCACAGCGTCTCGTTCCGCCTCCTCGTTCACGCCACCTTCGTGCGAATGTCCAGCCACACCGAGCGCGTCTCAACTGTATCCATACCATTACTCATCTTACCACCCTCAGCACCACTGCCCGAAGTCGAGCCATCTGTCGACGCGGCTTACATCAAGAAGCACGACCGCCCTCCCACGCGGACAGTCAGGCTGGAGGACCCTGAGGTGCCGCAGTACGAGGCGGGGCCAAGCGCAGCACCAGGCGCACCGCCCCCCTTCGAAGAGCGCGAGGCCCCACCGCCCTTCTGGTCCGCCGAGGCCGAGGCGTCCACGTCCTCCCGCCTGCCCACGTTCCTCGAATCGGAGGCGTCAACATCACGCTTACCGACCTTCCTCGAGTCCGAACACGAGATCTACGTCCCCCCTGAAGAGGACCCGTCTATTGCGCCCCCGCCTCCCCTGCCCGTATCGGAGCTCGTGTTCGAAGGCGAAGGGTCGCTGTTCGGCTTCACCGCTGCGGACCAGTTCGATGGCTATGCAGACGTGCTGGACCAGCGGTCCTTCACGCCCCCGCCGTCGCTCGAGATGGCGACGCACGACGCGAACGTCACCGGGCTCGCGAACATGGACCTCGACGAGGGCGCGGCCATAGAGGCGCTCGGCCTCGCACTCGAGCAACAGACCATCGCGCTCAATACTCATGGCTTGAGTGGGGAGAACAACAGTGTAGGAGCGGTGGACGACCACTTCCTGCCGCCGCCCCCACCGCCGATGGACGACCCGTCTGACCCGCCGCCCTCGATCGATTCTGCGGAGTTCAGGGCGCCTGGGGCATTGCATGACAGCCCGCCCCGAGCACAGAGTCCGCAGGGGCATGGCATGGTCCCTCCGCAGACACCCGAGGACGAGGGGGAATCCCATGGGCACGCCCCTCCTCCGTACAGGGTGCCGGATCACGACCATGAACATGAAGACGGCGGCCACGAGCGGGTCACACATCCTCCGCCGTATATGGATCTCGTGCACAATTGACTGCTCTGTATGCTGTTTCTTGTTGTCGTCTCGAATGTGCCCCTTAGAGGAAGTCCAAGTCCCTGTGTTGTGTCGTTAGTAGAACCGAAGCACAGAAGCTTTGGACAAAGACTACCGGTGTATTTCCTTGCAAATAGAACCACATAACCAATCTCCCGTCAGTCAGTTAGGACACTGAGCCTGCCCAGCCCAAGCCCCATGAGCCCATTGTCATTCACTGGGCCTTCGGACGATTCCAAGACGGAGTCTGGTCTACTAACGAGGCTTTCAAGACTGCAGCAAAGTGGAGCGGAAGCAAGAGCACTCCTACTTTTTAATGACGCTATACATTTTGATAGTCTACCTGTTTCATGCCGACATACGACGCGACAACTCGCTTGAGCGCTGGTGAGTTATGTGGTCGATATTCGTGATATTTCATAGCGCACCTGATTCTACGACTTCCAGAGCACTCTCATCACGCATCTCTTCACGCCCTGGCTCGTCTCCCAAATCGTTTGGACACTGCCTCTCGAAGCGCTTTCCACTGCTTGAATGAACTCGTTCACACCTCCACCAACGCCAAAGTACACCAACTTTGCCGCGACGAGACAGAGGTACTGTGTGCTTGCAAGGGCCTGCAAGCTATCCGGTTTGGACAAGGATAGCCTCGACGTAACGTCTTCCAGAGATGCCGATTCCTCTTGAGCTTTTGTCGCTTTCTGCATCAGATCGACGAGAGAATTGAGGCTTGCCGTACGGTAGATCGTCTCCGATGTGAGCAAGATGTCGTAAGGCCCACCGGCTTGCTCTACACCAAACGTCGACCAAGCCCCTGAGAAGAGCCTCAGGTGTATCCCGTGAGTCTTCAATGACTCGCGGAAAGCGGATCTCAGGGCGGGCGTTATTGCGAGCTCCCCCGGTTGAGAAGGGTCGTCAGGCGGCAGCGAAGCGGAGTCGAAGTCCTCGTCGTCAGCTTCACCAGTCTGGTCGGATCCCTGAGCAAGTGCGCGTGTGCGGTACGCGGACGAGGCAGGAGACATATCTGAGAGAGAATATTCGCGTCACTCTAGAGTTATATTACTCGATCCACAATAATGAGCTTACACCAGGCCAATATGACATTTGGAATCGTGACTAGCCTGAGCACGAGCTCATTGTAGTCCTGCAGGTGAACATGAACACCAGCGTCGGCTCTCGGTTCCGCGCAAAAGAGCGAATGGAAGAGGTACAACGAAGGAATCGCCGTCCCACAACCTAACTGAAACAGACCTCGTTACATTGTCAGCAGAGAAGTTCAAGGACAGAGATATCAGTGGATATCATTATACCTCCAGTATCCGTTTCCCGTGAATAGTACTCGAGATCGCTCGACCGTAGATGGAATCCAGACATTCGACTAGGTCTAAACTGCACTCCCAAGTCTTGAGACCTCCCTCATACACCCCAGGAACAAGATCAGAAGGGGCGTCGATGAAGTCTACCTCGGAAGATTCATTGTCATTTCCACCGCCATCATCGGCGGATATTAACTGAAATCTGGCGTCGAACAGATCTCTTCGCGACAGCACCACCTCCCGCTGAGACGGCAATGATAGATGTAACGGGGAAAAAGATATGGTGTGCGGTAGCGCGGATAGCTAGGGAAACAGGCGGCATTTAAGAAATGGAACACCTGGGGACTCAAACCAGGCAAACTTCACCAAATGTTCTAGGTAGACCTCCTTTGAAACGTCTTCAGACACGGTCTCTTGCGTTTGCTGTGGCTCTTCGGTGAATGATTCTTCGGCGGCGCAAACAATGCTTTGGTCGTCAGAGTCGTCGATATCGAAGTTGAATTTGAACATTTGTACGCCTGTACGGGTTTTGTAGCTGTAGTGGTCGTTTGGTAGACGCAATTCTCGTATGCTGAGTCAGCCAGAGGTATCTCTAGCGCCTTCGTACCGCGGGCTTGCTCGTTTTGCTTCAACCTTGCACACCTTTGGGAGTTATTTCACACGATCTATCTGGAGTGTACATGCGCGAGATACGCCACGTGAATAAGCAGTGTGCATCGTCAACATGTCACACATGGCATAAAGAGATGTAGACAACATCAAGGTATGATATGTCAGTCCAATACCGCTCCAATACGACAGCAAATACATGTACGGGGAAAGGCCATATAGATCAGACAGGCATGAAAAGGGAACGCGGAGGGGTAAGTAATACTGTAAAGGGGGCATTAAGCTCGTGACGCCCTGGGTGAGAGGAGCGTGAGGGGAAGCGCATCTCTGCTTTGATAAGGAGAAGACCGCCACACAATCAGCAATTGCACGCATCCTTGCCCTTCGCGTTATTCTCCTCCAAGTTGACACCGCCCTCCTGAGCAGCACGGCCGGAAGCAGCACCGGGGCGCTGTCCGCCGCGGCTCGAAACTAAGATCTGGTCGATAGGAATCTTCTTGGCTAAAAGGGGAAGATAACGTTAGCGATGTCGAGCACAGTGTGCCTGCTTGGAGACGAGACGAGACGAGCGTATAGGGCCACTTACCAATCTCAGTGAAGATCTCTACAACGCCCTCGCCGGTCTTTGCGGACGTCTCAAAGAACAGCAACCCAGCCTCCTGCGCGTACGCCTCGGCTTCGTCCCTAGGCACCTGCCGGAGGCTCTCGGGCTCGCCCGAGGTGGCCGTCTCGCCAGGGGTCGCGGTTGCGTCGTCGGCCTCATCCTCGGACTCAGCGGCAGCAGATGAGGAAGATGCGGAGGGCGTGACGAGATCAATCTTGTTGCCTGCGAGAGCGATAACGATGTTCGGGTTTGCTTGCCGCTGGAGCTCCTTCACCCACGTCTTCGCCTTCTCAAGACTAGATGCCTTCGTGACGTCGTATACAACTACTGCGGCTTGCGCGTTACGGTAGTACATGGGCTGATGCCACGGCCCAATATCAATGGCAGACACCATGAAGATGCTGGGGTGGTACGTACTGCAAGGGAGTGGAAACGTTCCTGGCCCGCTGTGTCCCAGATCTCATATCGCAGCACACGGTCTTCCAAGCGGCACTTCTGCGTGAGGAAAGCCGCGCCAATCGTAGGCTCCTTGTTTGGCTGGAACTCGTTCGAGACCTGTTGTGACGAGTTATGGGGGGCAGGGGTAGCGTGGAATGCGGACTACGCACGAATCGCAGCACGATAGACGACTTCCCAACGGCGGCCTCGCCTGTGGTCATACAAGACGGTTAGCACTCTTACAGACAACAAACACAGTAGTAACGCTCGCAGAGTCTGAATGTAGCGAGATCGACGGCCGGAGGAAGGTGGGCAGGAGGGTGGCAGGTTACCGGCGTGCGGAGCTCCAGGAAGTTGCGAGAGTGGTATAGCTACTCACCGAGGAGCACTAGCTTCACCTGAACAGATCTCTCTGTCGAGCCGGAAGCAGCGTCGGCCATTTCTATGTAGGCTCTGAGGGTGGAAGAAAAATAGAATACACTGAGGGAGGGGAAGGGATGATGGCGTAACGAGGAACAGCGCAGTCCCTCTCTCACCCTTGTTTGTCCGCCGGCATTCGGCGCTTAGGCCCGCCTGCCACGGCTCCGCCATAGCCACATGCCAGGTACCTTCAACCTCCCATTTCCTGCTCAGCTGCGGCACGACTGCCCGAGTGCGATATGAACGACTCAACCATGTTGGACCATCTTGTTGTGATCGGAAAGTAGACCGAGCTATGTAGATTCATGCAGGATATACAGGGACAGTGAGTTCGTAATAGGGCTTCAACTGTTCGCAGTCCACGAACAGCCCAACTTCGAGCTCCACTTGCTGGACCTCATTGAACACGTCAGGACATTCTGCATCCGCAGCCTTCACCGCATCTATGGCCACAGTCCCTACAGTGCTTATGTCTCCGGAAAACGCTTTGTCTCTATTCGCTATCTTGTCCACAGCGATGCCAAGGTCTCTGCGACGTTTGCTTTGACCCGCGGGCGAATTGGGCAAGGCACCGCTCTGGTCGTAAAACCAGAACGGTTGGCTTGTGTAGTCCTGGGCGTTCTTGCTGAGGAACGCGGCGTACTTGCCATCCGGGTCACCATACGCTGCTGCGACGGCCGCAACGTGAGGAAATATATCCCCAATGTCTTCTCCCTTCGGGTTCACGCCCATGACGTAGTCGAGCGCGTTCTGAATGTTCGCGCCGTACTTGGACTTGACGGTCCAGAAGTTCATGCCGAGCTCATCCCCCAGCTTCGCATTGGTCTAGTATACGGCATCAGCTGCATTCTACTGGTGCCCCTCGCATTACTCACAATCATGGCTTCCAGGTTGAAGCAGCGATAATGGAACGGGCGCGTCCGAACTGCCTCAAATGGCTGCTCGCCAGATGCCGCGACTTGGTCTCCAAATTGGTTGTTGAAGTAGTTCAGCAGCACGGTCTGGGCGCCTTGTGTGTCGCCCAAGTACATCTTCGCTGCTGCGAGCTGGTTGACGTAGAAAGATACGTGGTTGCTGAAATCGCTCTCATTAGCTGAGTAGAAATCCTATGCGCGACAAGGATCTTACTTTGTCTTGGACGCCGTCTCCTTTCCAATGGCGCTATTCTCCAACCAAGAAGCGTACGATCCCATCCAGTCGGTCATCGCCTTGTCTCTTGCACTCGTCCAGTCGGGGCTCTTGGCCGCCTTGAGAATCGCAATCGCGTTGATGACCTTGACGATGGCCCGCATGTCGAGGATGCCCGTAAAGGTCCCCATCTGGTGATCCTTCCCCGGGCCCCGCACCTGCTGGCCGAAGTTCATGTTCGGATTCATGGCGGTGTCCTCTGCAAGGAAGAAAGTGTCGATGAACTCGGCGGCGTTCTGCGAATTTGCCTTCGTATTCTTCGTTGCGAACGCGATGGCGTTATATAGCACAGCCTGGGACATGTCCACCGCTGCCGGCGAATCCGGGAGTGTGCGCACATCTGGATTCACCTTCCCATCATGAACCTCATAAGGACAGGTTGTCCAGGCTGCAGCGGCGGAGGGTGAGAATATGCGTTCCTGAGAGTGAACACCGACATTTACGTACTGGCTGAGGGGGCCAATGACTTCGTTGGCGAAGGCGTGCACTTGTTCTTCTCAGTCTTCGCAGGGGCTTGAGCCGGCGCTGGTGTGCCATTGATCGTCTTGACGGTCGATGATCCGGTAGCTACTGTGGGCAGATCACCGAAATCCGGCGGGTTGGTGGGTACCGGCGGTACTCCCTGAGGCAATGTCGGAATATCTGCCAGCGCGGTGGCCACTCCCCCCAAGAAGTTGTCGGGCTGTCGACGCCAATGAGCTGCGGATGTGCCATGAGAGTGAAGACGGCGCCTCCTTGTCGCCATCCGACGGTGCCTATTGATGGCTCTGCGCTCGTAGGGGTCTCCGGAGTCTCCAGAGTCTCCAGAATCTCCAGCTGGATAATCGCCGCCGCTGTCGTAAGGGTCGCTACCATCTGATGAGCCGGGGTCAGTATCACCGGTGTCGTTATTGCCCCCTTGGTTGGGCCCCGACAGATGATTCGTTCCATGCGAGCACCAACTACATTCTGGCCAATGACTATGGTCGATAATTTGTCAGTAGTACGTCGAAGGGGCCGTTGACAGTAGTAGAGCGCGAACTTACTACGGTGCCCAGCTGAGGTAGTCGTGAACATCACCACTTGGAGGCTTCGCTCCATCCTTGTTCGTGATGCCTGTGATCCGCCGACAGTCAAGGCAGATTCAATGTGGACAGCGAAAGCAACTGACTCCAAGGACCCGACTTCGAGTAGCCGCTCGCTTTCTGGAGAATGCTCTGTCTGGCGTCCGCCGTGTCGGCAGCGTTCGACTGCGACAAGACGTAGTCGACGTTGACCCAATCGTTGGAGTCCGCTATGCCATAATGATGAACTCGGTACGTAACCACGAACTGACGTGTAGGAAACGTACCAACGGCTAGACCAGCTGCTGCTGCGACACCCAAGACGACAAGAAGCCTCCTGAAACCGAGCATCATGGATGATGTCGCGACGGTCCTGCCGAATGCGAGTTGTAGAGTTCCTGGTGCAACGGATGCGGGTGCGGGGATGTCGCGGAACAAAGCCCGGCTTTACGGGAAGGGGAAGACTTGCCTGCGCCAGGACACGCAGCCAGTCAATAGTTGTGCGGCTGACAGTGGACAGCCAGCCGAATCGGTACCGAACTAGAGTAGATCGGGTCCACTGTAGCAGGCCATGGAGCCGATTCTCGGCAGAGCAAAGTATACAACCCAGAGTATTCGCATTCCTACCTGGCCTACCTCAAAAGCTTCGCTCATACTGGAGATCTACCAGCCCGAGCTCGAGACTGACAAACGTAGGGCAAACGAGAGGCCGCTGCAGAGAATCGACAAGTCAGGAGCGGCTGTGGGCGCAACTTCTTCCTGATGCTATCGAGTAAATCGGCGCCAGCTGCATACATATATTAGCTTCGTGAAATCTAATGCCGTGAAATCTAATGCCTGGAAGCCCGAATTTTGGTGAGTAGATAGATGTCGAGGGAAGAACGGAAGACGGTACCCACGTCACAATATCACATCAATGTCGGCGGCTGCCTCTCCGTTGACCGTAATATCGATTAGTAGGCTCCACAGCAGTCCCTGCTGGGTAGTCTCCAGCTCTACACAAGAGAGTCATTCCATGGTGGCTTAGGTACCTGCGAATGTGTCGGCAGATTCGGTGCCTCCTACTGATTCCGATGAACAACAATAGGTTCGGATGTGCATAGATACTCACAACTTGGTTATTGCACTGTGGCCGGCCGGGGACGGGCTTTGAATCACAATCACAAGCCGTGTGACCTTCGAACGCGGTCGGCGCACTCCTGCATGGATTCGGATGAGATCATGGCTGCTCGTCTTTTGTCTACTTGATATCAGATATTGTGAATGCACTACAGACCCACTTGCACAAATCCATTGGGCGCAGTCCGTCCTAACACCGAAGCACATGGCCCGGGTATGCGCTCCTCGCGTCAACACCTGGGGTGGTTAAATTGCCGGAACATTCCTCCGTCCATTTATTCTGTATACCAAAGAATCATGCGGGCGTCTAGCAATTGTTTAATCAGCACCAGAATAGAACCCGTTGGAGGCATGTAATTGACGTACTCCTGACGTCGTCTGATGTGGCGCACATATACATATTTGCGTTCATTTCGGCCCACCAGCACAGGCACAAAACGCATGACATCGCGAACGTCTGAGATATCTCAAGATCCACGGAGACAGAACATTGCGACTCCCGGATACAGGGGTATGGGCAATATGTATTTGCGCGAAATGCGGGACACAGCAATGCGACATGCGGGAGGATTAGTAGGTGTACACGTGCGAAAGCGAAGCGGGTTTACTATAAGGCGCGTCAAAGTATCAGTACAACAGTCCAACCTCGTCACCTACCACCGTAGCAGGGGAGGAGTTCGTGCTCTCCGTTACAACGGAATCAGCACCCAGAGTCCGAGAGAATGTGCGCATCCAGTCCGTTGCGGTCAGTATCACGCGAGAGACGCACGGCACAGCATGAGAAAGAGAAACGGGCTGCACGCGAAGCATAGCAGGAAACTATAGCGTTCGCGCTGGATCTGGCGGTTCTGGATTCTCCGGATCCCAATCTCGCGACGAGCGCCGTGGCGATGGGGGTGGAGGCGACGCCGGCCGCTTCTCCCGCTCGCTGCTGCTACGTCGTCGCGAAGCAGCCACAGGCGAGCGCAAGATCGTGGGGAGATGCCCCGTGCGTGGCGAGAACGACTGCGAGTCCGATTGGGGCGTGCTGGCGTTCGTCGGGGGAAACTCGGGAGAGGGTAGGACCATAGGCGACCCGCGACCGTGCCGTGGGAGCGGCGCCCTGTAGAGCGAATCCATGGAAGGCATTGGGGACGACGCTATGGACGTCGACCTGGAGATGGATGGAAGATCGGCGGGGGAGCGAGTGAGAGAAGTGGAGCGGACGCGGGAGGCCCAGGAGGGACGAGAAGGAGAGAGAGGAGGCTCTGAAAACTCAGTTGAGCGGTAGCGGCCGACGGTGCTCCGGTCGTCGGACTCGCCGCGCTCCCGATATCGATGTCGCCAGCTCGAGCGGACGCTAACAGGCGACCAGGTGCGGTGAGGGTGCTTGGGACGGAGTGCGGTGTCGTCCTCGACTTGTGCGTGATGCATGGACCGCCAGTTTGCGGGATCTTGTAGCCATGCTTCGCGCTCGTGACGACGTGCAACTCGGCTGAAGCTATGCATAGTGCACATTGATATAATTAGCCCTACAAGAACATCGTGAGTTTATACCTATCAGTCAAATTGTTGAGATATACACGCACAGTCCAGCATGGACCAGCTGTTCGCTCCCAGAAGTAGCTGCTGTGTTACACCCACCAACATGACGATGGAGATGACAAAAAGCACCGTCGTGATGAAGGTCGTGTACAGCAGCTGATGATGGACGTCAGAGTTCGCCGAAGTGATCAGTCAGACTGAGGCGCACCTCGTTCTTGAGCATATTCCGCAGCAGTTCAGCCCTCGGCACATAGCGAATTATTCGCTCCATAACAGATGGAGGAGGCGGTGAACTGGCGCGCGGCTGTCGCTCCACGGCCTCGCGGCTTATCGACACCCGTGGGCCGACGCTGGACACGGAGGATATTCTGGGCGGCTGCGACAGCGGTATCTCCCCTGGGATTGATGGTTTCCGCTGGAACACGGTGCTAGGCAGCATCGGTTCGCCCGACCACCAGCGGCGAAAGCGGCCCATCATGTCCCCAGGGGAGCTGCGGGTAGAGTATGGCGAACCCCGACCCGCCGACATCTCCGGAAAGGCGTTGGGGACGTAGTCCCACCACCCCCTACGACTAGTACCAGCTCGGTGGGCGTCATCTTCCTTCTCGTTTGTCCCCACGGAGCTAGTCTCGTCTTCCTCGTCTAGTGGCAGCGACAACCGGGCGTGATCGGCCGGACCGCGATATGACCGGTAAACGGCCCACAGAACTTCAGAATCAAGGGCAGCCGATGAGGATCACGTGCAACGGCAAGTGGGTGTGCAAGGGAACTCACAGCAGAAGCAGATGAAGCAGGCTTCGACAAACTGTAAAATGATAGAAAGAGGCAACAGCGAAGACTCCCTCACAGTCTCGCACGTGCCTTGCGGGTCGTCAGGCGTCAGACGCAGGACAGGATGTATGCATGCACGCGACACACCTGTAAATCTTCTACCACCCTTGTATTCAGCTATGACGACTCCCGAGACGGCAATTATTGCCGCACGCGTCACCGCCAAAACTACGATGACAAACCCGGCGTTGTTGAGACATCGGTACGCCTTCGTACCCAAGATGCCGGGGACCTGCGCAGCTGCGTCAAGTAGACGAGAAAGTGGACACTGCGCGAGACACACACCAGTAGAGTCGTAGACACGAGCACACCACCCTTCTTCAGCATACCCGTTCTGTCGTACCAGATTATCAGCCTTCTGCCATGATATGGGCACGGGCAGCTCAACACTCACGCAGTGCAGTCGACTGCAGAGCTGAAGTCCGCGATCACGAAGAAGACGGACACGAAGATGCCGATCGCCTGGCTCACGACGAGCATGTAGAACAGAGCCTTGTTCTTCACGTTGACCGTGCGCGTGTATTGGATGGCCTTATAGGTGCTCATCAAGAAGTACACAGTGAGTGCGCCGCCCATCACGAGCCAGCCCTCCGAGACTTGCAGATTGGGGGTGTACACGGAGCTGATGAGAGAACCATCTGCAAGCGCGGTATAGCGCGGCTGGAAGGACGACGCGGGGATCTTGTAGTAGCGGGAGAAGTCGGGAATCGTGACTGTGGTATGGATCACCACATGGACGACGGTAGAGGTGCCGGAGACTCCAGTACAGGCCGTAGCGAATGCCGAGACGCCGTCCGCGGTAGGATTGGAATGCGAGAAGGCCGTAACGGACGCATGGTGAGTGTGTGTGCTTGTGGTGGGCGTAGCGAAGGACGTCGACGGGGTGCCATGTTGCGAAAGAAAGGTAGTGAGTGAGCCGGTGAGAGGGCCCGGACTCATGACCGACGGCGAGGGGGAGGGGGGGGGGTCGGACGATTGATCCTCACCAGGAGGGACACATTTGTCAGGACAGAAGCGAAGGGGTCTGCGCGATGGTGGGACAGATGGGGCAGGGAGATCAACGGATGCGGCTGGATGTGTGGGTGGGATGTGGGATCGTCGGGGAGAGCAACTGGGACAGGGCAACCGGAGAGGGGAATATGGAGCCTCCAGCAACAAGCCTGGCTGTCACTGCGGCTCAGGACAAGCGTCGTCTACGGACAAATGAATGGTAGCGATGGGCCACAAGAGTCCCACCCACGCGGTTGTGTACACCCAAGTCGGGGGTAATTAAACAATCTGTGTCGTACACCTTGATCCCGCCGTCAAATATCCCTCGTTCTCTCCTTTCTAACCCGCCCTCAATAAGCTTAGCCTCGAAAGCAAGCCATGATGGTGTCCGTCGCGGCGCCCGCTGATCCACTCGATCTTGCCGCTGAGCTCAGGAAAAGCGGCGAGCGCCTGTGGCCCGTACTCTGTCGCGGCAGTTACCGCTTCATCGCGCGCGAATCTCTATTTTTCGCGTCTGCCGCGAGCCTCTGTCGTACCTGACCTGCTCTGCCTGCAATTCACGGCACATCTCTTCCAAAAGTCTTCCGAGAGCTTGCTCACACCGACCGTCGCAGCCGCACACGCTACCATGTCCTCGTCAAACAAGGGCCCAGTTATCATCATCACCGGCACACCCGGAACTGGCAAAACCACCCATGCAGAGCTTCTAGCCCAAGAATCCCCTGTGCCGCTAAAGCATATCAATGTCGGAGAGATGGTCAAGGAGAAGAATTTCTACGAGGCGTTTGATGAGGAATGGCAGAGCTACACCGTAGACGAGGACAAGGTGCGCTAGCTCCCGCTCGTCCGCACGAACGCCGCGTTGAAATGTACAGTCTGCTTCAGCTGCTGGATGAGCTCGAGCCGCTTGCCTCAGCAGGGGGCATCATCCTCGACTGGCACACGTGCGAGATCTTCCCCGAGCGCTGGGCGGATCTTGTCGTCGTCTTGCGATGCGACCATACCAAGCTATGGGATCGCTTAGAAAAGAGGCGAGTTTGAACCGCGCTCGGAGCGGGTCGCCTTCGAAACTGACGGAGATCCCCGCTGGCGCAGGAATTATCCCTTGAAGAAGATCCAGGAGAACAACGAAGCCGAGATCATGGAGGTCGTCCTAGATGAGGCTCGGTCATCATACCCGCAGGAGATCGTTGTCGAGCTCCAAAGCGAACGAACCGAGGATCTCGAGTCCAACATCCAACGTATTATGCAATGGATAGAGGCATGGAAGGAAGATAGGGATTTGGCATAGCATGTGGGGTGCAAGGAGATTACAAGGCATGTACTATATGCAAATTTTCCATGTAGATGGCAGCACATCTATCAGCGCCCAGCAGGCTCGAACTGCATGTCTTACGGAATCACCGCGGCATGAACACCCAAACGTTCTTGCGGTCCTCGCGGGGCAGACCCATCGGATGTTCTTCTTCAGTACGGATGCGCTTGGCAGTCTTCTTCTTTCCTTCAGCGATCCTCCGCTTTTCGAAGTAGACGTATCTATGGGCAATCAGGTTCAGCACTGACCGACAATCACATGTTAACATGAAGCTCACGCAGCGTAGTAGGTGCCATTACCCGCGCCACCAGTAGGCCCAGTGGCCTTCACTGTGCGCATCCAGTAGGTAAGAGACAAGAACCAGGTAGAGGGGCGTGTAAACCTACTGAAACGCTGGTAAGAGTTATTGTTGATGTTCCCAATGCTCTCGAGCCATTTGGTGATCTTGACGAGACATCTGTTCAGTACGAGCATACGGACATGCCATATGAATGAAGCCCACCTTGAAACCAGGCTCCTTCTGGAGGGCGCGAATCTTCCGGCGGATGTCGTTACAGTCGTCGCTACAGCAAGGTTAACCATCGGGAGAAGAAGTCCAGGGACAGTTTTGGGCTCACTAGATAGGCACTTCCCCCTGCAAAGACACGTCATGAGCCCAGGAACAGACCGACAGGTGTACGCATCACGGCAAGCCGAAAAATCATACCTCGTCTTCTCCATCAAGCACGACCTCATACCAGTTCTTGGGTGGCTGCGCGTCGGCCTTCTTGCCCTTCTTGGTACCCGAGGACGAGCCTTCGCCTGCGTCTGACGTACGCGCTTTCTTTACGGCAGGGGCAGCAACCGACGCCTCGAAGGCGTTTTCCTTGCCGCCCGACGCGTTAGACGTGTCGACAGTTAGGTCAACGGGCTCGAGGACGTCGGACTTGCGCTTGGTGGACATGCTTTCGAAATGTAGGAGTTGGGAGTGGTAGGAGGGCAAAAGACAATGAGATCAGGGAATAAGTAAGTAAGAGACGTTATATGAGTGCTTAGAGACCAGCTGGCGGAGACGGCGACTGGATTTAGACGCCAGCTGATGGGTCTGTCAAGTGATCGCGTGTGCCCCGTGACGTCACGCGTTGGATGACTAGAGCTTTCGAGGTTTCTCGCTATTGCCACGAATAGCTGTGACACCCTTGCAATCCCTTTCCCGACCGGTGACCACTGTGTGGCAGCGCCGGCAATGCGAGGATACTTCAAGACACGCCGCATATGCGGAATCATTAACCTTTCACCCTGAAACCATAGATCATTCGCGACCAAGTTGTGGGAGTTCATGTTTAGAAGTCGGGAAAGTCTCCGCACGCTCGGGAGAGTTCCCAACATCTCCAAGGTAATGGGGCCATGGGGACTTAAGTGGCGTTGCAAGTCACCACTAGCATTCTATCTGGAAGTGCGTGAGAATTTGCAAGGCACACGGGCTCGTTCCGGGCGCCGTGAAAGGACCAGTGGAAACTCAGGGCATCCCATGGTGCGTGCCAGTACCAAGCTTGGCATTGTAGGAGCGCTGGGTTATTTAGCCGAATCACCGAGCAAACCGATGCAGAAACGCAAGCCTACCAGCCCCTCCCAATATCTAATGCTAGCCATTCACCGCGCACGCCGCACAATGCCCGGGCCTACCATCCTCCGGAAACCAGGACCCCCACCGGGGAATATTTGCTCCTTCGGTACCGGGGGCTCTTCATCCTGCAACGACCCCCACACGGAGTCGCGCACCCAAGCATCGTTCTTCGCGGCGATGGATCTGAAGTAAGTCTGGCCAGACGACGTCGTAAACGCGAACTGCTGATCCGTCGCGCCGGTGCCATTGATAGCGTGTCTGAGCCCGGGCCAGTCGTCCATGCCAACAGTGCCTTCAGCATGTTGGATGGAGACGATTGAACGGGCGCCCCGTCCGAGGACAGGAGAGTCGAGGACCCGCAAGTAGGACTGATTCACCGCTGACCCATAGCCGCCTGAAACGTCGTCAGTATACGAGCGTCCGCTAGATTTTCGGAATAATCACCAAACTGCGCCTCGTAAAGGGTATAATTGGAGAAAACCGAGAGCGGATAGGTGAAGGCATCACGCAGGACCGGTTCGCCCCCATGCGTAGACGTGGTCGTGCCCTTGGTGGTCTGCACACCCCACTTTCGGAGGTGGGGTGGCAAGGCGGAGAGCGTCAATAGCACATGAGTTGCAATTGGCATGAAGTCTCACCTGCACCCAACCAGCATCGGTATACTTCTGCTCATTGCGGTAGTCAAGCTGCTGCTCGAACCGGACGAGCCGCGTTCCTTTGTCGCCATGCAGCACCGATTCGATCACGATGCTCCGGTTCGCTACGACCAAAGTCCGGACCGTCGCATTGTCCGCTGAAACCGCCCCCGTCGTCTGCGGAAGCGGATTAGCCGGCGCCTCGTACTTGGTGATGCTCCCAGAAATTTCCGTGTTGCCCAGCCAGAGGTGGAGAGACCCGGACACGAACCAGTTCGAGTTGATGGAAGGGTTTTCTCCCTGGCCGCGCACACGCAGAGTGATGTTGTGCACCGCGCCGTCAGCAAGCAGTGGGAGGAATGGCGTAACGTCCACAAAGTACGTCGGCTGATCATATGTCCCATACGCTGTCAAGGGCCGCCAGTTCGTGGGAGTGATACCGCCCGTGTAGATTACCGCGTGGGGCCAAACGACGCCCGCGAGCTTGTCGTCGACTGCCACCTGGACTTCACGGAACGGGCCTTTTCCGATCAGTCCTGTGGACTCGGGGAAATACACAAGGTATTCGTCGGGAGTGTTGAGGTACCAGAACTCCTCGGCAGAGTTACCGGAGGCGTATATCTCGACGAAGGCTTGCTGTGCAGTGCGGGGGACCAGCACGGACGCCGAACCACCAGCGTCGTCCGCAACGGTGAAATAATTGGATTGGTTCGGCAATAGGTTCGTGATGGGCAATATCAGGTCCGGAGTCTGCGGCCTACCAAAGCCCTGCGTTGGCGCATAGAATGTTCCCGTTAACGTCACTGGTGATATGAATAACCATAAGCCTCCGTAGGCTAGCAGCCGGACGCCACATACCGTGAAAAACACCATCTAACCCACTGCTGCGGGTTTTAGTACGGCTCTTCGCACGTCGCGCAAGCGAAGAACTCACAGATCAGAAGAAATGATATTGCTGAAGTCCATGAGAAGATCTCCGGAGGTTGCGAATAAAGCGCTGTAACGCGTGACGTCCTTTACGCTATACGACCAGTGAGCAGCCTGCCCCCACTCCCTTCATGTTGACGACTACGCACATACTACCGAGGTTGTACCTTTGAGCAGAGGAATCACCAGGCTCGGGAACGCAGGCTTACCTCCATACCGTACCTGTCTTCGTAGGCTCTGCGCTGGAGTGACGCCAGACTGTGATTGATCAATTAAAGATTGCGGATTGGCGGTCTATTCATCGGCACCTACTCTCAACGTGGGACAAATATAACGACTGCATTAGAGTGAGCTCCCTCTCGGTTCCACACTGCGGGAGTTGGAGTGGAACTTACGCTCAAACGATCATACTGCGTTCCATTCCTGTTCCCATCCCGGGCCCGGCGAAAGGGTCAGCAAATCAAGCGGCTTCACCTGAAGACCGGCTACTCACGAGAAAACAGTCATGTTGAGTGTTATAGCCGCCCATCCACCAGGGGCGCCGCAAGCATCTTCTGTAGGTGGTTTGTAGGGAACGATGGTTGGATTATTGTAGCTGCCATCGCCGAAGTCGTGCTGGAGCAATTGAACTGTGCATTTGGTTCCTCCCTGTGGCAACACGGGTGGGGCGTAAACCTGGAGATCTACGAGAGGAGATACCGTGTCATCGTTTGTGGACAAGGGCACGCGAGGTGCGAGGTTCGCGTGAACAGTCGATGGTCCTCTGGCTAGCGCGTCGAACAATGGCACTAGCTCTTCGGGAGCAGGTTGGGATGCGACAAACCGAGCGAGAAATGTCGCCACTGTGACAGCCAAGGAGAGCGAATGTCGCATGATGAGCCCGCCGTGATCAGAGGTCGCCGGAGGTCTCGTCTCTCGGGATCAGCGTGTACAGCTGAGGGAAGTGGCAAGTGCACCGAGTCACACTAGCCGCAATGTCAACGCTGCACTCGCACGGTTTGGGGTACTTAGCAAAGAGTGAAAACTGTATGGGCATTATGATAACGGCCCGTCTGAGTGCATCATGTGGAACGTCGACCACGACCTCCGGGCGCATGCAGAAGTCGGCGAACAAAGATACGGACGGAAGCCACGTTTACGCGTGTGCTGCGTGATGCAACCATTAGCTAAGAGATCTGCGATGCCCGATCCATATATGTGGCGCCTAATTGGATCGGGTCCTGCTAACTGGCGCTTGTACAAGCAGGCGGAACTTGTTCAGCCACACCTGCCCCGCTCTTTCCGTCATCTCGGACACTGTTCTCGTTTGGATTGCTATGCCACCACGAAGGAGGGTCTACGAAGAGGAGTCAGAGGACGCGGCGAGCGGTATGTTAAACCTATTTATGGACCAAGAGCAGGAGCTCATATCCATCTCAGAGGAGGAGGCGCAGTCGGACCCCGTAGAAGATGACGAACTTGACATGGACGTGGATGAAGACGCTGAGGCAGAAGAGGATGCGGAGGGGGAAGAAGTGGACGACATTGACGTTGTTGGCGACGGTACGCACGACGATGAAGGCGTGGTAGACGACAAGGACGTCGTAGAGGAGGATGTGGAGGATGAGTTGATTGACGTACGCCCCCCAGCCAATTATACACAGTGCTTTTGCCTACGACAACGCACAGGACGTTTCAGACCCTGACGGGCTCTCATCACCGGCTCCGACGTCGGGACGTCTCCCCACCCGACTCAAAATCAGGCTGAAGCTCCCTGTTGGCGGCCTTTCAAGCACCATTCATACGTCTCCTCGTGCTCGCAGACGAGCGGCTGCTGTCCGTACAAGCGACATCGAGTCCGAAGATGAGGACGAGGAGGAAGATGACGAAGAAGGAACCACACGGTCCACCTCGGTGGCCACCGCTGGGGCAGGAGCTCGGGCACTGACGGCTCGTCAAGCAGTCCTTGCGAATGTAGTTGACTCCTCGCACGTCGCGTTGTGTATGGGTATAGCATCATGTCTTACAGTCGGTCGCTGATCAGTCACGTAGCTGAGCCGCCGAATCCACGCAAGAAGAAACCGCTTACCGAGATTGAGATCGCACTCAAGCGGGAGGAGACCGCCCGTAAAAGGCGTAATTTGACTGAGAAGAAGCTGGAGGATGAGAAGGTGCGTTTTTCATCTCTCTACGTGTCGCTCGAGCTCGGAAACTCAGAGTTCCTTGTACCGTCAGGCAGAGACCATTAACCGTCTGCTGAAGAAGCAGTCCCGGGCGAGAGGCAAGCGCAATGCTCTGTCCACAGCGGAAGACCGCCCAGGCCCAGGGGAAGCAGCCGGCGAAGGCGAGGAAGAGGAGATTGTCGAAGCCTTCGCTCCCCCACCCACTATGTACAGATGGGTATCGAGTGCGCGTTCGCCATCGACGCCAGCAAAGGGAGAGGCTGGCGAAGCCGTTCCAGAGCCCGTTATGACGCTGTCCTTCTCAGTACCTGTCTCGGCTCTCCCGCACAAAGAGGAGGGCGAAAACGTCATGGAGGTTGACAGCGGAAACGGCTCGTTACACATTCCTCCACCGCCGCGATTGCCACCGGCGGAGCTGCCCGGGTGCGATGTCCAAGGCTGCACGTCTTTGCGGAAGTATCGTCTCGTGAGGGACTTCCAGAAGGGCGCGTGTGGACTCAGTCATCTTAAGGCTCTCGAGGCTTAGTTGGCTTGAAGGAGGATTGGGTGTCTCTTTGGATTGTGCTTCTGCATTTGTGTTGTAATCTTAGTCGAGTCCTCTCGCATTGATATCTTTGTATCCATTCGTCTGTAATGAGTCTACAGCCTACCTGAGCAAGGTTCTTACGTTTCTTGGTCTGAGGAGCGAAGCCTGTGTAGACAACATTCGCGAATTCGCGACAATAAATAAGAATACGTTAGTGTCAGTGTCAATGAACAGGTACGGTCCGAAGTTTATTCCAGGTCATGTATCTGCATCCGTGTATTGACAATCCGTGACACACCCTGAACTACAACGTAAAAGACGAACAGAGGACATAGACGAACGCCGATACGGAGGCGGCCGAGAGTAATGTGACAGCGGAAAGCGGCGACATGCCCCCCGATCCTGAGTTGACAGGCAGAAGCCCGGCCTGCTCAGGACTCGACACCTGCGTCTGCACCTGCGTCTGGATGAGCTCGACTGTGGAGACGAGGGTCTGCGTCTGCCTGCAGATGCCAAACCTATATCAGCCCACGGGCTCGCGCAGCAGGTATGGGAGACGAGACGTACGTCACCGTCAGTTCTTGGGTCTGACCAGAGGCAGTGAACGTGCTAACGAACGTCTCCTCAAACGTCACTGTGAGGGGCTGAGAGATGGTCACGGTAAGCGTCGCCGTCGTCGTGGGCGCGACCGTCTTGAAGATCGTGGTGAAACCCGACGATACGTCGCTCGTGCTCGTCTCGGGCGGCGCGCCTCCGGAGGGCTCGACAACAATCGTCCCAGGGAGATTTGAGATGGGGATGGTGATGTCCCCGTTGCCTGCAGTGATGGTGATGATCTCTCCCGCCGAGGGCGTGGGCGTGGCGGTAGCTGTACCAGTGACGTTTGAGATGGCGGTAGCGCTGCCGGTTACATTTGACGTAGCCGTACCGGTCGCGCTCCCTGTCGCAGTGACAGAGGAGAGGGTTGAGGAACCGCTAGGGTTACCGCGGCCTGGGATGAGGTTCACCGGGGGAGGACTTGACGCCTGTGGTTGCGCTTGCAAAGTGTTGAGTTCGGATGCACATGAGCTTGGGTCGGGGACTCCGCCGTTGTCCACCTGAACGGGCACAGCCAAGATGGTGAAGTAGCCGGTGCCGTCACTAGTGAGAGTCGACGATTCGTACACAGTGAGCTGCATTGAGATCGTCAGAGTACTCGTACAGGAAAGAAAACATCGCAGCGCACGTTGTATGGTCCCGACTGCAAACATGGGTCTACCAGCCAATTAGTGTGCTTCACGGTACTTCCAGGCTCCTGTGTGAGCAGCTGCGGCGTGTTGGACACAGTGATGTTTGTTCCGGTAGTGGCGGAGACGAGGTAGACCTCAAGAAAGTTGTACGCGAACGGTCCGCTGCTCCCAGCGGAGACCTATGAGCACGATTGGTTATGATCTATACGACTGTGCTTTGGTGAGGTGACGAACGTACGTCGAGTGCGATGCCCTGGGTACTCCCTGCATGTAACGGGCTGGTGATCAAGCAAAGAGCGCCTCAGCTGGACTTCCTAACCAACAGGGCAGCTTCTCTTACGAATTGGGAGCCGGAGAGTCAATCACTGTGAGTGCTTGCGCATTAACGAAGCCTTGAGCGGTGACAGCGGGTATGGTGGCGGCGAGTAGGCCAAGAATGAACGACAGGAGCAAGGGTCGAGACAACAGTTGGAAAGGCAAATAGAGCAGCGATATTGGAGAGAAAAGCCCTGGAGAAAGGGCGCCGTGAGGGTGGACCAGCACCTTGAACATCGCTTCACATGGGAGAGCGACGGTCTTCCAGCGGCCTAGAATGAGAATGGGGAAGGCGGAGAGCTGCAAGGTGGCCAGACCGACGAAAGAGACGGTCCCTCGAGCGCGCAGCTCTGCTACCAGGCCCAGGAATGATATGTCTGTTCCCGCGTCGACGGAGTGATTGTAGCTTGCAACCGCCTCGCCCTGCCCCTGTTGTCATCATGGCGGCCCGCCACCCCGTTCCCATATGTAGGCCACAGCGGATCTCGATCACTTTGTCTGGATCTCCCGATACGCGTGCTAGGCACGCCCTGGCACGCCGCCCAACACGCTCATCAACACCTCACCACCGTCATGACCGCCACGTCTACATTGGAGTCTCAACCAGTCGCATCAACCTCCTCACAGCAGTCTCTGTATGAAGCAAGCACCCAGTACCGCCACTGGCGTTTCTCGCCAAAGCAATTGGTGGACATGCGATACGCTCTGAACTCGGATGCTGTCTCTGCAATTCGCAATGCGTTCGAGAACGACTCCGCAAGTTCTCATATAACCTGTACTCCACATATGCTGATGTGCGCAGTGTAGCCGGGATCTTCTGCCAGCGTCGCTTTCCTCAGCGCCCAGGAGGAATACTTGCTCGTGAAACTATACGTCGGGAAGGTTTCCCAGCTATGTGCACATTTCCGTTTCCCCGAGGAAGTCGAGGCGACAGCAGTAACATACCTCAAGAGATTCTACCTTAAGAACACAGTCATGGACTGGCATCCAAAGAATGTCATGTGAGACCATGTCATACCTTACCTGCTCAGCAGCATATAACGGCAGCGCACAGGCTCACAGCGCTATTCCTTGCAACCAAGACAACGAACCATCCAATTTCCCTCGAGTCCTATGCGTCCCATATCCCAAAGACAGCACCCTCGGACGTCCTCGACTTGGAGTTCCTTGTCGCACAAAGTTTAGGTTTCGATTTCGCTGTCTGGCATCCCCACCGATCGCTCTGGGGTATATGGCTGGATATCCAAGTACGTGCTGCGGTCTCATCTTCACGTGCGTCCCTTACTAAGCGCATATCGCGATGTATGCTAGACGTTGCCGGACGTATCACTAGGAGATCTGCAGACGGCATACGAGGCCGCGACGAAACATGTCCGAGCAGCCCGGCTCACGGATGCTGAGTTCATCTACACCCCTTCCCAGATCGCCCTAGCTTGTTTCTCCCTCGCATCGCCCACATTGGCGTCCGCATGGGCGCGGGCGAAGTTCCCTTCTTTACCTCATCCGCCAGTGGCAGATGTGCTGGGGTCTATCGAGGCAATGATTCTCCGGGAAGGGTCACCGCCCGACGTTGAAGCTGTGCGCGAGGTGGATAGGCGGCTTAGACTGTGCAAGAACCCGGAGAAGATCGTCGGGAGTAACGCGTATAATAAAAAGTTACAAGAGAAGGAGAAGAAAGCGGAGGAAAAAAGGATACGCAAAGCGGAGGCAGCTCGCATAGCTATGGAAGAAGGTGACCCGTTTGGGAACGAGCTGGCGAAGAAGGCGGTCGAAGAGTTGGACGATGATGATGACGACGACTGACCGGGTGACGGACGGTATTCTAGGTGGTCCCGCTGATCATCTCCGCGTTTCCTGGGTGCAGCGAAGTCTGACAAGGTTCAGCTCGACGTCTTCTGGTAAAGCTATGTAGTATCATCCCGGATACCGCGATGCATCGGTAGTCAGTTTCTGCAATTGCATGTGGACGGCATAACGAGCAAGGTATGCTTGGCGAGGCGGTGTAATGGGGCACGATGATGCATTAACTACAAGGTCGTTGGATTCGGGAGGACCGAGACTGCGAGCACATCCGGATCACGTCAGGCTATGCCGTGCAGGCCTCGGAAGGTGATCCTATCGAACTTTGCAAGCTTATTGGCAAATATCGACGGGGATAGAGGGCGGGTGAGGACAGTGTGTCAACGAAGCGAATGGATTGGAAGTGGCGGATGACAAGGCGTGATGCGTGAGACCGCGCCGACTCAGCAGTCGCGGCCGCGGCACGATTTGCGACCGGCGCGCTCCCCGTCACGGCCTCGAGAGGCTTTCTTCTTTCCCGTACCTTTCCCTTCCCACTTCCATTTGCCTCGTGCTTCATCCTCATCCTGGCGGTCTCTCGACCTTCGCTACCACGTTCTTGTTTGCTCTGTCTCGTCGACGACCGGCTTAGGGCCTTTGGATGATGACTGTAACCCCATACCCAGCCGGCCTCTCCACCGACAGCCTCGACCTCGACCCGGCTACCGCTGGGTCTCCTCCAGGTACCCTCGACGAGCAGTGGAGCGATGCACATGAGACGTTTGATACCGACACCGAGCGCGATGCCATCGAGGAAGTGGAGGAAAATACTGAGGATCTGACCGTCGTCCAAGCACCCAAGTTGTCTGCGGATTCCGACAAAACGCATACACATGAGATCCAAACCCCTTCCCCCACAAACATCGAGACGACCAACGCCCAGGAACGTGCATCCGACGTGGACGCCACGAGTGTACATAGCATGCCGATCGTGCAGGTCACGGAGCCTACCAGTCCCACCCTTCCTGCAACGCCGCGAAGCGTCCGTTCCCATCGTTCTTCCGCTACCGCAGTTTCCAACACCAGCCTGGCGCCCCCTGCGCATTCTGCCAACGTTAGCCGCGAACGGCCACGACGAAACCGGGCTACGCTCGATGTGAGTCCTCGTTATTTCGTGTTTCGTCTCGGTCCGGACTGCTAACTGGAGACAAGACTCGTGCTTCCAATCGCTTCTCCGGCTTTTTGTCAAACCTCATTCATCGCCGTGATCACCCCCCAAATCCTCCTCCTGAGCAACCCCCGCCTCCCACCTTGTCTGCCAAAGATTCCTCCCGTGCCTCCTCACCTGCTCCTCCTCGACCGACGACCCCTCCGCCTCAATTACCCCCACCTTCCTTGGATGATCTCGGTCTCAGTCTTTCTTCCCTGACCGCCCACATATCTCCCGCTCATTTCAGTAATCCCCCAATAAGTGGTGCTTTCTTAGCCCCGCATTACTTGCTCCTATGTCATTCGCAAGGTCTAGACGTCCTGCCGTTGGTGTCTCCGCCTGCACCGCAGCCGTATGCCCTGGTACGGAGGGCAGCATTCAAGAGTGTCGTGGTCATGGAACACCGCGGTGTCCTCGTCGCCATCGCCGGCCGCAGAGATGGTGTCAGAGTATATGCACTGGAAGAGATCCGGAGGATGGTGGATTGGCGGATGGAGGTTGAGGTCAGGCGCGAAAGGGAGAAAGCCCGACGGGAAGAAACGAAACGGCCGATGACAACGATTGCGCTCGTTCACAGCGAGGAATCGGAGAAACGGGACTCCACAGAGAAGCAGCCTGCTATCGTGCATGCTGTGGGCGGCGACAAGATGTCTATGCAGCTTGGTCGCAGGAGCTCATTGGCCGTTCCTCCTGGGCAGCCCCGTCCACCCGTCATTCGGACACCCAAACCTAAGACACCCGTCGTGCAGTCTGCTCCACCAGAGCCGTCAGGTCCTCCTCCAGCGTACTCGAGTTCCCCGCCGCTCTCCGGCGACCGTGAGCCTGAGCAGTCAACACCTCCAACACAACCCGCCCCAGCGTCGATCACGACAACGCCACGCGCACGGTCGAGGGCCACATCTGTCAGCGAAGTGTTGGCTGGAACGATGTCACGGCGCCACACTCTGGCCAGCGTTCAGGGCGAGACCGAACACCAGGACGACACCAAGGGCGATTGGGCATCTAGCGACGACGAAGCCATCAATGTTATGGCAGCCCCAAGTGGCAGCCAGCTACTGGACGAGCGTACCAGCGCTATGGCTTCCGCCACCGCATCGCCGACAGGAGCTGGTGGTCGGGTGGACATGCCCCGCTCTCAGACTGCGCCGTCGCTCAGCGCGCGAGCCAACCGCCGGAGCAGGCCTGCGAATCTGGACTTGTCTCTCAGCAGATCCAACACGAATATTGTCCCGGTTCCACCGCCGTCTCCTACCCCGACACTCCTGACGCTCCGACAGGCACTCAGCTTGGGAGCCACACCACGAGACGAGGATGGTGCCCTTACGCCTGACCCCGACGGAGACGCTGACGCTGAAGAGGAGGAAGACGCCGAACTGAACCGATCGTCGCCTCCAACCCCTACCCGCGAGCGGATCACTCTTGCTGAAGCACTGTTTGAGAGTCGTCTTCCTGACATCCCGCCCGCTGGATCTCGGCGAGAACAAGAGCCCATTCTCATCAACACCCAAGGCAGTGCGGAAGGCGATGTCCCCGCAAGTCCTAGGACGTCGGAATCCCATTCTACTTTTACAAGGCAGAGCACCAGCGGACACTCCAACCGCCGGCGGCGGAGATGGTCTGTACTCGGTGGGGTCTTCTCCAACCCGTCTGGCCAGTCGCAGTCATCGATTCCCTCGCTGTCGGAGCTGGGACACGCGTCGCCACCTCAGGAGCCCGTGGCGCCTGAGATGCGCGAACGCAGACCTGCCGTCATTCATCGTTCTCATTCCGGTCGTGTCACCCAGTCTGTCTCGAACCCTGCGATGACGCCGGTGAGACCGCCGCGGCGTCCATCCACGTCACCGGGACCGAGCAATAACGGCGGTGTCACTCAGTCTTCCATGGACCTGCCTCCACCGTTGCCACAGGCGCCAGCATCGCATTCTCGTTTCCTTCCGCGCATCCTGACCAATGCCCTTGGACGACGATCCGACGACGTTGTGCAGCTGCCTCGCGCCGCTGGGGCTGGATCGGATAGACCCTCGAACCTTCCGCCGCCACCGCACGCACCCGCCCCAAAGTTGGAATACGTCAAGCTCCCGGGCACGAAGGGTGCAGTCCCAGTGAAGGCGGTAGAGACTGCAAAGAAGAGGTACGCTTCCATTATCTGCCCGTCCATTCAAGCATGCTCACCTGCCTTCGCAGCTTCCTGGCGATTCTTTGCGGCGACAACGGTGAGAAAGTGGAGCTTTTTGCGGGCACATACCGCACTGCCCTCGGGCTCTCCCGAACGTTCATTCTGCCAGACTCGCCTCGGTCCCTGGAGCTGCAGCTGCAAGGCGACGACCTTGTGGAGGTTTTCTTGGTTTTCTCGCAGAACGTCTTTGGCTTGGAACCCGCGACTGTTCGGGTGCGCGAGGTCAGGATCGGACGCGCAGAGCGGAGAGCCGCCCGTCGTCGCGCGCGGGAGAACCAGGCTGGAACGTCTCCTGGTGATGCGGATACCGACGGCGCTGCCAACGGGGAGGAAGACGCCTCTGTCAGTGTCACAATCGGAATCGCGCCGACTCCTCCTGCCGGAGACGACCCACTACAAGCAGCGACTTCTGGGAATGCTTCGCCTCCTGTGGCATCGACGCCGCAGCTGCAAATCGATGGCACGAACGGCAACACTAACTCCACTGATGAGCTAGTCACACTCGCGGCGGCGCAGATGAGTCCATACACAACCTTCCAGCAGTTGTCGTTCGCGCCGAACTTCCCGCTCGCGACGATTGCGGACGAGTACATCATACCTCCCACATATCGCGAGTTCATCGAATACCGCAATCAGTACGAGCCCGAGGTCGATGGGACGACGAACGTTGACCTGTCTCAAGTGCAGTTCTCTCCTCCCGGTCTTCCCGTTCCTACCCCTGCGCCACCTTCGAAGTGGTTTTACCGGGACCCTAAAGGCGTCATTCATGGTCAGTTTGGTCTTGTTCTAAGCCATTGCTTTTCAACGTTTGTTCAGACACGATATCAGGTCCCTGGAAGGCGTCTCTCATGCAAGCGTGGTACCGCGATGGTCTACTGCCTCCAGACCTCCCGGTAAGGAGGGAAGAGGACACCGAATACGTCCTTCTCCGGGAACTTCGGCTGCAGTGCGTCGACCCGGCATCCCCCTTCCGTTCCTCTCCTCCAGCTCCATCTCCCGCGCCTGCACCCGTGCCTATGCCTATCACGGACGCCTCAAAACCCCTGCTTCCTCCGCAATCACTGCTTTCCCAGCCAAAACATTTCGGTCCTCCTGCTCTCTTCTACTCGTCTCGTGGCGGTCACAGCACCACCATCGTCGATTCCCGCGGCAGGTCTGTCCTAAAGGGCCGCTTCATGTGGAGCATCGACGAAGAGTCGCAAGTATCTGGCCGCCTCGGCGATGTCAAGCGATTGGAAGCCTTCGACGTGAAGGATCGCGCCGTCCTTGTCGCGATGCGCCAGGGTGGACTCGAAGCAGTGGACTTCGGCGACGCCTTGCTTAAACCGGGAGATCACTCGCGCACCATCCTGCCTCATTTCCACCCACCGCTGTCGAGCACGAACCGTCGCGGCCCGTGCGTCTGGAAAATTGGCACACCTCTGGATTCATCCAACCCTCAGCCGGAGCATATCGCTTTGCCTGTCATGACGAGGACTGGCATGGGACCGCGCAAGAAGCAGAGCACAGGTCCATCGAAGTCGCCAGGACGCTCCGATTTCATCATATCTGGAGATGGTGATGATGCTGCCGACGAGGTCATCTTCCTGGGTCGGAAGGGTGACGAGATGTATCTCTGCGAGAAGTCGAGCACGTCCTTCAGGGTTCTCAAGCTGTCTCCCAGTTTGTCGGCATCATAGCACGCGCAGTCCATAGCTCAAGCCTTCTCGCATTAGCTAGTTCCTCTGATGATCCATGATCTATGAACCGATGATCACGAATCACGATCCCTCTCCTCTTGCTCTCATCCGCATTCTTGTGTCAAATGTGCAAACCTGGATGCTGGACATGTCCGATGATACATACCTGCTGTATTTTCTAGCGGCCGAAGACTCGCCTTGACGATGAGACGTTTAGGTTCGCGCCTACATAGAGACTGTCACACCATCACATGCATCGCGTATTATATCCATCAGCTCTTTCCCAGCAGATCTACACTTACTATTACTATTATTTAGCGACTCTTGTCGTACTTACCTTCAGTATAGATAGTGAATATATCGAAGCGCGATATATGCAATATGCGACACGGGCTTCTCCGATTCACAGCTCCAAAGCAAAGTCATCTAGCTGATTCGACTCCATGCATATGCCATTAGTACAAGCTTGATTGCCCATGAGGGACACGTCCTTGTAGCCTCCAAATCAACTGTGTGCTATCGTTGCCCTCGAGCTGCTGAACCCTCTCTCGCATCAGAGTTGAGGCACGCATATCCTCGTTCTCGAGTCATGATCTTCTAGGTCGAGAGTCTCATGTACTGGAAAGGCCTAACGGAGCATGGGGCCTTTTACTGCCTACGTGGACCTCGCAACTCTTCTAGAGCCAGCAGTAGCCATATCCATGACCCTTCTGCCACTGGCAAAACCTCGAGTGCAGTCTGGAATTAGGCCCCGGCCGAAAGCCTCCTCGGCAATATCGCTGGGGGCATGAGGTAGCTAAGGCCTCCACATTTTGCAGTGGGACCTCGAGCCTTGAGTGAGTGTCAGCCTAGCACTAGGGTCGAGATACTGGTACTCACCACATGTTCCCTACGCTGCTACCGCGACATTGTGGGCGACACAGATATGCCGCCTCGTCGCTGGTTAGGGGGCACGATCTTCTTCAGCAACCGCCCCCGTAGAAGGCTGAGGGGGCCGACAAAACTTAGCGGAGCCACCGCTTTAAGTCTGTCAACCCCTATGACGGTCCGGGAGGGTCTGAGAGGAGCACGTCGGTAGCTCAAGATGCAGATTCTGCCAATTGCTAGGGCAAGATTGAGGGCAGCGAGCGGGTTCACAAGAGCCGTCACGACTTACTTAGGTATCATTGAGAGAATCAGGCTTGGAGCGTGCTGCAAGACATGCGGTTACTCTCATCAAGTGCGCCTCAGAGGTCGCTTCCTGGGGAAAGAAATTGCTTTCGCAGGTTGCAGGAAAAGGTGGTACCATCGGTGTAGGTGGAACAAAACTCATGGAGTTTCTGTAGCCGTTGCTCCGCGCCAACCGTTGATCGAGTAAGAGACGGCAGGCAAGTCTTGAGTACTTGAAAGCGTAGCGCAATGAAGTAGCATCACGATATGCAGGAGAAACTAGTTATATGAGTAGTGACAAGGCTACAGATAACGACTATTGCGTTGCTGCCTTTGCCGCCTTCTCACTCTTGACCCATTGATCCACCTTCTCTCGCTCGACATCGACATCATGTTCCGCCTGGAGGTGGCGGCGCAAGTCGTATGCACGACTAAACACGTATTGACACGCGGGCACTGGCTTGCTACTCGAAGGGGTCTGATCTATGCTTTCAGAAAGCAGGCGAGGGAGGTGAGGGAAAGGGCACTGCAGCTTGTTCGCCTGTTTGAGGGATTCCTGCGCAAGTGAAGCGTACGCCTTGCCGGTAAGGAAGTCGATGTTGATTCCAGCATCAGTCTCATGTTCGGTCTCGTCCTCATGTGTAGCATCTGCATCAGAGCTGCTCTGGGGTGCATGAAGCTTGGCGAGATGGCGTTGAAGCAAGTGCTTATACCCGAACGCGCGCTTGCAATGCTCGTGAGGACAGATGAAGTCGCGCCGTCCAAGGTGAGCAATGTTATGGTGGGTTGTCAGAGCCTTCTTCTGTAGCGAGGTCAGCACGGGTCCCTACGCACGGGTCGACTAAGGCACGGACCGATTTGAAGTCTTTACCGCAGTCGTCTACGTCGCACACCCAATCGCGTCCGACATCTCCACCACGCCGCCGCTTCCGAGGCCGCTCGCCCTCGTCTTCGTCTTCGGAACCGGCTGCATTGCCAAGATTATCTTCCTGGTCTCTTTGTGCATGAATCTTCAGATGCGCGCGAAGACCCTTCTGCTGAGAGAAAGTCTTGCCGTTACAGGACGGGTAAGGGCATGTCGGTGGGTGCACAGTACGTGTATGGTGCTGCAAGGTAGACCACGTCGGGTAGTACGTCGGGTCCGTGCCTTCTGCAGGCAGACAAGCTACATGTGAACAAGTATATCGTTTGTCTGAATATCTCGGCGTCAGAGGTGACAGCGGTTCATGATTGGGTAGGGCGTACCATCATGCGTTCTCATGTGCGTAGTGAGCTTCTGATTAGTAGCGAATGACTTCGTACAACCTGGGCGCTCGCAGCGATATGGCTTCGTGCCAGGAGGAGAGTGTTTGGTGCAGATATGCTCCCGTAGTTGGTGATGTTTAGAGAAAGCCGCGTCGCAGTGCTCATCAGTACACTACAACCGCAAGTCAGCCCTCGTATAGGCATGGGCCAGTTTGAGCTGCACACACCTTGAACGGCTTCTCTCCGCGATGTAGCTCTATGTGTGCTCGTAGGTGTTGCGAAGTCCAGAAGCGTTTACTGCAATCCTTCTCCTCACAAGCGAATGGTTTCGCAGAGCTCGGCAGGTGTATCCGAGCGTGTGCCTGGAGATGTGTCTCGCGTAGGTATGACTTGTTGCACACTCTGCAAACAAATGGACGCTATACATGCAATAAGCGAAGGCGATATAGTGGTAGAAGGTAGTAACGCACGTTTCCTGTATGAGAACGTTCATGCTCTGCTAATCTCGAAGGCTTGGTGTAAGCTTTGGTGCACCCTTCGAACGTACACACATAGTCGCGCTTCGCCTTGACTTCCCCACGACTAGGGCCCTTAGTTGGATGGTCGGAGGCTTGGCTAGGCTCATACTCAGATTCAGTGTAGGCAGGGTCGTACTCGCAACTAGGTGCAGGCGAGGGTAGGTGTATAACGAGAGAGTCGCGACGCTTGCGTTTCCCAAGAATTACCGTCGCAGACGAGCTAGATGAGTCTAATAATGTAGTCATGATGTGCAGCCATGAGAGTAGGCCAGGTACGAGATCAACAGAGGCCTTGCTCAGTCGTTTGCGGTCGAGGGAAATTTACGCGCCCAAGATCTACGCGGACTCTTACTGCAGGCGTCTGATTGGGACTCATTGCATCGCGACCATGGACGGCATGGAGGTCGAGGACCGCCTCGTTAGCGTCATTCCCGTCAACTACACAGATGCTCTCCGGCCAAATATTCAGCTACATCAATTCCCTCTCCTCACACGACCCCTGGAAGTCCCACCATCCGCCGCTGCCAGCGGTAAGCGCATCCGCGCACGCGTGAAGGCTAAGGTGAAGCGGCTCGAAGTCCATGTACCTGTCGATACGCGTCCCGAGGTATGGAATAGCGAGAGATCAAAGGAACTAGGTGCAGCGCGGGTGGAGGACGATAAGGAGAAGAATCAGGAGCTGCCGAAAGTGAAGCAGCGAGAAGGAGAGGATGCTAGGCTGTCGGAGGTGCGAATGCGCAGTGAGCAAGTTCCACAGATTGGTGTATATGTTCTAGGGGTTCTTCGTGAGGGTGAGTTGTGAATATACTCACCTCGCGCCAGCCCACTGAGAGCTGATTGAAGGACGGCTCTATCTACATCCGATAAACGAGACTCACCAGTTCCGTCCAACCCTCACCTATATGGATATGCACCTTCGAAAAAGCAGGCGCACGCGTCCAGGGGATGAGTCGGATGAAGACGAGGGCCCTCCTCCAGATCCAGATGAGCCTGCGCCCGCTCCAGCGCCGAAGAAGGAGAAGAAGCCCTCCGGGCAGGCGAAGGAGGTGCAGGTGGCCGTCCGCAAAACTGCAGAAAGCCAGGGTCTGCAGTTCACGGGGGGCATGACACAAATCCGCCGGGATATGCTTACACTGATCCACGCTGAAGAGGATGAACAATGGGATGACTATGAGTATTGCGGGGGAGAGGTGAGCGGTTCATGTCACCAGACATATTGGAGACTCATGATATACTTTGACAGACGGCGGAGGCAAATGAGGCTTTCGAGTCGGTGTTCTCGACCTCCTTCGAGGAGCTTGAATGTAAAACAGATATAACAAGTCTGCTTAAGAATGTGCCTGGTTTGTGATTCCTTCAGATGGCGTGTTGTCTTCGTCTGCATGTGGTCGGTGTGTACAGGCAGCCGGCGTATGTCTGCCACGGACTTCTGGAAGCTTGACAAGCTTTTTCGGCTCCGAATAGCCCAGCAAGTGTGGCGCCTGCAGGCCTTGCCTCCATTCCTCTTAACCACCTGTGGCTACTGCATATCCGTTCCATGTCAGCATCAAGCGACACGGAGTCTGAGTCTGGAGGGTCTGTTATGGGATGGGACGCAGATGACTTGATGCAGACGCTTGCTGGTAGAGAAAGCATCGGAGAGCCGATCCCGCTTGTCGACGCGCTTAAGGCACTGCGAGGGCTCGATATATGCGCCGCCCAAGACGTAAGGACGTCTTGACTCATTCCATAGCCTCTATATTTCACTTACAGGCGCATCACACACAGGACGAAGGAACCCTCGAGCAAGTTTGGTTTGCTTCGGGCACGATTCGACACCACCTCGGCCGCATCATTCGGTCGTTTCCTTCCGGTGAGGTCGAGCAATCTGAGGTGCGAGACATGTTATGTCTACTCCGTAAGGATTTCTACTTCCGCATGTTCCAAGGCTAACATTGTCGTGCTTGTGTAGTGAATCATTCGACCTTGGCCCTCCTGTTCGACTATAGATCGGTAATTCACAGCATCGTAGCGCGCAATGCCGCTGGTCAAGCCATGTCGACCGTCGTCTGCTGGGCAGACCTCATCCTCTCTCAACTGGGACAAGCTGTACTGGCCGCGTCTACAGGTCTTTGCAGCATTGTCCCCTCGGATCACAACCAGCCGCCTGCGATACTCGTGCACAGAGAAGACGACATGCTACGTGCCGCCGTTCAACTACCTGGTAAGAACCGTGCTTCGTAGTCTCAATATTCAGGCTGATCACTCTGCAGAGCGCTGGTGCGACGTTGCGGGTATGTTGAACTCCGAGCACAATTCACCTGCCGCTATTCGTCTTGCGTCAAGCCTGCTTTTCGGAGTACATGTGATGGCTCCACAACTGGCAGGAGACGTCGAGTCTCCGGATTGGTCAGTTCGCTCGAACTGCTACTCTGAGACCATTTGGAATGAGACACATTTTACAGTGAGATTGGATATACAATAGTTCAAGCACTCGACGCACGAATCAGGCGCGTGGTCGCCTATGACACCAAGCGCACTCCAATCGTGATTCAAGACTCCGTTGAGCAAGAGCGTATCACGTATGCTATGTTTGTGACTCTATATGCGGTAAGTTCGGTTCCTGGATATTGTCTGAAGTCATACATTGAGCCCTATCAGGCTGCTGCGTCTAGCGACCCAATGACCCTCGACTTGTCGTGTCGTCCGCAGTCAACCACGGTTCTATTGGAAATGATCGAAACTATCCTCCAGTTGGATCCTAGCCACTCTGCTATATCAATCATATCGTCTCCTGCGGTAATAGACATCGCGAAGGTGATTCTGACGAGATGGGGGATGACCGTTCCGTGGACCTGGAGCACCTGGACGGATGGTCGCCTCCACAACGCTGAAGTACTGGAACATCTGGTGAGAATCGGAAACTCCTTATGCGCATGTTGCATGGTCTGAATCCCGTTAGACTGCCACATGGCTGCAACATGTGCACTGGGTACCGGATTGGCCGCTGGACCAAGTAACAGAGACAACTATGTTTTGTCAGTGCGATCTTGTAAATGTGCTAGCAAGGCATCCCATGCCGGCCCTGTCAATGATAGCGGTAGGTCTTTCCATAGAGTTTGCTGCTGCTACTCAGTCGGTCTCTTCAGCGTCTTTTGCTGTGCACGCTTCGTGCCATGAAGTCGGACTCGGGCTCAACTTCACTGTCAATATCCGCGTTGAAGTTCATTGCCAGACTGTGTTGGAGTCTGAAGTACCTGCTGCGAGTTGTAGAGGTCGACCGCCCCTCTACCGTAGTGATATACAGCATGATGTGCACCTTATTCGCGATACTACCCGATGGGGAATTGGAGCTGTCTGGTGAGCACAAACATATGGCCGTCACTTCGAGACGACTCTGACAACATACAGCGAAAGATGCCCTCTTAGAAGCCCTATCGTACTCCCCGGATGCCTTGAAAGTGGCAGCAAACGTGTTTCTTGACCAGAAGGCTGAGTGCGTTAGACGTCTTGACGAACGTGCGTTTCCGTGAGGTTCCAGGTGTAATGTGGCTGCTCAACGATTTTGGGTGCCAGGACTCCTTTCTTTGAGCAGGTGAGGCATAACATATGAGGCGCACCCATGAACCATTTGTATCTGACATTTATCCCTCAGTGATATGACGCACGCGTCACCACGCAATTACTTGGGATTGCGAATTACGAGGCAAACCGTTCAGTTCCTCACACTGATCTGGATTGCCGGAGCGCCAATGTACTTCCATGTCGACTCTGTCCACCGCTTCGTATCGGCTCTTCTCCGTAAACTCAACTCGGGATCCTCGACGCGGTGCATGTTGTTCGATGCTACATTGTGTTTGCTCACTGTGTTTAAGAAACGTAGGGACGAGATCACCTTCCAGACAATGGGCCGATGCTGTGAAGACGAATCGGTGTGGGCGCTCACCATTAGCGCCGAACCAACGGACATACTGGTCGTATGTGAGTGGTTATTGCCGCTTATTGTCTCCATTACAATCAGTGATGTCCAGGCTAGCTTCGCTAGCGGCGTACGTGTCGGCGACTGCCAATATCCGCAGTTGCAATCAACTGCTCTGGGCGGAAGCTTGGAGCTATTTTCGCGACGCGCTCCTACTTACATCGATAAGCCACATTGCGGTTGCTGGATCGGAGGAATTGCTCGGGCTGTTCGTCGCCCCTGCAATTTGCAGAGCCCTCCTTAGTCTGATGGAACACGCCACAGACGATACCCGTACGCTCTCTTTCATCTGATAGCGGAGAAGATTATTAACAATTCACCACCAAGGTCAATTTTATTTTTCCTCGCCTTGGTCAACTAGTTTGAAGACGCACCTGAACAAACTTAGTAGGCTTGCGGATTGTTCCGAAGGGGACGTGTTCGTCACGACGCTCCGACAGCGGATCACACTTGTGGCTGAGGATCTCTGCCGCTACGTGCGTACATATCACCGTATTGGTAGGTGCCGTAGCTGAAGGGCCTTGCCTGCAGTTGCAGGATGGTTCCGGATTCTCGAAGGTCCGTCGGTGGGGTTGCCGCCCGTCTGCCATTGCTGACGGTATGTACTCCCAGACTGCGCCTTCCCCTGACATAGAACCGGTCTACTGTTCCATCCGCACCATGCCCTGTCTGTTGCTCAGCGTTACGTGAACATTGACCCCCAGAAGAAGGCCTGAAAATGCATGCATTTCAATCACAGCGTCTCCGCCTGATCCAGACCCCTAGAAGGCATGCGATCGTATCTTTGCGACATGCCAGAAATGGCAATTGGGAGGTTTCGCACAGTCCTGACGTACCAATAGCTCAACTCACGCGTCCGCCTCCACTCAACTTCCGTCCAATAGCATAATCCCTCGCTCCTGTCCCGTGTCTCCGTGCTCACTAGGCGGTTATGCAAATTGATAGGTTTCGTACCTCGCACAGCGTTTCTGGCGCTATCGCCTCTCCACGTATAAATCTCCATGGCTAGGGTGTGATAGTCGTCGCAGCCTGCTCGCCCCCAGCCATATGTCGTTCTCTTCCACTCCCATCGACGTAGAAGCTCAGCCGGAGAAGGTGACGCAGTTCGCTCATCATGTCACCTTGGAACCCCAGGAAACCCCGCGTCCCAACCGGCAGGGGACTGGTATCCAGATGGTTCCCCGCTTTACTTCCGAGTTCAGGACCCTTAGTATTCATGTTGAGACTCACACTTCCCCTGTCGATGGAGATGCAGTACCGATGCGCAAGAACGCTATCAAAGGTCCATACCTGCATTCATCACCTACGATTGTCTGCTCACTAGTACTCACAGAGCTCGTTGCGCTGGATTGGCACATCATAAGTGTCGACGAGGCGCTTCAACGACTCAGTGTCTCTCCGCAAACCGGTCTTGACACTACCCAGGTCTCGCGTCGTCAACAACAATACGGGAAGAATGCTATCTCTCCACCGAAGAGCAATATGCTACGCAAGGTCTTGGAATGGGTCATGGGCGGATTTGGCAGTCTGCTTCTTGCTGCAAGCGTCGTCTGCTTTATCGCGTGGTACGTCTTTGTGTAGCTACAGTCAATTCGTCTGCTACATGTCTCTTTGACAGGAAACCGTTAGGAGAACCGAACCCTCAGGCGTCGAACTTAGCCTTGGCAGTTGTACTCCTTATCGTCCTGTTTCTTCAAGCGGCGTTCAATGCCTGGCAAGACTTCTCGACATCGAAGGTTATGTCGTCGATCAAAGGAATGCTTCCTTCGGACGTGCTTGTTCTAAGAGATGGGAGTCGAGTCAAGCTATCCGCTTCCGAACTTGTCAACGGCGATCTCATCTATATCGGCCTTGGCGAGAAAGTCCCGGCGGATCTGAGGTTGATTCAGGTCAGCGGGGACCTGAGGTTTGACCGTAGTATCCTGACCGGAGAGGTGTGTGATGTTGACATGCCCAGTTTGAGTTTCAATCATTCATTTGAGGGGGAATTCCCAGAGCGAGCTAATTGCAGGTCGCGTCGACATGACGGACAAGAACCTTCTCGAGGTAACGCATCTATATCCTTCACTCACTTGGTGTGCTCACGATGGTGTGTAGACCAAGAACATCGCTTTGCAAGGCACGCACTGCGTTAGCGGATCCGGCACGGGACTAGTTATACAGACTGGAGATAACACAGTCTTGTTAGTAGCCCGCACCGGCTCGCTGTTTCTCGTGCTAACTCATTGCACAGCGGGCGCATCGCGAAGCTTTCATCGACGGAGGCTTCGCGGATGACAACGCTCCAGCGCGAGATTCTTTACTTCGTTCTCGTCATTGCTTCTCTCGTCACCGCTGTGGCTATCTTGATCGTCATATTATGGGCAGCATGGTCCGCTACGCTCGCCATAACCAACGAGGTGCCCGTTCTAAGTGATGACTTCCCCAGGTTGCGAACCACTTTCCCGTCGTACATCAACGTTTCAGGGTTGCTTATTGATGTTGTTTCGGTTATGGGTAAGATTGTTCGCCAAATGCTTCACGGTTGCAGGTCTCATATATGTTTCCTCCGAAGTTGCATTCATCCCTGAAGGCTTGTGAGTCTTCTCGCATCTGACAACATTGATTTTTCTCATCTCGCTTTGAGGCCTATCGCTGTCACCCTGTCACTCGCCAAGGTAGCGCATACTCTCAGTAAGCACAAGGTCCTGTGCAAGTAGGTGCTCTTCGTCCTGAGTGTCAGTGCGTCCCTAACGCGAACTAGGTCGTTGTCAATCGTGGAGACTTTGGGATCGGTGAACTTGCTGTGTTCTGTAAGTCTCCCGTAGCGTGATATGTGTTCCACCGACCAAATGGGTCACTCGCATCTCAGGACAAGACTGGGACCCTGACGCAGAATAAAATGCGTGTCGTCAGCGTCGCGGTCGACGACCTCGTCTTCGACGCATCAGCGTACGAATCTGTCCTAGCAAATGCTACTCCTGAGATAGAGTCGAATTTGTCTCAGACTGTTGCAGTCGGAGTGCTGTGCAATGCTGCGACGTTTGGTGGGGATAGGGGCGACGCTCTGGAGAGGGCCATTGCTGGAGATGCAACAGGTAAAGACGAATACTCTGCCCAATTGGACACGAGATTCACATGTCAGCATTCTAGATGCTGCTATCCTGCGGTTCTCAGATAGTGTCCTTGCGGCGGACCCCTTGCGCAGTCAATGGCAGGAGATCTTCAAGGTCAACTTCAACTCAAAAGTACACTATTGTCTGATGCTTCTTCCGGCGTAAACGATATGAGCTCACCGTCCTTTCATGTATAGAACAAGTACATGCTGAAGCTATGCCAGTCTGCCCTCGATAAGTCCCCGGCTCCGATCGCCCCTTGGGACAACTTCGCAAGATCGGATTTCCTCCTGCTTGTCAAGGGCGCCCCTGAGGTCCTCTTTCCCCGCTGCAAGCTCGTGGTCAACCCCGCAGGTGGCTTTCCGATACCCCTTTCAGCGCCCGTTAGCGAACGCATCAAGCGAGTGCAAGAGCAGTGGGCTCGTGACGGCCAGCGTGTCTTGCTCCTCGCTCGCAGGGTAGTTCGAGAGGACGAGATCCCCAAGGGCGCGGATCCGCAATCCGAGGAATTTGCCGAGCTCGTCGAGTCTCTCCGCGACAACCTAATCATCGTCGGCCTTCTTGGGCTGATAGACCCACTGAAGCCGAGCATCCCGGACGTGGTCAAGACATGTCGGAAGGCGGGTATCCGGTTCTTTGTTGTCACAGGTACGTCGCGGCATCCTCTGTCTTGTTTCATCTAGGCATTCATTAGCACACTCCAGGTGACCATCCAACGACTTCGGTCGCAATCGCTGCGCAGGCGGGCATCATTACGAACGTCGACCGTATACACCACGTGGCCGATCTACCCACAGGTTCGGACGAGGGCATCTCCGCGAAGAACTCTGAAGGAAAGGAGGAAAATCATATAAGCAAAAGCATCGTCGTCACCGGGCCTGAGCTTGAGATATTGAACGCCGCGCAAGTTGAGCGTCTCTGCACATACGAGGAAATCGTCTTTGCGCGTACCACGCCCGAGCAGAAGCTCAGGATCGTACACGAGTTCAAGCAGAGGAAGTGCGTTGTGGCCATGACCGGCGATGGCGTGAACGACGCGCCGTCGCTGAAGGCTGCTGATTGTAAGTTGAAGTCAGATGCATGCCTATCCTCTGCCCGGCGCGCGACGCTCACGGTGCACTCTACAGGCGGCATTGCTATGGGCGAGGGTTCGGATGTCGCTCGCGAGGCTGCGGACATGGTCCTCCTGGACGACTTCTCTGCTATCATCATAGCGTTGGAATACGGCCGTCTCGTCTTCGATAATCTCAAGAAAACCGTCCTCTATCTGCTCCCTGCTGGAAGGTGAGCTCCTTCTAATCTGCGCTGACGACTCGCGACAGTCTCTCAAGCTCCCCAGTTTCTCTGAGCTCATGCCCATTTTACTGAACATCCTCATCGGCGTCCCGCAAATGCTGAGTAACATTCAGTGAGCCATGCTCGGTCCTAGATGGATACCACGAGTTGACCATGCACTCTCAACGACAGGATGATCCTGATCTGCGTCGCCGTATGTCCTCCATGTGTTCACTTTTGACGGCCTTGTTGAGATCGCTGCAGACGGACGTCCTTCCGGCTTTGAGTCTTTGTCTCGAGAAGCCTGAGTCGGGTCTCCTCGAGCGTCCCCCCCGGAATGTCAAGACAGAGCGACTGGCCGACTGGAGGCTACTCTTCCAAGCTTATGCCTTCCTCGGCATCTTGGAAACCCTATGCGCCATGGCTATGTAGGTATCAATGTTGTCGTTGCCTGCAAAGTGCCTGACAAATCGCTTCCCTAGGTCCTTCTGGTATCTCCAGACCCACGGTGTCCCTTTCTCAATCCTTACGCTCGGCTTCGGTAATTGGCCCGAATTGACGAATGAGCTGCTGTTCAAGGCGCAGAGTGTGTACTTCTTCACACTGGTGCTGATGCAATGGGGGTGAGCGTGTCCTCGTGATCTGGCGAAGACGGACGCTCACGTTCGACGTACCAGAAACTTGTTCGCGACGCGCGGACGGAAGCTGAGCATTGTCCAGCACACGCCGATGTCTAACCCGTCGGTATTTGCGGCTGCGGCTATGGCTTTGTGTATCGGTATCTTCTTCCACTATGTTCCTTGGTTGTAAGTCTGAGTGCGAATCTCTGCAATGCTCACGTGCTGAACCTTCTGCTCTCGCAGCCAGAAGGTGTTCGACACTCGTCCGATCCCAGTTGAGTTCTTCTTCATCCCTGTGACCTTTGGCATCGGTCTGCTCCTGTGAGTGTTCCATCCGGTGTCCATCTTTGTTACCGATATGTTGACGTTACCATCGTCAGTTTGGACGAGATACGCAAGGTGATCGTGCGGCAGCGTCCCAGGAGCATTGTGGCGAGGCTGGCGTGGTGATGGCTCACGAGGTGATAGGGACAGTACATGATGCCTTTGATACATGTATCAGGACCGTTCATACGTGGTCTACTTTCTGTGTGTTTGGGGGATCCAGTGTGCAGAGAAAGGGCCAGCAAACGCGCGTGGACGGAAGTCGAACTTGACACGGTGGGATAGCGCGTCGGCCACGTGATCGTGAAGGGGATGTTGGGTTGCCTGTTTTGAGAAGGTGCCTTGGCCTGCTTCTTAAACCTTGGTCCAACACGCGCCGACTGCCGACTGTCTGACACGCCCCCTACGCTTGCTCTTGCCTCGTTCTTTGAAATACGACATTTCTTTGTACTATACCAATGGGATTCTGCAGACGATGTGGAGATATCGTCGTCGGTCCCCGCTGTAAATGCGGCGGCTCTTCTGTCGGTCAGTCTCACCGCCCACTAGCATCGTCTGACGCGCTCTCTGAACATGCGAATAGCACCTGTTGTAAAGTGGAATCAGTCCGACGGCAAGTCTCAAGACCCATGGTCCAAGACATACGTAACCCGAGACAAGCCTCGCGACAAGTCCCCCACCAAGCCGGTCCCTAGGACTTTCACTGGTCAACATCAACCCGACTCCAACATCAACACCGCTGCTACCCCTTCACCTTCTTCTGCATCTCCCACGAAGCGCTTTCCCAGACCCACAAACCAGAAGCCCCTTGCTGTGTCCCTTGACCGCCGCGTATCCGAACATATTGCGACGTCCACCTCCGTTCAACGACCTCCATCTCCACTCAAACATTCCACAACGCTTCCTTACGACGACAATATCGCCTCTGAGGTCAATCCCGAAGAGGGAATCTTGCCCAACCTGAACAGCGGCTCAAGACTCGCTAAAGTCTATGGCTCCGTGCTACAGCCCAAGGAAACCCTGTCAAGTTTCATCTGCGCATTATGCTCCGCCCCATTCCCTCCTGATGCGACCATATACCCCGATCCAACGTCCATTCGCCCCGGTCTCCCTATCGACGATGTCGGCTCTGGCACGCGATTCCTGTGTCGGCCCTGCTTCACCGCAAACGGCGGCTCCAAAGGCGACTGTCCTGCCTGCGGGAAGCCCGTGCTGATCCTCAAGAGTGAAGGTGGCTTTGTCGAGGCGAGCGGAAAGGTCTGGCACAAGCGCTGCTTCTGCTGCGAAGGCTGCTTCAAGAATATCAGCGACCATCCGATGGTGGACCTCCTAGGAAGGCCGAGCTGCGCAGACTGCTTCGACACCTGCCTCAAGCGGACACCAGGCAACACCCCTCGCAAACCTAGGGGCGACGAGCCATTCGAGGAGCGCAGTAACCTGGGCGGCACCAAACGCACCAGTAGGAGCCGGGAGGGGAGTCCTGCGCTGGAGGAGCTCGAGTTGAGGCTGGGCATACGCAGTCGGGACACTACACCCGTCAAAACGGAGAGCCGCGGTGCGAAGTTCATTAACCCAGCGTCTCCCTCTATGCATACCCCGACGTCTCCTCCAAGCACACAGAGCCCCGTGTCGAAGCGGTATACCACCGCCATCGAATCCAGTCCCATCTCTGAACGCCTCGCTGCGAGAGCGCGAGCACAATCCTCTTCTAGCGCAGGATCTCCCGCTTTGCGCGACGCCCTTACTCGATACCAAAGCTCCGACGCGAGCGATGGGAGTCCGGTGTCTCGACGCACGTACAACAGGCTGCGGTCGCCCGAACCCGACGGCGACGAAGGCTCGCCGATCTCCTCGAGGTTAACCGGCACCGGCAGTCCGAGGTATGGCAGCCCGGTCGCTCGACAGCCTACGGCGGACGCGGTGGAGGAGATGAAGCAGCGGTTCCTCCGGCAGGCTTCGCCTGGAATCTCGTCGTCCCCGAGTCGCGTTGCTCTGCCTCCTTCGGAAACGACGACGCCGACGCGGAGAGATCGAGAACGCCGCTCCAGGTCCCGCCCGCGCTCGAGCGGGGCAATGTCCTCAGTGTTTGACGACGGCGTGTCATCGTCCCTGGGCACAACACAGCCGCTTCGGGTCCGTCGCGATAATACGGGAGGTACGGAGGCCGTGCGCCGTGACAGGACAGGGGAGACCGAGTACGTGCGGCGCGACAGGACAGGCGATGTCGATTATGTCCGCCAAGACACGACAGGGACTTCGTCTTACGCTCGCCGTCACACCACCGGTGACACTGAGTACACGCTGAAGGGCGACCGAACGGGAGACGCGGAGGTGGAGTCGCTGCTTGGGTCGTTCCCGAGGGTGCCCACAGGCGACCTCATTGACCTCAGCTCGGACACGTCCGTGAGCAGCATCGATCCCCAGCTCACCGGCAACGGGCCTATGTCGCGCATACTGCGGCTTTCGCGGGACCTCGCGTCGCCGCCCAGGGAGCGCGTCGGGCTCGGCATCAGCATGGGGTTGCGCAAGAGCATCTCTGGGACGTCGCTGGCTACGGACTACACGTCGTCATCCATGCCGCTCACGCCTGACCTCGCCTCGGACGTATCCGATACCATGACGCAGTCCAGCGGGCCCTCCACCCCGCCCTCGCTCTCCCCCCCCTACAAACGCGCACACGCGAAGGGCGGCGTCACCTCGCACCACCCGGGAGAGCGCGACACTCCCACGAAGTCTGAGGCGACGACCCCAACGCCAAAGTCGCGCACGCTCCTCCCGCACGATATTTCGATCCCCGCGCCCCTCCCGCCCGACGCACGATGCGTGCGCTGCAGCCAGCCGCTGTTCAGCAGGAAGGACGGCGGCAAGTTCGTGACGGTGCCCGAGCAACCGTCGAGCAGCGGTGTGCCGCCCAAGACGTACCACACGTCGTGCTTCCGGTGCACGGTGTGCGACGGCCTGTTCGAGGAGAAGGACCATGGCGGCAGGGCGATCTTCGTGAGGGGCCCGAAGGGGGCGTGTCATGTTGAGGTGAGTGTTCATTCTGGATTGTATCGTTGGTGTGGGGACGAGCGAAGCGCATATACTCACATCTTTTCTCCGTAGTGCGCACCGCCAGAACGGACGATCGTTCGCTCGTACCCTGTCCAGGTTCCCCGCCCTGCTCTGAGCTCCCAGTCGCAAGCGGCACATTCCCCACCAAAGACTCCCTCTACTGTTACTGCCGCCGCGACGTACCACACGAGCTCGAGCCGGTACGAGGCTCCCCCACCAAAGACCGCGCCCCCAACTCAGCAGTCGTTCGTGTTTCCTCCGCAGCCTCGCTTCGGGAGCGCGAACGCCTGCCCGGGCTGCCACCAGAACGTGTCTCCGATGGAGCGCGGTGTTGTGCCTGGGCCGCAGGGCTCACGGTGGCACGCGGCGTGCCTGATTTGCGGCGGGCAGGAGGCTAGGGGGCGCAGGAAGGCAGAGGGACGCCCCGGCTGCGGGAAGAAGCTGGACAGCGCGGCGAAGACGGATAGAGACGGGGGCGTGTGGTGTCGCGAGTGCTTGGTCAGTGCCAAATTATTGCACATTCCTGATGGACGAGAAGAGCTGACGCGGATAATCTGCAGCTGATCCTGCCGCTCGACCGTCGGGGTTCGCCCTCGCCGACGCGGAGCACGCCCGTCGCGCCTGCGCCAACTGGCAGCAGAGGGCCGTTTGGGGTCGCGCCGCAGTACACGGGCACTACAACTCTGGCGCGCCAGTTCACCGGGATCGGTAGCTCGGACCCCTCGCTCATGAGGCAGCTCACCGGCGGAGGACTGAGCCCCACGCGCCAGCTAACTTCGAGTCCGACGAAGATGCACGACGGCCCTCGGCCTGGCGTGTCGCGGTACCCTCGTCCGAAGTCCGCCATCGGGTTCGCGGCGCGGACAAAGAGTGAAGGGGGCGAGGGCCGGGGCATGTATCTGGTGCGGCAGTTGACTGGGGGGAAGAATAAGGAAGCTCCGTGAACGAGTATCGAGCGTGTGGTTATATTGAGGTTTCTCCACGGACTGTACACATACATACCTACGGCATGCTGACACGGACTGACTGCAGACTGGCTCCTGTTTCGTCGACATCTGTTTTCAGTGCTTTCTCTAGCTACTAGCTCTCTGTCTTCTCGCGTTCTTTTGTTGATCGTCCATTCTGATATAGCTTCATATCTCCCTGCGCTAACGACACGAGACTAACTCTGTCCACAAACCAGTCGAGATCAAGATCGGTCACAAAAAGTAAGTTACAGAAGTAGCTAGGAGCGTTCCCTAAAGGGCAAATGTTCCTTCCCGCAGGGTCGGAGGCCACTTCAGTTGGTGATAGAACTCTTGAGCCTCAAGTCCCTACTGCTTGCACCCACGGAAATGCCAGTCTCCCCAGTAGCGATCTGCCAACTTTGAGAGACGACATCCCAGACGGAGAAATCGTAACGGGACAGCTGAAGGGTGACAGTCTTGGACTCTCCGGGATTGAGGAAGACTGCGTCAAAGCCTTTCAGATTGTTCGGCGCCTGGTTCGCGGATGCGGGCGGAGAGGTGTAAAGCTGCACGACCTCAGTGCCCGCCTTCGATCCGGTGTTGGTAACGGTAAACGATACGTTCACGACGGGATCATGGAGCCTTGTCATGGGGGCTCAGATGGTACTCGTGCAGAATCAAGGAGAGTACGTACCAGGGGTCGAGGGAAGACCCGGGTCCCAGGGCTTGACGGGAACCACCGGCAGTAGAGCCGCTGATCGCCAAGTCGGAGTATGCGAACGTTGTGTACGACAGACCGAAGCCGAACTCGAAACGGGGCTCGATGTTGTTCTGATTCACAGCACGGTCAGCTTCTGAGTCGCATGTCAGAGTGATGCTATGGAACGTACTGCGTCGAAGTGGCGATAGTCAACAAGGAGACCTTCAGTGTAGTTGATCTGGACAGTCCCGGAGCCATCGTATATCACGCGAGCGGAGTAGTCAGGTTCTTGCTTCGCAATTGTGAACGGGATCTTGCCGCTGCAAATGACACCCTCAGTTACTCGTAACGAGGATTTCGTGTCAGTATGACTGGACCTTGGGTTCACGTCGCCGTAGAGAACGTCGGTGAGCGCGTTTCCTGCCTCTTGTCCAGGAAGCCCTGCCCAGATCTGGCGGATCACCATATTTCAGCAGACATACGACATGACAACCGCAGTTCGATCATACCACAGCCGTCACTACACCGTATGTTATATGTCAATTCAGATATTGCGGCGGGAGAAAAGGCAATAAATTTACCATTAGGATTTTCGATCCAAGCATCCACAATGATTGGCCCAACACTGTTGATCACGACGATTGTGTTGTTATTGACACTAGCCACTTGCTCGACAATATCATCCTATGAAGAGCTGATCAGTACCTCGAACGCGTATGATCATAAGTGGAAATGCTTCTTACGCCACTGTGCCAAGCCTGTAGGTCATTGCGATCGCCTGCGTTGCCTTCAACGGTGTATGATGCCTCACTATAACTCCAATTGAATAGCTCATCCAGAAAAACGACGAGTACAAGACACACACCCGCTATCAGCCGTGATGAAAACGAGGGCGACATCCTTGCCAGTTGCAGTGTCTTGAGATAGATTCGCATCGTCGCTCAAAGTCCAGGAAGAGATGCTCGTGCCATCAGCCTTCGCGCGGTCAGAGATGGCATCAAGCGGCTACAAATAACAGTCAGTCCTAGATTCGACACTGGCAGAAAGCTGCTAACCGCAGTAATGTATGGGTAGCTTGCGGTGCTGTCGGGTGGTATGACATGAGTGCGCGGAGGGCTTGGACCAGAAACAAGCCACTAACCCGCTTCCCCAGCCAACGCCAAGGACGCCATCATTGCAACTGTGGTCGAGACACCTGCCAAGGGTGGATGAGCGAGGGGCTTCACCATCGAGGAGCCCGCATATACTGACTCATTCGGACCCACGATCGCGGACCGAGCACCAGTACCGACGATTGCCATAGTTTTGGGTGCGCCGAGAGGAAGCGTGTTTTTCTCATTCTTCAGTAAGACAGCGGAAGCGGCTCCAATGGTACGAATGAGGCTTGAAGGCGGTCAGGTCGATTGTACGCGAAAAGGTAAGGCAGGGTGAAAGCAGACCTTGCATGGTCCGCTTGGACATTGACGTGGTCGCCTAGGAAGGGTAGCCAGGAATTGAAGTTGACCGCCGGGTACCCCGAGTCCTGGCCGAGTAAGTACCTATCCAGGCAACGTAAATAACGTGATGATGTGATACTGAGGCGTGTTATACCATCCCGCAAGGATACGCGTAGCCATATCCTGAGGGTGCGTCAGAATGAATCATGTCCACAGAATATCTCTGCTTACGTCGAGGCGCTCCTGGGGCACATCCCCTGCTGTGACGGCATTGACCAAGTTGCTGCCGAAGTAACTGGACGCCAAGCAAGCTGAGCGAAACAATCTTCTCTGTTTATTGTATACGCACCTGCTGAACGACGCGAAGAACTCGTCTCCGGGCATGGTCATCTGCAGAGCCATTAAAGAACGATCGGATGCCAGGATGAATGATTCTCACGTCGAGTCCACCATTCGCAGCGGGGGTGGTCGAGTGGGTGGCATACCAGTCTTCGCCAAGAGTTCAGTGGATCGATATGTCGAAGCGCTGGAAGTTACACATACCGGACATGACATCTAAACTCGGAGTTAGCAGGAGGCGACGACAGGACCGGTCGCACAGAAAACTTACAGCCCTGGAATCCGAGCTCACCCTTCAGAATGCCATTCAGCGTCTTGTCATTCTCGCATGCGTATGTTCCGTTGACTACCGCAATCCATCATGTTAAGTGAAGGCAATACATTGACACCGGTGATTGACTTACTCTGGTCTGTCGTGCCGAGAGCGAAGTTATAAGTATGGACTTATACGCTCGCCCCGATGTCCGACTTACTGTAGCTACACATCACGGAGGCAACGTTTGCTTGCACGCTACGAAGGAACTGCATTGATCTAAATTAGTTCGTCAACATGCTTCTCGAGCGTCAAGGTCCTTACGGGATGCGCATATAACTCATGTTGCTGAGAGAGATCTGTCAGGACTGTAATGCGATGACTGGGGAGTGAGATATCACCGTCCTGTGGGTTGTTGGGTCAGTGGGTATGGAATACCAGTACATCAACGGCACATACTTGTCATCGACATTCGAAGAGCTACTGTCACGGAAATGTTCCTGCTCGCTATTGGAAGAGGATCGCTGGTCGGAAGAAGTCACTGAATGCGCTGGAAAGGTGCATACTTGTTGATGTAATGCTTCGCACAGGCCTGAACGCCTTGGCTCTGGATACCGATGACAGTTTCATACGCCACTTCTCCAGTCAGGAAGGGATCGCCTCCCGCTCTACGTCACACAACCGCCCAAATGAGCTGCTCTCCGAGTCGCCGATGAAGGAAAGGGGAAGACACCCACCCTTCCCAGTTGCGCCCAGCCGCCGGGGCCCGCATGAGGTTCCTAACACATTAATCGACGATACATCGACCGTCAAGTCAAGCTTATGGCATGACGTCGTCTTGCGGACTTACATCATAGGTCCAAGGGCGACGTTCACCCCCTTGCCGCGGAACTCTGCTCCCAGGGCGGCGCCCCGCTGGCGAAACAGAGTTCGGTTCCATCTACAGACGTGTTAGGAGAGCTAACTTCGGAATTTTCAGTGCGTGGACGTACGTGGCGGCCGCATTGATCTCACTGGCAGTAACACGACCAAGCGAGGCTTAGTTTCTGGTATCGCCAAAAGCAGAGACAAGTAACGCACGCAGGAAACACCGAATTACCGTCAACGAAACGCACGCCGACAGGGCTGTCTGCATGCCGTCATCTCGTCATCTCCCTCACAACATGACGCAACGACGCGCACCTTGCAAGCAGAGTCCGGAGAAGTTATGGATGGCGGAGATAGAGGGCGTCGTCCCGATGCAGGGTCCTGTGAATGAGTTGACATAGCATACTTTACGAGGTTTAGCTGATTGTAACGAACCTCCAATCTGACCAAGACCTGATAGCCACTTAGCACCCACCCACTCATTGAGATCACGCGACAAAATAGCTCACCTGTCCCCAGATTGGACTTGTCAGTATTCGATAAATTGGCTACTACCGGTTTCGCCTAAGTGCACAGGATGAGCTGGGCCCTTCTGACTGGTAAATTCCGCTGAACGACCAACCTTTGCATAAGCGGCAGCCCATTCGGGCGCGATGTTCGCGACTTCGGTGTGGATGACCGCTTTGCTTGGCGTCTTGTTCGAAGGCGTATGCTGATCAATAACGCATATAGAAGCTACGACGTGCATATCTCATGAGCTCCGCCGTGCCATGAGACCTCAACGAGGCACTCACTATCATTCAGGGTCTGACAGGCATACCCAGGCGAGCATGTAGTCAGATTGGACCTGGAAGGGAGCAAGCATAATCCGTCAGTAGCAGCCTCGTTGAATGGTTATGTCGATCGCGCACATACCCGCTGCCAGTAGTACACGCATCAGCCGCCAGCGCGAGGGACGGGCACAGCGCGAGCGTGCACGCGAACGGGACCATCATGGCGAAGGCAAAGGTGGAAGCCATGTTTGCCAGTGCTGGTGCTACCTTTGAGTTTTCAGCCACCGGGAACTCAGCAGCAAACCGAGTAGAGGCGTACGAGCAGAGCGTCCGCACCCACCTCTTTAAGGTATGCGGCGAAGAGATGGCGTTGTCGCAGATAGACAGGCCCGATCACCTACGCAGGGAGCTATCATACATCACGCATAAGTTCACATCGGAAACGACTCGCTTATTCTCATGCAACGGCCGCAGGGCATCGCATGACCGCAGGCCTTCGTGATCGTGCACTTGACAGAGTCTGCGAAGGTCTGATCATACGACGCGGTTGTACCTGGCGTCCTTGTAAGTAGTCGTCTGCGGCCTCCGCATCTGAACCGCCGAGAAGGAGCGTTGCTCGTTGTGACCACCGATTTGACGTCGCCAGGTTGGCGATTGTCAAGGCGATCATTCTTCGAGCTCTTGTGCCGTAGTGGCGATGCGTGGGTAGCGCGCCCTTGGCGGAGGAGGCAACGAGCTTGTCGCGAACGGGTGAGAGACCGGAGGGTGCGCATGAGGTGATTATGACCATATACGCCTGAACACGCGATGTCCTCCGTCATTGCAATGTCCTCCGTCATTGAAAGGTCCAGAAACCTCGGGGGACCCGCAGTCATAGGACCGAAGAATCGACCCACGGAAATAAGGCTGGACACATGGCTTTTGAACATTGATCTATGGCATGCATTCTAAACAGAACACTCGCCGCCGGCCAACCTCCGCGGCACGATAGTTGAAGAATTGACGCTCCGGACTAGTGGTGAGCCGAGTATATTATGCGATGGCGACCTCAGGCCTCACCATGCTCGGTGCAAGACACCGCCGGATTGGCACCGTGTCGCAACGATAATGCTAAGCTTATATCTGCATCTGTGTTTTACAAGACTACTCTTCGTGACTTCACATCGATACGAGATGCTGCTGAGACTAATACTAACCCCGGTGAAACAGTTCTTGGCTCTTCTCGCTCCCTTGCCCTCACACCCTAGCCCTCGCCCGCGGCCACGTTCAGGGCTGGGTGGTGGGGCCTGAATCCTCAACGTAGACCCCGCTATAGTAGAGGTCCGTCTCGTTGATCTGCTGTGCATTGCCGTTGATGGGCAGCCGAAGCGCACCTGACAGCATCCCGGTCGTCGGACGTGAGCCAGTGTGGACCCATTCTAACAGAAACCGGTCGTAGACGTACCCACATGCCAGTCTGTGCCGCCGTTACCGTTCAGAGATCCGGTGTACACCTTCTGCAGGGCATTGCTACCAGTGGATACCCACAGGCCGCCGGGCGAACCGACTTCCAGGATGAAGTTGTACTAAACGGATCATGGCAAGTCAGTCAGTCTCCGACAAGGGGAATCACGGCACCAGAGGGGACAGCAATAGAGATAACGATGCGTACCCAGGTACCTCTCACAGGCTGGACGGACCAGATGCTTTCCCCTCCGGTGATGACCTGGAGGGTGTCCGCGACGCCATTTTGCCCTGCAAATCACATGCATGAACATAATCATCTAAGCCGCCCACGGGCCAAATCTCCGCTCACCGGAAAGCTGGCCATACTTGATGTCAGCATAGTGGCCTTCCCAGAACACGATCTATGTTCCCCGAGAAGCAACATTCTCTCAGCGCCCCGTGCTCCACGCTATTGTATAATGTCTTGGCGCCTACCTGATGTTCGTATGCAGGATCTACGGGAATGATACAGACCGGGATGATCGAGTTCCAATCAGTACGTCAAACACAGACTAAGGACATGCTCGATACTGACCTGGGGGATTGACGGTGGGAATCTGCAACGAGACATGGAAGTAGAGGTGTCCGGTGAGAGAATTGGTCGTTTGTGGCAAGAGCTCAGTCCTGAGCATGGGACCCCCATTCCACGTCGATGTGGCGTTGATCTTGACCTTGACACCCTGCTTCTCACCCGTCGCTGCAGCAAGCGAAACATGAACGTAGCCGGAGTCAGCGTATTCCGGGGCGTCAGGAGATACATAATGACGTACTAGCAGGGTTCTTGTACTGGCTGCCAAGCGTCAACCACGAAGATGCGGTCTCCCCCTGTAAGGCGAACGCGGTAGTGAGTGGGAACTTCTATGGAATGTCAGGTACGGCCCCGCACCACTCACATGCTGGTTTCCCTGTGCACGAAAGTCAGCATTTATCGAGACCGAGAAGTCATTTAGAGCCAAGTGGATACTCACGTAAATGTACGTCTGATACGTGCCCACCTGGTTGCTCCAGGACCATTGATCGAAGTCGGTGGCGGTCCTGTCAAGGAGTTGGTGTCAATTATTGCAAATGCTAACCCTGCCACAAAGCGATTTATGCAGGGTGCCGTAGACATCCCACGTAAAATATGCTCTAGACGCCGCGTGACTTACGTGTAGTTATTGAACCTTCCATCCCAGAGGATCGTGCCGGACACGGTTGATAGATATCCAAACAGGAAGAGCGGCAAAATCCCCTTCATGGCTACGAGCTGCGACAGTGATACGCTCGCGCAAGATGGTCGGGGTCCCTACAGCGCATTCGGACGGTTTAAGTACGCACGAAGGACGAGCTCAACCGACGTTGGTCCGACGCACGCCACGAGACGTTCGCGTCGCGCAACGCGTACGGGGGTTATACCTCGGACCAACGTCGATCCGCGCGCGAGCGGGGAAAGACTGGATCAGAGGAGGTCATACGGTGAACAGCACTGGACGTCTGAATGCAGGGATGCGGGGTGGAGCTTGTTATCCCGCTCATTTGTGCGCTAAGGCATAGACCTGATCCGGGGTAATAGGTTGGGGGATGAGCGGTAGGGTCTATGATCCCATGAGTGGTTTCCCATACCAGGGCGGCACGTCTCCGCGATATCGTACTCGGTCGCGGTTGAACTGATGGACAGGGACTCGAAATTGTCAGAGGGGGATGGGCGCGGTGTCGTCAGTGCGAGGGACGCGTCCGATATGTGTCTTGAAAAGACAGATGCTTAGCCGGGGGAGAACGGGGTTTCGCGGAACAGAGGCGAGTGCCCCGGAGTTGGTACCTCAGCGGTGCGCGGTCCATGTCAGCCGTTCTCTCGCACGCCGCGTCATCGTACCTTGAAGTCAGAATGACTGTGCGCGAAGTCAAAACCCAAGTGCCCAGAAATCGCGAAGCACGCAGAATAACACCGCCCAACAGAGAACTTCGGCCCGACTGGCAACTCAAGCCGTTCCTCCGGACTTTTCCAATCCCCTTGGGTCGTACACTTTCGCATTGACCGCGGTTCAAGCGAGAGAGGGGGTCACGATAAGCAACGGGGGACAAGCACACGGGCGCTGGCAGTGCAAGCCTGGGATATTCGCCATGGCCACAATAGTATGAATGGAGGATGTGCGTTGATGGACGCCCCGCCCGAGTCTAGGTGACTGAAGAATATGACGCGTGTGAGGCGAACTACGTCTCCTCGGAAACGATGCGCTTGATTGCAAGGGTCGAATCGAGGCGGTCAGGTCGTGGCCAAAGGAGCCGCGGACTAAACGACATGCCCGCGATTGGCGTCTTCGGGAGGTGTACAGACAGATCTGGGCGATTGCAAGCTGAGAAATCGAGGGTGGGAGCGACTGGAGAGCGGCAGAGGCAGGGCACATGCCAGGCTGCACTGAGGGAGAGAAGCCCTGGGAGGCCCGATAAGGCAGGGGGTTGCATTGACCGGGATCAGCCGAAGGGTACTGTATGTATAGAGCGAGCGCGAGCCCGTTCGTCCACTCCAGCCAACTGGGTCCACCATTGGATCTCCCAACGCTCCTCGCCTACTCCCTGTCCTCCGCCCCATCCACAGTTCATCTCTCTATACGTTCCCATCACTCTATATTATCGCTGTCGCGCACGTCCCACGTCGCGCGCTGTGTCTATGTCTTCCCCCACGGGCCGTCTCTCCTCGCATCGTCGTAGATCTCACTCCGCTTCCTCCCCCATACCCCGCCGACAGCCGGACGACGTCAAATGGCGAATCTCGGTCAAGCGCTCTCGCCCGAGTTCCATCCGCAGTCCATCCTACAAGGACCTTGCGCACGATCAGCCTACAGAGAAGTGGGATGTAGACTCATGGCGAAGAGGGAAGAGGGCCCGCAGAAACATCAACGTAAGCCTTGCCCCGTCTGCGCCCCCTTCAGCATCAGCCATGCTCATTCGGCCTGTTGCCCCTTCTCATGCGCACTATAGGCGGAGGGGTCCTCCGATGAAGGAAGCTGTAGTAACGGCCTGTCCTCCTTGGACGCGACCTCGCCCACACCGCATCAGTCGCATGCATCATCGCCAAATTCGTACGGCTTCGCATGCACCTCCGCTGCGTTCCAATTCTTCCCACAGAAGCCGAAGCCCCGCAGGCGTGCTTCTGGCCCCGGGCGCGCCCGTCTATCGCGAGAAGCCTCACCGCGCGCTGAGGGTGACCGGATATCTTCGGACGAAGCTCGCCGCCTGCGCGCATCCGCCCTCAGCGAGCTGCACCGCAGTGTTGCGGAGAGCGGTGAAGGTCTCGTGTACCGCATGCGCGACTGGGAGCAGTCCCATCTCAAGGTTCCTCGCGTCCCCGGGTCGCCCTTCGAAACCGAGGCACCCCGGAGGTCGTGGCGGCCGCGCCCCACATCTTATTATGCCGTCCCGCAGGCCGCGACTGCTGATACGGCGCAAACGGAGGATGAGGACGACGATGTCTTGATCGTCGGAGAGACCTCTCCAGTCGGTATCGCTCGGAGTCCCGCGCACAAGAAAAGGGCCCTCTCGCTCAGTATGATGGACGTCGACCTCCCGGAGGCCCACACCTCGCATTCTCCTGGTCTTGGCGACAGTGAACGTAGCTCGTCACCCCTGGGTCGCTTCTCTGGTCCTTCGGCCTATTCGTCCGACGACGAAGGTCATGCGGACATGGACACCGACCTGTCGTCAGATATTTTCTCTACGCCTGCCTTGTCGCATACATACTCGGCGTCGACCAACTCATCCCTTGTATCCCTGCCCCTCCCGCACCAGGCAAACGAGGGCAGCAATGGGATTATTTCTGCATCTGCATCGTCGATCACTATCGTCCCCGGGAACGCCAGGCCCACTCCACCGCCCACCGCCTCGCGCTCCGAAAAGGCTATCGCTGCACTAACGCTGGCAATGGCCAACGGTGCCGCTGGCATCAGCGATTATGAGGTTCTTCGCATGACCGAGGAACTAGCCACGCTGGACGAGTCCCATGCCGGCGAGCTCTGGAACTAGCACGGCACGCTTCTCACTCCGTCATCTTGGTATATTATTCCCCCACGTCCCATCCTTGCAATCGTGTATCCATTCCCATCGCATACCAAACCCACAACACAAGTACTATCATGAACCTTCTACTAGGTTCCCTCACATACAATAAGTTCCCGCAGACCAAACCTGCTATATTCATAGTCACCCCGGCGAACTGTGTATACGTAACATCGTCCTATCCCCAATGTCCGCCGTCTCTTGATACTCGCTTACTAGCTATAGGGTAGGGTTCGAGACTCGAGTACTTGGTTGTACCAGAACTCTTGCTGACCCCCGGAGCAATTCTTGCCAAATTTCGGTATCATCTTGTCCACATCCCCCAGTTGTGTCGAGACTCGCTTCTACTCTGAATGCCTGGTCAATCTGTAATCCATCCATCCATCTATCGCATCGTCAACAATGTCACTATCGTCCATACCCACTGTCCATCGTTCGCCTCCTTCACATCCCATGACTGCAGTTCTCTCTCAAACTCACGCTCGACGTCGCGAGTGAATAGTCTAACAAAACGAACGTACATTAGCTCTGTACTATTACTGGAACATACTATCCAACGTTCCACTGGAGAGAACATCACACGTTCGTACCCTAATCTGCTCCTGCCAATTGGCTGAGGTGTGGCTAGCTTGTGCGCGGGGAAGCGTCCAGCCCAGGGGTCGCGGATGTACGTCACACGTGTCAATACAATCGGTAGGTCCCCGCACCCCTAGTTCCGCTCCATCGTGACACGGTCTGTGGCTTCCTGCGCGGCTCTGCACGACATCGAACGGCAATGGGTTGCCTGAAACCTGTACGTCGTGTCGCAGACGATGCCGAGAGGAGGAGCTAAGGGCGATTAAGTGGCGTCAGCGTCATTGGACGGTAGTATGAGTTGGTCGGGGGTAGTTCACGCTGGGAACCTGCGATGTCTGAACGGGCCGCGTGCTAGAAGCACGGATGACGATCATCAGTCAGTCGGAAGGCTTCCCAGCGGGCTCACGCCGTCCACGAGACGAGCGAAGACGCACCTCCCGGCCACAGGGGCCCTTCGCACACAGCTCTAGACCCTGAGCATACCCCTCGACGGGCCCCCGCTCCGAACAACAATATCGCATCCCCGCGCCACCTCCGCCATCTCCGTGTCCGCCGTACGCCCACTCGGCCCGCCCGACCCGATGTCCGTTAACCTATTGGGTAGCAGAAGCTGGGGCCTGCCGGTTCCCCTCGGCGGGCGCATTGATGACGGGGGGTCGCTGCGAGAAGTCCGAAATGCGCGCATTCTCGAGCGTGTTCGCCAGGCTGTCCGCCGCTCTTGCGGAGCGTTCCGCCTCCAACGCACGATTTACGGCGGCGAGCCGCGCGGCTTCGCGTTCGAGCCGCAGGCGCCGCTGGAGCTCTGCGGCGTGCATGTTCTCTGCCTTTTGCCGCGCGGATATCTGGAGCACTAGAGCACGTTTCATGTCTAGGTTCAGGGCACGATCCAGGATGAGTTAGCATGGACAACTGAGCGTGACGCACAGCGCCGCCACGGACTAGCACAGACGATAGTGGGAACATACCGTCGATGAGTGCGTTTAGCCCGGGAGGGACATACTCGGAGTCTTTCGAGTCGGGATTCATCGGGACCCATGGCAGGCACTCCGGACTCTCGAGCATCTCAAAGTCTTCCTCGACCGCCGTTCTTTGGCTGTCGTCCTCGTCATCGCACACCGAACTGGATGTAGCCAGTGATGCCAAAGGTCGCGGAGACAGCCTCCGGCGTTTCGCGTTACTACTCCTCCCGCTCACAGACGATTCGTCGAGCGACGTCAACGAGGACATATCGTCTTCAAACAGAGCCCGCGCCCTGCTCTTCTCTTCCTGTCTTCCTCCCGAGCTCGCGTTGCTCTTGGCCCTTCGCGAAGCAGCGACCAGCGGCGTGTCCGCCCTTCGCAATGCGGACGCGGACGCGGACTTGCCCGAGCCTCCCGCCCCCTTCAACCTCCGCGCCTTTGCACCCGGCGTGCGCCGTCCTTGCCCGCCGAAGACGTACGGCGACCGCGCCGGGGGGGCCTCGCTCTGCGCACGCGAGGTCGACGCGCACCTGCGCCGCGGGCGGCCGTCGACGGACGCGGCGCGACTCGCGCTCCGCGTGCGCGAACTCGCCCTGGAAGAAGAGGCGAGGCCTGCCGCGACGATCTCCCTGTCTGCGGAGGACAGCCCTCGGGCGCGGGGCCGGGCGGCGCGTCCGGGTGCTTTCCTCACTTCTCTTCCTTGTTGGGGGGGCTGGGCTGGGTGGCGACGACGTGTAGGTATGACGATGGGACACATGGTTCATACGAGGTTTGTATAAGTAGAACTCACGATTGCGCGCTCCCTGGGCTTGTGATGCCTGGCTTGGTAGGGACTCTTCACGCGTATTCGTGTGCTCTAGTCAGTGGGTCCTCAGTGCGTGACGTCTGGAGCGAGCAACTAAGGTAATTACTTCGTTTCCGTGGACTCATGAAAGCGCAATCTATCGGCCAATAAGGATCTACATGGTGAGGACAGGTCGTCCGGGAATTGCACAGAAAGGAGGGTCTACGCACCAAGCATCCATTCAGGTTTGTGACTACCCTCTGCAGGTACGCTGCTCGCCCGTGGTCGTGAGACTGTCGGTACACGAGGCATGTCAGACCATGTAAGATCTTTGGGGACTTCTCCGAAATGGTTCCAAAGAACTTCCTAGGACGGAATGTACCTTGTGTGATACCATTACGGGCCCGTACCGGCGTCGCTAGCCGAGAGAATCGTGTGTCGACCATTCAGACCGCGAAGAGAGAAGGAGCAGTCGCAGAGCGAGGTTTCGAGGCTGCTCGGATTAGTTGCATCGATGGAGAGGAGGAAATATTCGAGGCACGCGTGCCAGTGCCGCCGGCCCTGCAAAGGCGTTTTCGATCATCCAGATCTGGGCGCTTTAGGACAGATCCTCAGGCCACACGCAATCGTTTCCTCAGGCATGCGACGTGCACACCTCCGCTATTACATACTCAGACGCGTTCAGGTACAGTAACGATAGCACAGGGGGCACAAAGTACAGGGAGAATTCCACGCAAAGGCTAACGGTCCGAGAGGCAGGAACGGGAACATGGGTCGAAACGATAACGTTAGAAGGAGCTCGCCGCAGCACCGAGAACCTTAGCAGCCAATGCCCGAAGAATCTATGGAAGAATGAGTTAGAGTAATAAGACATACGCAGATCGGATGTCTTACCTGAGCCTTCTGGTCACCTCCTAGCTGCGTGAAGACAGCTGCTATGCTCTTCCCCTTCGCATCTCGGATGGCACCTAGCTTGTTCCCGGCATACGCCCCAAAGAGGAGTCCGGGTATGTTCGCGATGATGAAGCCAATGCCCGCCCCGCAGACAGCACCAAGCCATGCCCACCACGGCGCATGTCGTTCCACTTCTGGACGTAGCAACTATAAATCTCCACGACGTCAGTGCACGTCGAAGGCAAAGCGCGTGGCGGACGCACGTCGTCGAATACGTCCGCGAAGACATGATCCGCGTCTGGCCGGTCTCCAGGAGCGGCACCTGTTGCACCGGCTCCTGTGCCCGAACCGGCAGCCTTTCCGAACATGTTGGCAAACGTGGCAAAGAAGCTGGCTGAAGCGTCGGGCTGGGCTGTTCTTTCTTGCGGACGGCGTGTTGAGTAAAGGCTGTCATACTCCCTCCGGCGAGTAGGGTCCGACAGCACGTAGTAAGCGTCCGCTACTGCCTGCAGGACAGTCAGCGACATAGCTACGTAAGTGAAGGGCTGTGAAGTGCACCTGGAATTTCTCTGTAGCAGCTTGTCTTTGCTCCGGCGTTGCATTAGCGAGCCTGTCTGGGTGAGTCCTAGCGATCTGTAGGGATGAATGTCACATTGCGCTGGAGAAGCTGTATGTCGCGCACTTCAGGGACTCTTTCTTGTACGCAGTCTTGATGTCGTCCACAGATGCATTCTGGGAGATGTTGAGGAGCTTGTAGTAGTCGGGGAACGTGGACATGGTGAGGGATGTTTGAGGCCCCGCGCAGTCAATGGACCTTATGTAGCTCCGCCGCCTCGCAGTGACGTCAGGAACGCGTCCCACGTGACCGTGTATTCCACGACGCGTGCGTACGTGGCTGGAGCACGACTCGTTCTGCGCATGGCACCGCTTGGGCACTACACAGCCAACTCTCCGTTCATGCGTTCTCAGAGCAGCCCAAAAGGTTTGGTCTACTAATACATAGGTCGAAATAATGATAAAGTCCAATATCCTTGTACACAGAGCGAGCACTGGTCAGCGTCACGTCAATGGTGCTATGTACTACTAGTTACAGCAGAGCGTGTGCGAGGTGCGAGAGGCGAGTGCGAGCGATGACAATGACGATCAGTGCAGAGCAGCATGGTACCGAGATACTAGAGTGCGATGCTTGGTGGTTGGGTTGCTCGAGAGCAGATTGGTTGGCTGGAGGGCAGGGGGAGGGGGGGGATCCTACCTAAGACGACATATCGCGATTCCTTCGACGGTGACGCCGTTTTCGAAGACGAGGCATTCACCACGCTTTCCCCGTCATTGGGGTGCCGGACCCACTCTGCGGGGAGGTCTCAAGCGTGGTGGTGTCAGTCGGCGACCTCGTCTTCTCGTCGACTGGCGTCAGGTTCCGTGTTGCCAACTGGAGTTTGGGGTTGGCGGGGAGCCCGACGGCGCGGCGGAAGCGAAGGGGGGCGGGGGAGCCAGCGGCTGGTTGTGGCTGAGGCTGCGCTACGGGCTGTGGGATGGGAGGTAGCGCGCGGCGGGCGGACAAATACGGCGACATCGATGGGTTTGGGTCTCCGCGGGGCACAACAGATGCAGCGAGCTGCTGTGTGATGAGCGTCGGGCGGGCGAATGTGGGTGGCTGCGCGACGGTCGCGACGTTGACCATGCCCTCGTCAGAGTACGCCACGGAGGTCGCGGACATCACACTATCCTTAGGGTTGACGGGGACGGTCAGGTTGCCGACAAACGAGGTAATGTCGTACTGCGTGCCCATCGAGTCGATGCGGCGCTCACGCTCACCAACACTTGAGCCGTCTGAGAAGCGAGAGGTAGGAGCGCGAGGCAGCGCGAGGGAGCTCGGCGCCTGGTTCACGACCGGCAGGGACATGGTTGGGATGACACCGGAGTCCATGCTCGACCGATTGAGCGGGGGCTGCTGATCGAATTGGAACTCACTTTGCGCGGACCATTGGGGGCCCGTACGAGGAGTCGTGAGCGGCACTTCCGGACTGGCCGAGGGGGCATAGGCAATGGCTGCGCTCATTGGAGAGTGGCCAATGCTAGCCTGGGCGGAAGAACCTTCAGCATATTGGTACTCATACTCAGCTGAATCGTCCGGTGCCTGGTCGACATTGAACTGCGGCTGCGTGGGAGAGAACAGCCTGAGAGCCGCGATGGACTTGTCAAGCTCGTCCTGGCGACGGAGGAGGATGGACATATTCGAAGAACGCGCTGAATCTGGAGGCACAGATGTCATGGGTGACATGAGCATCGACGTGGGACGGTCTGGCACAGGCAGAGGACGGCTCCGAGGAAGGGGAGTCACAGCAGAAGCCATAGGCGATGACGGATAAGGGGACGCCATATATTCGCTGTTGGCACCAATACTGTTGCGGCGCATCGAAGCCTCGTCGTCGCTGGGTGGCGAAACGACCTGGATGTTCGAGGCAATGGGGGAGTCGTCCTGGGTCTTGTAGTACCTCTGCGAGAGGGCGTTCGCGAGGACATCCTGGTTTACGCCGGAGTACCTTACAGCATTCGAGTATTCGACGTCTTGCCAATTTCTGTTGGGAACTGGGGTCTTCGCCGGCTCTAGTTCATCAGCATCCAGTGGTCGGGGAGCGTACGTGTTGTCGGACGAGGGGAGGGGCTCCCTAGGTTTGGTCTCAGTCGGAGTGTAATCTGGCAGAGGAGACACGCCACGGCGTTCATCCTCATCCAATGCCGGCTGAGCAGGGCCTTCAGGAGTCGGGGCGCGAGCCGCTTCTTGCTCGGGGGCATACCACGGCGTGATGACCGCGTCAAGAACGGGAGAGGGGCCACGCTCTGTGTCGACATCCCAAGACTGAACATTGCTCTGAGGACGACCGACGCCCAACCAAGTCGACAGACGGGCGGCCATGGACTGATGCTGGTTAGAGCTTTCGACCTTCGCCGACCGGGCACTGTTGCGCTCGACTGTCTGGGGGATCTCCTGGGCACCGCGATAGCGCTCCTCGAGGACCTCGACCAAGTCAACCTGCTTCGGCTCGTTTTTGACCATCATCATCCTGGGTTTGTCGATCGAGCTGCGCTTGTTGACTGTATTTGGACGAGAGGCAGGGCGATATACAGGGAAGAAGGAGAGATGGCGAAGGTGATGGAAGGAGATCGTAAGCATGTAGACGATCGCGATGTAGAACTCTACAGCACGCATGAAACGACCCAGAGCAGTCTCCGTGAACTCGACTTCGATGAAGAGTCAATTCGATATCTTCTCTGCATCAATACGTGTAGCACTCACAGAGGATCACATTCCCGACAGCAATCCACAAGCTGAACAGCAGAGAAACAATGATTGGGGCGTACTGCATCATCATCTTTCCCCTTGACAGCGTATTGGAGCCGACAGAGAATCTGGCCCAGGTGTTCAGGAGGAGTTTGAGGATGAATATGGCCGAGAGGATTATCTCGAGCGTAGACTCTGCCTCATATACTGGGCCAATTTGCTCGAGCGCAGAGACGTCGCGGAAGGCGAGCTGCAAGATGGTGGTAAGAAGTACGAGAAGCAGCGTCGACCACTTCAAAACCAGGCCCATCAGTCCCCAACGTCTCCAGCTACCACTGTGCATCTTGTTGCCCTCTGGGACGGTCTCGCCAAGAGGAATGGTGGCAACGAATCCCCAGTAGAACAAGAAACGGAGACCGTTCGCGAACGAGTAGAAGACCTCGCGGACCGTGGTCAGGCCAGAGACACCAGCCGGAGTAAAACCGTTGTTTGAAGACCTTCCTTGAATGAGGAGTTGTGAAAGGTCGAAGATCGCGGCGAGGAACGCGAGTAGCACAGACACGTGCAAGCAGAATATCCATCTGAGATTGGTGGCGTCCGTGTTAGTACTTGGGTCTATAAAGATGCTTTATGACCACTTACCTGTCGACACGCTTCATCAGCAAGAAGAACGTGAAAGTTCCGAGAGCCAAGATCCCCACGCAGAAGTTTGGGATGTCAGCCAAGATGAACTGGATCTAGCAAAAGCAGCAATGGGTTAGAAGGAATGCATCCGGGATTGTACGGACATACCGCTTCGTTCGGGCTCAGAACTTTGAAAGCAGCTCCGGGTGCAGCAGCTTGGGAGACCATGACGTCGTCGAATCGTGATGGAGATAGTCGTCTAGGTAAAGAGCGAGAAGGTGGAAAGAATGTGGCGGAGGCACGAATCCGAGAAATAAGTTACAAAGCCAGCTGGTCGGTGTACGCACGTAGCGTCAGTCCCGCTGAGAAGCGCTACGAGAACCAGAGGAGGCCAAGATACAATCTTAGCAGAAGTGGACCCGGTCCTGTGCAGAAAGCACCCAACAGGCGGTCTTGACGCGGCAGGCGGTCAAGGGGAGAGCGAGAACCTCGAGGATCAGGTTGAAGAAGAGAGTGGGCACATGCAGCTCCTGGCCTATGAAGGTGGGGAGCTCGGCGTGGTCCGCCCTTAGCGACGAGCAGATGGAGGCTTCACACCTTCCTCCTACCCGCGCGCCAATCTCCCCCGCGATGATCTGACGTTTTCTGTCCCCCTCCTTGCTACGCAGCCGCTGTCGCGCCGGGCGGATGTAGGGACGAACCAGCCTACTCCCATGACTACCAGGGCTAGAAAGAGCGATCAGTCTTTCATAAACCGCTCGTCCTGGGCGAGTCCAGGAGCCTTCAACTTCATGAAAAACGCCCCGGCTTGGCGGTCACACAAACACTCAGGCAATCAAACGAACTCCTAGATCATTACCAACCGTCACGGTGCGTGTCTCACAGCGAACTACGCGTTGTCTCCATCCCCGCCTCTAACGATCCGACCAATCATCATTGCGATCCAACAACCTATACGGGCTCAGCTTGGTGGAGCGCCATAAGCCTGTGTCAGTGCGCCACTCTAGTGATCCCGGTGTTGCACACAGGAGATGTATTCTCAGAAGTCTCACCTTGTACTGTGGCTACATCATAGCATGAGACGTAGAATTCAATACGACATGGGTGCAGTGGCAGGATGCGGTTGACTTGACAGGCGTTTGTTGGAGCGAGGTAGTTCGGACCCTAACCCAAAGGCATCTCTTCCTGATTCAGCAATACAGCCTCCTGCATTCTCGCGAGTTTTCAGCCACAGCCACTGGCAGGCTTGCACCGGCCCCATTAATGGCGGACAAAACAACCACACCAGCACATGAAAGGCGCATCGTCGTGCTCATATCCGGCTCAGGTATATACTCAGCTCTTCTGGGTGCGTCGTAGCCTAAACTCACATATTCATACGCAGGCACAAACCTACAAGCACTTATTGATGCGCAAAATACCCCCGCCCTTCCATCGACTCGCATCACCCTCGTTCTCTCCAATAGGAAAGCTGCATATGGCCTCACACGTGCTGCACAAGCCAACCCTCCCATCCCTACTGCCTACCTCGGGCTCCAGCCCTACCTAAAAGCCAACCCGGGCAAGACGCGAGACGACTACGATCGCGAGGTTGCTCGAATCGTTGTCAAAGAACAGCCTGATCTGGTTGTTTTGGCAGGCTGGATGCACATCATGGGCGACGGGTTTCTAGAGGTCGTCAATGGCGAGCGGCCGTACGATGGTGAAGAGCGGGTACAGAAGCCGATCCCCGTGATCAACCTGCACCCTGCCTTGCCCGGGGCGTTCGACGGCGCTCATGCGATCGAACGAGCGTATGAAGCGTTCCAGAAGGGAGAAATAAAAAACTCAGGTGTAATGGTGCACCGCGTAGTCAAAGAGGTGGACCGGGGAGACCCAGTTCTCGTGAGGGAGGTCGAGATACTGCAGGGAGAACCGATTGAGACTTTCGAGGAAAGGCTTCATTCAGTCGAGTGGAAACTCATCGTGGAAGCGACGGCCAAAGTATTGAACGAAGTAGCACCCATACAGGTAAGGCTACGTTATATGATCGGTGCCCCTATCTCACCTTCCGGCCAGTCTGTATCATAGCAGGGATTGTAGCATTACTCAAATATCCTGTTGGTCCTGATTATCACAACGCCGCAGTTGCGCAGGCTGCTCGAATCATCACGTTCTTTCAGATAGGCGCGGACCATTATGGAATGGAAGGAAACATGCGAAGCCCTCGTCCGTGTGTCGACAAGATGTGTTCTTGGTCAGACAAATCAGTCTAAGCTCTCGTACCGATATATAAGTACGACATCAAAGCACTCAAATTTCACTCTGATCAACGTGTAGGTCCGAGAAAGATATGCAGCAGAATTCATGAAGGCGACGAAGCAGAGGTTCGACTAGTAGCGCACTCGAGACAGGTATCAGGTCCTGCAGGTTCGGCATTGTAGAAGCATGCGATGGGTCTTCCAAATGACCACTATGCCTATGATGGCATCGAGTTCGCTTCGGTTTGCGCCTTCCACATAGTTTATGATCTACGGGGGTAGCAGCCTGCGAGACTTCTGGCTTTGATTGTTTTCATTTCATTCCTGCCGTTGAGCACCAATCACCCGCAGGAGTTGCCTACTTACTGTTACGCCGCAGCTGCTCCCCACGCACCGTCTACAGGGCTTTGGCGTCATTCTTGCAACTGCACAAGCGGCTCATCGCCTATCTGGATCCGATGGCAGTCATACAAGACGAGTTGGCGACAAGATGAGCGCGCCCTCCTTTAGGAGCGTGAATGCCAAGTAAGCAGGATGCACAGAGCGGTATCCATACGGCACGAATGTACTCTCGAATATAACCAAACCAAGAACTCTTCTCTGAATACGAGACATGCTTTATAACTTCGGTTCCAGTGGCTGCCAGTTGACCTGCTCGACCTGTTTCCAAGCAGCTTTTCAGTATGGAGTTGCTAAGACAACACGACAGCACATTCACCATATCTGGTACAAGGTCTTGTACCCTGCTCGCACCGAGCAGCCGCATGCCCGTCACAATCTCGCGCTGGAGGATCTCGACAACTTTGACAACGCCATCCTCTCCGTATGCCTGTGGCGTATATACTTAGTGACAGCCTTGTATCGCACTGATGAGGAACTCACACTCTGCGCATACAAGAATGGCCTACCCATGCCGACTGCTTTTGCTCCCAAGCAAAGGGCCTTCAGAACATCTAACCATGGAGCGTCAGCATTGTGGCGTCGAGGGGCAGGCTCGTAAATACCACTAACCCGTGCCTCTGCGAGCACCACCGTCGACGTAAACTATCCAAGGTAGACAGGGATCAACATCAAGGAACGGTGAGAGCTTGCGACACGGCCGACCAACCTTCCAACTTGTTGAAAACGTCTGGCCGCTGCTTGCGCAGTCTGTACAGGACGTCGATGGAAGGCAACGAGCTGCGAGCCCGCGATCAAACACTTGTCTCTCTGCAGGCAGTCGTGGGATGCTGCTCACTATTCCAGCTGTCGACCGCCATGGTTGGAGATCAGGATGCCATCAACGCCAGCTTCGGCGGCTAGGACTGCGTCCTGGACTCGCACAGTCAACATGAATTTCGGCGAAGGCTTCGGGGCACCAACGCACCTCGACGCACTGAATCCCCTTGATGACGATCGGCAACTTGGTCAACGACCTCAACCACGGGACCGTCCTCTCCCAAGTCATGTCCAGATCAGCATTCGCGATCAACGCCCCCGCCGTCCCCAACAAGTTCGTCTCGCCCTTCTCCTCCTTGTCCTGCACCGGCGCCTCAGGCGAATCCGCCTGGTCCGCGCGCTCCACCTTCTCCGCCTCGCGCTCCTGCGCCTCGAGCTCGAACGGCGCGCGGATGTCGCGCTCGCGGTTACCCGGGACGACAGCGTCCACGGTGAGGAAGATGGCGCTGTACCCGAGAGAGACGACCTCGCGCACGCGCTGCTCCGCGAGCGCGTCGTCGCGGCGCTTGTAAAGCTGGAAGAAGAGCGGCTGGTCCGGCGCGAGGCGCGCTTCTGCGATCTGCGCGTAAGAGAGGGAAGCGTTGGAGGAGACCATCTGGATGATGCCCGTGCGGCCGGCGCCGCGAGTAATGTTGGCCTCGCCTGTCGATTGGGATTGCAGGGCGTTGGGTCAGCGGTGTGGGGGGCATGACTGCTGGTAGCGGTGCGTACCTAAGGGATGTCCCAGCCGTGCGAGGGCGGCGCCGCTCACGAATACCGGTATTGACGACTTGAAGCCCAGGATTGTCGTCGATGGGTCACAATATGAGACTGGGCGCATGACGCGAGCGTGGAAGAAGATCCGCGAGAACGCGCGTATGTTCTCTCGGTGGGCTTAAGTACTGTCAGGGGTGAGGGTCGTGCAGGTGAATTAATGATGTACACACTGAGCTCTTCGTCGGCCGCTGACGAGTAGTACGCCCACGCTTTATAAGAAAGAACCTTGCGTGCGACATCCTTGCCACACGAGACGAAGGGTTTGGAAGGGGAGCTGTGTATCCGCGATAGATGCGTACCTCGATGTCCCACAAGCTCAATATCCTGCTGAGAGGTGGTTTGGCCTGCTGCGCCGCCTCTACTCGTAGCTCATCTTTCGTCTTCTTCCGGCTCTGCTCGGCCTCCTTGACTGCGCTCGCTGCGGCACTGTCGAGCTCACCTAAATGTTTCTCAGGAGGCAAGTTCTTGTCTAGAGCGTCCGGTGGATGGATAGGCTCATACGCGGAGGTGGCGTCCTTTCCTGCGTACTTGAGGATGATCTTGGTACCTCCTGGATGGTCCTATACGGTCGTGGCGTGAGCGGACGCGCATAACGCGGCGGAAGGAGGAGCCATACTGGTAGGAACTCAGTGACATCGTAGACCTTGTTCCTGATGATAACCCAACATGAACTGCATCACGCTCTCTCTAAGCTGCTTCCGACGGCTAAAGGGTGTTGTGGCACGTACCTGGAGGAGTCATGCTTTGACACCTCGTCGAGGGAGTAACTGCGCGGCATTGGGGGAGTTGACGTCTAGTGGGTGAAAAGTGCACTACTGAACAGGGTCCGACGATGCAGCAAGGCAAGTATGTCGCACGCGCAGGGCGGGTGCACGGAAGGCCAGGTACTACTTATATCTGTGGGCGGCGAGGCATGGGACATCCCTCGAGTATCGTGTTCCTTAAGCGATCGTCCTCTCAGTCGCCATCGCCGTTTGAGGCTTCAAGCGCGTTCGGGGGCTCGGGCCGACGGGGCGGACATCCTTCATAGATTAAGTAATGTCGTTTCCGGAGTCCGGGGAGTGCTCGGGGTAGGCGCCCGATTGAGTGAAACGCCAGGGATCATGTGATGGAGAGTTCGCGTTGTTTGGGCGTTGTTTGTCCCGCTCGTTGAACGTCTCCTCCAACCACCTCCACCCCCGCATCGCCCGCCTCGCCCGCCCGCTCAACGGCCCCCGTGTCGAGCTCGCAGGGGCGTTCTGCTTCCCCGTCAGCGATGCCCGCCCCTTTGGACCGCGAGACCCTCAAATCCATGAAGCGCGCCGATCTTCAGAGAATATGCAAAGTCCGTCCTCTTCACCTCCTACGCTCTTACCTCCTAAGCTCACCACAGCATTTAGGACTACGGCATCAAGGCCAACCTCAAGACGGATGCGTTGATCGACCTTCTTGTTGATACCATCCAAGGCGCGCCTCGTCCAACTCCTCAACCTCCCCAGCGTGCCCCATCAACCAGAGCTGCCTCGCGCTCAACCACCACCTCGCGGTTACGCGGCGCATCATCGTCTTCTGTCATCATACATGATACAGACGAGGAGGACAACGCACACGCGGAAGATATACGTACCAGCCTGCCCTCGGCACACTCCTCTGAGCCCGGGGTCGCTCCGGATTTACAACCGCGCACCCGGCGCGCGAAGAATACCCAATACAGACTTGGTGTTGGCAGACCGACCGTCGCCGGTGGGAGCGGCGCGCGTACCGTGACGCGTACTGCGAGTCTGGCACAGAAAGGGAAGCGGGGCAAAGGAAGTAAGAGCGCGAAACCGATGGAAGCTGCCATTCTGGAAGAAGAGGGTACGCTTCCCACACCTCTCGACGACTTCGCTGGCTAATGTCTCTCCTCTTGCCTCAGAACCTGACCCGATGCTGGAAGACAGTAAGTCAACGTGTTGCCAACTAGTTCGCCCGCTTACCGTCCTTAGTTCCCCAAGCTGGACCATCTGGCACCGCTCATGAACCTTTTCCTCCAGAGCCACTTGTCATGTCCATTCCTCCTCAACCTGTCCCCCTGCCAGATCCTCTCGCCCAATTTGCTGTCCTCCCCATACCACCTGCCGACATGTCTGAACAGTTGAGGACCTATATCACTAATTTGGTATGGTGCTTCTTGCATATTGAACTGTTTGGTAGAGACTGACATGTCATTCAAGGTTATGCCTCTCCAGACACAGATCCAGCTTCTTCAGACCGATTTGCAGCAGCGACCAGCCCAAGTGGCTGATTTGGATGCGCTCACTGCTCAAGTGTGCTCGCTCCGGTCGGAAGTAGAGTTGTTACGTCCCCAGGCTGCTCTGGTTCCGCAGTTGCGAGCGGAGGTGCAACAGCTGCAGGAGATGGTATCTTTCCTCACACAGGCCACCACGGGTACCCTTGGTGTCCCGTCTGAGAAGAGTTTGGGGAAAGCTCGAGCATCGTACGTGTATCTACAATAATCATGTCACACCTTGCTCAATCATGTAATATTGTTGTCGCAGTGATGAGGGCAGTACTCAAACTATCGTAGGAGGGAGCGAGGTGTCGCACGCTACTTCCGTGCAACCTCCGCCTGGAATGACTCAATCCTTACTGGGAAAGCGCCATCGAGACCTGGACGATAGTCAGGCAACAGATCTGGGCGAGGCAGCTCAGGAGAGCAGACGTGGTCAGGAGGATCGAGAGCAACGGGCGACGAAGCCGACTCGTAAGCGCCCTAAACTCTCTGATCGGGACGGTTCCCAGCAGGGCTCATCAAGTCAACCCACGAAACCGGAGAGTGATGAGGCAGATGACACAGGGAACGGCGAAGGGCAGCCTGCCCCCCGGCCGACCTTCACCGTCTTCCAGGGTCCCGAAGAACCGCCAGAAGCCTACCTCGACCCCCCTCCTCCGACAACTCATTTGTCAGATCTCTTTCCGTTTGATGCCGGATCTGGACAGGTAACGCCTCCGAACGCGGGGGGCGCCATTCCCCGCCCACCAGGCGCCGACGAGAATGCAACAAACCATCCGAATTTCAACTTCGATTTCAACCCAGACCTTTTCAACCCTATTACGTCCACGCCGTTCGACATGAGCCTGCCTCCTTTTACATACCCTGAGCCCCCCGTATCGCCTTCGCCTGCAGCCCCGTCCGGAGGGTTCGTAGAGCGAGCCGGCGGACGGATAGAACGAAATGACTTGTTTGTGCCGCTACGACGGCCCACGCCGTCTCAGCCACGGCCGCCCTCTCGACCACAGTCCGCCGTGGCAAGACCGGCGAGTCGGAGCGCCGCATCTGGGCCTTCGATATCGCACCTGCATTCCGGTGCTACCGGCGCTCCCCCAGCAGGCAGCGGTACGGTCGACCCAACTGCGCTGATGGCGAGTCCTATGCTCCCCTCCTTGACCGAATCGCCGCCCGAAGGACCCAGCATCTCTAGCGTAGCGATGGCGGAGAACTCGGACTTCCTCTCGTTCTTGCCTCGGCGGACAGTGTCTAGCACCGAGGTAGGCATCCAGCTCGGGATGAGCAGCACACTGCCCCTGCCGCCCGACCCGCCCGGCGCACAGATGAAGCGGACGATGTACGGGACTGAGCTCGAGAGCGACACGCGCTTCGGCGACTTTGGCGTCGAGGGCGTCGCTTCTGGGTTCTGGGCCGGACTGACGCGACGTCTGTGAGCAGCAGCTGTGGTTGGTGGGCCCGTCAGGCCATCTTTCGTGTCTATCGTTATTATCTTTTACTACGTTACCACGTCTTGTGATACTTCCCTTCCCTCCTTCCCGGTCCCTTTCGCTGCGCGCATTGCGTCCGACTCTTGCCCCGTGCGACCCCCAACACTCTCCTTTCCTCAACTACGTTGCCGCTCCAGGCTTCTTATCTCCGCCGTGCCTTCTACCCCCGTTGTGCGCGTTTTTGTCTCGCTTGGATGGACGGCCGACCACGACTTCTCACGTATATCTGTACGAAGATTTGATTTGTGTTTGTAGTTGCCTACATACAACAGGACCCCCGATTATTCACTCAGAGGAATGATCCGATTTTCCAAAATCTTGCCATAAATGTCCGAAGGATCAGGCCTTTCCGGGAGCCAAATCTATCCGGATTCGACCAGGCCTTCCGGATTTGTGCTCAAATTTGGCCGGACTATAGATCAGGCCATCTGGCGGCATGATGTTGTCCGGATTGGGCAGATCAGGCGCCCAGAGGCTGAATTTTCGCTCAGGGAACGTCCATATTGTTTCTTTGAGAGATCTACGGCAATCTGGACAACATAGAATATGCTAGGGGTCATCTTGCAAATGGAGAGGCAAGACATTCTGTCACTCTGCAGGCTGCCCTACCTCTTGCCCTCCAGCGCTTCTTGCGCAATTTCTCAGTTCACCGCCGGAAATGCAGAAACGTCCTTTTACGTTTCGGGATACAAGGAAAAAGAGATAGCGACACCGGTTTGCAAGCCTTGGTGATCAATGAGCGATACTGTTGGTCAGGACCGGGTAGCTATCATCCAACACCGGGCCGCCCTTGGGCGGACGGGGATCAGGCCTCTGCCTGGTTGGACCACTTTTGTCCGGACTTTGGCACCAGGCCATCCAGAATTTGGACGTCGATTTGGCCGGATTGGATCAGGCATAGGCCTTTTTGGGTGGCCAATTTTGTCCGGATCAGGCATCATTCCTTTGGGAGAATAATCGGGGGTCCTCATACAACTCAGACATGGGCCCGGCGCTTCTACGCCGATTCGTCTGAGGCCGGTCCGGTTTCCATACCTCCGAGGAGGTTGATAGGTCTCTTCGCGACGTCTATGCGTGTTTGCGCTTCCAGGACTTCACGCTTTATCACCCGTCGGCGTGAATGCAAAGAAGAAAAAGGCATCCTTGAATTATCATTCCCTCCATAAATATATGACATAATATAAGCAGTGCGATTCGTTGTCGGTGATACAGCAGAGAACAGTTCGGAAAACGAGAGTGCGAAAGCGGAACCGCACAAAGCAGTCCCGAGGTATAAGGGGTCAAACGGAAACAAACATGGTGCAGGGCGTGAGGTTGATCTCTGTGCGTGTGTCAGAGGGCGGGACCGGGCGCTAGTGGTCTCGCGGGGGCACGGGGGCCTTTTGCCGTACAGTCATAAGACCTAGATGAGCGACTGGAAGGACATGACCTCGTCGTAAAGGAGCTTCTTGAGCTCGTCCTTGTTCAGCTCTTGGTCTGCGATCGCGATTGGGCGGAGATGGAGGATGCGGTTACGTGAGGTGAGCATGGGGCTGTCCGATCGCGGAAGATCGGGGGCTGCTTACAGTCGAACTCGAAGTACTCGGGGTCGAGCGAGGGCACGGCCGGCTCGTCTTCGGGGTCGTGCTGCAGGTGGCGTTACGTGTCCGGCGTCGTGTTGCGAGCGTTTGGGCGATCACGAGGTGCGGGACGAGGAGAGAGGCGACCGGTTCAGTCCCATGGAGGTGATCGCGAGACAGCGAGCGCGACGGGAGATCACACATGCGGTAGAGCGGCATTGTAAGACCCAAGGATCGCAACAAGGGGATGATGCAAAGACGGACGAAGACTTACGTATGCAGAGAGGTATGGGTGGTCGAGCGCTTGGTCGACCGTGAGCCTCTTCTTCGGGTCGAACGTCTGAGCGAGGGGGAGAGAGGCGCGTTAGCGACGGGCTTGAACGGGCATATCAAAACCCAGCAAGAGAGGCGCGAGCGCGGGTGACGGAATGTGTATCTCGCTGTATAGCGCATGTCGGTGCGGTCATCTTGACGAACTCCAAGAGCAAGATGTAGATGCATCAATGGTGAAATGGACAACGCGACGCTCAGCGAGTACGGCCGCAGTTGCGCGGATGAGAGATGAGCTCGCGACGCGATGCACAGGAGCAAACAGCAGCTAGTTTGCCCATCGCACATCAAACAATATGCCACAGCCGCCAGGCGGGGCTTGCCGCGCTCCTCACAAACAAGGACGCGAAACGGGAACAAGGCGTGCGCACTCACCAGCGTCTTCTGCAAAAAGTCGATCGCCTCCGGCGACGCCTTCGGGAACAGCGCGGTGAACGGGCGGCGCTTGCGGATGGGCAGCGCGCGGATGTAGTCGCGCGAGCGGCGGGACGTGATCCCGTAGAACTCCTCGAGCGTCGGCGTCCCGATCACGTCGAGGATGAGGTCGAGCTGGTGGCCGTAGTCGCGCCCGGGGAAGAGCGGGCGGCCGTTGAGGAGTTCGGCGAGGATGCAGCCGACGGCCCAGACGTCGATCGCCTTCGTGTACATCTTGAAGGAGAGCATGATCTCCGGCGCGCGGTACCAGCGCGTCGCGACGTACTCGGTCATGAGCCCGGCCTCCTTACCGCCGGGGCTCGTCGAGCGCGTGGAGCGCGCGAGGCCGAAGTCGCACACCTTGAGGTCGCAGTTCGCGTTCAGGAGGAGGTTCGCGGGCTTGAGGTCGCGGTGGACGATGTCGGCGCTGTGCATCGTCTTGAGCGCGCGGAGCGTCTGGTAGACGAAGTACTGTTGTTCGTGAGGTGCGCGGAGGCCGTCCCGATCAGGGTAGATGCAGGATCAAGTACGACAGGACCGCAGTATCGCGGATCGCGTGTCGGGATATGAGACATCAGAGAAGCGCGGGCGCGGGCGCGGAGAGGGAGTGCAGCGGAAGAGAGGGAATCAGTGAGCGGGCGGTGTGTGCGGAGACGATGGGATGCTCTGACGCACCTGACAGTGATCATCTGTCAACTGCTGGGTGCGGATGACGCGGTGGAGGTCGGTCTGCATGAGTTCCTGGATGACTGCATGGGAGACGGGCGGCGAGGTGAGCACGATCGCAAGGAGGCGATGTATCATCGGGAAGGGAATGCGCGTACAGTAGATTTCCTTGAACTCATCGTAAGACGCGGGCTTGACGATGTCGAGGATTGATATGATCTGCGGGAGAAGATTACGACTAGTCGGCAGATCGGCAACCCACGACAGAACGCACGTTCTCGTTGACACATGAGTCGGAGAAGAACTTGAGCAGCTTGAGCTCACGGAGCGTGCGGAGACAGAACAGGGTGTGCTCGAAGGGCAGGACTTTCTTGATAGCGACCTCTCTGTTGGAGGGCTTGTGCAGAGCAGCGACGACGGTACCATAGGCACCTTCACCGAGGCCGTGGAGGATCTTGTAGTTGTCACCTGAACAGGGCGATCCAAGTTAGAGAGATGTGAATGATATGCGTGTGGCTTGGATGACAGCAGGCATTCTATGTGATTTGGATGACATACCGACGTGGAAGGGAGGGATGGGCTTCTGGGCCTTGCGAGACATTATGAGAGAGGTAAAGGGGTAAGAGAGAAAGAGGTGAAGTAAAGTACTTGAGGGAAGAAGGAGGGAATATCAAAGAGCGTACTACAGACGGTGAGAAGAAGAATATGGGCGCAAGTCAGCAGGGCAGGGGCGCATAAGTAGGAAGAGACAATGGCGGCAGTCGGTATGCCGCGCTGTTGGATATGGGCAGTCTGATGCGAATCAGCGAGTGGGACATGATGGATTGCGACCATGGTGTGATGTGAGGGCAACCGTATTGTTGGAATACCAAAGGCTATGAATACGGCTGGGGAGATCCATATACGCGTACAAGATAAAAGGAAGATTGTATTGCAGTGAAATAGACGGTACATGGGATGCGAAGAGCTGAGAGGACTACGAGGAGAGACTACCACATTGCGTGAGATGGCGAAGTGAGCTGGGGGTGGACGTAGCGGAGAGCAGAGCCTCAAACCCGATCTGTCGAAACACAGGGACTTGATTCGTTCCTTGCCGGCGTCCGCTCCACGCGAGCCTGCAGATCACTTTCGGATCAACCCGAGGCACCCGACAGTTCGTGCTCCTCCGCCTTGATATGTATGTACTGCGTCTGATTGACGATAGAGCGGCCATTGCGGTTGCGGGCTGTCCAACTAAATCAGCAGTGCTCTCTGCGCGCTGCGACCGTCGGACGCAGCCTTGGGGCGGGAGCTTCGTGCCGGCATTGGCTGCGCAAATAGCGCATATGGAGCACTGCACTCTTGGAATCATACTCAACGCCCGCTTTTCTCTTGGCACCTCGTTTTGAAGAATGACACCGCCCGACATGCCCCCTTCGTCCATAGTTGTACGCTCTCCCCTATCTCCTTCGGCGCTGTCGGCGACACCGGCAATCCGGTAACCACGCTGTCGGGAATCCCGGTCAGTCCTGCTACAGACGGTTAACCTGCTGTCAATTCATACTGGACGTCCTTGCCAGATCCACACCGCCTTACGGAAAGTGTGAGACACAACCTCGCTGCAGCACAATGCTCTCGCCTGCATTCTGGCCGAGCGTGATTGTCCCTGCAACAGACAACCTGTTGTGAACACGATAGAGAGGAACAAAAGCGAGGTGAGCCAGGATAGACCCATGCGGGGCGAGCGTTGTATTTGCGCGGCCAATGGCAGGCGGGGTTCCTGGCCATCTGCATTTCTGATCGAGGATGTCTATTGTCGCCGCGTCTGTCCATTTCCCTGCTCACAACCATGCTCGACATGTCTACCACTCCCTCGGGTCCCCCAATGTCTCCGCTCACAAAACCCACAGCCTGCTTGCCTTCGGGTCTCTCCCCAAGACCCTCACTGCCCCGTCCTTGTCTCCCTTCTTATATCGGTTTTCTTCTGGCTGAGCTAGACGTCCCTCGTTCACTTTTCATTCTTCAGCTCAACTCTGGCAGCCATGTTCTTCTCAGCAGTAGCTTTCAGCCTCGCCGCCCTTGTCTCTTCCGTCGCCGCGAAGACCATTGAGGTCCAGGTCGGCTCCGCCAACGGCGACCTTACTTACAGCCCCGAGGCAGTCGTAAGTCTTCTCTTTCCGACATTCGCTACTCTGCCTCGTACTCACTGTATTTGCCCAGTTCGCCGATGTTGGTGACCAAGTCGTCTTCACGTTCCACCAAAAGAACCACACTGCGACCCAGTCGTCGCTTGCCGCTCCCTGTTCGCTCGTAGACGGTGGCCAGGACTCTGGATTGTACGTTCGCATGTCTTTTTCCCGTCTCAACAATCTCTTGAATTTATGTCCCTCCTCAGCATGCCCGTGGCCGCTAACCAGACCGACGACTTCCCTACTTGGACCATCACTGTGCAGGATGTGGGTCCACTTCCTATTCCGTCGCAGAAACACGACATTAACTAATCTTAACGATCCTTTCGCAGACCAAGCCGCTCTGGTTCTTCTGTCGTCAAGGCGAGAACACCGCAGCCTCCCACTGCGGCAAGGGCATGGTCTTCGCCGTCAACTGTGGTCAGGACGGGGCCCCCAACTCGTTCACCAACTTCAAGAACGCCGCGCTCGCCATCGGCGCCGAGCTCCAGGCGTCCGCCTCCGCCGCGTCCTCCGCCGCCCCCGCGACCTCCGCTGCGGCTGCGACGTCGATCGACTACTCGGGCTGGACGACCGCTGCGTACGGCACTGCGACGATCCCTGCTGAGCCTACTGGCTCCATTGTGACGGACACGATCACGGCCGGCTCCGCGACCTGGACGACGACGTACTCGTCGTACCCCGGCTCGCCCGACCCGACCCCGTCCTCAGCTGCCCCGAATGTGATCAAGGTCGTCGTCGGTGGTGCCAACGGCGAGCTCACGTTCTCGCCCTCGAACGTCTCCGCCTCGCCCAACGACATCATCTCGTTCGAGTTGTATGTCTATTTCATTTCACCTCACCTCGTTTCCGGTTTTTGTTGTTGCATGAGATGAGAAATTAACAACGTGTCGGTTGCCATGACAGCCACCAGAAGAACCACACCGCGACCCAGTCCTCCTTCGCGGCGCCGTGCCTCCGCCTCAAGGACGCCACCACGGGCAACGTGATCGGTCTCGACTCCGGCTTGTACGTACACCCCTTATCTCACCCTCTCACGCGGACGAACCCTGTGTGTGCTCATTGTACTCCCTTCTGCCTCATGCAGCATGCCCGTCGGCGCGAACGCGACCGAGTTCCCCACCTACAACGTCACCGTCAACGACACCGCGCCGCTCTGGTTCTACTGCCGCCAGCACGCGCCCGACGGCTCCTCGCACTGCGGCGCCGGCATGGTGTTCGCCGTCAACGCCGTCGAGGACTCGCCCCGCAACTTCACCGCGTTCAAGGCGCTCGCCGGCTCCCTCAACGGCACGAACGCGACCGGCGCGTCGTCCGGCTCCCCCAGCTCGGGCAGCGGCAACGGCGCGCCCGCGGGCGCGGCCTTCAGCGCTGCGCTCTCGCTGGGCGCGCTCGTCGCCGCCGCGGCGATCCTCCTCTAAGGGTAAGGGCTCTGCGCCTCGGTTCCCCGCTTGGTTCGATCCGAACCTGTGGAACGGACGATTTGTCTGCGCGACTCGACTGGTGACGGGACGCTGCTGCTGCTGCATGTTAGGATTATGTATGGGCGCGCTGCCTAGCTGCAGCCGATCCGCTCTCTTGCTCTCTCACCCGCCACGATGCCCATACTTCAGCCTAATACCCCGGTCTCGGCAGTCTCGATTACCTGCTGTTTTTGTTGGATTCTCTTGACGACACGGACTTGTCACGGACATGCCGAGCTTACGTTTCACGTTTCGTTGTGGTATACTGTAGCTTCTTTCGAATGGCGTGCGTGCGCGCCTTGTGCTTTTGGGTTCCGTGTAGCTTTAATGTGGGGACGAATGCTATTCTGCTCTGCGTGAAACTTTGCTGCGGCACAGTTTGCATCCTTATGGGAAGACTCGGTCCCTCGGAGATGCATACCGATTGAAAGCACACCGTGCAAGGCTGTTCCCAGATCACGTCGTCTGAGGGAACGGACAACTCAAATGAAAGCAACTGAGGGTGGAATACAAGTAATCGAGAACACAGAACACGCCCATGACAGCAAGATCAACAGCACCTCCGTATATTGCACAACGACGCCCCGCGGAACCAACGCGGACGTTACAGAGCGCAGACAGAACACCGGGAAGAAGCCCCAGATAGAGACTATGACTCCCCACCCAGGCTTTCTCTGGCCTTTTTCTCCTTCTTCAGTCGCTTCCGTTCTCGCCGCGCCTCCTCGTCCTCCTCCTCGCCGTCCTTCGCGGCCTTCTCGGCAGCCTTCTTCTCCTTTTTGAGGCGCTTGCGTTCTGCCCGCGCAGCCTCGTCCTCCTGTTCGACAGCCATCGACACGTCGCCGTCCGGGTCGGGGACCTCGGACTTCCGCTTGCGCTTCTTCTCCTTATCTTTGTCCTTGGACGGGCTGGCCTCCACCGCAGCAGGTTCAGGCTCAGGCGCGACAGGTGCAGTCTGAGCGTGAGCTGCTGACGTGCTCGCGATAGGCTGAATGGCACACAGCGTTGTTTAACCCTACTGTCCTCCATGCTAGACGGACAGACTGTGGGCACTCACCTCCCGGTTGTAGTCCACGTAGTCCTTGGTCCACTCCGCAGGCGTCTTCTCGTTCACCTCGCCGTACTTGCTGAGCTTGCCCTCCTTGATCATCTTCTTTTTCTCGACGGCCTTGGGCCCGAGGCCCCAGCGCCGGGGGTAGGTGTCGCGCTCCATGATACAGCGCTTGACCTTGGCGACGACGCCGTGGTCGCACGTCGCGAGCTCGACGGTGGACATCTGCGCGATGGCGAGCGCGATCGCCTCGCCTTTTGTGGTCATGAGCACGACCTCCTCGTTGAGCGAGATGTCCGCCTCGTAGCGGAGGAGACCGGGGATCATGAGCTTCGCGCCGTAGCAGACGGCGTTGACGGCGCTGTCTTTCACGACTATCCGCTTGTACCCTGTGAGGAGGGACTCCAGCGGGCGGATCACGCGGCGGAGGTACGACTCTGCGGCCGGCTGGGGTTAGGTCGTGCAGCCATGTCAGAAGGCACACGACACGCACCATCGCGAGTGTTGTCGTACACCCACTGGGCGTCCAAGACATCGTGCATGGTGACCATGTCGTCGTTCTCGCTCAGCGCACCACTACGTACTCTCCGAAGTTCCTGCATGTGACCACCGACACCAAGCAAGAGACCGAGATGTACGCAGAGCGTACGGATGTACGTGCCAGCTTCGCATGATACCCAGAAGACGGCGAGGTTGCGCTTTTCGTCAAACTCTAGAAGCTTTGACTCGTAGATAGTACGAATACGGAGCTGACGCTTGACTGCAGAGATAAGAGGGGGACGTTGGAAAAGTGCGCCGGTGAGGGTTTGGATTGCGCGAGGGAGAGCGGTAGGATTGGGGAGAGCAGAATGGATGCGGAGGACGGCAACGTACTCCTTTCCTGTTGAGCGCCTTCAGGGACACTTCTAGCTACCAGAGTTCGGAACTCCACATACCTGCGCCCTGCTGAGATTTGACAAGGCGGGTCGCGCGGTCAATGCAAACAATCAGACAGCCAGTGACCTTGGGGTCAAGAGTACCGCTGTGACCAGTCTTCTCCACCCGCAAGATCCTCCGCAGCCATGCAACAACTTCGTGGGACGAAGGATTTGACGGCTTGTCAAGGTTGATAACTCCAGACCTAAGAACGTGAGCGCGTAAGACACAGACATTGAGTGTACGGAAGGGCGAGAAAGTACGCACTTCACGTAGGAAGTGATGTCCCGCTTCAAGGGGCTACAACCCGCAATAATGGGGACGAAGTGCGCAGAGCGGACAAGAAGCTTGTCGTAGTTTTTCAGGAGGAGAGGCCAGTTAGACGTGTCGAGCTTGGGCTGAGAGCTTTCTGGCTTGATTGCATAGTCTCCGTCAACCTGTGCGGATGCGATTTGACCGCGAGAGAGCTTGCTGCTGGACGCCATCGTCGCAGGGAGTTTTGGAGGGACGTACTCAAGGCCCTCGCCGCCGTCGGGTCCCAAACCCGCTTCCAACTTTTAGTGTTCCCACGACTCATCTTCGGGTTAGGTTTACGGGGATAATAATTGGAATCGGCAGGCGTGAGAACGTGTCACAAGATCTTCCGCCAACATCGGAATTGTCCGAAATGTGGGAATATCACCGTTAGAACTGTACAGTTGCTTTGGTCCGCAGAGTTTCGTCGATCGTTGTGGAAAGTGTCCTCAACGCCTCAAGACCCGACGTCCACTTCCCCTCCTTCTCCCCCCCTCACGATGGTTAGTTAGATCCCAGTACTGCTTTGCTGAGTTCTCTTCTCAGTAGGCTAACTCTGGGATTTTCCTGCTCTGCTTTCTCTATGACTTTAGCCCAAGGCCGCCGCCAAGTCTGGTGCTGCTAAGCACAAGTTCGTCATCGACTACTCCCGTCCCGCTGGCGACGGTGTCTTCGACGGCGCGGCTTTTGAGAAGTTCTTGCACGACCGCATCAAGGTCGAGGGCAAGACTGGTCAGCTCGGTGAAAACGTCAAGATCCATCGCGATGGTGCGTCGAGTCTCGCTGCTTTCGTTCGACGTCACTGCTGACCCTCCGTCCCTCTCAGGTGACAAGTCGATTACTGTGACTTCGAGCATTGCTCTTTCCAAGCGGTACCTTAAGTACCTCACCAAAAAGTTCCTCAAGAAAAACTCCCTGCGTGACTGGATCCGGTAAGTATCCATTGCTATCGCTAGAGTGAACTCGACATTTACATGCGCGATCGCAGCGTTGTTGCTTCGTCTAAGGATGTCTACCAGCTCCGCTTCTACAACATCCAGGCTGGTGATGACGAGGAAGAGGAGTAAGCGCATGTAACATGACATCCTCACGCATATGTTGTAGGCTAGCATCATCATCATACTATGTCGCGCATGCTTTCCATCGCTTTCGATGCATTCTCCCTGACCAACTCAAATGCGTTCTGAGGCGAGCCAATGTCAGGATCATACAACAGACAGAACAACTACGTGATACACCTATCTCCCTATAGGGACGCAGACTGTTATGTCCGACTGTTGATAACGAGCGTAACACCATCCTGTAGCTGGGGTGGACCTTCCAGCTTGATCTTACCCAGGATGATCATGGCAATCTCATTCCAACGCACTTGCGATTCACTGAGCGGTCGCGTCCGGAATTGGGTCGACAAGATCGAGGCGAGATTGCTGCGCAAGAGCTTCAGCGCGATGCTGGCCTTGGGTGGGATACGGAAGCGGATCTTGCGATCAATGCCGACAGAATCCGCCATGAGCTGCATGATAATCAGCGTAGAGCTCATGGAAGAAAAATATGGTGACTCACTTTGAATTCCGCATCTCCACACAGCAACAAGAGGGCCATGTCTTCAACGGGGCAGGTTTCCCAAGCGTACAGCTTCTTTGAATGCCTGTCCAAGTAATGATAAGCAGGGTTGCTTGCGGAGCCGCCAAGATGAAAGCTCACATCAACGTGAAGTAGCATAAGTGATTCACGCCGAATTCTGGTAGACGTCTTCTGAAGTTAACGGACGAGGGATGGAACGAGGCGGGCTGGTTGTTCGTGATCGTCCTCATTTCGCCTTTCGACGGATCGACGGCGAGGATCTTGGGATAGAGTCCGGCGGCGAGGGCGGCGTGAACAATAGCTGCATTGCCGGAGTTGACGTCGAGGTCCGGAGGGACCATCACGAAGCGCGTCTTGCCTCGGTTGTAACGTGCCCTGCTCAGCTCCTTGATGAACGCGCGGTCGACATGGATGAACGATGAGTCGACAAGGTAGCTGAGGAACTGTGTCCGCAGCTCCTCGATCTGCTGCAGGTTCTGGTGGCTGAGATAGTTTGTCTTGCAGAACTTGCGCGCGATGCCGTTGCCACTGGCACGGCGCCAGCTGGCGAACGCGTTATGGAGGGTGAGGAAGTCAGAGTTCTCTGTGGCTTCGTGAGCAACCATGTAAGGAGTCGTGTTTCGCAGCTTCACGCACCGGTCCGGAATGAGAGCTTCGCCCTCTCAGCCTCTGCCTCTAGGCCAAGAGGGGTCAGGAATGGGGATTTGGAGTTAAGGGTAGCGGCGATGGTGAGAGCAGGATCTAAACAGCGGAATAACGTTGCGATGAGCAGGAACTTCCCCAGATGTACGTCGGTTGGAAGTTGGCTGAGTAACCGTCCCATGGGCGTGATCTCCTCAGTTGCGGTTAGGGCGCGGACCTCGACCAGGGCGGACACGGCTCGTTGGACGTTGATACCAAGCGGAGGATCTAGAGCGCGAGAGAGAACGTCTTCAATGGATGTGCCCAAGTTCACTTTCATTATCTTGATGCGCAATGCAAGATCACTCAAACTAAGACGCATAATCTCCGGGTCGGGGTGGCCGGCCATCTAGAGCGATGTTGTCAGCCGGCATTCAGACAACAACAATACTCAATCCATAACATACCTTCGTATCATGGCGTGCCTTGGTAAAGAGGTGGAAGCACAGCCCACTCTGCACACGACCCGCACGACCCCTTCGCTGAGCAGCATTGCTTTTCGCTATGAACGTCTCGACAAGCCGGCTTATCTGTCGCTTCTCGTCAAATCGCATCTCGCGATGCTTTCCGGTGTCAATGACGCAGGTAATATCAGGGATCGTGATACCCGTTTCGGCGATATTAGTTGCTACACGAACCGGAGGGGCGATCAACATTACATACCACATAATGTAGGTTGATACGCACCGATTACAATCTTTCGCACACCTGGTGGAGGGATGTCGAACACTGCTCCCTGCTGTTCGCTTGAAATCGTCGAATGTAAAGGATATATGCGGAATTGATCCTCAGCACTGAAGACCCGATGCTCCATCAACATGTCATTCAACCTCCGGATCTCGCCCATTCCAGGCATGAATATCAGGATGGCGGAAGAATAACTGGCATAGGACGAGTCCTCGAAGCATACCCGCTCAAGAAGTCGGATGATGAGGTCGTAGGGAATGAGGCGCTCATCCAAGAGATTGACGGTGGATATAGTCTCAGGAGAATAGCGCTTTTCCAGGGTGACACTCTCCTGGGGACCAGTGTCGTCGTCATCCTCGCCAGCTGCAGTGTCTTCCGTCCAGTCGAGGCGGGCCTTGTTACGATAGAACTTGTCCCTACCCCTACGGGCATACGGCGAACCATCGACGACCTTCCAGCCTGTAAACTCGACGGCATCTTCCAGGAACCGGACATCGACTGGGAAGGTACGTCCAGGGACCGACAAGACTGGACAGCCCCCAAAATAGGCTGAGATCTTCTCTGCCTCGAGCGTTGCTGACATAAGGATAATCCTACAGGTACAAAAATGAGCAAGGAAGTTCCCAGAGTATATGGTATGCTTACTTCAGGTCAGGTCGCTGCAGTAACAACGACTTCAAAACAATCAAGAGAAAATCGGATTCAATGGTACGTTCATGGACCTCGTCGATAATGATGTGCTTGTGGATTGTTAGACCCGTCCTTCAGGTTAGGGTAGCGCGCATACCGTGATCTCATCGAACGCCGTACCCTGTCCGCCCTGGCCAGATCCTCCTTCCAACATACGCAGGGCAATACCGTTTGTCACGTAGGCGAGGCGAGTACGGCGGTTGATGTTGCTTTCAAGTCGGATAGCGTAACCAACCAAGGAGTTGCCAGTACCAACGGCCCCAGCAGGCTCGCCAAGCTCGCGGGACACGCGTTGGGCAAGAGAGATGGCAGAAATACGCCTGGGTTCAGTACAGTATATCCTGCAGTGGCGTCCCTTCAGAAGCTGATCCTCCAAAATGAAGGCAGGGACCTGTGTGGATTTACCACTACCTCGTGAGGTCAGCTATGACCAAAACATGTCACAACTTAGGCCCATACCATCCAGTTTCACCACTTAGCACAAGAATTTGGGACATCTCCAATAGAGAGAGAAGATCCTGCTTATAGTGAGCCATTGGAAGTTGGTTGCGTTGCTTCTACACACGGGAGGTGTTACGGTGTCACGATCTTGGACGACAGTCAATGGATGGGACTTACGAGCATTTCCTGGTATGCAGGACTGGCCTGTCGTGCCTGGAAGTCGGCGATGATCTGCTCTGGCGGAACTTCGTTACTGTGGTCGCGATAGTGGACATGCCCAAAGTCCTTCGACTCCGCTACAATCTTCGACGGACGGCTACCCATCTGAAATGGGTCAAGAGAGAAATTGATGTTAGCAAGACTACCAAGTGGTTTATGATAGCTTACCTTCTCTAGAGGCACAAGCTTGGTGTCCAGGATACTGCGCATTTTCGCCCAGATAGCCCGATTTGTAGTGTCGTCATCTAGACGACGCTTCTGCTCCAGCTCGTCCCACAGATCCCGGAACACCGGAGGTAACAAACGGAACGAAGTTTGGCTACCAGCAGCCCCAGTTCCACCAATCGCGAAGCCTCCAGAATTTGAGAATGTCAAGGCGTGCAGCGCGACGGTTGCGATGTACTGCTCGGCTTGCGTCATGTCATGGCAAGCGACATCGTCCATTGTCCATTCTTGCGTCTTGCCACCATCCCACCGGACGTCAACCGACGCCCGTTTGGCACGACTAGAACCAGATGTACAACCGTATGAGATCACCGCGTACTTGTCCGCCTTGCGGACAGTCTCCTGTAGCAGGAGCTTCGGCGTGCGACCTGACCAATGCTTAGGCAATGCCATATCTCGGACCTGGATGGTCACACCGCTGTCTGTCGTCTCCGTCTCCGGCATCGACTCCAAGAGCTCGAACATACCCCCTGGTGCCTCGTCGTCGTCATCAAAAACATCTGATGCAGAGACAGAGCTCTCAGCGCGAGACGGCGGCTCCTTGATCCTCGCTAGGGCACGCGAAGGCTTCGGCGAAGTTGAATTACCCAATCCGCGTAGCTTCGCCTGCAACGCAGAGGCCTCCACTTTGCTACGCTCCTGCTTGAAGAGCGCCTGCGCCTCTTTTTCGTCGAATAAGTAGTTGGCCTCGACCTCTTTCAGCCGACGCTGGAGTTCCAGCAGGAAAGTCGCATCCGCCTTCTCATCGGGGCGCCGGTAGGTCGTAAGGTCCAGGATCTTGAGCTTGAGTCGCACAAATTCGCTGTTTGGGTCATCGACAGGAGACCAACGGAGGGACTCTGGTGTACTGTCCGACAGTGCGACGACAGAGCTGGGGGTAGAGGCACCGTCCGCCGCTTCAGAGGCCGTTTGAACGTGTCGAGTAGTTGTGTCGAACAGCGTGCGCCCAGGAATGAAGGCGGGGGCGTTAACATCGAGTGCAGAGTGTGTACTGGGGCTGGGAGGAGTCGACCTCGAGGAAAGCGAGCCTGTGTCAGACCGAAGATGAGTGGGGCGGAAGGTACGAGGTGTCTTGGGAGTTATGGGAGTCTTGGGTACGTCAATCATTTCTGGCTGAACTCCCAGCTCCTCCTCCGAGCAGTGTAGATGCAGCTGTTTGTCATATATTGGAAGTCCGTTCTCAGAACTGAAACATAATACATACCCATTCAAAGGCTTCGTCTATGTCCACCCCACCGATTGCACGCAGGCACTCTTCCACTCGGGTGTCAGAGAACCCAAGACGTCTGAGCACGCCGTAAGTGATGGCCAACCGAACGATGACCTTCTCCTCGGGCTCGTCGATCGATCTGGAGGCTATGAGTTGTGTTAGGTCACATCCAAGCAAAAAAGGCTACATGCGACATACCTTCTGTATTCTCGTACTCCAATGCTAGATCCAGAATGCGACTAACAATGGCAGGATCAAGGTCCAGACGCGAAAGGGTGTCCGAGAAGCGACGCTCCTGATCTATCGTCTGATGCATGCATTAGCACAGAAAACACCCACGCAGATGGGCTGCTTACCTTGACTGTCCTAGCAATCTCCTTCTCCACCTTGTCCTGGAACTTGTCGATATACTTCTGCAAGACCTGATCGGCGGCGCTGATTATAGACTCCGCTGCCTTCGTAGCTTGTCCAGCGATGGTGGAGTCGACCCGTTGCCCGTCTGGCGACGTTACGGCATCCTCCTTGGGGTCAGGTGTTTCTGGCTCCTTCGGGGGTTCCACTACTTTCTTCGGAACCGACGTTGTCGCAAAACCGCGAGCGACCAGTTTTAATTGAGTTTTCTTCTTTTTTGGTGCCATCGCGGCAGGCGACGGACGAAGGCGCGAAAAGCCCAAAGACTCTCCAGATGTTTCCGCAGAAGCACCAGATGTTGACTATAGAATAAGCGTTATACTGGAGGAATGCTCTGAGGACTGGCCAGGAGTACCAGTGCAAGAAGTGCCCGACAGGGACCAGATGATTTATGATGAATTCTCTAGACACAAGCGCTAATTGTAGGCGAGCTGCTCGTGCAGATAAATAGTGAAAGTTGCTGGCGTTGAAGAGTCATGTAGACCGTCGAGCTGGTGGATAGAGAGCCGTTCTGCCTTTGTGGCCTGCCTCTCCTCCCACCAAAATCCGATCGCGGATCTCGCATAGATCTCACTAGCCGCCCTGTGATCGCGCCTACTGGCTGACGTAATATTATCCATAAGAGCTTTTGTCACTGTGGTTGCAGAGGCTGAATGCCTGCGGTATCATCGAAACAAGACGAGGGAATGACACATGCATCTGCATGAAATATACAAGAGTACAACTCATAAGATGCCATAATGTACGAGTACAGATCAAACGTGCTGGTCTAGGTAAGAGACTTGAGTACAGTACTAGCGACGAGAGCAGGGGGTTAGAACGACAAACATACATTACCCGTAAGTGACTCCACACGACATGCGAGAAAATTTATAATAGCTAGAGAAAGTTCCAATGATGTGGTGTGAGCAATGGTTCATGATGCCATGTCCACAGCAGCCGTATCCGTCTTGCGACCCCGTCCGCGCCCCCGTCCACGAGGTGTAGACTCGCCACCTGCACCCCGTCCTCGGCCTCGGCCACGTCCACGTCCACGGCCCCGCTTTGTAGCCGGGACAGGCGTTTCAGCAGGCATGGCATCTTCGTCTCCATCGGCATTCGCCCCACTGAGCCCCGCCTGCGCTGCTGACGGCCCGCCGAAGAACTCGTCGCCTTCCTCGTTCCACAGGTCGATTGCAGCATCACCAGCCGGCCGCTTGCCACCTGCTTTTGCAGAGGCATCGCCGGCGTTCGCATCGAGATTCACCAGCTGATCTTCGTTGAGCAGCAGCTGGACGATCTCGCTGGGCTTCGCGACATCAGTGAAGGTCTTATTCCCGACGACAATGTCTTGGACCTGTAAGACTGGTCAGACGAAGTCCAATATATATATGACAGGCAATACGCACATCTTTCTTCACTCTCGCCAGCTGCACGATGCGCTCGTCAATCGTGCCCTTGGTGATCAATCGGTATACCGTGACCTGACGCGTCTGGCCCAGACGGTGTGCACGGTCCATAGCCTGTGCGTCATTGGACGGGTTCCAGTCGTGGTCATAGAAAATGACGGTATCTGCGGCGGTCAGGTTGATACCCAAACCACCGGCGCGAGTACTCAGGATGAATATGAAGATGTCCGGCCTGACTTCCGCATCAGGATAACCGTAGATAGAACTGAGAACAAAGACAGCTCACCGCGTCTGCCACTCCATGACCATATCGCGACGATCCTCGAGCTTCGAAGAGCCATCAAGGCGCAGGTACTTGTACTGGCGGTGGATGAGGTACTCTTCCATGAGGTCCATCATCCTCGTCATTTGGAAGTAGATGAGGCAACGATGATCACCGGCCTTCAACTCTTGCAAGAGAGCGTCTAGCCGAGCAAGCTTCCCGGAGTCGTAGATGAGGCGCTTCGCCTCGGGGACTTGCATTGTGGATAACGGAAGTTGGTCTCGGGGAGAGTTGCCGAAGAGCCCAGAGACCGGGATGTCGCCGACCTCGCGCTTGAAAGTCTCGCAGGCAGGCTCATAGTCCCACATATATCGAGGCAACCCATAAAGGGCGAGCGTCTCTTTTGGAGCCTCAATGATCTGAGCTTGCTTCTCCACAAAGGTGCGATCGGCACTGTAGACGGTGATGGGAGGCGCAACCACGGGAGGAATGAACCATTTTAGTTCCGCTCGCGATAGGCACGAAGTGGCCCATCTTGTCGAGGAGATCTCACGCAGACTGGGAAGGTCCGCTCCAGCACGAAGGTTGCGAACACGGTCAAGGGGAGAGATGTCGAAAGGTCTGGCGGCCGCGTGTGCCGCGAAAGTAGGGTCCCTGAGAATCGGGTCATTATGACTTTCTTGAATGACGATACAATTGTCACATACTCCTTGAAGGGCTCAAACTCTATGCTGCCGCGCTCGAGCTGCAGCAGTCGGATCTGCCGTGCCATGGTGGATGACCAAAGATAGTCGTTAACCTCGCTCGGGGCAAGGTCGATGAACTTCAGGAATGAGAACGCAGAGCGAGCTAAGGGACTTGTTGTGAGTGCTTTCACGAGGATATATATATATATTGCCAAATTAACTCACCATCTTCGTTGAGAGAACGGTAGACCGACCCTGTCGACCATATGTTCATCATCCTGGCCAGAGGACCGTCACCTGTGCGCATTAGCGTATCCTCCTGCGGTATATCCAGTAGGCCACCATTTTCGAGGAACAGCCGGGGTATCGTGTATTCGATCGGATTGCGAATCGAGTACGGGAGCTGAACAAAATCGCCTTCGCGGTTGAGAGGACCGGAGCGACCGAAGTCGGAGAACGAGAAAGGAGCAACAACGTCGGCGCGCTCGAACAGCTCAGGATGGTTACAAACCTTCCGGAACTGCATCACAAGGTTCATGAGCGAACGCGCCGAGTCAGCGTCACCCATATTAGCCGCTTTCTCGAGCAGGTCTTGAACGGAGACGTTTGCCAGTAGAGCCTTGTACAAACTTCGCTGGCGCGCGCTTAGCTCCACATAGATATCCTTCTCGATCTGCAGGCCGGTAAATCAGCACTTCCGTACGGCTTCTACAACGGATACAGACGTGCCTTGTCGCTCAGTTCGTTCTGCACGTGTCGCTTGACGCGACGCAACATGAACGGCTTCAAGATCATGTGGAGACGACGAAGCTGGTGCTCATTCAGCTTGCTACCCTTGTTCTCAGCCGCATTCTCAATATCTTTCGAGAACCACTCGTTGAACTCGTCGTGAGAGTCGAACAAGCTCGGCATGATAAAGTGGAGCAAAGCCCACAATTCTACAATAAGGTTAGGAAAGACTGCATGCATGTGTGCGGTAGGGCCCAAGCAGCTCACCCTGCATCGAGTTCTGGATCGGAGTACCGGTAAGGAGGAGGCGATTCCTACAGTGGAAGCCAAGCAATGTCTTCCAACGCGCACTGGAGGAATTCTTGATGTTCTGCGCCTCGTCAAGGATCATGTACTGCCACTTCACGCGCTGGAAGTACTGCTGGTCTTGGAGAACCTATCGGAGGGTTACTTTATGCTTCAGCCGAACATTGCCTGTCCAAACTCACGAGTTGGTAAGAGGTTATCAGGACATGAAAGGGTGCGTCCTGATCGTAGCTGATTTCCTTCTTACTCCAGAACTTACGCAGAGTGGCACGATCCTTCGGGTTACCCCAGTATGGAAGCGCCTTCAGCTTGGGCACGAAACGAGTAATCTCTTGCTGCCAATTGTGCAGGGTCGAAGCGGGTGAGACGACCAGGAACGGTCCCCAGATGTCGTGTGTCTCCGCGAGGTAAGCGAGGAGCGATATTGATTGTACCGTCTGCAACCTCAAGTTAGTCATAGCGCCAGCAAGCTACAGAAGCATGACCAACCTTTCCGAGACCCATCTCGTCTGCAAGAATACCGTTGATACCCTGCTCGTAGAGCGTGGCAAGCCAGTTCAAACCCTTGAGCTGATACTCCTTCAGCGTAGCCATGAGCATCTTCGGCTGAGCGATGGTGAGCTCGCCAGTGAGCGACGTAGGGTTTTGGAAGTTCAACTCATCCGAGTCGACTAGAAGCAGGTTAGCGAGCATCATTTTTGATCAGTCCAAAGATACGCACGATCAACAAGAGGAGTGCCCGAACCACCAGGGGTCTCCACATCCTCGTCCGCTCGGATGTGGGCCTGGCGTTTCGCGAGCTTAAGAGCCTCGTTCGTCTTGCGCACCAGTGCAGCTTGAGTGTCGAAATCCTGGGCACGCCGCTTGGCAAGCACGATGGCGTTTTGGGCGTTATTACGAGCATGCCGCTGCATGTTCGTCTCGTCCTCTGCATATCGAATTCAGCTACATCGTTTCCTGCTCACCGGAATGGAACCCACCATCGTCGAAGTCGATATCTTGCAGCTTGTCGAGACCGACATCCGCTAGATCGGCACCGGCGGGAGCCTGAGTGGCTGCCTCTTCACCCTCGAGTTCAGCAGCTACCCATAGTGATCAATCAATGTATTTGTAGAGTTCCCAAAGCACCACTCACTCTTGAGCTTGTTCCCGACGAAGTGGCTATATAGCTCCGTCTGGCTGATAAGGAACTCGAGTTTCCTGGCTTGCCGCGCCGCTTCGCGCTTCTCCTCCTCGACCCGGGCACGGTCGATGGCCTCCTTCTGCTCACGCTTGCGGACGTCTCGTTCTTCCTTCTCATTCCTCTTCCAAAAGACGAGCATCTCGCGCATGAGGCGCTTGGCCTTTGCCTGCGTGTCCTTGGTCGCCTTGGCCGTCTTCTGAAATGGCCGACGAGCCTGAATAGATGATAGCGTCGCGAGTCGGCTCATCTGAGCGCGGCGGATCTGGTAGCCTGTGACGTGGTATTTGTACACCTGGAGTGCAGGATTATGATGAGTATGAAGAACGCGGTTCTTACTGAAATGCACACCTTTGCAACATCGCGCCGTGCGATGTTCTGCCAGACCTTGCGCTGAGCATCTTCCAGGTTCTTGACACGCTTGATCATCGCGGCGTCGTCCACCTTCCTCGCCCGCTTAAGGGCAGGAATGGCTTCATCAAGCTCGTACATCGTAGCTGACATGTTCGTAAGCGTAGGTGAGGGCGGACGTGAACCCGCCGGCGTGACGTCGCCCGACACAGAGGGCGCGTTGGAGCCGATACCAAGCAGCTCTTGCGTCGCAGGAGGAAGGTTGTCAAGCTTCTTCCTAGGACCAGGCTTCTTGCGACCTTTCGGCGTCGCTGTCGTACTGTCCACGCTCTGCTCACGCTGCTTGCCCTTGCCCCTCCCCTTCGCATTGCTGAGGAGTTTGTTCGCAGGAGACGCGCCCATAGATATCGGCTCGTCGATGATGGACCGCTGGTCGTCTGCGCCATCCGCACCGTCCTTCTCAACACGTCTCCTCTTGTGAGGAGGGCGCATAGCGCTGATGGGAATGTCGACATCGCTGTCGCTCTCGGAGCCTGCAGGAGGAGCACGTTTGGGTGCTTCCTTGCCTTTCCCCTTGCGCCGGCTGGAGGAAATTGTTTCGTCGACATCCCGCGCGCCATCGTCGCCCACGAAGGAGTGGCCGTCGGAGGGGCCAAAATCGGGGAGCCCAACATCGTACACGCTCGATGATGGGGATGGAGGAGCGCGCATTCTCATCATCATGTCTTCGTCAATAGGCGGCGGAGGTGGGAGTGGGGCAGGAGGAAGTGGTATTCGTGCAAGCCTGTCCCGGTACATGTGGGACATTCGATATGCGGTGATCGAGTCGCGCTCCTAATGGGAGAATGAGGACACAGATGACTGACATGAGCTTCTTCTGCTTACAATGATCCAACGCGAAAACCAGGCGTCGACTTGCTTTTGTCGCTTGTGAGTTTCGATGATATAGTTGCCCAAGTCGGACCACCACAACTCCGGACAATCCTCGAGGTCGGACGATGGCCTCACTTCTTCTTCAGCAGACTCAACAACCTCCTCCACTGGTGTGTCGTCCACGCTCTCCGCGGGCGTTGCATTTCTGTGTTGCTGACGCGTGCGCGGTGTCCGACGCAATTGCTGGAGTTTGGACAATGTAACTCAATCGCACGCGACGCGTCAAGGATGCAGGATGCTACACTCACCCGCTTCTGACCCGGTGGATGATAGTCCTCGTCATCGTCAGGCAACTTCCTCTTCCTCAACACTCTCCCATTACTCTCCACCGGTGCCGAGTCCTCCTTCTGCCTACCACCGACAGGCGTTCCGTTCGATATACGTGGTGACGGAGTCGCGCTCTCTTCTTGTTCGGCGTAATACGAGCTGCTCGGCCCAGATGGGACGTCATCACCTGGCAGCCTATCGCCATTACGATGTTCGAACCCCGCGGGACTTTGATATGAACTGGCAGTCTCGAGCCGGTAGGAGTACTCGCGTCCTGCAGGCGCCTGTTCGACGTCGTACCCGGCTGAGCGTTGACGGACCTCGCGTTGGTGCTGTGGTGTGGGCGACAGCGGCGCGACAGGCGCAACAGGTTGGGGTGCTACGACCATGGTTGGGCCGCCGTTGGTCGCAGGTGGCTGAGGGCCGACACCCGGGGAGCGAGGCGGAGGATCATCGTTGAGGATATGTTTGAGCGACATTGTCGGGCGGAGGGATGAGAGCAAGGGAGTGTGCAGAGATGGGAGCCAATAAATAGGTTTGCTTCCGTGGATTGCTGGACAGCCTGCGAAGCGCCCAGGGATGACACACTCCAGACAACAAGCCAAGAAGGGCCCGTGGAGGAGTTGTCGAATCGGGTGGAATGCAGACGCAGCGGCGGGGGTGTCGTCGGTGTCGGTGCGCGGGCGGGGGCGCTGTGGTTGTCGACGTGGGCGATGGGAAGAAGAAAGCAGGCGGAATGATGTGGGGCTGGGCCCGAAGAGCGACGGCTTAGCCGCAATTTGCCCAGCGAGCGAGTCTCATAGGATTCGTGTTGCTACAAATATGTTGATTTCCCTTTTCGGACTGCCCATTGCCGCTCCTTCTCTTCCCCCACCGTGTCACAGCCCCCTGTCACACCCCGACACTGGGTCCGTGCGCGACATCTGTCGCTTACCCTCCAATACAATCCAAGCGTACATGGCATTCCAACCAAGAAGCGCAGCAGGCTCTACTATGACCGTGTGCTAAACCCCCGAGATCCCCCCTGACAATGGTGCCAACTCGTCCCACCCGTAGTAATGTCATTGTCACATCACACACATCCGACATGACCAAACGTGATATACCGCCGCGCCTCGAACTCACGCCTCATCTGGGTGAAGCATCAGCTCTGGACGGACCTTCTCGTCGAACTCCTCGGGAGTCAAGAAGCCCAGAGAGACAGTCGCCTCCTTCAACGTGGTGCCCTCCTTGTGCGCCTTCTTCGCACACTTCGCAACATCTGCACAAAACAAACAATGAGGTCCCTTTGTCGCTAACAAATAACGTTTGATACGCACTGTCGTATCCGAGATGGCTGTTGAGAATCGTCGCCAACATGAGCGACTCGTGAAGAAGGGTGTTGATACGCTTCTCGTTAGCCTGGATACCGACCACGCAGTTCTTCGTGAACGAACGCGAAGCTAGTGGCACGTTTAAGGGATTTCTGCCTATCCAGATGCAACGCTATCTTACCATCCGCGAGCAAACGAATGCTCTGTAGAACATTCTTGATGATGACCGGCTTGAAAACGTTGAGCTGAAACATACACGTCAGACCACTATCTTCCGGGACCTTTCCACCTTGTGGCACTCTGCCTCACCTCAAACTGGCCGTTCGAGCCGGCGATGCTGACCACAGTGTGGTTCCCGATGACCTGGGCGGCAACCATGGTCATAGCCTCGCACTGCGTGGGGTTCACCTTGCCAGGCATAATACTGCTACCTGGCTCGTTCTCGGGGAGCTGGAGCTCACCCAGACCGCAGCGAGGGCCGGAACCCAGGTACCGGATATCATTGGCGATCTTCATCAAGGAAACCGCCACTGTGTTGAGCGCGCCGTGTGCTTCAACAAGCGCATCGTGCGATGCGAGTGCCTCGAACTGCGAAAGCGTTGGTGTGAGATGGGATCTGGAGTCTTCGGCACGGGGTTTGCGGACTTTACCTTATTAGGCGCAGTCTTGAACTCGAGTCCGGTCAGCTTCGAGATCTCGGCGGCGACCTTCACGTCGAAACCTTTCTTCGTGTTCAGGCCCTATTCAACAACATTAGGGGGGTGCCGTGGTCTCCGAGGCGAGCAAGGCACTTACGGTACCAACGGCGGTACCACCCTGTGCCAGAAGACTGAGGCGAGGCAGAGTGTCCTTGACACGCTCAATGCCATTTGTCAGCTGTTGCACGTAGCCGCTGAACTCCTGGCCGAGTGTCAATGGTGTTGCGTCCTGCAGATGCGTGCGACCGATCTTGATGATGTGCTCAAATTGTTTCGCCTTGACGTCCAAGGCGTCACGGAGCTCGGTCAGAGCAGGGAGAAGAGAGCGGTGAATCTCGGTAACCGCGGCAACGTGCATAGCAGTTGGGAACCTGTATTGCTCGTCAATGTTGTCCCCTTAGACCCGCCAGCGGTGAAGACATACGTATCGTTACTGCTCTGGCTCATGTTGACGTGATCATTAGGGTGAACGGGCTTCTTCGAGCCGCGCTCACCACCAAGGATCTCAATGGCACGATTCGAGATAACCTGACAGAAGACGAATGAAAGGGATGTCGCCGGGATAGACGACAGCACATACCTCGTTTGCGTTCATGTTGCTCTGGGTACCGCTTCCGGTCTGGAAGACTACCAGCGGAAACTCATCAATTAGCTTTCCAGAGATGACCTGTGTGCAAGTGATCGGTGCAACCCCTATGTCCATAAGAAGCAGGTGCACGCACCTCATCAGCAGCCTTCTGGATGGCCTCGCCGACCTTCGGATCCAAGCCATAGCCAACGTTCACGATCGATGCCGCCTTCTTAAGCACACCGAAGGCCTTAATGAGGGGTTCGGGTAGGCGCTCTTGAGGGCCGCCGATGTCGAAGTTTTGCAAGGAACTACGAGCAAGTAACGCGATGGCTCAATGCTAGCAGAAGCCAGTGTATATGAACACATACCGCTGCGTCTGCGCCCCCCAGTAGCGTTCAGCAGGAACCTGGAGCTCACCGAAGGTGTCGCGCTCGATTCGGTATTTCCGCTCCTACATGCGGGCAGCTTTTAGGCTCCTTCATCACCAAGACATCCAGTTAGCTACACGTACCATTAGGATAGATGAAGATGAGAACAAACGCGTTGAGGGGACACGCGCGGATGGGGACTGCAGGCATAGAGGCGGACATTGCGGCGCGGGGTAAATCACATGAGCAAACAAGCATATGCGGTTTTCGAGCCTAGACTCACGAAAGTACCGCGTGCGAGGCGAAGTCCGGCCATTCTATCAAGAAATTACAGTACGGAGAAGGGGGCAGCGGGAGTGCTCTCAGAGCTCTAGGATGTGCAGGCGTGTAGGTTTGTGGGGAACAAATACGCGATAATTCGCTGGCGGAGGCGTACCACGCGCCGTCTGTTTCCGATCCATCGCCCGATTTTCTCCGTGGACGCGACGTGGTAACCTCGCCCCGATTCCGTTGAGTTTGCGATTCGTGGACTCGCGGACAGCGTCGACACCTACTTCAACACCGTGCTCAAACCGCGTTATGCCTGTAGAGGGTACTTGGAGGGTGCGTAACGCGCCTTGGGATATCACAGGAGGTCGCGGAATTTGCACGTGATATGACTAGTCGGTGTCTTTCATACCCCAGGTACACGCGCCTATGGGGTATCGCCGGCTGCAGTCGCGCATATGTACATTCACACCTCTGCCTCTTTCCCTCACCTTCTCATTACTCGTAGCACTTTCTAGCTTGGAAAGATGGCTAGCATAGCGTCCCAGGTCATCCTTCATCCGGTCACGTCTCAGTCGTTGAAGGTGCTCAGCACTACCATTGGGAGAGACAAGGTATGACCTCATACTTCACCGTGCCTATACTCTCTGTTAACATGTCGATTGCAGCTTTACCGTGCCATCCAATACTTTGCACGTTTCTTCGCATGGTCGCTCCTCGCTAGAGGCTACAAGATTCAGGCTGCGCGGTGGGACGCGCTGAAGTCCCATCTCGCCCTGGGCCGCAAGCGTAAGTGCCGATCTATCTCCAAGACGGTCTTCGAGGTGACCGTGACGTTCCGCTAGTCCTACGGCTGGGCAAGTCCCTGGAGAACGCTCAGGCGGCTCTCCGAGCCATTTCAGCCCCTGGTGAAACCGGAGAGCGTATCACTGCAATCGGAAGGCAGCTGGGCTACTTCGGGTACTTATCCCTGGACAATATCGGTTGGGTACGTGATACTATTTCGAGACTTCGAATTAACGCATTCTCAGCGAACATTCTCGCAGGCGCACTCCATCAAGTTCTACAACCTAGCTCCATCGACTGCCCAGAAGATCAACAAGCGTGCAATGCAGTTCTGGTTCACTGGGATAGTGTTCAGCATTGTTCATGGACTTCTCAAGGCTGGCCGCCTCGCGAACGAGGTCAAGCAACTTCAGGGCCAGGCATGGAGTGAGAAGAGTGCGGAAGCGGAGCGCGAGCATAAGCTTCGCAGCCTCCAGACTGCTCGCGAGGATGTGCGCTACCAGTTCATCTTGGACCTCCTTGACGTATGGATTCCCGCGACGAACATCGGTCTGGTCAACTTGAATGACGGTATTCTCGGTATCTTTGGGTGAGTAGGCTGGGTTTGAGATCATCGAAATGGTACCCGCTGACCCCTTCTGCCCAGTTTCGTTACCTCCTTGATGGCTCTGCGCCAACAATGGCTCGCTGCCGCTGGTAGGAAGTAAATGATCTCTGTTTCCGCAGTTGTCTATGCTCCTGAGTATATTAGTATCATTCATACAATAGATCGATTGCGCATATGAGACGGATCGTTGTGATGCTCCTGTCACTGGAGGTTGCGGAGGTAGTTCATTCCAAATTCGAGAGCTGAACACCGGCGGCAGGCGTCCTACCAAGTAGAGTCATAATCGAAAGGCCGCAAATGCACATCACGATGGAGTAGACGCAGCTCTCTTCTGTTCCTCTCGTAGGCGTAAATATTCTGCGCGAACGATTGCCATAGCTTCAGGTCCAGTACTTGTAGCTGACTCAGTCCGTGTTTTTGTGACCAGGGTAGCTAATGCTCACTATTGAAGCATGCAGTCCTGGACTGCCTTGTACTTTTGTCTACACTCCCATGCCACAGAGAACGTTCGTCCTTCCGCGCACTGAGCGAACTCTGTGGTAGAAAAACACGATGTCAGGTCGCATTGGGGATATCTGCAAGTTTGCCTTACCTTTTACAACGGAATCGCACTCCTTAAGGGCACTTGCCTTAGTCTGCTTGAGCAGTGTCTCCTCCTCACGGCGAGAGAGCGTGTTCATGACAAGCCAGTCGGGACCCTTCGGACACACACAGGGGGGGGAATGTAAGACGGCTCACCGCGCCGTCGCGATTGGACGTGATCGAGCGCCCGTCTGTCCGTAATGGGCATCCCGGCGGCATTGGCATTAGCCCCCACCGGACGGGCCCAACGATTCCAGCATTCCCATCCACTCTCGACCTACGTTCTTCTGTTTGTTTGGCCGCCGACATGACCAGCATGAGACTATGTGGACCCCATGTCTCCAATGTTCTGAGGTCGACCCGTGCTGTAAAGCCCCAAATTCGGTGTCTGGCCACGCCGTCCTCGTCCAAGAACAGCTTTAGTCAGACCCTCGAGGAAGGTCCCTCGCTGGACGACTTCATCGCGGACAGGGTCTCTGACCGCGTCGTGTTGGGAAATGCGAAATTGTGCGTGCCATGGTTTACACCAGGACTGAATTGAAGTTGATAGTCGGCGTTCCACCAGGCCCCGTCTACCGTCGTACCTTAAGACAAGTATACCGAAGGGTGCCTCTTTTTCCAAGATCAAGAAGGACCTTCGGGGTCTGAATCTGCATACGGTCTGCGAGGAAGCCCGGTGTCCGAACATAGGGGACTGCTGGGGCGGAAAGGAGGGTGCAACCGAAGCAGAGGGACGGAGGGCCGCGACTGCCACCATCATGGTATGCGGTGCTGAATGTGAACTCTCCTCACACACATACTCATGGAAGATTTAGCTCATGGGAGATACGTGCACACGAGGCTGCAGGTTCTGTTCCATCAAGACTTCTAGGACCCCGCCACCTTTGGACCCTCACGAGCCTGAAAATACCGCTGAAGCGATCAGTCGGTGGGGACTTGGTTACATCGTGCTGACGAGCGTTGACCGTGATGGTGAGTATCACTTCAAAGTCGGACTCGAGGAAACGCTCTTATGAGTATCTAGACCTCGCGGATGGTGGTGCTTACCACTTCGCCGAGACCATCATGAAGATAAAGCAGAAGTACGTGTCTGAAACGGCGAAACTCTTTTCTCAGCTGACGACCCCGCCGTCTTCTCAGAGCGCCGCAGATTCTGGTCGAGGCTCTGACAGGAGACTTCGCTGGAAACTTGGATCACGTTTCTGTAGTCGCGAAGTCTGGCCTCGATGTCTACGCACACAATATCGAAACTGTCGAGGCTCTTACCCCATTCGTTCGGGACCGGCGCGCTAATTTCAAGCAGAGTTTGAACGTTCTCAAGCGCGCTAAGGAAGAAGGCGTGCGTGTGACCAAGACCAGCATTATGCTTGGTGTTGGAGAGAACGAGGAGCAGGTAGTGGATGCTCTACGAGGTAAGCGCAGAGGTTGCCTCATTTGTAGGCGCTATCAACATGTGTTCTCATGCCTTGCGTTTAGAGCTACGTAAGGTGGACGTAGACGTGGTCACATTCGGCCAGTACATGCGGCCAACGAAGCGGCATATGAAGGTCGATCGGTATGTGGAGCCTGCAGAGTTTGATCGCTGGAAGCAGGTAGCAGAAGACATGGGTTTCCTGTACGTCGCGAGTGGGCCTCTCGTGCGCAGCAGTTACAAGGTACGCTCCTCGTACCCCAGGTTGACACCACGCTCATCGGGTGTTTTTTGCAGGCTGGAGAGTTCTTCATTGAGAACGTCCTCAAAGGGAAGGGCACTGAGAAGCGTACAAAGAACCTCATCGCCGACAAGGTTCTCGAGTCTGAGAAACTTCAGGCATAGTCATAGCATTTTCCACATAGATCATTCTACAACCGTTTCGCTACTAATATACAATCGCTCTGCTCGCTGTTCTATATGATACACATGATCTCAATGGTGATCAGCCTGTACATACACCGGGGGCATTGGACTATAGGACGACGTGTCCCATCGTAGAGGTATCGTGATCCGGGCCACGTTGAGACAACCATGTCTCGCCGCGTCCCACATTTATCCCACGCCAGCCGCATACTGCACATTGAATAAGATCAGCATATAACAGGATTTTATCAAACCTCCTAAAGGGGATTACGATGGGATGCCCAACTAGGTTGCGATGGAACACGATGTGCCACAGGTCGACGCCCCCGGTGATACATAAGTAAGCTGGGAGTCGGGTAAGCGCCTTAGCCACAGAGCCTCGGCGTTTGCCGGGCGGGGTTGCATGCAACTCAAAGTGTGAACTTTATTTTTCTGTCCAATACACCGACCCCAAATCATCGCCAGCCCCGTCCTTGGCCCCCCCATAAGCACTAATGGTGAGCTTGTTTATGGCAAACGTATCCAGACTGCATGTACTGATTGCATATGCAGGATTCATCAAAAGCTCCCGTCAAGCTCGCTACCGTCACCAAGGTCTAGACATTAGCTACTACCTCTCGTGTCCACATTCCCTGACCCTGAGCTCCCATGGCCTCTACAAAACAGGTCCTTGGACGCACTGGCTCCCGTGGTGGTGTCACGCAGGTCCGTGTGGAGTTCATGGATGACCCCACCCGTACCATCATCCGCAACGTGAAGGGACCCGTTCGGGAGAAGGACATCCTGGCTCTCCTGGAGAGTGAGCGTGAGGCTCGGTATGTCTATCTTGCTGTCTGTCGATGCGTCATAGTGCTCACCCAGATCTCGCCCAGCCGCCTCCGGTAGATTGCTATCATATGGTTTATTCTTGTTGCATTCCTCTTCCCTCGCACCCACGACGCATCTGTTTGATCATGCCAATGTTATCATGTGCATGAGCCTCATGCCGGACTCATATTGATCACTTGCGCGCTACCTTCCGCTTCCATTCTATCTGGATCGGTGCGCCTCGCGTGTGTCTCAGTCGCCAGAAGGCCTTCCACAGTTTCCACAACGCTGCTTGAGCGCGGGCGCTCGACGGCCACCAGGGTGGCTTCGCACCAGTCTCTCCACCCTAGACTCGTCTTCCAATTCCAATCGTCTCAACCCAGCGCTCATATAAAGCCTACATCCGTGCACTGTAGATCCCAAAAGATGGCATAACTCCACACTCCGATAATTTCAGCGATGATCGATCAACGTGCCCCAAAACATACGACGATACTAGATAGATGTGTTCGTTGGGCCGTAGGTTTATCATGCCTTGTAGGCCGTGAGTTCTGAGTCATCCTATAAGGTGACGATCGTTTGCTCTTTCTCAAGCCCAGGACCACCCTCTATACTCCCCGGCAGCCCATCATGTCCTGCAAGGCAGCCTACGCTACACTACTGACCACACCGGCATACCTGCCAGGGGTACTTGTCCTCAACGAATGCTTGCACTCGGTTGGGTCGAGGTATCATTTGGTGGCGATGGTCACGCCCAGCCTCCCAGCCGAAGCACGAGCTGTCATAGCGAAGCGAGGCATCATCATCCGAGATATAGATCATCTGTACCCCGAGGAAGGTACACACAAGTTAACCGAACATGACTCGAGGTTCCGCGATACGTGGACGAAGTTGCGGTACGTAAACCGGGTCATTTCTGAACGTGGCTAGCTCATCTTCCTTTCCCTCGCAGGGCTTTCGAGCTTGTTGAATACGATGCACGTTTCAGTTTCGCTCTCCTCACCACAAAGACGATTGATTGATGCGTCGTCTTCTGCAGCGAGTCGTTCTTCTGGATGCGGACATGATCGTGAAACGCAATATGGATGAACTCTTGGAAATGCCCTTGGAACGCGATTGGATTGCGGCTGCTCATGTGTGTGCGTGCAACCCGCGCAAGATACCACATTATCCCGCCGACTGGTCAGTATATTCCCGGAACGCGTCGCGTGAGCGTATACCAATCCACGCTACAGGATACCAGCAAACTGTGCACACACAGCCGTGACGACTCCCACCAGCGACCCACCTACCATTGACGACACCAGTCCCCGTCCATATAAGCAACTGAACTCGGGCACCGTGGTCTTGAACCCGTCGCTTAGCATTCTTCAAGATATCGTCCATGTCATTTCGACTTCTCCCGCCATACCAACATATTCCTTCCCTGACCAGGATCTGCTCTCGGATCACTTCCGAGGGCGTTGGAAACCGCTGTCCTGGCGATACAACGCTCTGAAGACGTTGCGAAACATCCACCCGTCCCTTTGGAGCGACGACGAAGTGCGTTGCTTGCACTACATTCTGCACGACAAACCTTGGAACTCGCCGCGGGGCACCGGGGGCGATTCTGAAGAGGTCAATGGATGGTGGTGGGACCTGTACGAGAAACTAGCGCAGGAAATGCAGGAAATGGACCCGGAAGGATGGAGGCTAGTAGATGCGAATGTTGCTCACCCGTAGCATCTTCAACGACTCACCATAATGTTTCAATCTGATATCGTAAACCGATTTGTTGCCAATGTAAGGTACAAACCATGTTCATCAGTACGGTCCGTGCTTGTATGGTGATGTATGCGGATAGACCCCACGCCGCATCATTCTAGATGCAAGAGTCGCCCATTTGGCGCGTGTTCTGGAACTCGGCGCACACCATGGATACACAAGTTTACGTACCACTACAGTTGACAGAAATACAATCGGCCCCATTGCCCTTCAACTCATGCTCGCCATGTCACATGGACCTGATCTGTGCGGAATCTATGGGCGAATCAGTTGCATCTCATCTCAATCGGCAACGAAAAGTCTCACCGCTGTGTACATGTGCTCTTGGCGAGCGGGGTCTCGAAACCCATCCGGAAGCTGAGGAGGCCAGCTTGTGCTATCATGATACCGTTGTCGATGCAGAATCTAAATGTGGGGGTGATCGAAATGAATGAATTTCAGGCCGCGTTGACAAGGGGCCCTACGTACCGCTCATCCATGGCGAAGACATGTCCTCCGCGCTCACTTGCCATAACGCCCATCATTTCCTGAAGCCGTTCGTTACCTGAGTCACGTAATGGAATTACGCGGCATGGGTAACGGACCCTGTCAATATGGGAGCAACGATGGTGTCGAATAGATTTCATGATTAAACCTACAGCCTACACCGCCGACAACAAGCACCTCCTTGCTCCCGATGTGGGCCATCGCACGCTCCGTAATCTCCACGAGCATGGCGAACACGGTCTCTTGGAGGGAGAAACACAGATCTTGCGGCGTAATGACATCGTCTCCGTCTTCCGCGGTTGGGCCATTTGGTCGGAAGCGCTTGTCCGTTGTGTAGGCCTCGATGGACGTGAGAATACCCGACAAGCTTATATCCATCCCTTTGGTAGCATAAGGTAGTGGAAGCAATCGTTTCCCCCTATAGCTGATATCAGCCAATCTGCCGTCAGAATCATATCCTCTGATCTTACTTCTTCGCCTCTTGCTCTATGTTGTAACCGGGGCTTGGGTCGTTGCTCAAGTTGATGACTCGAGCAAAGCGATCCAGGCAGTTCCCAACAGCAATATCGAGGGTCTCCCCAAAGATGCGATAACATTGCTGCGAATAGGCAATGACTTGGGTGTTCCCGCCAGAGACGTATAGCACAACGGGATTATGAGCCCCGGTGACTTGCCGGCCCATCTCGATGTCTGAGGCTCGTGTGAGATTCCGCCTCTAAGAGACAGGCTGGCGGTGCAACTGACGGCCTACGCAGTGATTCACTCCTACCAACGGCTTGTCGTACAGGAGAGATAATGTCCGGGCGACCAGTGCGACCGACACGAGCGGTGCACCCATTCCAGGACCTGCGTGATATGACAAAACCATTGAATTCATGGTTCTGGAGGATGGTAGTCGAATGAACGCCACCTTTCGTAAAGCATATACAATCAATATGATGCATTGAGACCGCAGCCTTCTTCAGGGCATCGTTGATCACGGTGAGGGCCCACTCGCGATGATGCAAGGCAGTATGGCGCGGCTGAAAACCTTCGCCAGGAGGCGTTATATAAGTATGCCTGACATTCGACAGAACATGGGTTGAGCCATCCGGGTCGTGTTTGATGATGCCTGCGCCGATCTTATTGGCAGAGCCTTCAAGTCCCAGAGCGATATATGGCCGATCTGTTTGACTAGTGAGCTGACTGTAGTACAGCCTCGCACAGCCATACCTGGAGCTTTGAGTGGTGAACGCCTCTTGACTCTTCCAGGCATGATAAATGTTGATTGAGTGGACCGTGCAAGCACAAGAAGAAGCTCCGCGACAGCCGCGCATAATCTCGGTACTCGATCGTTGGGAACATCTTATCTTATCTCTGCACGTGAGGACAGAAGGTGGGACAGAGTCAATCCCAGTCAAAATGACTCTTCGAGGACGAGCAGATCTCTTAAAATCGCATCCAAAATACCCTGTGAGGCCTCCTCACATCCCCCCATCCGGTAGTTCAATATGGCCAGGCAGTCTCTCTGGCTCCGCTGTGAAAAGAAGGAATTCGAGCGACGTACAGCTATCACACCCAAGGTAGCCAAAAAGCTGATCGATGCGGGGTTCGAGATCTTCGTGGAGCGCGACGACCAGAGGATATTCAAGGATGAGGAGTACGAAGCGTGAGGAGCTTGCACCTTATCGCTGTAGTCAAGTCTTACATTCTATTCTAACAACAGGGTCGGGTGCAAGCTGGTCGAGAACAACTCGTGGCCGAATGCTCCGAAGGACATCCCGATCATTGGCCTGAAGGAGCTCCCCGAGTCTAACGCCCCCATTCCGCATACCCACATACAGTTCGCGCACTGCTACAAGCAGCAGAGCGGGTGGTCTAAGGTCCTGTCGCGCTTCTACCGCGGGAACGGGACATTGTATGATCTCGAGTTCCTCACCGACGAACAAGGCCGCCGGGTGGCCGCCTTTGGGTACCATGCTGGTTTTGCGGGTGCCGCAGCAGGTGCGCTCGCGTTCGCTGCAGAAAAGGCTGGAAAGCCACTGGGCCAGCTAGAGCCCTACGAAAATGAGCAGGCGATGGTCGACGATGTCAGGAGGGTCCTCGGAGGCAGCGCCAAGGGCTTGAAGGTTATCGTCATTGGCGCGCTTGGTCGCTGTGGACGGGGAGCAGTCGACTTGTTCCGCAAGATTGGAGTTGAGGAGTACGTTCATGTTTGCCCAACGAGTGTCGTTAAAATCGTCCTGACCGCTGTCCAGGGACGACATCCTGAAGTGGGATATGGCTGAGACAGCCAAGGGTGGTCCGTTCCAGGAGATCCTCGACGCCGATATCTTCGTCAACTGCATCTACCTCAGTTCGCCCATCGCGCCATTCCTGACGGAGCAACAAATCGCGGCCGCCGGCAAAGACAGGCGGTTGCGGGTAGTCGTTGACGTCAGTTGCGACACAACAAACCCGCACAATCCCATCCCCATATACTCGATAAACACGACCTTCGCCAAGCCTACTGTTCCAGTAGAAGTCGGGTGAGTCTGCGTGGAGACCCGAATGAGACATGTGATGTCGGCTGACTCACTTCTTGCAGCGCGGGTAACCCACCACTAGCGATGGTGTCCATCGACCATCTTCCAACTTTGCTTCCCAGGGAGGCGTCAGAACAGTTCAGCGAAAATCTGTATCCATCGTTGTTGGAACTGCCCAACCGTCAAACGGCTCGGGTCTGGGTCGAGGCAGAGAAGCTATTCAGGACCAAGCTGGCCGAGGCCGTGAAGGCGGAGGGTCTGCAATGAGTAATCGCGGGAAGCGCAGCCTTGTAATACCATAGAGACAACGAGTACAATGTGTCGGAATTCCGATAGACCAAAGATGGAAAGGATTGTACTGCCAGGAACGTCGTCGGTCGACACCGTAACCATTAGCGTGACCTTCCAAGTGTCGGCTTTGCCTTCTGTTATACCTATATGCTGGGCTTGTCTACGTTTTACGTCCGTGACTGTATGCGAGATACACGGAATTGGGACAACATCACGATAACATCACCGATGGTTCTGGGTACGGCATGATCATAGAACTGATGCACGGATGTTGGTGTCTTACAGACTATAGACGCTGTGCGGAGTCCCAGCACGTATATCCGGCCATAAATGTTGCAAGTGTCTCACCCCCATCAGTATCGTTGCGCGCCCAGAGAGAGTCGGTCCGTCGTGAGATCGGCCACGTCAAGAGAGATGCCCAGCCCAGGTGGGATGAGGGCGACTGCGGGATAGCGTTCAACGTTCATCCGTGGCGCAGCCCCTGAACATAGAGGATGTCTGAGCTACGATTTCAGACAGGCGAGGTCGCGGTCGGGCGCAAGAGAACTGGAAGAGGCTCGGCATGGTGCGAGAACCGGAGAACGGATGCGGTTGCTATGATGGAGGGCGGCATTGAGTGCGTTGCTGCGGTGGTGGAGGCCGAGGGAGATCAGGCTAAGCAGATGAGGTGCTGTGAGCTGTGCCAGGCTCGCTGTCCTCGCGCCTGGCCTGTTGCTCACAACTTGAAGCTGGCCTGATCTTCCTCCCATCCCCACCACATCTTTCATTTCCCCTCTTTCTTCACTCTCTTCTGGGCTTCGTGTGGTGCCAGCTTTCAGCTGTTTTCTCTTCCTTTCCTTCCCCTCAACTTTCTTGCCCCCGGCCTTCTTACCGGTGCAACATTATTGCACAAGTGTTCACTGGTGCTGGTCGCCCCTTCAGTCCCAATTCTATCTGCAAGCAAGTCTACCCCGTCCTCTCTACCATCCGCCGCGTCAATATGCCTCTCGCCCTCTCTCCTGTTCCCGAGATTTCCATCTCCCTTGCCTCGCCCGAGGAGCCTGCTCCGGAGCCTTTCTCTCCTTTCTCCGAATGCACCTTCCTCAGCGACGACTCTGAGAGCTTCCGGCCATCGCTGCTTTCGCCTCCGCCGTCTAGCATGACGCCGAAGCAGCTGTCGCCCCTGCGGCCCAAGGACGCGCCGGTGACGGGCAAAGGTCTGGAGAGGGAGAGATTCGAAGCAATGCTGCAAGCCCAGCGTGAGCGGAATGCGGCACTGGGAAGTAAGAGGTCGAGCGATCTTCGTAAGGAGATTGCGTTAAAGGTGCACAAGAGCAAGCAAAGTGAGTGTCGATGCTTAACGCCACATAAAAGCCTATGTTAATCGCCGTCGTCGCAGTGGAACGTCGTGCACTGTTCCTGTCAAAGGTGCAGGCCCCTCCGTCGCCATCTGCTACGTTCATCCCAGTCACCCCTCCCGAATCGCCCGCCGTGTTCCACTACTCGCTGCCCTCGCCCGGTCTCGAGTCTCCTTTGGAGGTCTTCGAGGCCTTGACTCTTGGCCGTTCGAATGTGTCTGCCTGCCAGCCCTGGGTCGAGCAGGTGGATTTCCGCCTCCCCGGGGATGTGCACCCCAAGGCGCCCCTTCGGTCCACCCCAGCAACGGCCACGAAAAGAAAGGTGCTGCCCTCCCTCGATCAGATCACTGCTCGCATGAGCTCTATCGGCCACGTCGCCGCACCGGCGCACGAGGAACACGCGCGCGCGTCCATGCGCCTCCCATCTTTCCTCCGGACGCCCGCTCGCGTCGAGCAGCCCGCGGTCCAGTCTACCAAGGCTGAAACGCTACAGCCAGCCGCGAGAGCTCGTGCTAAGCTGCCGACTGGAGTCGGTCGACTGCGGTTCCCGACCAGGGAGGCCGCCGAGGCGCCTAAGGTCGAGATTGCTCAGCCGACTCCCTGCCTTCCTCCGGTCTCTCCTCGGTCTCCCCTTGCGCCACGGCTGCAGGTCACGACGACCGTGGTCCCGCGTACCGCGTCCTCGTCCCCCGTCGAGCTTACGGAGTCGAACCTGATGAAGTTCAGCGCGGATTCGCGCGAGCGTACTGCACATAACATGCTTACGCGCCTGCGCCGCCGCACTCTTCCTCCGCAAATTGCCGTTCCCGCCCCCGGCGCGATCGACATGGAGGACGAGACTGAGCGGAAGAGCCGCAGGCACAGCGCCCCGCCCGAGTTGCCTCAGCGTAACCGCATCGGATTCTCGCACCCCATTCTGGAACTCCCAGGAGCGTTCTGACGCGCCAATAAACAATGACAGACCCGACGTTCCTTTCTTCTGTTTGGTTGCCTACCATCATGACAAACTGGTCGTAATGTTTCCTATCGTGGACGGTTCGAGACGCGGATACTGCTTGTATCTTTATTCTCCGGAATTCTTGTGTCGCTACCTCACTAGTCTCCTTCTGTAGATACTTCAGGCTTGTGTTGTCCTCTCTTGTTTTTCTTCCCTTACTTTTTTTTCGTTCCCGCCGTGCCGGTTTGGGACTCGCTTTCTTGGGGGTGCTGTACGATGATGCTGGCGTTCTCACGAGGCGGTCGGGGAGCTCGAGGCCGGCTGCGCCTGCCAAGAGTGAACCGCCCCTCCTGCTCCCAACATACATCCACACATCATCTGCCATTCGCACAGTCCAACCAGTACTGGCCGCGCGATGCGCCGTGTGCGCCGTATTGCCGTCTCGGAGCAGGCTCTCCTAGTTAGCACTCATCTGTGTTGCACCTCCCAACATTCCTTGCCATCACCATAGCCCATTCGATGTACTCACATACCTACCTACCCCGCATCCTGGGAAGATGCAAGGGCTGTGCCCACATCGATCCCTTACCTACAAACCACCATCGCACAATACAAAAACTTTGGAACGAAGCACACTGGTGGCGTGCGCCACCGCCACAGAACGGACGTGAGATATGAATGATAGCGATACATGGTGTTATTGCTGTCAACAATCCCGACGCAGAATCCAAGGGGTAGCGTAGAGTAAATACACGTCTACACAGCTGTCGGTGGCAGATGGACGTATACATATCCAGTCATTAGAGCGTACATAACCACTACCTATGATACTGCTAAGTATAGCAATGGCAAACCAGGCGGCCAGCGAGTCGATGGGGTAAAAAGGGAATCATAGATATATCGACACAGATGCGTGTTCTGTGCGCGAGCCTGATATCAAGAAGGGCACCAATCTGCCGTAGAAGGTTGCAAGAAAGTGATGGCACTGCGCGATGTGTGTGAGCCTGGGCAAACATCATAGTTCGAAGTAGCACATACCAGATGAGATCATGAAGACGCGTGTCGGCGGTTAACGCCACGATTGAACCTGCTGCAGCCTGCCAGTGGAGGTAGATGACTGTTCGCTCTGGCCGCCGCCGCCACCACCACCGCCGCCGCTTGGGCGGGGTAGCACAGGGGGCGGGGGAGGTACCGGACGGTGTCCCTGAAATTCTGGTTCCGGAGTGGGCGCTTTGCCTCGCAAGCGCTCGAGAACACGAAGTCGACGGTCTGAAGGAACGCAGTCAGCAATAAACGTGATATGGTTTCGACGCAGCCACAGGGCGGCGTTGAGAAGGACTTACTCAGTTCGACACGGACATGCTGATCCTCTTCCTTGTCCGAGTCATCGAGGGGGTCCGTGGCGTTGACGACATGCCACGCCTCTGGGATACCGCTCAGCGGCGTGGTAGGCACGTGTAATAAGTATCGACTTACGCTGCAGCATGCTCCGCTCCGCATTGGGGTCCTCGCCCGAGACGTCGCCTTATAACCGCGCCATTAGCGGCGCGACAAGGAGATCAGTGGCCGCGGAGCATTACCTCGAAATTCCTCCAGGTGAGGGAGAGCTCGGGAGCTTGACTCGCCCGGTCCAGGCTGACCGTGCGGGCGCGCCTCATGAGAATGCGACGAGCCACGGCTGCCGGACCCTCCCTCTGATGCGGCATGCCTCTGCGCCCGGGCCTGCCGGAACGCCGCCATCTCCTGGACTGTCAAAGGTGGTCAAAATCACGGTCGGGGCGGGGCTACGGATTTTGCGATAACAGATACTCACTCGAGTAGGACGTTGAGGGTGGGGGAGGCGCCGGAAGAGGGGGGTTCTTCTTGCGCCGCTTCTCCATCTCCATCTCGTCAACAAGCTCCTTGAGAAACTTGCTCCTCGTCGCGCTCATGCGCTTGCCCCACTCGACCTCATCCGGGGGATCGACGTTCTCCTGCGCCTGCTCCTCACGCGTGAGGCTCCGCATGCGCGGCACCTTGGGTGGGTTCGCCCTGGAGTAGTCGTCGTCGAACGGGTTCGGCTTGTCAGGGCCTTGTAGATAGTGATACATGAGCCACAAAAATACGCGGGCGCGGGACGACGAGGACAGATTGATTGGGAGGAACAGATCTAAAAATTCCACGGGCGGATCGAAGTGCCTTTGGGCGACCGTCTGCGGTTGCCACGGTCTGTCAGCGGGGCTAGGTCGGGTGCGGTAAGGCGGCGCAGCTTACCATCGCGTGATTAGAGTTGGACAGCACGAAGATAAGGTTGACCACGCTAGTCGGGGGGAGTTGGCCTTGCCGCTGCAGGAGATGGTTAGAATTCTCCAGGAACTTGGCGACCTTCCCACTTACGGTCTTCTCCACGATTTCAGCCGGGGAAGACGGAGGAGGAGTCTTGAATTCAAAAGGTAGGAGAGCGGCCTTGAGGCAGTTCTTGATCCGAGGTGCGTCTTGCAAATTCCCATCGGTCTTCTGGAGCGAAGGTACCGGGTGATAGCTCCGCAGCGCAGTCTTCATCTCTGGGAAAACTGGAGATAAACGAATGGTGAATACGGAGGCGAACAGGGATCCGGTGATTCTTGCTCACACGCCATCGTGGTGTTGATTCGGCCTACGTTCGTGAGCAGAGCGATCTTGGCGAACTCGATGGCAAAAGCGGGTGTCTCGACCATCTTATCCTTCAACACCTTGGAGCACTTGGGGGAGTTGTAGAGCGCGTTGACATAGAGGTCGCAGAAATTCACGACGGGCTGGTCGGGAGCGAGGTAGTCGATGAAGGCCTTGGTACGGTCGGTGAAGATGTAGTAGAGGAGGTCATATTGAAGGTCTTCCCGGGTCAACGGCTCTGCGTCGGTACGCTTAATTGGCAGGGTCTTCCTGCCGAGGTACTGTGCGCTGCCGGGAAAGTCAGCGGGTGGTAAGGACAAATATACGGCAAGGGAAGACTCACGGAGTGTTGACCTGGTGGATGTTCCATCCCTGTATATTTTGGATGGCGGAGGCGGAGTAGCGGTCTGTTGAGCTGGATGACGCCATGAAGAGGAGGAAGAGCGGTGCACGAGGCAAATACGGAAGTACTGACCCTCACTGCACGAGGCGTCAACAAGGATTGCGGTTGTGGACGCTCCTTTTATCGGTGTCGGTAGAGACGCAGAAGTCGTCGAATCTGGAGGGGATCTCACGTGTAGAATGGTGGTCGAGAAGTCGTGCTTGCCGATTGTCATCAGGCCGCGTCGACGATCGATTTGTGCTGAGTATGAGGGGGCGAGGATGACGCGCGGAAAATCTGGGACGAGAGGCAAGTGCCGAGCACGACGACAGAGGGCTTGTTATGGCAGAAAGGGTCCAATGCACACGACAATGAAGACGATGGCAACCACGGGAGACAGGCGAGGGAGGGCCTTCTAGCACGCTGCGGCCCGGCGTCGTCGACCAGAATGAAAAAATCCCGAAGCAGCGGACGCGGGCGTCTCTCCCCTTCTCCGGCGTCTCTCGCTGGCGCCCTCCCCGCCCAGCCAGCGCCCATCACCCCTTCCCAGAGATCGTTCGACGATTTTCGCACGCATGCTGCTCCCCCTCCCTACGTTCGCGGATGCAAATGTGCATTATTGTCCTCCTCCGACTAATCGTCTTCCTCCCTCTACATATACATCACCAAAGGCCTTCCGAGTCCACCACAAGGCACCGGCAATCGCCATGTCCCATCACCCCGAAAAGGAAACATCCTTCGCGCCGGTAACCTTCCTCGCCTGTTGAGCTCCTCATCCCCCCCTTCGCCCATCCTCTCTAATTGTTCGCACAGCGGCCACTAGTCCAGTATTCTGCCTAGTTTTGCGCAGGCCTTCTCTCCGAGACTCCGACGCAGTCAACAATAGATCTATCTTTTTGCTGAAACCGAGCGTTTCTACGCTGGCACGACCTTTCGCTGCTCCCGTGATCAGCCGATATCCGTGCCTGTTACCGCGCGAAATAACCCTGTAGGTAGTTGCACCTCAAGCTGCACTCCCATCGATCGCCCTTTGCATCTAAAACCTCCATAGTGTTATTTGTTTGCTTCCTTCGCACTCATGTCGCATCTCCGCAGTCATGCTTATGCTCGCCACATGTCCAGATCCGAGTACATACGATGCGTGTAAGCCCACAAGAAATATCCTAAATCAATTTCCACGACTCGGCAGATTTAAGTTGAACGTGGTGTGGATCTTGCATTCCTCAAGGTGGATGGTCGGGCCCGACGGCATAAATCACTTTCTCCGACAGACCTGCCCAATTCGAAAGGATTTTCTGACCGCGCTTAACTACAGTAATTGATTGGCCTCACAATGCATGTATTCCATCCGTTCCAATGGATGCAGTCGCATGCTGTATGACGAAGCTGCGTGGCTTCAAGAAGCCCTGCTGGGCTCGCCTCACGTCTGCATGGTGTGCGGGCCCTGCACATGTAGAGTAACTAAAGCTACCGGCTCCATGTTTTGGTCTCGGGATTGCTTCTTGCGCCGCCGAAATAACCTTCTATGTAGCTCTGGAGGCTCGGCCCCGCGATAGGCTTTGCGGCACGTAGTGCGCCTCCTGTCGGCGCTCCATGCCCCATACCCACTTGAGCTCTTCCTCGACAAGAATCGTTCGTCTCGCTGTGCTCATGATCACAGAAGGCTTCAGGCCCCGCGGGACTCAATGGGATGTGCGCACGACAGCCGGTTCTAGTGGGAGCCCCGGTGCTCGATTCTCACCACGACAACCCCGCCAGCCGCGGAAAAGGCGACTGCTCGGAATGCGAAGCCTGGGGCCGTCGTATTTCCCATTAACGGTGGACGAGTAGGCTTGGTTTAGGGGCATTCATGCGTTCATACTCGCGCCGTTCTTTCCTTCTTACACAGGCGTCTATGTGGCTTCCCCATTCAGTCATTTGTGCCACGTGCCGGAAGGACTCCTTACCAGGAACGGCGCGTCACGCCTGACGCCCTCTACGCCTCTCCTCTTCCCTTTCCTGCTGTACTTCATCTCGCTTCACAGCATCATGTCGGACGCTTTGACGAACCCCAAGCTTGACGCCACATCTCAGGTCCGCACAACTGGCTTCGTTTCGATTGATACACCGTGCTGACGGCGAGGCACGGCGAACAGAAAGAACTCGAGCAGTTCCTCGAGACCGAGCAGGCGCAAGCCCGGGTCCAAAGTCAGATCCACACCCTCACTGGTCTCTGCTGGGACAAGTACGTCTTCCCACCCCTCCTTCTCGCACCGTCTAGGTCCCAATCATTTCCGCTTTCGTTGTGTCTAGATGTGTCGGTTCCATCTCGTCTAGCTTCTCGTCAAAGGAGCAGACCTGTCTGGAAAACTGCGTCGGCCGCTTCTTCGACGCGAGCGACTACCTCATTAGGAGGGTCGAGCAGCAACGCGCTGCGGCTGGCGTGTTGACAGAGTAGAACTCGTCGCCACGAGCTACCTGCTCCCCCCTCCCCCTTTCGGTGCTCCCATATTCGCTGATGCCACCCTCCCGACTACTCGACGCCCGATCGGCCATGCATTCCCACTCGACGCGTGGTGGCAAAGTACCTTACGACATCCAATTCCGTAATTGTAATGAGCCCGAAGCTTCTTGCTTCTCGTGGACTAGAACCTAGCCGTATAACCAGATGGTTATACCAATATAGCACTCCGTCAGCGCCGTCAAGTATGTTGCGTAGTCCTCATCGCATGTGCAATACACGACCCTGCTAGCTACGAAGTTTGGCTGAAGCCCAGCCAGCAATCGCCGGAATGAAGAAACAGAACGCGTCCAATATCTCGTACGTATGCCTGAGTTGCACGGGCACGGTCACGGTGGCAGGGCCTGACTTTGATTCAGCCGCCGCGCTCAGGTATCCTGTTTCGAAGAACCTGTTCAGCAGCCTGTCCTTCTCGCGCCAAAGGTCCCGGAGCCAGAGCTCGAACGCTTCGGCTTCGGCCCGGGGGATCTCGACCTCGACGCTGGCAACCCTTGACGAGCCTTGCGGTAGAACGTCGGGGTTGGCAACCGGAACGTTGCCTATAGGTATATCACGCCTCACGTTGAACTTGCGGATGTGCATGTGAACAGCGGGGGGAGGGACGCGGTCGCAGAAGATGGAGCGGAGGGTGTAGTAAGATTGCCCGTATCCGAGGTAAGGGATTCCTGTGCTTCGGGATGAGCGAGAGAGCTTCTGTCATCACCCCAGCGGGAGTACTCGCCTGGGTATGCCATGGTGATGTCAATGAGCTCGAGGCTGGGTATGCGTGGCGCAAGCGACCGTAAGGAGTAATGCAGACCCGTCGAACGCGGCAGGAGGGTGTTCGTCATGTCGGGCTGGAGACAAACCGTCATCGGCACGCGTGCAAACCGCGTAAGTCACTACGTACAATGCCCAACTTGTCCGCGTACTTCTTGCTTATCGGGCGCGTGTCCTTGCTAACCAGCGTGCCCTCCGGGTATAGGATGAACGTAAAGGGCCAGTCTTCCTTCTCGGCGCGACGTGCGAGCCAGGACAGGCCTTGTGACAGCTGTAGGCGATCAGAGGCCCAGGAGCGTGCTAGGAATATGAAGTTGTAAAATTGCATGCCCTGCGGACACGCGCGGCCATGCGGATCGGTGTCAGTGCGGGCTTCAATTGAAACTGCGGCGCGACGCACCCATCCTAGAATGGGCACCCATTTGAGACTCCTTTTGAGGACAATATAGACGTCTTTATAGGTGCCCATGAAGTACGTTAGCGTCCAAGCGTACCACCAATCCGCATACACCTATGTCACGCGGATAAGCCTGACTTGTACATTCGAGTACCAGGGGCAGCAGTGACGCACCTGGTGATTTGCTATAAGCACGCTCTTCTTGGGCAAATTGAGCGCGATGACTCGTCCATCGCTATTGCGCTCTACGAGACCTTCTATTTCTTCAGGGGTGAACTTGCCCTGCCCCTCCGTCTCAAAGGAGAGCACCAAGATGGTGGGGGCAAACCACTGACTCATCAAGACTACGTCGCAAGGAACACGTTTCAATACGCCGTCTTCCCGTAACCTTCGAACGTGATAGAGACTTACCCAGCAGTGCCCCAAATGCCCCTTTCGTGTACCGGGCCCCTTCATAGTACAACTTGCGCGCTCGGCGGAAAGGCACAAGCCTCAACGGGAGGAGAATCGCCAACTGAGGCCCATGGATCATGATACAGCCAAAAAGGTAGACGGCAGACGAAAGGAGGGCGTGCGCTGTCTGCTTCCATGTCCTCCGCGGGCGCGACAATATTGGGATCGTATAGAGCTCAGGCATGGTGGCCACCCCACGCTAGCTTGCTTTCAGCCGTACGAAAGACAGATATTACACTGTTGCACAGATATAGTACAACAGCTTAGGAGGTATGGAAGGCGGGGGGGCGAGGTGGTGGATGTCGCAGGGGAGCTGGGCGGGTGTGGACGGTTCGGAGAGCGCGGTCCTCCTGCCGGGCGCTGTAGTCCGCGCGTCGCGCGCGGTTGCGGTGTGGCTGTTGTGCGTCCGCGGCATTTGTCCAATCCGTTACCCAATCACCGTACACTGGATCCCGCCATCCCGCAAATATCATATGCCCCACGCGCACGAGTTAGAAGACTGGGCTTCAATGGCTGGGTTTCGGTGTCGAGCGCGCAAGACTGTGCTCCGCACACGGTACAAAACCCGTCACTCTGAGAGTTGTTTGCGTCGGAGCCTATAGCGAGTGACGCACACGTCGGAACCCGGTAGTAGGACCTACTGTTCAGGTACAGTCAAGTGGAAGGCAAGATTCGGAGGACTCCGTCAGAGCGAATTGAACCGAGACGTCGTGAAGGAGTAACAATTGTCTACCGACATCGATCGGGCTTCTGCCGCGAGCCATAGTACCAAAACAACACACAACCTCGAAAGAATTGCCGTGGTTCTCCTGATCGAGGGTGAAGGGCGCCATGCCGCGCAGCACAGCGAAGTACAAGCACGGAAGATCTACCCGGTGGCGTTAGGCATAAGCATAAACGCAGATCGTATGTCCGCCGGTCCTCCGAATGCACCAACAGTACGCTAGTATGATTGTGTATCTTGATGCGACCAAGTGGTCTCGTGAACAGCGACGATGCCTTTGTTCTTCAGCACGTGAATGGCTTCCCGACAAGACCTTCTCTATACGCATCTGCGATCAGCTGTGGGCGTTCGAAACATGTGAGTACACGCCCTTTTTCCAGGATCAGGCAAAAGGTACCTTTATGGAGACATATGTCCCTGCCACGCAAATGAATGCCCCTCCAAGGATGGTGAACGTTGCAAGCGTAGTCCCCAACCACCGCCGCTTCAATGCTTCTGCTCCACCTGTCAGGTAGAAAGTATCGTGGATCCAGAACATCCCTGCGATGCCATACGTATACCACGCCGCAAAAAGCGAGGCTGTGACACCGGTCAGGTCTGAGAATATCGGCACGGCACTTGCGAGAATGAACGCGATGGCCGTGGCGACGAAACATAAGAAGGTCCATGTGAACCAGCCGCCGACTGTGTGCGAATGAACGTGCCGGGTGTGTCTGAACAGGCGGATGTAAATGAGCTTCGCCGCCGTATGGCTGTAGAGGGCACCGGCTCTGTTAAGAGTCCATCAGACCGTTAAAGCGAGACTTCCGGAACATCAGACGACGAACATAAGAAAGTTGACCATGCCGATGGCGAACGTGGTCTTCGCCCAGACAGGAGGCAGCGAGAATGTTGCTGGGGATGCAACAGTGCTCCCGATGTACACGTAAACGACGACACCGAAGACGGAGTAGAATGTGGTGGAGAAACCTTGCAGCACTACGGCGGCCTAGTTGGAGTGGGATTCAGAACCCGTGCAGGACTACGGCATGCTACATGATACCTTCATGGCATCTTGCGGCCGACGCATTTCCGAGATGAGAATGAAAAACCTGTGGGGAGCGTCTGTTAGATAAAGCACGGAGAGCTGATACTTTCATACATGAAGTGGCCTGCAGGAGGGAAATTGGCATCAATTCTCACTATCCCAAGGAATGTGCAACAAGCCTGCGTAAGCAAATACCTGATGCAGAGCTAAGCATCAGCGACCTATGCACGGATTTTATGGGACAACATACCGGTCCGGTGATAGCCAGAAAGGCCTGGACGAAACTCGTCGGCACAGTCGCTGCAACGACGCGATCTGGAACTGGATTTGCTCCAGCCCCGACCATGACTAGAATCCCACATATAGTGATCATTACAGCACTAAACAAGCCAAGCCAGCTAAGGTTCTGAAGCGTGCGGGGCAAAGAAACGAGGAATGTCGCAATTGAGAAAATAACGAGGAGTACCGTCGCGCAGAGCCCGTTGTTGGATAGCGTTGATAGTGCTTGTTGTCCTGCCAGGAGTTCGGAGCCCTGGCCGATCTCAGTCGACTAGTCAGCTCCGAGTGGACTGCAGCTGACCGTGCCAAAGATAGCGAAGATGATCGTCCCCGCGGAGAGAACTTCGCGACCGACAGGTCCGAACAAAATGAAACCGGCATCGCCTTGGACGGACCTCGTCAGCAACGATCTCCGTACGCCCGAGGAGGAAAGGGCATTACCCATATTGTGCACGTCCGGATGATTTATCTTGAAGTCTATCAAAAGCTTCGCGGTGTACAAAGCGAATATTCCGAGGAACACCGTTAACACAAGGGAAGGCACGATGCCTGCGTTCTGGTTGAGTGAATCTTCTGACGCATCGGTCATTACTGGAGCTGATTGAACCACGTACCCACGGCAGCCATAGCGTTCGGTAAGGTGAGCATCCCATTACTGACGATCTCAGCTATCATGAGGGCACTAACTAACTATACTTCGCATTTGAGTCCGGTACTGAGGCATAACCCAACGAAACACTGACCTGCCAGCTCAGGGTCTTGTAACGGATCTCATGACCTCCTTCTTCACCAAAGACGTCATCCTTTCCTTGCCCTACTTCCTGGAACGCTGCCTGGGCTTCCTTGGAGTTGGGGTGCGGTCTGGAATGTGCGTCAGTAGTCGCTGCCATCGATGTGTCGGGCGTGGGGAGATGGAATGACCAAGTCATACAGGAGTGCAACATGCCTTATCATCAATCGTGAGCATGCGGAGCTAACCCAAGATGCCCGGAAAGCTGCATGATATCCCACACTGCTTGCCAGTCAAATTCAGCTGGTGCACACCATCCGCCTAGCGATACATGCATCATGTCAGGGTCAACTTAGTGAGGATCAACCAATGAAGGCTTAAAGTATTTGTTGTGAAGTTCTCCGTCGTGTAAGGCATTGCATAGGAGCTGACGGGCTGAAGGCTTTCGGGGATAGGGAAGTCGGTGGCTGCGTTTGAACACTCTACGCTGGCGCTTTACAGGGGAAGCTCGGCCCGTTCCGCATCAGGAGGGGCCCGCCCAACTCGGGATCGCCCACGACTGTCAAGGCCCTCATCCAAACGTCTCGCTTGTCTTAGAGCATCATGGCATGCGTGTGTATGTCCGTCTGGTCAGTGCCCATCTAACTCGCGTACTCCTGTCTTTCCAACCACTAGCAACCACTAGCACTTGTCGCATTTGCCGCAGCCCCCATGCACTTCAAGCACCGGCTGCCCGTCCTCGTTGACGACCTCGTCCATGTCATTATTGAAAGCGACGACCACTGGTGGCCACGAGATTTCCAGCGGCTTGCGCTCATTTCCTCAGCATGGCTCACTCCTGTCAGAAAGCGACTGTATGCGACGCCATCTCTGCGGTCGTTTCGCGCATGCAAGCTCTTCGCCCGGACCCTTAGCGAGAACACTACCCTGCTCTCGTACCTCCGAGGACTGGACCTCCGGCCGATCGCGGATGGTCGACGCCTCCTCGATGCAGAAGAGATGCAGAGCTTGAGGTTCATCCTTGCGCTCAAGGGGCTGCAGGCCATCGCCTTTGGCGGGGACTTAGCTGTCTCAGCCGAGCGGTTCATCCACGTCATGGTCGATACTCATGCGATTACGACGCTTCACATCGACGGCTACAGCTCTTCAGATGGCCATGCATTGTCCACTGTTCACAGGCTCCCCTCACTCGAATGGGACGACGTAGTAGCATTCAGATTCCCCCACCTCCGGCAGCTTACCTTGAGCAATCTCGCACTCACGATACACCCTCCTACTTTGGAGCGTCCAAGCGTTATGACCCGTCTCACGCTCAGCAACGTGGACATCGTCGACGGGTTCCTTCCCGACCTGTGTTCGGCAGCTTGGGATTCACTACGCGTCCTCAAAGTCGTCGGGAAGTCGGCCGTCGACATGGATGACCATATCATCTCTATGTTAGAGGCGTGTCCCGGCCTCGAAGAGCTTCACTACGCCGCAACGGACATGTCGACCCAGCCGTCTATTTTTGACGAAGAGGCTCCGACCTGCCCGAACCTCCAGATTCTCAGCGTCTCTGGGTTTGATGTCAACCCGCAGACGTTGGACGCGATCGCCCGGGCCTGCCCAAAGCTCGCGGAGCTTGCAATCCTTGGGCGTATCATCCGCATCGCTCCAGACGAATGGACGTTGTACGTCCAGTCTGCCAAGCTCCCATGCCTTCGGCGACTTGTCACCCCTGCCGGTACCAACCTACCACCCTTTACTTTCTGGTCACCGGATCAACGTGGTGCTCTGCAGCACGCCTGTCAATCTCGGGGGATACAATTGGGTTCTGGGACAGTCGAAATCCACTCTTACGCCCTATGTTGATTTGGTAGGTCATGGTGCTCGCGCAGCGGCACGACTACTCATGCGTTGTGCCCTTCTGCAGACTCCACTTGGGATATGACGACTGACGCCGTGTCAAGTTGCACCTGCTCATAAACTCCTTGTACATGGAATTCATCTACTCCCCGTCCATACGCTATCCAGTCGACATCTTCAAGTACGCAGTACCGCTCCACCGCTTTGTTACCGCGTACATACTGTAGTTGTACCCAGGGCCACTTTGTCTTCCATCGCTGTACTAGTAGGTAGTTCATTCCTGTCTTATATGACCGGTCGCTATGCTTTACGTCGAATCCGCTGCTCATGGAGCGGTGTGGGATGCAGCCACAAGCCAGCGTTGCTCGCCGGGGGCTTCCTGATTGAATTTCGTGGGATTAGGCGCCCAAGTTCTTTTGTGCCGCCCAGGACATTCCGTAGCTATCTCTCGTCCTATCACGGCCAGATACCCCGCTCATTTCCCGTCGTCGTCGGTGACAGCGACGCAGGTCTGCGACTACCAGCGTTGCACGCCCCGCCCATAGGCCCAGCGGCATTCCCCTTCTGACGGCCCCTCCCGCTCTTTCTCCGCCACGTTCACTGCTGTTTTCCCATATTCAATATGTCCACACGAGTTCAGGCCGAAGAACGTTCCCTCGCAAACGGCGGCGGCTCGTGGAAGTCACCAAAGAAACCCTCGTTCCTTTCGTTGCGGCGCGAACATCGCTCTCCTGAACATGAGCAGTCTTCCCCTTCGGCCGGAGGCACTCGATCTCACGCTGAGAAGCCCACGTCCCCCTCCTCGTTCCATGCCTTTCAAGACGTGTCAAGACCGGTGATATCCCGCCCTCAAGACCTCGGGGGACGTCATCACAACCGGCGACCTTCTAAGCAACCCAGCCTGAGGCACGAACAGAGCTTCCCGAAGAGCAGCCGACCGAGGGAGTGGGAGGAGTGTGACAGGGAGGACGACACGCAAGGGAATTTCTTCGACTTTCCAAGCGTTGACGAGAGGCCAACGCCCTCGAAGGGTTACGAGAGTACCAACGCGCGCTCGCGGACGCGGTCGGGTCCTACCAAGCGGAGTGCGTACAGTCGTGATAGCGGTGGGCCATACCCATACCCCTTGCGCGACTCGAACTCCTCGACACTCAGCCATCTCGAGGACGCGCCCCAAACGCCGATTGACGACCCTTTCCTACGTGACCCCATCTTCGGCATCGCTTCCGTCGTAGTCGCTGCACCGATTGCGGGTGTTGAGACTATGGACGCTTTGGTGGATGGGATGAATGAGTTTGGGAACGATGACCATTTCATGGGATTGAGAGGCATGTCGGGGCGTTCCTCGAAGTTCACCAAAACCGGCTTCCATCCGCTCTACCATCCCCCGCTCCCCACGCCTCCTCCTGGAGTAATTCTCGGCGGTGCTCGGCCGCGCAAGCATTCCAGTCGATCTCGCGACTCTGATGCCGACGAGGACGAAGAGGAGCCGGCACGCACTCGTTCGCCTCCTCCTCGACCCCGGAAGTCGCCCCACCGTACCCCGGTACGCACCGCTTCTTCTACCACGGTGACAAGCAACACCTCCCCCCGTCCTTCGACCAGTCCATCCGTCACGGATTTGTCCAAGCAATTCCCTTCCCCTCACCGGACGGTAGCGCCGTCTATTTCGGACATCATCCGTGCCCATGCTCCTCTAGAGCATTCCTCACGCTCCCGCAAATCGTCTTATGCGACTAGCCATGGCCACGATAGTATCGCTCCTACGGTTAGCTCCCTCGGAAAGCATCGTGAGGTCTCGCAAGAACCAGCTGCTCCGCCCGTAGACGAGGAAGGTGACCTTGTCTCGCGCTCGTCAGTAGACACGCTCGCGGAGGAAATCCAGCGTACCATACAAGCGGAAAAGCGCTCTTCGGTTGTCCCTCGCACCGTTCACAAAGCACGCTCATTCCAGCAGCACCAGCAACACACGGCCCCGGAGATGACACGCACTATTTCCTCCCCCCGTTCGGACAGTCGCCGAGAGTCCTCTATCTACTCTTACAACACCACGATCTCCGACCAGCCGCCCCTCCCTCCTCTCGATCTGATGGGGCTCACGAAGGTGCCAGTCAACTCACCTTCGCAGACCATCGCCCAGTACCTGCGTTCTACTCGCTTAACTACTCTCCTTCGCCTTACTCGGTCCCCGCACGCCTCGCGCGGCAACCCGCTCACTGTGAGTTTGTCCGATTTGGGGAGTCCCACGGGTTTTCCCGTCATTGTATTCTTGGGTTTGGGGTGTGTCCGACATATAATGGGTTTGTACGATGAGATGGCGGAGTGTATGGGAATCAGGCTCATCACCATCGATCGGTGAGTAGTCGTAGACGTACTGGTGCAGCTGCGCAGAGGACTGATTGTCTTGGCAGTTGGGGCCTTGGTCGGACAGAGGTACCGAAATCGAAGTCAGCGAGAGGCATCCCGGAATGGTCCTCTGTCGTGGAGGAGGTGCTAGACCAATTGGATATCGGTCAGTGCAGCGTGATGGCGCATTCCGCAGGCGCGCCGTACGCGATGGCCTTCGCCAATCGATATCCTGAACGGATTCGGGGTGACGTTTGTCTCCTCGCTCCTTGGGTGGCTGGTGGAGAGGGCGGTAAGTTGTTTCGGGTGCTATATTCGGTAGCAGTGGCAACTTACTTGGCTTCATAGGAGGATACAAGTGGCTGAAGTACGTCCCGAATGGCCTACTGAAGACCGCTCAAGCCGCCGAGTGGAAGGTCCAAGCTTGGATGCTGGGGAAGCCGCCTACCATTGCGTTCGAAGGCATTGGCTTCAATGCGAAGTCGCCCATTTCCTCGCCTCCAAACTCTGCCTCTTCATCTACGTCAGCCCTCAATTCGCCCCCAACAACAGCGTCCACTGTTACGCGAGGCAAGATGGCGGCAGGTCAACAGGAAGCGGAACCGCGACCCAGTATCTCGTCTGCAGCATTTTCCGAATACGATGACCTGCGTGACTTCGAAGGGCGCTTCGACAGTCGTAGCACCTTAGGACGTAACAGCTCCAGCTCATATCGCAACCGGACCATTAGCGATAGCAGGTGTGGCAATCCGTCGACCGCAACTCGCAAGCCGTCAAAAGGCTTTCTCGGGCGTTTCAAGTCTGGCAACCAAGAAGCGCAGAGCCCCTCCAACGCCAAGTCGAGCAATGGTCCGGCCAAGAAGCTCAAGGCTCTTCGTTCTATGGGCTCGCTCAAAGGTCGGTCAAGAGGGAACACACCAAAGATGTCGGATCCTCCGGTGCCTACGTCACCGTGGATCCCTACTCCGACTTTGAGCGACAACGCCGAGATTGGTCTCGGTCTGGACCAGTTTGACTGGACGGACCCTGCGATGCTCGAGACGGGCCCCCCTTCTCCAGCGTCGATGAAGAAACCCCGAGATCTCCCACGCTTGGACCTCTCCAAGGATGGCTCAATGGCGTCTATATCGTCTCCTCGCGCAGGTGGCCGTCGCTCCGTCTCTTTCGGCGCGGCTAGCCCCACATCCCCTTCTCTCTCCTTCCTCCAGTCACCGCAAACGGCCACGATCAAGACTACACCCACATCAACCCCTACATCTACTCAAGGCTTCCAGGCTGCTCTCGGCAATGCACTCATTGCTGCATCCCATTCAGAGTCGTCAAAAGGTACCCACAGCGACCTACTACAGATCCTCAACCACGATCGGTTGCCTATGGGCTTCTCGTATCATGCGTACCCTCACAGCGTCCGAGTGTGGTACGGTGACCGGGACGAGAAGATTGCCGAACACGCTGTCCGCTGGATGGAAAACGCTATGGGGCCCGACAAATGCCAAGTCAAGGTCGTCAAGGGTGCAGAGCACGCGCTCATGTACAAGAGTAGCGTTGTCATTGAAGTTCTAGAACACTTCACTCAGTACTGGCGTGATTGTGAGTTACCTTGCTGTTCTATATCACGACAATACGCGGACTGACGAACGCTTCCGCGCAGGGGAATGAGCATGGAACTTATCTTATTTTGTCCCCTTGCACGCGTTTTATCAGTCTGCTGTCTTTCGATTCTTCTGTTGTTGGATTACATAAAGATTTCTTCACCTGCAGATACCTCTTGTCGTTCGCTGTCTCATCGTTCTCCAACTTCACTGTATCCTATATCATTGCATACCCGCTCTTTTGCACGTAGTTATACGTTACGCGCTACCCCTGACCTAGGACTAATAGCCAACATACACACCTTTCACCATCGCTTCGACCCGTTGGAATCCCGAGGATAGGTGGAATAGTTATAATAAACTCAAAGTTTTGGTGTACAACTTCTCTCGTAGTCTCATCCAGGTCATCACTACTAGCACTTGCTACTAGCCACTCGCATCAGTACAGTAAACCTCCAGAATGTGAATGTTGACGCCATCCGTCACCATTATCAGACCGCTACTGTTCGCTCGGCCAATGCCCGAAATGAACGTAGTGTCAGAAATACCAGAAAAGCTCAATACAAATGCAGAGGGTCCGTGAGTAATAACGTCCAAGGGTATCATTCATCTGAAGTTGGCGATGGCGTTCGCGGCGTGCGCGTCAGCCAAGCAGGGCGCGTGGGGCTGCTGGAGTATGTTGCCCTGAGCGGGCTTCGAGGCGGTATTGGGGGCACTGTCGACAAACGATTGTCAAATTTTGACTTATCATATTCAGGCGCAACGGTGAAATTGTTGCACGTACGTCCTATTCGCGGTGGCGATTCTGATGCAGGGTCCCCGAATGGTCCCTCGTCGAGAGGCATGTTCGAAGGCACCGTGTCCACGAAGGGATTCACCGGCCGCATCGGTGCGAGACCGACTGGGCCAGAGACAATGGAAACCGGAGCAGCTTCGCGCATTAACCCGGCGCTGCCTTCTGGGTCCGTCGAAGGTGGCGGTTGGTGATTGCGGACGAGCAGCCAGGTGATAGCAGCAAGCAAAGCCAACACAAAGAGCGAAGCGATGACTGCAACAACGATGATCACCGTCTTCGACACGCCAGGATTCGTCGAGGAACTGTTGTTCGACGACCCGTTCCCTGGCGCACCTGAAGATGTGCTCGTCGCGCGCCCGGACGATCCGGTACCAGATGCTCCAGTACCAGATGAGCCAGTATCAGGGCCAGCCGTAGGCTGCGGGCTCTCGGATCCCGTAGGGCTACCACTGGTGCCAGTGCCAGTCTGCGACCCGGTCCCGGTCGGAGAAGTGCCGCTGGCGCCTGTTGAGGTTGGGTTTTGGGTTTGAGTTTGAATTCCGCTAGGGCTGTTGCTATCGGACGTCGAGCTTCCTTGCGATCCGTCTGATCTGGTCGTCGTGACGCCGCTAGGTGAGCTCGTGGGCTGCGTCCCTTGACCAGAGCTGGTGGCTCCGGTGCTCGTAGTGGGTGCGCCACCTCCATTAGAGCCATCTGTGGTCGTTGTCGCAGCCTGAGAGCCACTCGACGTACCAGTCGAACTTGTGTCTGTGGTGCCGGTAGAAGTTGGTGCAGCAACGGTGCTATGTGGGCCATGTGCAGTGACTGTGATGGTCGGAATACTGCCTCCAGTAACAGAGGTGCTAGACGTGGTAGTGGTGCTAGGGGACTGACCTCCTGTACTACTGGTGTCAGGATGCTGCGGCAGACAGTCGGATATGAAAGACAAACCGTCGACTCCGTCAATAGTGAGGATCAACGCGTCGAAGGTGATCTGACTGGTATTGTTAAACCGCGCGTCCTCGAGATTGACCACGGTGAGGACGTGCAGCTGTGTCGGATCCACATTCGTGAAGGAGAACAGTATTTCCTGGAGACGTTTGACTTAGTTACAGAGGCGCACCGTATCATGGAACATCGTCTATACTCACCGGAGGCTGTGTCCCATTCTCCGTATCGTCATGCGCATCCACCTCAAGCACATTTCCACCAGCGTCCTGGCTGGGGTCGCAGTCTAGGCAAGCAAACCACAGAGCCCCGCCGTTGCTCTTGAATCCCTGATAGAACACCGCCGAGACGTTTCCTGCAGGAAGCCCCGACATGAGTGCAAGCCCATCCGCACAAAACATCACAGTCACGGGATGTGCACTCGAAGATATACACTCACGAGGCAACTGGACCACCAACTGCTCTCCATCCTTGTTCGCAAACGCGAACTGGTCCTCCGTCCCCGCCCCCTCGAACTCCGCCAAACTCCATCCGGCCGAAAACGATATCAGTGGGCTGTCGAAGCGGATCGTAGCATTCGCTGGCGCGCCGCTGGCGGCATCCGTGAATGAAAGCAAGAAGAGGAAAGCAAGAACGAGTTGGACTAGAAAGACATCATACACAACGAAGAGGCGAAACATGGATAGAAAAATCGGCGGGAATGCCCAGCATCCCGCGCGGGGAGCGAATTCTCCGCGAAGCTAGAAAGAAAAGAAAAACGGGAGGAGGGGAGAAGGAACAGACGTCCCTCGGTGGAGGACGAAGCTGGGCTCGGGAAGGGCGCCGTCTGCGCCTGGAGAGGCGCAGCCTTATGCAGCTAGGGCTCGTCAGTTTCGGTGTTCGCATCGTCATCATCCGTTCCGTCGACATGTCGAGAGTTGTCCTTCCGAGAGACAGGCCTTATCGGCGAACGCAGCAGCCAACCAATGGGAGACAAAGTCGAGTGATGATCACCTCGCAAGATGTGCTGATCGTTACCGAGGACCGTGTGGCTATGCCCGGGGACAAGGGAGGCACAATGCAGGATTTACATAGCGAGACTGGGATGCGTTAAATGACGTCGGATGAGGGAAAGACAAGATGCACAGCTGGTTTACACGGCGAGCAAATGTTATACGAGGTGGGTAGGTGGTAGAGATACAGGTGGGTGTAATATTGATACAGGAGACAGAACGACAGGCACATCAAACCCCAAAGGGGAAAGTCATGTCCATCTCGGCCTTCGGCCCCTTCCACGTCTCTTCAGGCTCCAGGGGCTGGATGCCTCTTGATTCGCGGATGTGCGCGACAGCATCGTATTGTTGCCGTACACTGCACTTAGAGTAGTGAGACAGAATCTCTGTGAGCCGCCTATAAATAACGCCGATGAACCGTTGGTAGCGAGGCCGGTTCAAGAAACTGTGTAGAGCCTGTCTGTGTCATATGCTTCGTTGTCACGACAATTGACACATACTCTGAGAGTCCTTCGTTGACTTCGACCTTCTTGGTAGCACCTTTCTCGTCAATAACGATATTATGTGTCACAACGAAGCAATCCTGGTCCGCCCACTTGTCGAAGACGTCTTCGATTGAGCCGTCGATAGGAGGATTCATCCTCTGCAAATAGGGGGGATCATCCCAGTCATGGGCCGCGGTCACTGTGATATCGCACGTGGTTAGCATATGCTGAGTACAACCTTATGGTATGCCTACCTGTCCCTCTGTTGGTGAGAAAGCCGATGTTGAACACCTTGTCGTTACTAAATATCTCGCGACACCTTTGGCCGACGTTGGATTCGCCTATGTAGTATGTGGTTGAGGTTGAATAACAACCGGGAGACGTGACTTACGCCGCCTCTTGCCCACGTCAGTCGCTCTAGCATCCCCGACATGCGAATTGTGAGCCCACACGACGACTTTGGCGCCGCCTCTAGGACTCGGAGATAAGCCTAGGTATTGCGCGATGCCAGACACAGTCCTGGCAAAGTGTTCGTCGCTGATAGCGCGAACGCGTTGAGACGGAATCTAATCACGGGAGGGCAGGATGATGCTGTACTCACCGCAAGTTCCAGCTTCGCACGTCCTCTGTCATCATTGTGCGGTAATACTCCTCAGCATCTTTGACGACCAGAGCGTTCATCTCGGCGACGAACTGTTCCTCGTGGGGATGCGCGAACTTATCCCTAAGAATTTCTTGTTCGATGAATCTCTGTCGGTTGAGGAGCAAGTTCTTCAGGTTGTCGATAACTTCACGATGACAGTCCTGCGGACAAACATTGAATCATTCGTGGGATACGTCGAAGGTGTAGAAAGTCTTGACCTTTTTCAATCCAAACTGCGTCTCGTACGCATACCTCCTTGTATCCTCTCCAAAGCGCTCGAAGCAGTTATACCTTGTCCAACACGTCAGAAGAATCCTCCCATAATCGCAATCATTGCACACTTCTTACGAGCCTGCTTTGCGCCCTCGGGGTCTACTGTCTCTAGATATCGGATGACTTGCTCCGCCGACCGATGGAGGGAATACACGTCCATGCCGTAAAAAGAGACCGTCCCGGAAGCGTCTCCTTCAGTCTCTGCGACCTTCTGGTTATGCTGCTTCATCCATTCGATGAATGGCGGCATGGCTTCATTCTTCCACATCCACTTCGGGAATCTTCAGAAGCGCATCTCGCGCCTTGAGCCGGAACAGCATATGTCATACGAGTTACCACATACCTCTCAAACTCCGCAAGGGAGTCACGGGCGTTCTTGATCTTGCCCGTTCGAGTATCTCCGCCATGGATGTACCTGGGAAGGTCGGAGATATGGAGTGAGCGTTGTCGAGCACCTAGATGGCTCTCTCTTCAAATCACCTGTTGATCCTAAAGGCATCAGGCCAATCCGCCTCGACGGCGACGGCGGTGAAGCCCTTTTCCTCGATTAAGCGTTTTGTTATGTTCGCACGATGGGCGTAAAACTCGTACGTCCCATGCGAGCCATCGCCGATTAAGACGATTTGGGCGTCCCCTTTGGCGGCAGGCTAATGAGCAGGAGGCTGTTTGGCGGAACAAGGGCCGGAAGGACGTTACCGATAGCGTGAAGGAGGGGGTCATATGAGGAAGAAGAGAAGGAGAGCGGATGGATGTGAGCCCGCAGGACTTCTTTCTCTCTGATTGATTCGGCAGGCATGTTGCTCGCAATCGAGAACAACCTTCTCACTAAACTCCGAAGGGATGTTTTGACCAAGACGGCTAAGATGGTGATAACGAGAGCGACAGCGTAATAGCAGACATCGCGAGCTGCAATATAACGGTGGGGGACGGGGTGGTGGAGACATGACTGCTGGTATGACGTTCTGTTGGAGGTAAGATGTCTCGTGGTCCTTGCTCTGTGGGACTCTCAGAGTACAGGGTGCATCTGTTGTGTACGCGGGGCGTCTGGCACCCCGGGGAATCATGAGCATGCAGGGTCGGGAAGATAGAGGAGGCGGGGGCGGGGAAATCTGATGTGTGCGCAGTGGGTGAGTACTAGTACATAGGCGATGTGAAGGCCGGGCTACTGCATTAATTGAGGACCGAGCCCTATTAGGTAATCGGCGGGCGTAAGGGGATCGTCCGTAAGTAGGGTGCAGCTATGAGATTCGATCGGGGCTCCTGCCGTAAATGTGGCGGAAACAACGTTTGGCCAAGGTTGCGAGCATCAGTTCCTTCCCCATCCTCCCTCTCTCCCTTGGCTCAAACGGCCACTATGCCGCCTCAAGGGTTCGTATCACCCCTGTCTCCCGCAGTATCAAGCTCACCATCTCACTATACAGGTCCCAGTCGCAGCACAAGAGGAACCTTGCGGTCAAACGCCAGGACGGCGAGCCCCTCACGCGCGTCGACCTCCAGTATGACATGTTGAACGCTATCTTCAACGACAAGCACGCGGTCTTTACCGACCCTCATACGACCATTCGCGGCGATCCCGCCGGTACACTGGTCACATTCCGCGACCTCTACGTCAATGCTCTGATTCATTCGCCGAAATGCTCCAAGGCGTCCCGAGACAAGATCAGGGAATCCCCGGAATTTGGTAATGAGTTCGCGATGATCTCCCTTCTTTCAAACGTAGGCCGCATCAATACGACCATGGCTTGTGAGTGAATATTGTTACCGTGTTGTGGTTCAAACTGGTGCATACATCCGATCCTTTGTGACAACGGCTCCCGTCCCGCTTCTTCACGGCCCATAGGCGCACCCGTGGGGAATGAGCTCAAGCTAACTAGCGCTTTCGCTCACTAGTCTTTCCTGAGATGAAGACAGCTCTCCGGACATATCATCCTGTGCCGGCACTGCAGCGAACAAACGGCAACCTGCAGGATGCTCCTCGAATCAAGAACATATTGAAGTCTTGCTTCATACCTGGCGAGGAGCAGGGCATGTACAGTACTCCAAGCGACGTGCTCGCACGGTCTGTAAGTCGGACCTTTTCACGTTCGTCTTGTGACCTCTATCCGATGTTAATATCCGTTCTCAAGCGCTCTCGTAAGATACCCCCCACGAGCATTGTCAACCTCATCTTTGTCTTCTCCAGTCACTCTCCTGTAAGCTGTCGTAATGTGTTCCCTGCGTAATAAAGAGACTTACCGCGATTCTCTGTCCGTGCTTGCAGACCATTGCTCGTAGCCACTTCCCACCGCGTGCCGGGGTCGACTTCTTGGATTTGTTCACGCCCGTGCGCATCTCTTCACAGTCGCGCGCACGAGCGTTTCTCTGGCTTTGCTACCACTATCACGAAGCCCCTTCTCCCAATCCATTTTCCGACGCCAATTCCGAGGACTTTCCGGATCGAGTACCTCCCCTAATTCGACTCACCGACGCAGAGGCCCAGGCAGAGAACATTGACTCCGCAGAGGAGCACCAACGAGGCTTTGACATGACAGACCTGCGGAAGCGCTTTTTGGAGACTCAAGCCAGAGGAGAGTATTCCAGGGATCCAGACCTCGACCTCACGAGACCTCAGGCCGGAGAACCTACAGGGCGCGGCAAGGGTAAAGGGAAGGATCTTGTTCAAACAGGCTCCGGATCCAGAATACGAGAAGCGTCTCCTGCCGATAGCCAATATTCGGCCCTATATCCTCTTAGGGACGAGGACATGCTTGAGGGTACGTCTGCCGTTAACCTCGAGCAACACGCCCTCACCCTTTTGCAGGACCCGGACGGCCTCTTCTGAGACGCCTTCCATCACCTCAACCTCACCATTCCCCCGATCGTCGCCATCTCGCTTCCCCGCTCCAGCGACATCCCCTGCACGGCCACTTGGGAACGAGCTCTTTTCCTCGTGCAGTGGCAGACCCCTATCCCCGGCGACCTCCGAGCCCCAGTGCTGAGCTATCGCAATCCAGTAATGGCAAGCCCCTGCGGACCCAATTACGCAAGCATCGAGGACATGCTTCTCATGCGCCATTGTTTCTTCATGAACCCTACCAATATGCTCCTCGGATTCCTCGCCCCGCACTCGTTCCTCCGAAGCATGCCCCGACATCTCCTGACACCCCGAAGCGGACCATGCTTGAACGTCAGTATTGTCTAATCCTATTCTGTATTGGGCATTCAACCTGGTCGAATTTTACAGAGGCGTGGCATGTCTCAATGACAAGTGACCCGTTGTTGGACTCCGACGACGAGGTATTCGCTGATGAGAATACCCGGCTGGACTACGGTTTGTTTCGTGTTATCAGATCTCTGTCATCCGCGAAACGCTCATGCTTCCCGCCTCCTCAAGTGCTGCGTCTGCGCATAATCAGTCGGCTGCGCGGCAAAGAACCTACACCTCCGCGGGACGTGGCGCCTTACGGCGTGAACGCTGTGAACCCAATAGTTGTGCCGTTGGGCGCTCGGTGAGCCTAGGTCATCCGTCCTGTGTCCGCAACCCGGCACTTCTTTCTCAAACAAGAGGACGCAAAAACAGGGGGATGCGCAGCCTGCCATCTCGCAGACCTCTTCGTGCTTACCATGTCCTCTCTTCATCGATGTCCCCCTTGTCAGTATACATAACCCACATCACTATCGCATCAAGCTGTTCGGTCTCAACATTACTTCTGGGCCCATGTAATCTCCCTCGACTCCCCTCGCTTTTCCGAAGCGCGTACGTCTCTAGGCTTCATGCCGACGATACCCTCTATCTATTGACTTCGCATCATGTAGTATTCGGCATCCCGCATCCGCTCGCATTCACGACCCTAGCATCGCTGTATTTTCCAAACTGCATTGGTCTTGCTGTCCGTAGCAATCATATACTTCCTGCACGTATGTTCTTCGAATTGACATAGAGGATCAGATATGTTTTCGCATCCGTCGTTGCAGCCCAGAAAGATGTGATGTACAGCGGAAGAAAGATGATCGTATTCACTAAGGAGCATAAGACAAGTAAGGTATGTACAGGCAGACACGAAGAATCCAAGGCGAACAGGAGAGGCCTGAAGTGCAATAAGAGAACAAGGTGTGAGAGAATATAAGACGTCTATCCCATAAGCATAATTTTACACGATGTGACACGAAACTACTAGCCCAAAGACCGCCTCGAGTGTGTGATGGAAAGGTGGGATGCGTATGTCGTATGTCTGAGCGCGAGCCAGATTGTATGTACGCGATTGTGCTGAAACAGTGAGGAGAGTAGTACACGCAAGGCAAACGACCGTCGGGTTGGTCTTCGTCCACAACAGTTTGGGCTTCCTTACTCGCATCGCAGCCGCTTTCGTCCGTCCGTCCGTCCGCATTTACACCGCCCTCGCACCCATATGCACCCACACCGACCCTACATTAATGATAACAACACGCCGCGCTGCACTCACCACGCGGGCACGCACCCCGCCGCTCACTCCGCGAGCCACTTCTCGCATTTCTTCACGTACTTGTCAAGCAGGAGCGCCATGTCCCGGATGACGAACGTGAGCACGACCTTGGCGAAGAACTCGGACGCGTGCCGCAGCTTCGTCTCGAGCGCCGCGCGCACGTCGGGCGGGAACGCGGCGTAGAGCGGGGCCATGCCCTGCGGCGCCACCGCCTTGGTGTGCTCGTCTAGTACCTGCGCAGTCAGGAAAAGCTTCGAGAGGCCCTGCACGTACAGCGCGGGCGAGTCCAAGCTGCGAAACGGACCGGCGTCAGTGTGGCAGCGCGAGATCAGGTCGGGGACGTCACGCACTTCTTCCCGTTCGTGATTTTGTCGAACTGCCGCGTGAGCCGTCCTCCCCAGGAGGTGACCTAAGATCCGCACACGCACGTCAATCACCGCACCATGAACACGAACAGCGCACGCAACACGCGGGGTAGGGAGGAGGAACGGGCACTCACCCCGCTGCTCTTCTTCGTCACGAAGCCCTCCCCGACGCCGAGCTTCTTCCCGAACTGGCCGACGACGCCGTCGCACACGCTCGAGAACTCCTCCAGCTTCGCCGCCCACAGCTCGCCCTCCTTCCTCCCGATCGCCCCGATCCCGAGCGCCATCCCGCTGCTGACGTTGCCCGCCCCGAAGTACTCGGCCGACCAGTGCGCGAGCTCCTCGAGCGCGGAGCACAGCACCTCGACGACGCGGATCTTCTCGGGCACATTCGTCAGCTTCGCGCCGCCCTGCGACCACACCTCCTGCGGGACGTGCAGCCGGCGGGTGATGTACCCGCCTGTCTTGGACGTCATCGTCTGCCGGAGGAGGTGCATCATGTGGTACGGTTTCCGCAGTGTGTCTGTTGGGGCGCTCGATGGGAGCGGGCTGAGCGGCGCGGCGGGTATATTGGCGTAGGGTATCGGCGGCGGGGGAACGAGTGGGGGCGACGTCATCCAGGGGCCCGACAATGTGATGGGCGACAGCATCGCCGTGTTGACGGTGATCTGGGGAGGTGCGGAGGGGTTCAGGCGGGAAGGTATCGAAGGCTTGCGCGGGGCCGGCGAGCCGCCAGACGCAGGAGAGGGGTATGTGTTTGCGGTGGCCATGGAGGGCCTTCTACCGGGTTGGGACGACGCACGACTGCGGCCGATGCCCAGACTACTGACAGTGCTCGCGGGGAGGGACGACGCTATCCTGCTGCCCATGTTCGGCACGGACGCCGCAGACGTCGTCGAGTCGGTGGGCGACGACGCATCGCCGTTGGAGGATGGCGGGGCGGACGACTTGCCTCGCCGCTGGTGGATGGTCCCCATAGCCGGAGAGGTGTTGATTAGCGTCGGCTTGCTAGTCGGCGTGACCTCCGATCGGACGGACAGCGTCGATCCACCTCTCGGGCGTGGTGTCATGAAATTACCGGGACTACCTGGCGGGGCAGGCGACGCTGGCTCCGAGGCACCGAGATTCCTGGGAGTATGCGTCTCGAGGGAAGGGGTGGGTAGAGGTGGTAGAGGCGGGGAGGCTCCATAATGCATGTTCGCGCGCGACCTTGGACGAGGCGGCTCCTCCACAGGCTGCGGAGGTTCATGGGACACCCCGCCGTCGAACGACTCCTCGCGGAGGGCAGCTAATCGCGCGCCCGAACTAGTGCGTTTGTGGCTTACTGAGTTGCCTCGCGAACGAGCGATGTCGACCGGACGCAATGCTTGTGTCGGTGTGAGTTCTGGATGGTCGGGTCTTGTCGGTGAGGGGGCTGGGGGAGGGAGAGATGTTGGTGGAGGCGCGGGCGGTGGTAGTGTTGACGATGCCCGCGGCCTAGAGCGGATCACCGACTGTCGGGAACTTACTGGGGACGCCGCTGCTGGCGCCGCAGCGGCAGCATACGGATGCACTGGTGGTGAGGCTGTTCCATGTGCAGAATGTAGAGAGCGCCCGGAGGGAAGTGGGGAGAGACCGGTGTAGCTGCTGGTTCGGCTGAGTGCGCCTGCCTCGTCATCCGTTGTGCTATCGCCCCTAGCGGTCTCTGACGAGTAGCGGTGCTCTCGTTCTCGCGAGCGTGAGGGTGAGCGTGGATGGCTGCCGACATCGGACGCTTCAGAGGTGGGCGATATTGATGAGGGGGAAGAGGGACGCGTGGAGTCACTCGACGCGGATACGGACGAGACCGACGGTGGCGAATGCGGGGGGAGGGGGATATCGTACACGACGCTGAGGATGTTCATGCGATCGGCGTACGTATCATGCTGTAGTGCGAGAGCGGGGTATTCGCTTAGGCGAGAGGGAGCGCACAAAGACAACCCTGACACTCACGATGGATTTCAGCCGTCGCACTTCCTCCTCCTGCGCGACTACACTTCTCCGTCTCCCATTTCTCCGCCTTGATGTTTCTGTGCTGTCCTCTCCTCTCATCACCCTCTCCATCACCTCGCTCAGGAGCGCCACGCTCTTCGCATAGGCCATAACCGCGCCATAGGGATCGTCATTCGTCGAGTCCAGCTTCACAGCTTCTCGCGCCAGCTCCAACGCCTTCGTCAGAGCCCGCCGCGACGACGGTCGCGGTTGGGTCGCTCGCTGGTCCATGGGAGGAAGTAGCAACCGGTCCGCAGAGATCTCCTGGGCGGTGGAAGGGGCAGGTTGTGTAGTCGGGCCGCCGCGAAGGATAGAGGGAGGTGGCGAGTCTGCGAGGTTCTCGGACGAGGGCGTGCTGCTGAGGGGTGGAGACGTGTAGCCGGTGTTGGAGACAGACGCGAATCTGGCTTGGGAGAAAGCGGTGACTGCCGCTAGACCGGGGGAGGGCGATGGGCGCGAATATGTTGCGTTTATGCTGGGAACATCGGGACTTGATGCTGATGAATCTGACATTCCATCATAGTCTCCGTATCGCGACAGGCCCATGGTCGGGGGCAGACTCGGGATGGGCAGCGAGGGCGGCGGGCCGGGGGGAGGGGGAGTGTGGCCGGCGTTCGAGCGACGACGCGCCGCGAAGGAGGATGAGGAGGAGGAGGTAGCTACCAACGAAGTTGATCCATCAAGCGCCGTTGTTGTCCAGTCCCGGCCCTTGTGCATGATAGACACCGGTCGGTTGTCGTAGTCGAGTTCCATCGTGGACGACGAGGAGAACGTCGTGGTCGACGTGTACAGTATGCGTGTACCTGCCAGTGTCCTGTACTACTCGTCCGAGCAAGAGGACCGTCACAGTCCTAAACCGGGAGAGTCGCTTGTGCAGGCAAACAAAAGTCCCGTTAAGGCTAGCTCGCAGCGGCGCCCGCAAGTATTCACACCAAACAAGAAGCGGCAGGACTGAGAGCGTAGACGGAAAGGTGAACGGCGAGAGCAGCCAGGGCGCGCTCGAGCGCGTCGTACGGGACCGGGAGCGCGGACTGGGCTATATCGGATACCGTCGCGCGCCACAAATACGAATACTGATAGCACTTGAACTCGCCAAGATCGATCGGGGAGCAATTTAGCCGCACATACGCGGAGGCGGGGGCGGGACAGGACGAGTACAGGAGCGAGGGCGGTGGAGGCGAAGGCGAAGGCGGACGTTGAAGGGCGGCGGGAGTAGGCAATCAACAGGAATATTGGAGATCGGCAAGACAATGGAGGAGAGGTGGGTAGCCGCGAAGGACCGTCTCCCAATGGCAATTCTGTCTACCGCATGCCATGGTCCATCGCCGCCGTGGTCGGCAAACACTTCCAAGGTACACATATACATATGGTTTCTCGCGCCTCCCGCGCCCTTGCCTTGGAACACCCGCCACGACGGTGACGCTAGCCACACTTCGTTATCATCCCCGCCCACAACTGCAACTCTCCTGCCGCCACGCTCTGTAGAATGCCCAAATCGCCCGCTATGTCGCTCACAGAGCGCCGTCCCCCGTCTCCGTCGCGACGACTAAACGTCCCGCGGATCGAAAGAGCGGCATTAGAGCTAGAGCCCCATCCATGCATGACCACACTAGGGCAGTAGCTGGAGAGATGCGCACATCTATTTCTGATCATCATCGCATCCTCGCGCACCTTCTCCACCCATCAGTTCTTCCATGGCTGCCAGCCGTGCAGCGCCGGTCTTCCCAATTCACTGGCACACCCGCTCACACCACCTCTCCATCATCTTCGCAAACAGACATTGAACGTCAATCGGTGCAGATCAAACGATTAAGCGATCCGAAAGAGCGGCAGGACATCGTACTATCAACGCGCAGATACACAACACTGGTGGTCGAGAGAGAAGAGAAGCAACGAGACGCGAGACGGTGCTAGAACAAGTATCGCAGGGCTAGGTATTGAAACGCATATAGTATATCATCCAGATTGAGAACCCACGACCAATGGGAGAACAACGAGGGTGAGCCGAACACACGGGGTATAAGTACCGGAATCTTGGGGGGACCACATTTTCGAACACTACCACCATGAGGCAGTAGATCAGTCGCGGAACTCCGACTGTGAGCCTTGAGCCGCGAGGCGGCTCTCGAGATTCCTGCGAAATGCGTCATCAACTTCCCGCCTTTTCCCACTAGCATATCAGTTGAACTCACCTGAGCGACTCTTCCTTTGCCAAAAGCTCTTGCCTCTTCTCGTTGATCTCGCGCTGGACCCGAAGTTCGATCTCGCGCAGCTGAATGATAGGACATCAGCATACAAACTGGACGAGACAGACGGAAGCTTCATCACTTTCTCTTCCTCCCGACGGAGCTGCTCCTCCTTGAGACGGACGCTCTGGCTCGCAAGCTCCTCGGGAAGGATCGACGAGTCCCTGTTGGGTCTATTAATCTCAGTACCAATCCGAGACGCTCGCCAGACACTTACTGAGTATCGGAGTGGACAGTCCTGGAGAGCTTCTCAGTACGGTACGTCTCATAGAGCACGTCATGGGTCAGTGCCTTGAGGTCCGCCAAGTGGGTGCTGTGTGGGTGCCATGAGAGGCACGTCCTGTTATTCGGCAGCAGCGCACTCACTTGAGCAGAGCGCCCCGGAGGCGACTGAAGTCGCAGTGCTTGGGGTTGTCAACCTCGGCAATACCCCATGGGTAGATCCTAGCACGGACGGGCTGGCCGTCGATCTCGATTTCCTCCTCAGAACCGATGATGGAGAACGGCATCAAGGCCTATACGAGACGGTCAGACGTCACAGTAGACGAGGGAACGAGATGTACGAACGCGGAGCTCGCTGTTGTCCTGGATCGTGTCCTCGTCGTCCTCCTCAATGTCGTACGGGAAGTTGTACACCGGGATATCGTAGTACTCGATATCCTCCATAATCTACAATATGCCTGTGAGCGAGTTTCCCATAAGCGATCCTGTGTACACCTACCCGCTTCTTGAAGCCACGAAGCTCGCTGGGAGTAAGCGAGTCGGCCTTACCGATGACAGGGATGACATTGACGCGGGGAGACAGGCGGCGCATCAACTCAATGTCGATCTCACGCAGGCTTCATGTGTGTATAAGACATGTGCCCATCGCATAAGGAGAATGAAGACACCTACGCATGGCCAGTGGGAGAGATGAAGTAGAGGAGAGCATGCACCCTGTTGTCCCTGAAGCGGGGGTTACGCTTGATACGAGACTCCTCGGCGAGAATGTCATCGTATTGACGCTCGAGGTAGCCAACGATCTCCTGGAAGCTGTTGTGTGGCGATGCAGCATGTCAACGGTCGCACCGTATGGCAAGTACGAATGACACGTACGCGAACTCGTTGTCAATGTTGTCACCGAATCCAGGGGTGTCAACAATGGTCAGGGCGATGCGAACACCGTCCTCCTCAAGCTCTGCGCGACCGGTCAGCGAGAGCGTCACGTCAAAGTATCAGAGAAATACGTACCGACGTTGACGGGCTTGATCCTAATGCCCTCCTCGACGTGAGCGGTCTCGGGAGAGTCGCAGACCTTGTGTTGGAGGACTTCAGACTCGCAAAGGGTGTTCACGAAAGTGGTACGGCCAGTGCCAGAGGCACCTATGAAAAAGACATAACGTCAGCAATTGCCGGAGAGCAGGGGACGGGGTATACCGTCCAAGGGGCGCGCATAGCCCGTGCGTGTTGGCAGATGAAGCGCGCTGCAACCGGGAAACAGGACGACTTACCGACCACCATGACCGTGAACTGAACACCCTTTTTGACCTTGTTGCCCCTACGTCTGCCAGCGAACGACATGATGAAGAGAGGATGGACTGTGTGCGAGAGACGACCTGGGCTACGGCGACCGCTTTTTCGTGGTCGTGGAACACGAAGGCAAGTTGGGTCGCTGCCCTGTTCAAACTCCGCCCCATACCGGGCGCTAAGCGCTTCCCTGCGCGGGTCGTTCCATCCTTGGCGCCCGCCATTGGCTACTTCCATTCATCTACTACTCACCGCACGGTGTCCCCTTCCCTTGCATTTCTGCGTATATGCTCTCTACCTCCTCGCCTTCTATAACATGCTGCGCCAAGAGGGGACTACATCCTCACTTTGCAAGGTGTATCACAACGGGTCTACCGCTCGCAGAGGAAGCCACTCAGCCTCGGAGGAGACCGAGAGTAATCAAGAAGCAATATGCCGAGCTTCCGACTGGACGTGTTCTCGCAGATGGTACTATGTCGCCTCCTCTTGGAGAGTGGATTGGAGGACTTGGGGAACCGATAGTCGCGTATGGGAACGTTCCCTCTTCCATACGTGCGCACTTCCATGCAGGTCAATATATTTCTTCTCTAACGCTACGTTGCAAACTCCGGTCGTGTAATGGTAGTCGGAGACTCGAGTCAGCCATCTTCCGAGGTGGCTGCTTGTGTCATAGAGGGATCTGATACTCCATTAAGCGAGGACTCGAGCATTGCCCCAGCCAAGAAAGTGAGAAGGAGACGCGTCAAGTCAAGCCTTCCTGAAACCGATCAAGCAACTGAGGATGGGGTGGAGAGCGTATCTGCACCGGGAGCCAGAAGGGGTAAGTCGGCCAAGCGAACTACAGATGGTAAGCGTGGATGCACTGCTCATGTACAAGCGGGAAGCTAATGAATAATACGGCAGATGCGGAAGTGCCACCACCATCAAGCCCTCTGGCAATGGAAATCTTGGAGAATCTCAACCGATACCCTCATTGCATATTGCTCACTCGCGTCGGCCAGTTCTATGAGGTATGGTAAGACCTTCTTTGCTTGAGAAGGATCCCTGTTGACAATCGTCCCGTTAGTCATACTTCGACCAGGCCGCAGAAGTCTCCCGTCTCCTAAACATCAAATTAACAAAGAAGACGTGGGGCGGGCAGCGCGTTCTAATGTGTGGCTTCCCCATCATGTACCTCCACAAGTACCTCAAGATACTCGTTCAAGACCACAAGCGTTTTGTCGCCATTTGTGAGGAATTCCGTCGCGACCGCCCGTTGGACGCGAAGGGTGCATTCGAGAGGCGTGTCACGCGGATCGTCACTCCGGGAACCCTCATCGACGAGCCTTTTCTCAACCCTTACGAGAATAACTTCCTTCTTGCCGTTGCTCCCGCTGAGCCTGAACGGCTTGAGGGAAGTTCAAGCCCATCTTGCACGTCTGAGACTCCAGTCGGCCTTGCCTGGATAGACGTCTCCACGGGAGAATTTTATACTAAGAATACGACGCTAGGTGGACTCAGGGATGAGGTAGTCCGCATCAGTCCCAAGGAAGTCATCCTGGACGAGCGCCTTCGCGACGACAATACCAGTCCTGTTCGAACTGCGGCCGTCGAGGAGAATTGCTTCGTATCCTATATCTCCCCGTGCAAGTTATCCAACGTGTTACAGAGACTTCCGCCTTCTGCCGACCAACCGAACGCCGACGACCTTCTAGCTCAGATTGACGCATCGAAGGAGGTCTTTCCGGCAGCGTTGACCGGGGAGGAGGCCGCCGCAATTGAATTGTTGACTGCGTTCATGCACGCTCATCTCATGGAGCACATGCCATCACTCATGTCTCCCCACCGAGAGTTGTCGAGTAGCAGGATGCAGATCGACTCGCATACCGTGAAGGCGCTGGAGATTCGTCAGAGTCTGCGAGAGGGAGGCACGACTGGAAGCCTACTACACGTCATCAAGCGGACCGCGACGAGCAGCGGCACCCGCCTTCTCGCACGCTGGCTATGTGAGCTTCAAGCGTTCCCACATGAGATTTCGCCCTGACGAGCACGTTTCAGGTTCCCCGAGTACTTCCGTGGTAGAAATCAATGTCCGCCAGTCTTTGGTTGCGTTCTTCCATAGCCGTCCTTTCCTGCGCCAGGACTTGGTATTGCTCTTGCGCGAAGCGGAGGACGCTACTCGCATCGCACAGAAGTTCCTTCTCGGACGAGGGTCTTTCCCTGACCTTACCGCCATCTGCACGACGATTGACACTTGGTCTTCTATCAAGGAGAGAATTCTCATGGAGAAAAAGATGGATGAACGGACCGACGATACTGTCGGCGACGCTGAATGGTCTAGTATTGAAAAATTGATGGAGAAGCTTGTCGATCTCGAATGGCTGGCGGCTCGCATCCGCACAGCGCTCGTTCCGCGAGAGATGACGCCGATGCCAGATAAAGAATTCAGTTCAGATGAGCTTTCGACGAGCTCGGTCACCCCAGTGCCCGGCCGTGACTTCAGGAACCCCCTGGGGATCACTGACTGGACTATCAAACCTGAGTCTGTTGTCCTTCAATGTTCTGTGAGGGATCTATACTGACAGCTTCTCAGGTTCTCTGAACAGTTTGGTGACTTGCACGCCACATTGCAGTCTCTTCTTGCAGAAAAGGACGAACTTGAACGACGACTGCAAGTGTCGTATGGTGAGAATTGTGCTCTTACTGGTCTATCTTGGCTAAACCATTTGACAGCCGCGCCGACTTTGACATTGCGTGCGTCGCCCGGCCTCGGAATGCACATACACGTCGCTCGAAAGGCTCATGCATCCCAGCTCAGGAAGGATGCTGACTTCATCAGCGTGTCTGAAAGCGGGTCGACATGCACATTTTTCCATATTGGCTGGTCGCAGCTTGCGGCGCAGATCAGTGAGACCACTATGGCCATCGCCGTGGCTGAAAAAGAGGCATTTGAAGTGCTACGGAACGAGGTATCTGACATGCATTCACTCAATTTGGGCCGCGTTTACACTTCGGCAGGTTATCTCCCAATCAACTAGTCTACGCCGGAATGCACGCATAATCGACGAGCTTGACGTTACCTTGGCATTCGCAAACCTCGCTGTAGAGATGCACTTTGTGCGGCCTACAGTAACTGAAAAGTGAGGACAGCCACCATATTATCAATTTTGTCATGCTAAAGTCGTTCTCCAGCACGTCTTATCATGTCGTAAACGGACGCCATCCGACAGTTGAGCTTGGCCTTCTCACGTCTGGACGAGGCTTCACACCAAACACGGTCACTTTCACGCCCGACTCTCAACTCCAGATCATTACTGGACCCAACATGGCGGGCAAGTCGACGCTGCTACGGCAAACCGCTCTCATCGCCATATTAGCGCAGATTGGGTCTTACGTTCCCGCCGACTCTGCTGAGATAGGCATCGTGGACAGAGTATTCTCTCGCGTGGGAGCGAAGGATGACCTCTTCCGCGACCGGAGTACGTTCATGGTGGAGATGCTAGAAGCTAGCGACATCCTCCGGCGGGCGACGCCCAATAGCTTGGTACGCTCTCACCACTGGGACATTCTTGTTATCTCCTGAAAAAGCCTTAGGTGATCATGGATGAGGTCGGTAGAGGAACTACAGTTGAAGATGGCCTGGCGATCGCCTTCGCAACGGCTCACCATCTCTTGTCTGTGAATGGCTGTCGGGCAATGTTCGCGACGCATTTCCACGAGCTGGCCGACATGCTCGGCTATGATGCCGAATCTCACCACGGGCACGGAGCGTTCTCCAAGGTCGCATTCTTTTGCACCGACGTGGACGAGATAGAAGTGAGCCTCTGACTGCGACGGCAGTGAGCTGTTTAATGATCTATGTCTACAGGACGGATTTTTCGCATATTCGCACAGAGTGAAACCTGGGGTGAATCGAGATAGCCATGGGCTGAAGGTGGCTCAGCTCGCAGGGATGCCTGAGTCGGCGGTCGAGGTGGCGCGATCAGCTCTTGCATGGCTGAAGAAGCGGTCAGCAGAGCGGGCGGACAGTAAACTAGATCTTCGGACACTGGGCCAAGTACTGGTGTCCTACAATTGAGCATGAAGGACTACGTCTACCCGACAGCTTGTCTGTTCCTAGTAGTTTTCAATCGCCTTGCTCTTCGGGTTTGACCTGCGCCCATGTCTTTATCTCGCGATCGGATTTCTGGAGCGAACGAAGCACGTCTCGGTCAAACTCTTATAACAGCGTCGACGAGGCGAGTCGGTCTCGCATAATTTAGGGAATACAGAACGATATGGCTGTTGACCTCTTCAGATGTAGTGGTCTCACAAGATCTTCGCGCAAATGCGCGCCTTATATGCAGTCGGAGAAGGCAGTCTGAGTTACTTCCAAACTATGTCATGACGTTAACCCCTCACATCCATATCTGGAAGACGATGCAACTGGACGGAAGGGCCATGTCTTCCTCTCTCAATGCCTCGTGTCCTAGGGTCAATTGGCTTGTAGTGTGGAGCACCTCTCGATGCCTGGATCCACGGTCTTACCCACCCGCAGATTCACATTGAATCCAGCTAACGCAATGCCAACCTGATACACATACAATAGATAGTACAGTAGATACTTTTGAGATCCATTTTTTCCACACATGTGTTCAGCTCGAACTCGAGCCAGCCGCGATCTGCGCCCGGATGTGGTTCAGCGCGGAGCCCGCACGGAGCCACTTGAGCTGGTCCGCGGACATCGTGTGGCGGACGGGGATCTCGAACGTCTCTCCATTCCTGCGCGTCACGCGGAGGCTCACGACCGCGTCCGTCTTGCCCGCGAGCAGGTCCGCGAGGCCGAGTGTCTCGATGGTGTCCCCGGCGCCGATGCGGGTGTAGTCGACCTTATCGACGAACCAGAGCGGCAGGATGCCTTGTTTCTATCGTGTCCAGATGTTCAGTGAAGGGGTGCGGGACTATACGGGACGGTCCTTACTTTGAGGTTGGTCTCGTGGATACGAGCGAAGGAGCGGGCGACGATCGCGGCGCAACCGTAGAACCGAGGCTGCAGAGCAGCGTGCTCGCGCGCGCTGCCTTCGCCGTAGTTGTCATCAACGACAAGGGCCCATGGCTGCTTGCGAGCCTTGAAGCGCTTGGCGACATTGGGAATGGTGTCTGTCTCGGACTCGCCAGGTGCATGGTCGTAATCAAAGGCAACATTGACATCGCCACCCTCGTCATTGACGGCCTGGAAACGGGTCAGCGCTGACACAACTGGGATCGCTCGGTGGCACTAACAGTGATGACTGAGGAATGTACCGTCAGTGAGAGCGAAAAAATACAGAGAGTCGGGATACGTACGAAGGTTCTCGGAGATGTTCGTCAAGTGACCCTTGTACTTGAGCCACGGTCCCTGCAGCATCCCATCAGAGCCCCTCTCCACTCCTTTGAGACAGCAAACTCACAGCGGCCGAGATATGGTCGGTCGTGCACTTCCCTCGCACCCTCATCAAAACCTTCAACGGTGGCAGCTCCAGCCCCCTCGAATTCCCGCTCCCCTCCCCAAAGTGGCTCGGGAAAGGCTGCAGGATCTCCAGCCGCTGGGAGTCCGGACGGATGACCACCTCCGTCTCTGGCTGCGGCTGCGGCTGCGGCTTCGGGTAGTAATCTGTCTTCCCAGGAGTGAAGCCGGCCTCGGGAAGGTCCCGACCCTGGGGCGGCGCGAAGCGGAAGGATTCCCCAGAGGGTGTGGTGATGGCGTCGGTCATGGGGTTGAAGGAGAGCTTGCCGGAGAACGCCATGGCGGTGACGACCGTGGGCGAGGCGAGGAAGTTCATCGTGAGCCGGTTGCCGTCGTTGCGCGACTTGAAGTTGCGGTTGAAGGAGGTAAGGATGGCTATCCGCGCTGCGTCGGTAGACGTCTTAGGAGCCGATGTCTGTGAGACGTACCGTTCTCCTCTCCTTGCTTGTCTTCGCGCTTCCACTGCCCGATGCACGGGCCGCACGCGTTTGCCAGGACGGTCGCACCGACGTCCTCGAGCTCATTCGTGATCTCGTCGCGCTCGATCGTCGCGCGGATCTGTTCTGAGCCGGGCGTCGCGAGGAATGGCACCTTGGTCTTCAAACCCGCCTTCTTCGCCTGGCGCGCGAGATGCGCGACACTGGTCATGTCCTCGTACGAGCTGTTAGTGCACGAGCCGATGAGCGCCGCGGAGAGTTCGTCTTTCCAGCCTTGCTCCTTGACAAAGGTGCCGAACTTAGACAGCGGGGTGGCTAGGTCCGGGGTGAAAGGGCCGTTCACTGTAGGCTCCAATTTCGAGAGGTCCTGCAGGCATATGCATGTAAGGATGTCTTCACTTGACCGAGGCTTTGGAAGAACTCACGATCTGAATGACTTCGTCATATTCTGCGCCCTCATCTGCAGCGAGATAGCCTTGGGAGGCTGCGTGGTCTGCAGCGCGAGCGACAGGCGCACGACCAGTGGCTTCAAGGTATGCTCGCATGCGGGGGGTGTACGGGAAGGTCGATGTTGTAGCGCCGACCTCAGCACCCATGTTAGCGACAGTGGCCAGGCCAGTGCAAGACTGGTTGAAGACGCCAGGACCGAAGTATTCGAGGATGGCACCTGTACCTCCCTGTGCCACGATGTCAACTAGATAGTTATTTCGGAACCACCAAAGAAGCACTTACCCGGACCGTCAGCCTGCCGGCAACGTTGAGGATGAGATCCTTAGGAGTAGTCCAGCCATTTAATTCACCCGTTAAGTGAATGCCTACAGGAGATTGTCAACGAAATTCGCGCGCGGACGCAACGACTGGACTGACCGATGATCTTAGGAGCCTTCAGCTCCCATGGAGTACCGGTGAGGGCGTCCACAGCATCCGCTCCACCAACACCAATTGCGAGCATGCCGAGCCCACCGGCGTTGGGAGTATGCGAGTCTAGGCACATAGTCAGGACAAGAACACCAGCTCAGTCTGGTTTACACAAACCTGTTCCGAGCCTGTAGAGCAGTCAGCATGCCGACAACGATTCTGAATGCCGAAGAGACACACATGAGCATTCCCGGTGCGGCATAGTTCTCAAGGACGATCTGGTGAATGATGCCGGACCCAGGCTTCCAGAACTCGATACCATATTTGCGCGCAGCACTCTCCAAAAAGTCGAAGACTTCTTGGTTCGTCAAGATAGACCTCTGTCGTGCCATGATTGGAACGTTGGCAGAGCGAAGCAGGCATTGCACTCACCTGCAAGTCGTTCTCAGCGCCCTCTACCGCCTGTATGAGATGGTCGCAGTGAATGCTTGCAGGAACCGCGCATGTCGACATCCCAGCACTCATGAACTGCAGCCTTGTGGATGCCACATTAGTCGATCGCCAGCACAAACACTATCAATGACGCACAGTGCCATCTGGGCAGAAGCATCCTGCATTGCTACTCGCTCCGGGCTGAGCTGCAGGTACGTCTCTCCCCGCTTGATGCCTCCATCGGCCAGTGTCCGTTCCGGCTCATCGATGTGACTGTATAGAATCTTCTCTGCGAGGGTGAGCGGCCTCTTTCCAGTGACTTCCCTGACGATGGCAAGGTTGTCGATAAGCCTGCTGTAAGGCGGCGTGATGGAGGTACAGTCCTTGTCCGGTAGATAGGTGGGCGTCGCAAAAGACCTGGACAGCACGGAAGAGCGGGGACCGTGTAGGGCGCGGACAAGACCTCTGGGGGATAGTGTAGGCTGTCGCATGATGAGTTGAGGACAGTCCAGCAGTCCAGAGAGCAGACCGAGGCTTAGAGAAGGGGTTTGAGACTCTGTCCCGCAGCCTCCCGCTGGGCGCTGGACGTAACTTTCTAGCTACTTACCCGAGTCACTCAAATTCCTGCCGCCGGCCCGTGGACGGCCCGCAGGCAAGAACCGATCGGCAGCCCGGCATTAACGGGTGGCGTAACGCGACGCGGTGGTTGCACGCCCGGGAATCGTGCGCGTGAAGGCGGAACTTTACTCGCATCCTAGCACTGCTACATATCTTGCTTCGCTTGCATTCAGATTGTCCCACATGTCCGCTGGCCAACCAAGACTCAACCACGACATCCTACTACACCTCCTCGCGCTATGCCACAATGACGAGATTCCCGGATAGGGAGCTCATCTCGAGGATGACGCGGACGTGCTCCACGCTATACCGCGGAGGGGCAATTTATCTTCTCAAGGACGACGTCGCCTTGCAAACAGAGGAGCAACTCCTCTCCTTCTGTCTCTTCATCGCCGTGGACGAGCGAACGCGTCTTCATCATCTGAGAACACTCACTTTGTTGTGCGACCCTCTTCCTCAGGATGTCACTGAGGGGCTCGTGCATATCTTCAAGCGCGTGGCGCATCTCGAGAGTCTTCTGCTCCTCACCGAGGGAGACGGATTCCTCCGTTCTCACACCGACCTCCTTGACGCAATCTCTGGTGTCGAATCCCTCCGCCATCTCCATATCAACTCCGTTGGGAGGCTTGCTCGTGATCTGCTGAAGAAGTCGCGCTCCAACCTCGTCTCGCTCGAAATCCTTTTCGGCATCATGTCGATACATCCTGTGTCCGTCCTCGCCGCCATCGCGCCTACCCTGGAGGAGCTGATCGTATACTATGATCGCACCGTACGGCACCCTCTTCATCCACCTGCTGTATACCCGAAGTTGCCGAAGTTTGTTCTCAAGACTGACTACCCTATCCTACGCCCTAATATCAATGCTTTCCCAAATATTGCCCAGATCACACATAAGACTTGCCATGGCACACATTGAATGCTATATCAAGTCTACGATAAAACCTTTCGGGAGATTCGCAGTCGAAACGAACAAGATCAGCTCGCTCATGAAAGCTGGACACACCTCGAAGAGTATTCCAGGTCCGTCCTGGACCTGTATCTGCTCCTCGGGTGGGTTCGCCGAAAGGAGTTACAGCGCCTTGCATAAGTCCGTGAACGCGCTGATTTTGTTCTCTCCGGCGTCTACGCTAGGCGACCTGCCTAAGTAAGCCACATTACGGTCACGAAGACTTCTACTACGCCATAACGGCACGTCACAATTGAAGAGCTACTGACTCGATATACAAGAAGTTCATTATGTGTATAATGGATAAGAAATGTTTGTATCTCATTTTGTCCTACATATGAACGCGCATAAAGTGGTCTAATGCTCATGTTCTAATCTCCACACAATTCACCTGCTTACTTCATGTCTGGAGCAAAGGCGCAATCGCGAGGGACGCGTACTTAGTGGCAGCGCCTCCTGCATCTCCAGATCTCGCTAGACATTGTGTTGCCATGTCCCATGTCGAGCGTAAGAGAACGAGGCTAATGGTCTGCAAATCGCACTGCAAACGTTTTGACCGTTGAGGGTAATCAATTGCGGTCCTTACTTTGTGGAGCATCACCTTCTATTTGTTCAGAGAATATCAGTGACCGTGCCATTCCTCACCAAGCGCATCTCCCTGCAATATGGACTGTCAACAACCATGAACGTGCGAGACGCGTGTATCGCAGACTCGTCTGTGATGCCAGCGAGGGCCGTGGGCTCCAGACCTGTGACCGTCATGTGGCCTGTTTGGGCAGGTCGCTTAGCGTAGACGCCGGAGAGAAAAAATCAGCGCGTTCACGGACTTATGCAAGGCGCTGTAGTGTATTTAAGGCACGTGCTAGACAGCGCCAAGCATGTCGAACTCAACCTTTGCGAGGACTTGTTCGGGCATCCCGAACAGGAAATCCCTGCCGTTCTCCGCCGGGATGGCTGCTCGTTCCTGAGAAAACTTGCTATACGCCTGGCGATATCTCATGCATATGGGAACGGTGATATGCAAGCCTACATGGTGGGTCCATCCTCTCGTTGTCCTTCAGACGATCCTCGCTCATCGTTCGGTTGAGCTGCCGTAGGGTAACCTCCTGCCTTCTCTCCAAGGTCTCTCGCTCCATTACTTCGAATTCACACTGGAACCGAGCCCGTAACTCGACGAATGCGCCCCGCACGCGCCCTTTCTGCGGGAGGAGCTCGAACTCGAGAAGTCCGACAACCTCGAGTTTGCACAGCGGGTCTTTGATGCTGTGCCAACCTTGAAGGAGGCATCGGTCGTGGTCTATAAGCCCCGTCGTTCCGGCAGACGTGTCACACGGTCAAGGAGAGGAGACGCGGCCCGATATAGATGTGACTCTTGTATCCTGCCAATTTTTGCTTCGCTCGCCTTTTGCGCAGATTCCCCGCCATTAGCAATCGTTGTATAACTTATAATGTATATATGGCCCATCTCCTTCCGTACACTCACAAGTCAAAGCTGCGCGCATCTGAGTTCCATATAAGGTGCGTAGCTTGCCAGCCGGTCAGCCCATCAAGCTGGAGCTAGGCGCGAGCTAGGCAGCTGGCTACGAATCAGCTGGATGCCGGCTCGGCTGGATCCGGCTGGCTTGCTGCACTTGATCAAGCCCCACCGGCTTGGCTTGGCTGGCTTGAATTGGCGGCAACACTACCGGTCTCTATAGATGCGTGCACAGTGCGACCGTAACTTCTCCCTAGTGGGGGGGGCACTTGCCACAAACACTTCTAGAGACCGAGAGCCTGGAGGTAGACAACACTTTGCTTGCAGCCTGAACACCGATGACTACCGTACTGTCGCGGCGTGCTCAGGTACGACCTTAACAGCATCAAACAAGACGCATCATCGTTGAGCACAAGTCGGCTACCGTCCTCTGGCAACGGCCCGCTGCAACCTACGTCCCACTCCCTCCTCATCGCTGTTGTCAGATTTTTTTCGTGGCTGTGGCGAAGAGGTGGTTCCGTTCTGTTTGCCATTGTTCAACGCTAATCTTGTGGTTTGAATGCTCAGTTCATCGTCATGAACCCCGCGGGTCAGCCAAGGCTGAACTATGACATACTGCTACAAACCATGTCTTATTATGGTGGTTTCGACAGAAGGCACATCTCGCGCATGATGCGGACTTCGTCCACGCTCTATCGCGCAGGCTCAAAGCATCTCCTCAAAGACGGTGTACTCTTGTCGGAGGAGCGACAACTTCGTTCTTTCTGTCGATTCATGCTCGCCGAGAAACAAACTCGTTTCCGCTATCTGCGCCAACTCACGCTCATAATGGACCGCCCCTCTCAAGCTGTCGCGAAGAAATTTGTCTATGTCCTCAAGCGCATGTCGCATCTGGAGTCGCTCCACTTATCTGCCGACGATGAATTTCTCAATGGTCACCCCGATCTCTGCGACGCGATCTCTGGACTATCGTCCCTTCGTCGTCTCCACGCGGACGATGCAGGCAAGCTCGCTTGCGACATGCTGAAGAGGTCATGCTCCAAGCTTGTCTCGCTGTATCTCAACTTCGGCATGGTACCCTCCTTCCCGGGAGACCGTTATGGCGAATTCTTCTACAACACGTTGGATCCCGAGGATTTACCCGATTACCATCCAGTGTCCGTTCTCGCTGCTTTCGCGCCCACCCTGGAGGAACTTATCGTGGAGTACGAAGGTAACGTGGGGCTCCCTCATCAGCCGCATGCCGTGTATCCACGATTGCGGAAGCTCCACCTGAAGGACGATTATCCTTTCCTGCGCCCCTACATCGATGCATTCCCCAATCTCACCCACATCACGCTTCACACGAGCCATTGCGAACTATCAGTCCCTTATGAAGACCACGAGGAGGTCTTCTGGGAGATTCGCAGTCGGAACGAAGGGGATCAGCTCGTCAATGGGAGCTGGCAACACCTTGAAGAGTATCGTGGGCCTGTCCTGGAACTATACCTCCTCGGCTTGACCTGTCCGGTACCACATTTGTACTTTCCGCGCATCGCCGACCAAGACTTGGAGTTCCTGCCGGACGTCGTAGACAGTGCGAGGCCTGTCGAACTGCGTATGAATATTCGCGGAGACCCCTTTGGAGACACCGAGGATGAGCTGCCTGCCGTCCTCCGTCGGCCTGGCTGCTCGTTTCTGAGGAAGCTCGTACTGCGCGTGGAGATCCCTCCGGAGTACGAAGAAAGCGACATACAAATATCCATGGTGAGTGACTTCTCCCTTGATCATGAGACGAGACCTCAACACATCTCTCGCTTGCACTGCCGCAGGACAACCTCTTGCCTTCGCTCCAAAGTCTCGCGTTGCATCACTTTGAGCTCACTCTGGAGCCTAACCGCTTCCTCAACCCCACGCCTAGACGGGGTCGACCCCGGCTCACTCTTCCCGACGGTTCGCTCGAGCCGCCGATCACTCCTGCTCCCCTTTTCCCAGTCGAGCACTCACTCGAAGAGTTCAACCCCCTGGACTATGCGCAGCGGGTCTTCGAGGCTGTTCCATTCATGAAGGAGGCATTGGTCGTGGTTGGGGGCCCCCGCGCGGCCGCTAGACGTGTCACCCGGCTGGAAAGAGGCGAAGGAGAAGCGACTGTTGCGACCAACCATACAGAGTGCGAGCCTTTCTGCATTGCCATCCTTTGGCTGAACATTTGCTCACGGGCCACGTTTCAGAATCATGGATTATGCACCGTGGGCATCTGATTAGCTCCCTGAGTGCCAGGTACCAATTACAGGGCGAATGGGTCCTTGGGCGCATGCATGAAGCCAGCCTTCGAGCGCCGTTGAAGTTATCGACGATAGTCATGGGAAGAGAGTGTGCGATGAGCTCTAGCAGCGGACCGCTCTGTACACTACCATGTCAAGTATCGTATTGACCGCGGGTAATCAGTGGCTTGCGAAGCCTATTTGCCACAGGACAAGCTCTAAGCTGCTGTGCATACACCTAACGTACTTTCGTTGCGCTGCTTCGGCGTTTCCCTGGTACCCTTCCAATATCTCAACCTTTGACCCTATATGGTATGACATCGACTCTTCATTCGAAGGCCCCGACGGCAGGAACGACGGACACTGGTCGCCTATTGTACGTTTACTAGGGAATTTTGGAAGCTAAGAAATGATCCGGTGGACCTTGAGCGCTGCCGGGTCCTTACGGTGATGCAGAGATCCCTCGCGGTACGTCAGGGGGTTCGCCCAGACCAGGTGAGGAGAAACGGGAGAACTCGTCGTCGACATCAACCGTACCGGGTCGGTATTGTTGCATTTTCCCACCGCTGATGTATGTCCACGAACTGTACCCCAAGGCGGTCCTGTCACGACCTTCTGAAGTAGGCTACCTGATCGAATCATCTGCGAGGGGATATGGGAAGGTGGTATGTGAGGTGGTCCGAGCATTTCGAAGAAGAGACGAGCTTGAATTGGGAGATGTAATGAACACGTCGTATACTGGTCGTTGTCAGAGACTACACGAGCTACCGCATGCGATCCTCATATTGATGGGCCGAAGAATCTCAAGGCATGCTCCACCGGAGGAACTAATGACGGCACGCCTACGTCTGCGGGGCAGTGATGGGGTTGGCCTCGGTCACGTTGCCTGCATAGGCACAACCAGTCTTACTCAGACCGGCAGCACCAGCGTTGTCTACAGCGGACCCAATAGTCAGCATAATCGACGGTAGACAGCAATTTAATCCCACGCACTTGAATCCACGTTCATCATACCTCCCGAGTTCCAGACGTTCCCACCCATCGCCTGTCCGGGGGTCCCAGCGTACGCGTTGCCGCCGTAACCCTTCTTGGTGCTGTGTCCGCCGACAGCGCAACCCCCCACAGAGCCCCCGCCTGTGCCTGCGTTGTTCGAGTTCATGTTGAGAAAGGTTGGCATGCCGAAGTTGTCCGCCATGTTCACAACGTCGCCGCCATCGACATCGCCGCTGTTCCCGGTGTGTGCATTTCCGCCGAGGGTGTCGAGGTCGCTCACGCGCTTGACGAGCTGGCCGCCACTGATGATCTCTCCCGTGAGCCATTTGAGTGGTTAGAAAGGGGCTAGAACGCACTTCGCGACGGCACTGCTAGCATCATTATCAACTGCTCCCGAAGTCTCCTTGTCGGCGTCACCGGCAAGCGCTGCCAGTCCATCGGCTTGTCTAGGCTCGACCCTAAACAAATCCAGTGAGATGCCATTCATGATGAGAGGAATGTATGGTAGTCTTACTTGGCGTGCTGGTACAACGATGGCGCATGGTCAGGCTGTGGCTGTCGAGTTTGCTTGACTCCGATGAACGGATGAAGGCGACTGGCGGGCAGGTCTTCTGGAGGAGCACCGGTGTCGGTCTGGGTGGAGATGTCCGAGTTATACGTCCCTGGTGCGGGGAAAGGCGCGCCGCCCACGAGAGCAGGGGTCAGAGCGGCGACGGCGACGAGGGCGAGTGCTGACGTGCGCATAATGACGGGTGGATAGGATGTAGAGCTAGTAGGGTGTGTTATCACAAGTCCAGCGAAAATACACGCAACGAGAGGGGAGAAAATGGTAGGATGTGGTCGACCTGAGGGCAGAAGGAGAAGCTGAGGCTGCCGTCTCTTTGGCGTGTGGACGGCTTTTGACTGCTTGTTCGACTTCGGAGGCTGGCGAGCCTTGACAGCTTCTGCCCCACTTGAACTCTCCGTGTACCGAACAACCGCTTCTGGCGGGATGTGAAGGCTTTCGAAGATCGGGGCGGCTACCTGGCATTCAGCGTCATCACACAGTAACTCCTGGCTTGCAGATGGTCGGGCAGATGCTGGATTCTGATAGAAACCGTCAAGGTAGAAGAAGTAGGTGTATAACGCACAACAACGATACATCCGTCCGGAGAGAGCAATTAGCAGCAGAACCGCAAAGGAGGACGTTAGAGATTACATCGAATACCACGGTAGGACAAACGCAAAGGATATCTGGAGCACTAGGGTATCCAACGAACAGTAAGAGACGGGCCAAAGAAGGCAAGCACGAAAGAGGTGGAAGGGATACACACACGTCTTACTCTTCCGACTCGTCGACTATCAGCCATTCGGTGTCAGATTCACGTCCGTCTCCGCCTGAGATGGTGTCCCATCCTTCGTCGGAGTGGCTCCCGGCTCCTTCCCCTCCTCCCCGTTTCCCGACCCGTTCGTGTTCGCAGCTGGTGCGTCCCCATCCTCGCTCTTCTGCCCTGCTTGCCAGTTCATGACTGCTTGCCGACGGGAATGCATGTCCTCGTAGAACTCGTTCGCTTGGTTCATACGGTTCACCTCGGCCTGCTTTGCGTCCAGCCAGCGCTGTAAGAGCTTTGCATTGTCCTTCGTGAGTATTTGGTTGCGCTCCTCGATCTGGCTGAGTTCGAGTTGGAGGGTATTGATCTCGTCATGGAGGATCTGTGCCGTGTTTCATGAGCTGGAGTCGGTCGCGTGAAATTGTGCAAGGATTGATTCACCTGTGCTGTACGATCCTTCTCCGCCATCAGCTCGTTGTGCTGCTCCACCTTTTTCCGCAGAACAGCGATCTCATCTCTCGACTTCCGCAGGCTCTCCGAGTCGAGTCGCGACAGTTCCTCCTTTTCTCGCAATGTCTCGTTCATCGCGAGAAGTCTCTGCGCGTTCTGACCTTGAGTCTTGTAGACAGTCGCCAGCTCGTCTCGCAACGACGATATTTGTGATTCCAGGGAAGCGATGTACGCAGCCCGTACGGGATTACTGCACGTAGAAAACTATCAGGACGGCGTGCAGCGAGCGGAGAACAAGTCGCGACGCACTCGTCACCCGTGCCGGGAACGAAGACGGTCGAACTGCTTGGATTGGGCCGGGCAGTTCCCATCGCGCGAAGGAGAGAGGCATTGCGCTCTTTCAGTAGCTTGGTTTGTTGCGCCAATCTGCGGTCTTTTCAGCGTTCACATTGTCGTTAGATCCCGATACAAAATCGCGCGAAGAGACAAATTGCTGCACCAGGCAGGCGGGAAGAAGGCTGTCGGAAAGACATACATTGTTCGATGATAGAGGCATAGGCGGTCTCCCTCGCGTTGCGTTCGACTAGCCGCAGACGCAACGTTTCTTGCCAGGACGGCTCAGCCATGATGAGGAAGGAATAGGCACGGAGCCTGCGAAGGAGAGGGTCGAGATGGTCGTGGCAAGGGCACGGAGGTGAGCGAGGGCCTTAGACTGCTGCCGACAAGCGCCCGTCATCTGAGATGGTCCGGTTGGGGGCCCGAGGCGCTTGTGTCGTCTACGGCCACGGCGGTTACGTCCGCATATCCCAGAACCTGGCCCTCACTGCCCCCCGTTCCTGCTCTGTCTCGTGCCACCACTCCGCATCATAATGGGTCGCGTTCTTCTCAAGGTGCGTCGCGTATGTTGATGCACATCACGCTTTGGACTAAGCCCTCTGTAGGTTATCATCCTGGGCGATAGCGGGTGGGTTGTATGGCTGTTCGTGCGGTATACGATGTATTCAACCCATATTATCTCTTCCTGCTGTCGGTGGTAGGGTCGGCAAGACCTCGCTCATGAACCAGTATGTCAACAAGCGCTTCAGCAACCAGTACAAGGCCACTATTGGCGCAGACTTGTAAGCTCAGATATCCCGACTGTTGTCTGGAGCGGCTCCACTGACTCGACCTGAAGCCTGACGAAGGAGGTAATGGTGGATGACAGGCTCGTTACGATGCAGGTGAGTCATGGATGTCCCCCGAACCACCTCTTGATTCTCAATACCGCGTAGCTGTGGGACACGGCGGGCCAGGAACGTTTCCAGTCACTGGGCGTAGCATTCTACCGTGGCGCAGACTGTTGCGTGCTGGTCTACGACGTCAACAGCGCCAAGTCCTTTGAGACACTCGACAGCTGGCGCGACGAGTTTCTCATCCAGGCTAGCCCACACGATCCAGAGAACTTCCCCTTCGTCGTCCTCGGGAACAAGATTGATATGGAGGAGAGCAAGCGTCAGGTATGGCAATTTGAGCCACTTGTAGAGGGAGAGTGTTCACGGGGGTTGTGTGTCGTAGGTCACCCAGAAGCGTGCCATGACCTGGTGCCAATCCAAGGGGAACATACCGTACTTCGAGACGTCGGCGAAGGAGGCTATCAACGTCGAGCAGGCGTTCCAGACTGTCGCCAAGAACGCGCTGCAGCAGGAGCAGGATGATCAATTGTGAGTTAAACAGTGTGGTTGTCGAAGGATGCGCCGCCGATTCTTAATGATATTGTCAGGTATGTCGACTATCCGGACCCAATCCGGATTGACTCGGAGAGCTCTCAGGGCGGTAGCTGCAGCTGCTGAGTGCGTGGTGAGCGTTTGCCGCTATCTTCGCGGACTAGTCTATTGTCCGTTGATGTTGATGTCACTTGAGGACAACCTGTTACCCCTTACTTCAATTGCCACGTCTTTGTCAACTTAAGGCCACGCTTTACAATAATTTACCGCTCCCCTTCGTCGCTGTTTCGTTTTTGCACTTGTACATCCGTAAACGTAGCTATCTGAACGAGTATCGGTGTTGGAATAGCACGGGAAAGCCTTGGGCGAGATGGGCCAATATAGGGCAGACTCTCCTGCGTGTCTCGGTGTGTCCGTGGAGGACATCCGGACATGACCCCGTTCGAGGACGGTGAGGTCATCAAGCCAAGCGAGCGCTCCGTGTCAGGCGGCTGCTTGGATGCTGCACTGCGACCACAGACGTCTCTATCCGTCGTGTTCTCCCTCTTACCTCTCCTCTACGGGCTCCGCCGCTCATATATATCTCTCGATTTGTTTCAAACATGCGTTAAGGGACCAATCGGACACACCGCTCGTTACGTGATTCGACAGAACCCATAATTTACCCCCAGGAACTTCCCCTCTTCGCCGTTGCGCTCTTCTTCGCCCAACACCATGTCACAAGCACAGAACCGCGCGCACGGACACGAGAGTGGAGCGCGACTTGTCAATGCGTCTTTGGTTTCTACGGCTCCAGGAAGACCCATCACGCCGCAAGTTGCATCGCCAGGTGTCATCTGCGAAGGATGGGTGCTCAAAAAGCGGCGGAAGAGGATGCAAGGTGTGTTCATGGATCAGTCGTTGCGATCTCCTTCTCTGAGCCATTCCAAGGTTTTGCACGTCGATATTTCACCCTGCACCAGAATGGCCTGCTATCGTACTCGTTCGAACCTGGTCAACCCGCCCGGGACCAGGTGCTGCTTAGCCAGGCGGCCATCTCAACCGCCCCGGGCAGGAAGGACATCCACGTCGACTCCAACAGCGCCACCTTTCACATCAAATGTCTGAGCGTGCAGGACTTTGAAATGTGGATGGGGGCGTTCCGGTGAGCCCTGCCCCCGCTGGCTGCGCGCCGTTGCACATCCGCGCCGAGTTGACAGTGACACCGGGCGCAGGCGGATACTGGCACAGGAGATGCCCAAGTCGCGGCGGTCATCTCTCGCGCGTTCGGCTGCACGCGGAGGGCTCCAGTACAGCCGCGCGAACATCTTGATAGACGAGATCGGCAACGTGCGTCGTAACTACACGGCTGTAGGGAGGGACTGACATGGCCCTCCATATCACAGACCATTGCGGAACTCGACAGCGCGCTCTCAGCCCTTTTGGAGGACGAGACCAGACGCAAGCGGCATAGCGGGATGCGCACGAAGTCGGAGTCCGGCAAGGACCATGGCGTGCTTGGGTTGTTCAAGAAAGGTGTGTACAATCTATATTCCTGGGGGTTTGCCTTCGCCAATTGTGCACCAGGACACAACCACGATCCGTCGAACTTGAGCATACCCGAATCCGTCGCACCTTCTCCTCCTCAGGCTGAGCTGCTCAGCCGCATATCGACTGCTGTCGGCCAACTCAAGAATCAGCATTCCGCACTCACGAAGACCTTCCAAACATACCCAGGCACCATCGATACCACCAGTTTCTCAAATCTCGCCAGTTCGCCACTGCCTATCACCACCGAAGAAGATGACGAAGTGCACACGCCGTCGACAGCTACGGGGGGTAAAAACCGCCAATCTCTATTCAGCTCTCATAGCGGAGACGGCAGTGTGTGGTTCGATGCCCCGGAGTACGACGGGCCTGAAGAATACATCTTGGACATCACTCCGCCAGAGGAGTCCCAAGACAAGGTATTCACGACAGATTCCAGGCTCACGGAGCGCACCGACATGACTGATATGACGGACGTGACGGATGCCGGTTCGAGCACTGGCGCGGAAACGGACTCGGAATCCGAGGCAGAGCCTCCGAAGCCTGCTGCGGAAGAACATGCGGTTGTTCAGCGCAGGACGGCTTTGCCATCTGGGCCGGTAGGAGACGAAGGTAGCTTGTTCACTGTTCTGAAGAAGAATGTCGGGAAGGCGAGTTCTTCCGGCGACGTATCTCCATCCGGCATTCTAACGAAGGCGATAGGATCTATCGAAAGTGGCGTTACCCGTGACTTTCAACGAGCCCCTCACGATGCTGCAGAAGATTGCCGAGGAGCTGGAATACCACGACCTACTGTCACAGGCGGTGCAGGCCACGGACCCTGTTGAGCGTATATGCTATGTCGCGGCTTTTGCAGTATCTACCTACGCCAACACCCGGCATCGTACTGGCCGGAAGGGATTGTGAGTATATCACGCTCTTTGAGATAGGTGCTTGTGCTGATATTTCGTTTACTAGCAATCCGATGCTTGCGGAGACTTTTGAGGACCCTCGGATGCACTTCATCGCGGAGAAAGTCTGCCACAACCCGGTCATCCTTGCCTGGCACGCGGAAGGAGAAGGTTGGGAACTCTACGCTACCTCCACGGGGAAGACGAAGTTCTGGGGTAAGGCCTTTTCCTTTTGTCATCGCTGCCGGAGATAGACCGAACTTTCTGTGCAGGCAAAAGTATGGAGATCATTCCTCAGGGCACCATACATCTCAAACTTGGAGAAGAGCATTATGAATGGTGCGTATGAAATCATACAGGAGACATGAAAAATTGGAATCGAACATGCGTTCCCAGGAACCGACCTTCGTCATTCATTCGGAACCTCATGATGGGTACCAAATACCTCGAGCACTGTGGCAAGATGACAGTCAAGAACACGACGAGTGGCGCGGCCTGTGCTCTCGACTTCAAGGAGGGTGGCTACTGGGGTCCGGCGAATGTTGTTGTCGGCACAGTAACATCGTCCTCCGGGAGCGTCGTCGCCGGCTTAGAGGGCAAATGGGACGAGCAAATGGCGCGGAAGATCGATTCGTCGCACCTCCACGTGCTCTGGCGAATCAATCCCTTCCCCAAGAATGTGGCCGAATGCTATGGATTCACCTACTTCGGCATCACGCTAAACGAGATTACGCCCGACCTCAAGGGCTACTTACCACCGACGGACTCGCGCTACCGTCCGGATGTGCGGGCGCTTGAGGAAGGCGACCTCGACACTGCAGAGCAGGAGAAGCAACGTATAGAGGACCTGCAGCGGCAGCGACGCCAGGAGGGACGAGAGCGCTCTCCTAGGTGGTTCAAGCAGGTCGGAGAAGAGTGGATATATGCCGGAGGCTACTGGGAGCATAGACAGAAGGGCTGGGCGGACATTGAACCCCTCTGGTGATATCGTTCATCTGCCGGGACTATCTTACTTACTCTAATAGCAGGATATATCTTCCCCTACTACTATATGCACAGGAACTCTCGGAATCTTTGTAGGTTGTCGGGCTGGCAGAGGTAGCCCGAATCACACCGTTGCATCGTGCTCGAGACGACTCGTGACCCCGACGCGCTCGCGAATGCGGCAGCATCACGTTCTATGGCCTATCACGTAGACCGCGAACCCCGACAATTGCACGGTCGGCCTCTGGTACAACCGCGGCGTCCTTCGTCAGACCCTCGTGTCGGCGATGGTGGTCATCAATCTCGTCCGCTGATTATCCGGGCCTTTTCCGCTCTGACACCGTACCATGCTGCAGCAATATCACTTACCGCCCGACGTGTAGTCCGTCGCGAAGGTACGCTTTCTTGGTACTGTTACCAGTATATAAGACAGGAGAAGGTATGCGGTCTCGATAGCTGCCATCTTGTAACGCGATGGCCTTCCGCTTGACTGCCACTTTGTTGCTGTTAACGAGCTCAGTGCTCGGTCAGTCAGGCCTCTACCAGCAGTGCGGTGGTATTGGATGGTGGGCTTTCCATTGGCTCCTATCGTGCACTTGTCTCATGGCCTGGAATAGGACCGGGGCAACTACCTGTGTCGCAGGCGCGGTCTGCACCGAACTGAACGATTGTATGCGTCCCTTTGCTATGGTTTCCAGCTCAGATCTTCACATGTGAATTCAAAGACTACTTTCAATGCCTCCCTGGATCTTCGACATCGTCTGCGCCTGCAACGACTCCCTCTACGAGTACTACGCCACCCTCCACGAGTACTACGCCACCCTCCACGAGTACTACGCCACCCTCCACCACAACTTCTAGCCCACCACCTGCTCAAACGAGTGTTGCGAACATCTCCCCAGAATGGGCTGCCGCATACACCAAGGTAACAATAGCATGCCGCACTTCAGCGAGGACCTCTCTAACTCTTCCACAGGCGAAAGCAGCGGTCTCGAACCTCTCTCTTACTGACAAGGTCAACTTGGGGACTGGTGTACAATGGCAAAAAGGTGCCTGTGTCGGCAACACGCCCGCAATCTCTTCGATCCCCGGCTTCGGCGGACTCTGTCTTCAAGGCAGGGCATTTGCTTCTGGGCTCGTTTGCTAGTATCAATGCCTTCCACAGACAGCCCTGTCGGTGTGCGGTATGCCGACTTGGTTTCTACGTTCCCTCCGTAAGCCTGTCTTGCTATCATTCTATACCACCTCATTAATTGTCCTGCCCAGTGAGATCAACGTTGCGGCGACGTAAGTGACATGCAGGCACACACTCATTGAAACGCTCTTATACTGACGCAAAACAGATTCAACCGTACTCTCATGCGCCAGCGCGGAGCTGCCATGGGCGCCGAGTTCAAAGGCAAGGGCGCTCACGTCGCTCTCGGACCTATGATGTCAGTGACTTGCCGGTTTCATGGAAGAGTGTACACAGCTAACCCTTCTGAAGGAACTTGATGCGTGCTCCTGCCGCTGGTCGTAACTGGGAAGGGTGAGATGTATGTTATCTTCCTGTATTGAACGGGGACTCATGAAATGCAGGGGAGGAGGCGATCCCTTCTTGTCCGGAGAACTTGCTTTCGAGACCATCACCGGCATTCAAAGCGAGGGAGTTCAGGCTTGCGCGAAGCATTACATCAACAAGTGAGTCTGATTATTGGGTATCAGGCACGATTGTGACACAAAACTTCTCCAGCGAGCAGGAGCATTTTCGAGATAGCAGTTCGTCAATAGTTGACGACCGCACAGTAGGTTTCTGAACCACTACTACTGGTTGGCTCCTCATTTGGTTCTCGTAGCAACACGAACTTTACAGCTATCCGGTATGACTGCAGTTATAAAACCAGCCCCGGTCACGCTCATATGTCTGTAGTTCTTGCGTAGCGTCCAGGCGAATGTTGCCTCCGTGATGTGCAGCTACAGTGAGCCAATTCTCATCTGATGCAGTTCTTGCTATTGACGTTTCTGCACTTCAAGATCAGAGTAAGCGCTACTACTTCTACTTCAAGAAACTCGAGTCACATTCATCAATAGTCAATGGATCCTTCTCGTGTGAAAACGATAAGACCTTGAATGGCATCCTCAAGGGAGAGTTTGGGTTCCAAGGATGTGTGTCGCCTTACTTCGGCTTCTTGCTTGGGTCGCTTACGGTTGTCTTCAGATGTGACGTCTGACTGGTGGGCCACCCATTCCGGTGCTACTGCCGTCAACGCTGGTCTGGACGTGAGTAACGTGCAGCTAGGCAACAATTACAGCGTTGATCGCCATTCATAGATGACCATGCCCGGAGACACAGCTCTTGGCTCTGGACAAACGTAAGGCGCCTCTAGGTCTTTGATGATGTGTATGCTCTGATGTTCCTGCTAGGTACTTCGGCCAAAACCTTGTTAACGCCGTCCAAAGTGGACAGGTCTCCGAAGCGCGCATCGATGTATGTCCACCTCAGCCTCGCATAGGTGACATGTTGACGTTATTTATAGGATCTAGCCACCCGGATCTTGGCTGCCTGGTAAGTCTATATGGTTCACAGCCGTCAGAAAACTTTACGTTCTGAGTCGGGATATGATAGGTATCTCCTGGGCCAGGACTCAGGCTTCCCAGCCGTGAACTTCAACTCTTGGAACACTGGCGAAGGGCAGCACATCGATGTGCAAGTCGATCATAAGGAGTAAGTCATACCCATAACGCATGCACTCCTTCGATATGGTCTGACCGTGCTTGACAGCCTCATTCGCACCATTGGCGCGGCCTCCACTGTGTTGCTGAAAAATACGGACAACGCTTTGCCATTAGTGAAACCAAAGACAATCGCAGTCGTAGGCAATGGCGCAGGTAACTCTTCCAAGGGCCCGAACGGGTAAGTGTGTGCGATGATAAGGAGAAGTGCTGTGTTGTATTGATTCCGTTGCAGGTACGAAGATCGTTCTGGCGACGATGGCGTCCTTGCGATAGGCTGGGGTAGCGGGTACGAGCCTCGTCAGCCGCGGTGTATCCAATCCTAACCGTTGTTGTTCAGCACCGACGACTTCCCATACCTCATAGCGGTCAGTAGTGTGGCATATAAACTAGTCCCAGAAGTACTTATATGCTTGTAGCCCATCGACGCTATCACTGCTCGGGCCAAGACTGATGGATCAATCGTTTCCTCGTCTTTGAGTGACACTGATCTCAACGCGGCTGCGCAAGCAGCCTCAGGAAAGGACGTTGCCTTCGTGTTTATCACAGCTGACAGCGGGTACGTCATCTCGTCGATGATAAGTAGAAACAAGATCTTGACGGCGCTATTGCTGTAGCGAGGGATATCTCACCGTAGAGGGCAACGCGGGAGACCGCAATGATCTCAGTGCTTGGCACAGTGGGGTATGTCGTGCATCAATATTGTATCGTCTTCCCAGACTCTTTTGATTTCCATTTCATTGCAGGATGCGCTTGTTGAACAGGTTGCGAGCGTGAACAAGAACACCATTGTTGTTGTCAACAGTGTCGGTCCGATCATTGTCGAGCCATGGATCAATCACCCTAATGGTATGCCTTGGTTGCCTTCCTGCTATTATAGCGACCTCACGTTTATCTATCTTCAAATCGTGCAGTGACAGCTCTGGTATGGAGTGGACTCCCCGGTCAAGAAGCTGGAAACTCGCTAGTAGACGTGCTGTATGGCGCATATAACCCCAGGTCAGGACAAAGATTCCCTGACCATTCGCATCTAACAGAGTTTCTGCAGCGGACGCCTTCCATTCACCATCGGCAAGGCCGTGACAGATTACGCGGCCCAGGTCATTTACGACGGTTCAGGAATCGTCCCCATCCCCTACAACGAAGGTCTCTTCATCGACTACCGTCATTTTGACCAAGTACGTCGCAATATACGTCAAGCTGAGCCATTGATACTCACAGCACCCGTCGCAGGCAAACATTGCACCGCGCTACGAGTTCGGTTTCGGTCTTTCTTATACCACATTTGACTACTCGGACTTAAAAATCAGCGGTTCAACGGCGGGCGGGACTCGTCAGCCCAATGGACCTGGAGCTGCTTTGGACCCTTGGTGAGTTAAGGGCGCATACATGCGCTCGTCTAATTCCCTGCTCATATCTGTAGGCTGCACGACCCTGTCGTCACTGTTACGTTCACTCTTACCAACAATGGCACGGTTGCGGGAACAGAGGTGGGTTCCCTTCCGTGATATCGCTGCTTTTCATCCTCACCTCGAGTCTGGATGCAGATCCCGCAGCTGTACACTTCCCCGCCGGCCTCCGCCGAGAGCGCACCGTTTAATTTGAAGGGCTTCGACAGCGTGCCACTTGCGCCGGGTCAGTCCACGACTGTATCGATGACTTTGTCTCGCCTCGACTTCTCTACGTGGGACGTTGTCTCCCAAAGTTGGCAGGTTACCACTGGAGTCACGGGCATATCTGTCGGTGCCAGCAGCAGGGATTTGAGGCTGATAGGTTCGATCACGAACTAATAGATCAAGGGGCCTTGGCGAAAATGCCAACATACATACTCCCCTATGCCTGCGCAAACACGTTGTACTGAATGACATGTCGTATTCCGGCCATTACCCAAACGGATATCTAGAGTCGCCGTGATCCACGGTCGAAGTCTTAGTCATGATAGACGTGGCCGCCTTCGGAAGAGCCCGGCATGCTGGAGTGACCACCATTCGCCTCCTTGCCTCGGATGCTCTGGCCGTCCTTGCCGTCTTGTCCTGTCATGTATGTGACGAATGAGCGGAAGTCTTACATACAGCACGGATTGCTTACCCGAGTTGGAACTGCTTGGTTGAGGTGCAAAGTCGAGAGGGCTGTTGGAAATGCTGTCCGCTACGTCTGGTACAGATGCCTGTCGTCTCTTCAATGCCCAACGCGCGTGGTTCCGGAAGATGCGTTTCATATGAGTCCTCTCCATGGAATCGCGGTACTGGGGCTGCTCTTCCGCAAAGGCATGGTCTGCAGCAAAGCTCGCGGAATTGATCGCTGAGATCAGGTGCTCTTCAGTTGTCAATCGTAGCAAAAGAATTGGGAGGAACCGACCTTCTGTGGCATTGGGGAACATATCAGCCTGCTCCAGTCGCCCATCTGCAGGAGCACCTGGTCCCGTGCTCGAGTCGGCACCTCCTTGATTGGCGTCACCGCCTCGTGCTGTGCCACTGGCAGACGTGCCTCCGTCCTGGCCGCTGGCTTCCGGTCGTGTGATAGAGTATGTGAAGAGGTGACACTCCATGTTGCGTGATGAACTTACCAAATGTACCCTGTCCATTGCCTGGGTTCTGGTTCGGGGCAGGCCGTGTGCTGCCCGGTTGACTGTAGCCGGGCTGGGGTCTTGGCTGAGGTGTTGGCCGAAAATTCCTGGGTGGAGGCGTAGTACGAAATTCCTCTGCACGTCGTGCAATGCCCATTCCCATCACTGCCTCCTCCGTACCCCTGTGCTCCTGCTGCTGCAATAATGCGCTACGAGGCTTCCAGATTCGTAGCGCTTCCATGTCCCCGTGAGGCTTTGGGAACGCGTTGAGGTCTCGCTTCATGTCGACGTCAGCCCAGGAGACCTGAGCAGATGTCGCGACCACTGCAAAGGCGACGGCACAGAGTGAAAGCGGCAGGCTTCGCATATTCGCTGTTTTGTTTCGACCTGAGCAGTTGAGGTGGGCGGTGCACAGAAGAATAGAAGACGGAGCTTAGAACACCCCTGGGACGGCCTAAGGGTATGGCTATAGTAAACGCGACGAAGAGGCTGACCGAGGCTGACCGAGGCTGACCGGAAGCGGGACCTGGACGATTGCCTACCATGAAGGGGAGACATCGATCATTCTCTCTGCGTGATACTAGAATTAGTTGGAGATAATAGATCCCTGGAATTGTGGATGGTCAGCCTCTGCATGTTGAAGACGATGGCAATGGCTTAGCCATGGGCGCTTATAAGTATCTCACGACATCTGAGTCGATCACTACGGCTTCACGGCGCAAGGACTACTTGATACGTAGGAAAAAATATTCCCTTCACTGCTGCAAAGGACTGTGAGCTGATTTCCCTAGTGACCTATGAGCGTCCCCGCTCTCCTGTCCTACTATGGACCTCGCATGTGTTACCGTCATCTTGCTACAAGATGGCGACCAAACTGACAACAGAGGCTGCTCACCGAAGATGCCTTCCTCACGCGTACATGGAATTTCTTCGCACACGCCTGAAGCTTGCAAGATAACTCTGTACTCGACGCCTGAGGCTGTTCCCCCCTAAAATTGCAAGGTGAGGTTTGGCTTGTAATGAGTGTCATTTGTGAGCGGGGAAGAGACAGTTTCATGATTGAAGGAGATAGATAGGATCAGATTACATCAGCCTACTGACACAATAGCAAGAAGAGAAAGAGAGCAGGATAGACCATCGCCGCTCCGAACGTCACTAGGAGAGCGAAGGAGTGGATAGGAAGACGGATCATGAGTCGTGAACTGACGCAGACTCGAGAACGTGCTTGCGACGGTCGATGTTTGAAGCAACAATGATGACAGGACGCTCTGCGCAATGCAATTAGAGCTGAGTTATAACACATAGTGGTCGTGGCAGCACACTTTAACGAAACACATATCATGGTGATGCTACAGCCGTGTCGAGTGACTTCGATTTAAATCTGTTGAACCTAACCCTGAGCATCGGGCGCAGCCGCTCCGGGGGCTTGCTGGCCATAATAACCTACGATAGCAGGTTGAGCGATTGACAGAGAGGAAATAAGCGCATAAAGATGCTCACCTCCCCAATAATTCGAGTAATAAGAACTAGGATCTGCGCCACCCCACTGACCCTGCGCAGCTTGGGCGGCAGCAGTAGGGTCCACAGGCGATTGGGCAGCACCAAGACCCATTGCCGAAGGCGCGACAGGGCTTCCCATACCAGGGGCCGCGGCGCCGGACGTACCAGCGGCGGGTTGGTTGGGGAAGCCACCGTAGGCGCCGAACCCGTACTGACCGTACGTATTGGGTTGGGGCATACCATACATGGGCTATGAAGTGGTTGTCAAAACAGTACTGATACTGTAAACAGCGAATGATACCCACCACATTGGCGTAGGGAGCTGCAGTGGGCGTCGGGCTCAGAGAACCCGAGCTGAGCGCAGCACCACTATCCCTGTCCTTCCCCCAGCTGCACTTGATCGGGCGGCCGTGAACCATCTGGCCCTGCAGCTGAACGATGGCCATAGCAGCATGCTCATGAGTATCGAGCTTGACGAATGCGAAGCCACGGTCGGCCTGCATGCGGATCTCCGAGAGGTAACCGATCGACTGGAACAGGGGGATGAGGTCGGCCTGAGTGGCGTAAGGGACCAGGTTGCCGACGTAGACGGTGGTGTTGTACGCAGGGGTCTGCTGCACAACGGACTCGTACGAGAGCGGGCCACCCTGGAAGTTCATCGGTGCGGGCGCACCTCCGCCCATGCCGGTGCGCGGCGGACCAGCGGGAGGAGCGCCTTGCGTCTTCTGGTTGGCCCAGTTGACGCGGATCGCGCGCGAGCCGAGCCATTCGCCGTTCATGGTGGCAATCGCCTGCTCAGCATCGGTCTTGTCTCGGAAAGCGAGGAAACCATAACCGCGAGACTTGCCCGAGTTCATGTCCCACATGACGCGCGCGTCCGAGAGCGTACCAAAGGCGCTGAATGCCTTTGCCAGCACGTCGTCGTTGACTTCAGGGCTGAGGTCACCGACGAAGACGTGGTAGTGGTTACTCGTGTCCTCCTTGTTCTGCTGGCCCTGATAAGCCCAGTTGACGCGAATCTCTGTGTCAAAGATCTTGCGCCCGTTGAGAGTCTGCAAGGCCGTCTCCGCTGCGCGCATGTCCATGTACTCGACAAAGCCGTAGTTAAGACCGCCGTGCTGGTAGTTGCGGTCAGGAATAATCTTCACGTGCTGCACGGGACCAGCCACGGCGAAGATCTCCGTCAGCATGTACTCAGTCACTCGCGGACTGAGGTTGCCGACGTAAAGGTGGGCCCTCCTCTACAGTGACAGTCGATGGAGGATTGGAGATGTAATTTAGAGTTGAGGCATGACGGCATCGAGTGATGGGACCGGGGAACGGAGAGAAAAAGCGGTCGAGGGACAGCCGGGCTAAGGTTAGTGACATAAATTACGCGACGGGCAGGCGTACTCACAGGAGCCTCGGCCGCTGACATGGAACCCATTGGATTCATCGTTACAGACAAATGATGGGAGCAAGAGTCCTGCAATGACCTTTGATGAGTCTCGGATCGAGTAGCTAGACGGATGCGCGGGATATGTACAGAGGGAAAATTGACAGAGAGAGACGGATAAAGGAGACAAGTCCGTGAGACAGAGAGGAGGAAGAGATATGAGACAGAGAGACAGAGACGAGCAGAGACGAGAGAAACGGAGAGAGAAGAGAGAGAAACGGACAGACGAAAGCCTTGACAAGTCAGGAGACAGTGGACCGTTGGAAAGATGCGCATCCCCCTGCCGCCCACCTCTCAATCCCCTCGGCTATCTCCGGCCGCCCCGTAATCAGCTGTACCTCCCCATTCCCCGACGGGCCTGACTCGCCCGACACTTCGCGAATCGTACCGCATTCGCCTACAAAACTCCAGGAGCGCAGGGATGCATACCATTAAGAAGAGCTAAGTAATGTACTCATACTACTTGCGGGGGAAGTGGGACGGCGTGGGCACGTTAAGCAGCACATTCCCTCCACCGCTCGGAATGTACGTTACGTTCGGATTCGACGTCAGCGACTGCACGATCGCCTTGCTGGCCTCGATCTTCCTGAACGCGATAAACCCGTCGCCAGCCTTCTCCAATGCCCTCGAGATGGTCGCAGCTGCCTCCGCCTCACCCTCAGCACGAATGACGGCCGCTTGACGCTCTTGTTCAGCCTGGAGCGACATCAGCCAAAATTCGCACTCCGGCAGCACCTCAGAACATACCTTTTCAACAATGAACTTCGCACGCTCAGCATCTATTCAGCATGAATGAGCAAGTCTGAACCGAAGCTTGGCAGACAACACACGTACCCTGCTGCGCGATCTGCTTCGCCTCGACAGCCTGCACAAAACATCAACGCGTGTGGGGCACTTCTCTCTGTGTATGCGTACCTGAGTGAATTCCTGTACGTGATATCGAGGTGAGCATGAAACGGACGTGACAACGGAAATGACATTACTGACCTTGCCGAACGTGAGATGTGTGATAGAAACATCCTCGAGCACAATGTTGAATTCGCCCGCCCGCTGAAGCAAGTCCCCACGGATCCTTGATGACACCTATACGATAACTTAAGCCAAGTGATGCGAAGACGCGAACCTAAGACACACGCACCACTTCACGCTGCGTAATGAGCTCTGCCGCATCGAACTGAGCCACAATGCTCTTCAACACCTCGTTTCCAATTGACGGAAGCACCCTCTCGTCGTAGTCCAGACCAAGGCTCTTGTAGATCCTCGGTAGGTGCTCGATATCCGGCCGTGAGAGCACTCGCAGGGTTATGGACACCATTTGCATATCCTTAGAACCAGTCGTGGTAGAGATGTTCTATAACACACGTGAGGTTTTGAGACATGTAGTGTGCGGCTTGCCTTACCCTCGGCTTGATACGGCAGTCATAGAGGATGGCCTTTTGGAGCCAAGGAACGAGGAAGTGGGTGCCCTCGAGAGAAGCCTTTGCGCATCGTCACAAACGAAAGTATTATGGAAGGTGCATCGCAGTGCAGCGTACCTGGTCCTTCACGCCAGAAAACCGGTCGAACATGACTGCCCTGTACCCTCCGGGAACGTCATAGATGCTAGCCTGTATGGTCGCAGCGGCAATTGCTACCGGCACTGAAAACCCACAGATGGACGGTCAAAAGGAGAGCTATAAGGCGACGCAAGACGCATACCAATGATACGGTTGGCCAGCTGAGAGAGAGACATGGCGGACTGCAGTACGCTGGGCCAGACGGTGCAGACGAGCCTTGAGAACGCCGAACAAGAGAGCGCGTCACCTTCCGGCAAACCCCACACGTGCAGCCGATGCAGATCTGGCGTCTACCGTCCTCCGGGCGCCTCCAATTGTCGCGTCTGCTTATAGGGCCACGGCGAGGTGATTGACTATGGACAAACATTGTCGACTGACAGTGCTATCTAGTATCTATCGAGAGGTCTCCTTTCCCATCATTTTCGCCTGGTGCCATCCTCGCAGAATGACTGCCAAACTGCATCGCCCTCTTCTTCCTCCCACTCGCCTCCACGAGTCCTACTTTACGCGCGGCCAGCCGTAATAGCAACTTCTCGCCAACACCGGCTTCCAGTCGAGGATCCAGCTTTAGATGAACCGGCAATTGCGCGAGGAAGTTGACGACAGACAACGAGAGGAACGGATGGCGGGTTTCCTTTCCCCAGGACGATATGACGCGATCGTCTCTTCCCAAGTTCCTTGTGGGTATGCGATCGATTTCGAGTTGAAGCTGTGGAGAACAATCTGTAAGGCTGGAGGAGTTCGAGCTCGGTGCCGCCTACCTCGTCAATTACCGCTTGCCAACCTGCCGCCTTGAACGCTGTACGATGTCGACCGTATCCGCCGAGCAATTCGTCTGAACCTAATCCGTTGAGGAGGACTCGAGCTGGGCTAGTATATGGCTGTGGCTCTGCACCTGGGTGCGAGCGTATCTGCCCTACACCCCGCGCGGCAAAATACAGAGCAATGGCTAGGCTCTGGAGGTGCAGTCAGTATAAGGGGTTGATATCGTAGGATGATGAGCCGTACGAGATCCATGACTGTCCTGGACGGAAACATGAGAGCTTCCACAGCTGCGCGCGCGTTTTGCGATTCCTAGTCTCTGCAGTGAATCCGCTAATCAGATGAAAGCAGGCGGCGACCTACCTCATATGGTACATTGATTTCAAGGAAGTTCCATGTCCGTTTCGGACATAGTCGCCTCAGCTCTTCCACCTCCTGCAGGCCTGTGAGCCTGTCTGGGACATCGTAGGTGACCTTCACCGTGGAGTAGTCTAAAGGATCCCGGAGCTTCTGCTTCTTCTCTCGTTTGGGAAGACCGTAGATGTTGCCCTCGACTTTCACTGCGATCTTCCGAGGATTCTCGAATGCGACGTTAAGCAAGTCGATAGGTTCGTCGGGAGCGACATGTCTGTACCATCTTAAGCAAGACACAATATTTGGGAGAATGAGGCATCGATCACCTGTCAGCTAGGAATGCAATCATAGTAGAGTCTATACCGCCGCTGAAGAACACGGCAACTCGAGCTTGACCTGGTACTGTACTATGTAGTGGGGTGAGTCAGGGAATGCGCCCAGAGACACATACACTTACCCTCTACGAGGAATGTCACGAACACGAAGCATTACACTGCGTTCTAGCTGAGAGATCAGGTCGTCTACAGCTGTAGATAGATGCGGTGGTATATCATCTAGGCTTTGCGGTCTAGGCGGATCATCAGGGATACTACGTTCGATGGCAGAGGGTCGGGCCTATTGATGCAAACCAGAACGTCAATACCGAGTTCAGCACGTGAATGAGCTGCAACACTCACGAAAGGTAATTGTGTCCCGTCAACTGTTCGAGGAACGAGAGTGATGCAAGAATGTGATTGAAAGAGCTGGTCGAATGCTGGTGTGTGCGCCATGAAATGTTCTCAGACAATTACCACTTACGCTATCGCGTTTGACCAAGCTTGAGAGATCTAAAGAGCATATATGCTCCGTCGATACTTCTTCTAGAGCGTACCCGGCATCCAAGCCCGCAGACACAGATGCTAGCAGAAAGTACGGACTTAATTCGCTAGGGTAGTGAATCAGAAGTGATCGTCGTCCAAGGGGATCTCTTCCAAAGAATAATTTTCGTGATGCTTTCTAGGTCTTTTGTTAGATAGGCCGTGACCGCAAGCCCGCTCTTGCAGTGATCCTTACCTGATAGAACAGAAAGGCATAGCTGGAAGGAGCGTGAGCGGGCGCACCACATTCTCCGACTGTTACTCACGGTCCTTCAATGTTACCGAATATTCTGGTCACCTCTTCTGAGTCTTTCGCATTTGTCAAGGAAGAAAAAAGCTTCGCTCCATCGTTCTCGTCCGGACCAACCTGCACGAAACATCACCTATTTCTCTCCCTGACACTGGGTTGATGCGACTGACGTCTAAGCCCTCAAAAACCTACACACTTCTATGAGTAACGTTGTAGCCCATGTGGACATACAACACACCTCACCATTCCAGCATAGGATGTTACCAGTATCATCTGTATGCGGTTGCTTGATGAAGGCGTCGCCTCTCAAACGGAGTTCGGAGGCACAGAAAGTCAAAGTCAGCTCCTGCACGTCGGTATAAATGACATCTTGCGCGTCAGGCCCTGGAACCTCGGTCGGACCTCCTGATTATCAAAGGCGTTTGTAGGGTATGCACCTCGTGAGCTAGTCGCTGCTTGGAGTTTTGAGAGGAGCCTGTTAAACCGGCTATTGTGCGGATTGTTTCTCGAGTCGCTTCTGCTGATAGAAAAGAGGATTCCACACATCTTCCGCAGGTCTTTGTGACGTATTTTAAGCCGCCTCCAGGTCCTGATGAAGATAGATGGGGAACGAGACGGGAACCGTTCCTGGCTCTCGCAGTCGAAGGTGCAGATCTGCATGGGCGTCTGGCGTCGTAAATCGGCGATCATGGAGGTGTGGATCGAGATCTGAATTTTGAGAGGCGTCTAACAAGCTCAGCACACTCGCTCAGGCTCGGTCCGCCAACCGTCCAGTCATTTCCACTTTCTGCTGCTCTATCTGGTTTGTGTCTGGCGCACTTCCAGCTATGCAACCGCGAGTACGATTCAACGCAAAGGCAAGGAGCTCCCACAAGAAGAAGGCCAAACGCGCGAAAGATAGGCCGGAGGCGTCGCAGGAAGATCAAGTCGACCCTAATGCCGCGATTGTCGTCCCCAAGAGTGAGGAGGAGAAGGAGCGCGAGAGGAAGCTGAAGATGAGGGAAGAGGTATGCTCGTGCACATTGAGCGTCGTGTCTATCTTCTAACAAATGCCATGACGGCTAGATTCTCGCCGAGTCTAACTCGAAAGCGAGCGGCAAGAAAAAGAAGCGGCTGGACAAGTACATTGTGCGTGCAACAGACATTAAAGTACTATCGTTTCAGCCTCTCACTTTCTCTGCAGGAGAAGAAGCTGAAACAGGAAGAGCGACTTGCGCTATTCGAGAAACTATCGTACGTCCCACGTCTGTCACAGTTCAGTTGACCCTGCGCGAAGTCTCAATGTCGTCCAAGAAAGAGTCAAGCTCAGGCATCAGCCGCGATTCAATTGCAGTCCTCTGCTACACTGGGCACGGGCAAGGTGACCACTCACCAGCATCGGCTCGAGCAGTTGGAGGACAAGGAAGTCAGGCGGACTCTAGACGGTCGCTCTGGTAAGGGCAAACGCCGTCGAACCGCCAATCCTACCTTGCTTGCCGCCGAAGACAGCGAAGAAGAGTACGGCGTTCCAATGGAAGTGGATGCCCTCGCAGAGGCCGATGACGACAACGGCGAGGACGTCCAGGAAGGAATGTCTCGTTCGAGACCGGTCGTCGTTGTAGATTCCGGATTCTCCACGACAGCGCAGTCCGCCGGATCTGAATCCCTGCCTTCCTTGCCTACGGTTCCTGCCGTCGGTAGTGCTTTGAAGCGGAATGCCGACGGGACTATCGTTGCGCCCAGGATATCAAAACGGAAGCCCAAGGATGCGAATGTGAGTCCTTGTACGGTCATGGCAAATCACTAGTGGAGTTGAAGGATAATCTTTTTGCAGCGAACCTTCGCATCCTGGAAACACAAACGTCTGAATCACAGAGCGAAGGCGGCACAGGAAGATTCCGATTCGTCATTCGATAGCTCTGACTCCGCATACGATTCGGATGAGAAGGATGACGAGGGTGCCATTGAAGCCGAGGGCGATTCGGAGGAGTCTGGTTTAGAGGATGGTTCAGAGGACTCAGAAAACTCGTCATCTGCGGAGTCCCACGCAGAACCAGACCAGGTTTTCACCGAGGAGCCGGAAAGCAAGAAGCGCAAAAGGCTCGGCTTCAAAGATTGGGCCATGAAGCAGCTCAGCGCAGTCAAGGGATACGTTGCGCCCTTGCCTGATCCAGACGATCCAACAGCCCCTTCCCCTGCGCTACCCGAGCACCCTACGAAGAAGCGCAAGACAGATCACTTGAAAGGGCCGAGGGAAATGCGCGGGCCGCTCGGCGAGGATATGCAGCTGCCCAAGACTGCGTTTGCACAGCAGCTCCAGGACGGTATGAAAAAGGGAGTCAAGCCGAAGGCCCGCAAGGTTATTGCCGTGACACGGCCTCAGGAGGTGGAGGAAGCGAGAATGCTGCTCCCTATCGTGTCTGAGGAGCAACCTATAATGGAGGCTATCATCCTCAACACCGTCGTTATCATATGTGGTGAAACAGGTAGTGGTAAGACTACTCAAGTCCCTCAGTTTCTCTACGAAGCAGGATTCGGATCCCCGGGAAGCGGTAAGTCACATCAATTCCCTGTAGGATCACTGTCCTCACGTCATCCTAGACAATCCGGGAATGATAGGCGTGACGCAGCCACGACGAGTTGCTGCCATGTCCATGGCTTCACGCGTTGCACACGAGTTATCCCTGACCTCCTCCAAGGTTTCGTATCAAATACGATACGATGCCACTGTGTCTCCATCGACGGCGATCAAATTCATGACGGATGGCGTTCTTCTGCGTGAGCTGGCCGTCGATTTCTTGCTGAAGAAGTATTCGGTCATTATCATCGACGAGGCACATGAAAGAAGCATGAACACGGACATCCTGCTAGGCGTATTGAGCCGTGTCGTCAAATTGCGAGAAGAAATGTGGAAGGAGGGCAAAGAGGACGTGAAGGTTTGTCTCGCTATCATTCAAAGGGAACCGATAGAAGTTCACGACCGACTACAGCCGCTCCGCCTCATCATAATGTCTGCTACGCTTCGTGTGTCTGACTTCGCAGAAAATAAGACCCTCTTCGCATTCCCCCCGCCTATCATAAACGTCCCCGCTCGCCAGCATCCCGTGACCGTACATTTCAGCCGTCGAACGAACTCGGACTACATTTCTGAGGCTATCAAGAAGACGAGCAAGATCCATGCGAGGTTACCTCCGGGCGGCATCCTCGTTTTCCTGACTGGCCAGAATGAGATCACCGGAGTGTGCAGGAAACTAGAGGCGAGGTATGGCAAGAAGGCGTTAGAGGAACGACGCAAGTCCCGACAGTCGCTTCAGTCCCGTCTCAGCGGCTTGGCCGAGTCCTTGGCTAAAGACAGCGAGCCAGGTCGTACGGTTGCCCCGGCACATGGTATGCGGCCTCATGGATATGACAAGTGTCCCCTCTCACGCCTTTCTGTAGCTGACGTAGAGGCCGAGGATTTTGATCTCGGGAATTTTCAGCGAGCAGACGAGGCGCTAGCGTTCGACGTCGACGGTGATGTTGATGCGGAGGCGCTCGAGTCGGATGACGATTCGGAGGGCAACGATGAACTGGGTATCGAGGCCGAAGAGACCGACGGTATGTGTACATCGCTGACTGGTAACAGTATTGTGCTGATTCAGAATAGTGCCAATGCACATCGTCCCGCTATATGCGCTTCTTCCGAGTGAGAAACAGATGGAGGTGTTCAAGCCTCCTCTGGACGGCACTCGACTAGTAGTCGTTTCAACAAACGTCGCGGAGACGTCGCTGACCATCCCCGGCATCCGCTATGTCGTCGACTGCGGTCGCGCGAAGGAGGTGTGTTGATTTTTCATCCCAACCTCAAGAGCCTATAGTGACATCCTTCGCAGCGGCGCTACGACGTAGCCAACGGCATCCAAGCCTTCCAAGTCAGCTGGATCTCCAAGGCGTCCGCCGCACAGCGCGCAGGCCGTGCAGGCCGCACAGGCCCCGGCCACTGCTATCGCCTGTACTCCTCCGCGCTCTTCGAGAACTACTTCGACGCGTTCTCGCAGCCCGAGATCCTCCGCATGCCCATCGAAGGCGTCGTCCTCCAGATGAAGAGCATGCACATCGACGCCGTCGTCAACTTCCCCTTCCCCACGCCGCCCGACCGCGCGAGCCTGCAGAAGGCCGAGCGGGTGCTCACGCACCTCGGCGCGCTCTCGACGGCGACGGCCAAGGCCGGCTCGACGCTGGGCGCGGCGATCACGGACGTCGGCCGCACGATGGCGCTGTTCCCGCTGTCGCCGCGGTTCTCGCGCATGCTCGTGAGCGGACGGCAGCACGGCTGTCTGCCTTACGTCATCGCGATCGTCTCTGCGCTATCTGTGGGCGACCCGTTCCTGCGCGAGGAGGCGCTCGATCAGGAAAAAGACGAAGACGAGGGGGAGGAGGACGAGGAGGAGCTCGCGCACATCACGGGCGAAGCCGCGCGTGCGAAGGAGGCACGCCGGATCCGGAGGAAGGCGTTCTTCGCGTCGCAGAAGCTGCACGCCTCGCTCGGCAACGCGTCCAGCGACGTCCTCCGCGTCCTGTCCGTCGTCGGCGCGTACGAGTTCGCAGGCGGCGGGCACAAGTTCTGCGAGGAGCACTTCGTCCGGCCCAAGGTAAGGCGTCACCCCGCCCTAGCCCTATTCCTATGCCGCCGAGCACGCGGGCTGACATCCACGCGCAGGCGATGATGGAGATCCACAAGCTGCGCGCGCAGATCAGCGCGATCGTCCAGGCCAACTTCCCCGACGTCCACCCCGGGCTCGCCGCCGACCTCCGCCCGCCCTCCGCGCTCCAGCTGAAGGTCCTCCGGCAGCTCGTCGCGGCGGGCTTCATCGACCAGGTCGCCGTCCGGAAGGACGTCGCGCAGAAAGGCCGCGCCGCGGGCGCAGGCACGCAGTACACGACCGCGCGCGGGGTCCCGTACCAGGCGCTCGGGATCCCAGACGAGGACGTGTTCGTCCACCCGTCCTCCGTGCTCGCGGGCGGGGCGCCGCCCGAGTACGTCGTGTACCTCGAGGTCGTGCGCACGTCCCGCGTGTACATCAAGGGTGAGCGACGTTTTGTTCTGTCGGCGGTGGTCGTGCGGGTGTGCTGACCGGCTTCGTCGCAGGCCTGACCGTGGTGAACGGTGCCTGGTTGTCCGCGCTCGGGAAGTCGCTGTGCACGTACTCAAAGCCGTTCAAGAACAAGGAGGGGCAGTCCATGGTAATCCCCCACTTTGGCCCGCAGGGGTGGGAGTTACCGCCAATACGGGAGGACCAGAAGTGATGGCTGTTTGACACTGATACGTGTACCTGAACATATCTGTATACCTTCGTCTATGGAACTTCTCGAAGGTCATTGGCCGACTGTGCCGCACAGCCAGTGCGCGAATTCGACGATTGGGGGAGACTGCACACATCGACTAACTATGGTAGATTGCTGCCGAGTTCGAATTGATTCTACACGCTACACGATACACGAATACACGCCATCGAACTGCTGCCAAAGATTACGTTTATCTGCACCCCCGCCACGTAAGGCCCGTACGGACTCAACACACAGCGAGAGTCGCGCCAGCGCCGTTCCATGCACAATGATACAACATCTATGAATGACACTGCCAAATCTCACGCTGCGCCGACCGTAGCCGCAGTCCCGAGGGGAGGTGTAGCTTACGCCGAGTACGAGGACGCGGAGACGGAGCCGCCACGCCCGGTCCAGTTGATGTCTGTGTGACAAAGAGGTATGCATTAGGCCTGCGCTTGCTAGTCAAGGGAATTGTACCCACGGATGTCCTCGCCGGCCTTGAGCTTGGCGTTCTCCTTGCCAGGGAGCACACGGAACGTGTGCGCGCCGAAGTAGTCACGCTGCAGAGCAAGTCTCTCGTCAGCAAGCGCAGGGCACATGATAAGTCATGTCAGCAGCTTACCTGCGCCTGGAGAATGTTGGCGGGGACGACCTCGCTGCGGTAGCCGTCGAAGAACGCCAGCGCAGTAGAGAACGCCGGTGTCGGGATACCCCAGAGGACGGCCTGCGCGATGATGCGACGCCAGCCGGGCTGCGCCTTGTGGACGGCCTTGTTGAAGAAGTCGTCGAAGAGGAGCGACTCGAGATCACCCTTCTTCTGGTACGCAGCGGTGATATCGCCAAGGAAGACAGACTTGATGATGCAACCACCACGCCACATTTGTGCAATGCCGGCGTAGTTGAGGTTCCAGTTGAGCTACACGTGAGGGACGTCAGCGATGGAGAGCGTCGACAATGCAGACGCAGTGCTGACCTCCTTCGCTGTCTCACGCATGAGCATGAAGCCCTGGGTGTAGGAGATGATCTTGGACGCATAGAGGGCCTGCTCGAGGTCGTCGATGAATTGCTTCTTGTCACCCTTGAACGGCTCCTTCTGGGGACCAGCGATGACCTTGTTAGCGCGGACACGCTCCTGCTTGAGACCGGACAAGCAACGGGCGAAGACGGCCTCGCCGATGAGGGTCACTGTAAACGCCCATGAAGATCTGGTCGGTCGCGTACTACGTCATAGCTACGCACCGGGCATGCCAGCATCGAGCGCAGCAATGGCGGTCCACTTTCCGGTACCCTTCTGGCCAGCCTGGTCAAGGATCTTGGTGACGAGGGGCTCGCCGTCGTCATCCTTGAACTTGAGGATGTTGGCGGTGATCTCGATGAGGAAGGAATCGAGGACGCCCTTGTTCCAGGTGTTGAAGATGTCCGCGATCTCGTCCTCATGGAGACCAAGCCCGCGCTTGAGGATGTCGTACGCCTCAGCAATCAGCTGCATGTCGCCATACTCGATACCTAATAGGATAGTCAGTATACGGCTGGAACGGGAAGCAGGTGTGCGAATGCTCTCACCGTTGTGGACCATCTTCACGTAGTGACCGGCACCGGTCTCACCGACCCAGTCACAGCAGGGTTCGCCGTTGACCTGAGCGGCAGTGGCCTGGAAGATCTCCTTGATGTGAGGCCAAGCCGCGGGAGAACCACCGGGCATGAGTGAAGGACCGTAGCGGGCACCTTCCTCACCACCGGATACACCGGAGCCGACGAAGAGGAAACCCTTGGCCTCGAGTTCCTTTGTGCGGCGGATGGAGTCGGGGTAGTGGGAGTTACCGCCATCGATGATGATGTCGCCGGGCTCGAGGTGAGGGATAAGCTGGTCGATGAAGGCGTCAACGGCGGAGCCAGCCTTGACGAGGAGGATGATTTTGCGGGGACGTTTGAGCTTGGCAACTAGCTCCTCGATGGACCATGCGCCCTGGACCTTGGTGCCTTCATCGCGAGCGGTAACAGCAGCCAAGGAGGAATGAGGTTAAGTTAAGAGTAAGGAGATGAGCGGCTAGGATGACGTCGGCTAGATAACGTAGTGCTAACCCTTTGCCTCGTTTGCAAGGAAGTGGTCGACCTTGCTAGTGGTACGGTTGTAGGCGACGACGGTGAAGCCCTTGTCGTTCATGTTGAGGATGAGGTTTTGGCCCTATGGCAGACGGATCAGGATACATGGGCAGGTCGCGGCGGCGGGAGTGCTTACCATAACGGCCAACCCGATGAGGCCAATGTCACCGCTGAAATTGAGGTCAGTTATACTGTACGGGTATTGAGGACGACGAGGATGGTACGTACACGGGCTCAGGCATTGTGCAAGGAGTAGTAGAGAGGGAAGTGGATGATGGTGGTAGGAGGAAAGGATCGTGAAGATCGTGCAGAAGGTTGGGGACGGTGATGGCGATGAGATATGTAATCCCTGCGGGTCGGGCTGACGTCTTTGTCACAAGCCGGTCCGGAGAGCATGACCGTGCGAGCTCGTCCGTTCGGCATCCCACCAGCGTACTTGTTCGGAGATGAGCAAGTGCTCTAGAGGCCGCCTACTCTCACATTAGCCGTAGACGTCCACGATCCCGGCGGGTGTGTGGCAGCAGGCCTCAGTGCTCCGGCTGCCTGTGGCCACAGTAGGGCCCGCTCCAGGAGTCAGCCCATCGATAACGACTCCTCCCCACTAGACGCGTCGCGATGGCGGCGTCACACATTCTTCTCCGTGACGCCCCGCGTCTGTGACACGGTGCTCACCCTGTTCGGGACACACACCGTCCGCGTCTTCCTTCTCTCCCTCTCCACATCCCTCATACGTCCGGGAATGCCACGTTGTCCACCAGACTCGAGTGCTTTCCCTGTCTTATGCATAAGCCCGACTCCCCCACCGGACCATCCGGGTCGGATAATGCCGAAAATAAGTAGTCCGATAAGTCCTTTCCCAGGGCGTCAAACCACTAAGCCGCCCACGCTCGCCGCCCATCCTGGTGTGCGAGTCATCCACCTCTCTACTACCTTCCGCCTCCTCCATTTCGCGTTTTCTACCTGTTCGCATGGTTTCCTCATTACGTTCACTCGGTCTCGCCGCCTCACGGTGCAGGTCTCTCCGCCCGCCCTCTTCCCACGCCAGTCATTTTCTCAGGTCCGCCAATGCGAGATTATACACGTCCAGGACCCAGGATCCCATGACGGGCGAGTTGGCGACCCTGCCAGACATTGAGGTCTGACGCATTCATAGATTCTCGAGAGAGCTTCCGCAACTGACAGGAAGCGTATCTTAGCCTTCCTTACTCGAGATCACACGCACGCAGGACCCCAAAACGCCTCCCCCACCCTCCAGCCTTGTCTTCGGCCACACCTTCGTGAGTCAATTCGTAATGGTGCACGCATATGGGATTCTCATCGCTTATAATTCTTCCCCAGACCGACCACATGCTCGCTGTGCCGTGGCACATTCTCGAGGGTTGGGGCGCACCCAAGATCCAACCTTGTACGTGCACCCCACGCGTATCGAACGCTGCTATCGCTCACGCTCCTCCAGATGGCCCTCTCTCCCTCCCTCCTAGCGCGACCGTCTTTCACTATGCGCACTGTCTCTTTGAAGGTCTCAAGGCGTACCGAGACACTAGTGGCAAGGTGACCTTGTTCCGGCCGGACATGAACATGAAGCGCATGAACACTACCGCCGAGCGCATAGCGATGCCCGTACGTGTTGCCCGTTCTCGGATGCCACATCGCGTATCCAAGCTCACGCTTACTGTGCACGCCCTAGACGTTCAATGGTGAGGCCATGGTCGAGCTCTTGAAGCAGCTCGTCCGGTTAGACAAGCACTGGATCCCCGACCAGCCGGGGTACAGTCTGTACATCCGTCCGACAATGAGTACGTCGATCTTCCTGCGTGCGTATTGCTGTGCGCATCTGACATTTCGAAGTTGGCACGCAATCCGCTCTGGGCGTCGCACCGCCGAAGGAGGCCCTTCTCTTCGTCATCTGCAGCCCGGTCGGCCCGTACTACCCACAAGGCTTCAAGCCTATCGCGCTGTACGGCACGACCGAGTACACCCGCGCGTCTCCCGGAGGTAAGCCAGCGTCCGCTCCGTCCGCCCGACGCTTCTCGGCTCAGTCATACGCCTTACGCAGGCATCGGCGCGTACAAGCTCGGCGCGAACTACGCGGCAGGCATCGCCGCGCAGCGGGCCGCCGCCGCCAAGGGCTACGTGCAGAACCTCTGGCTGCACGGGCCTGAACACTACATCACCGAGGTCGGCACCATGAACGCGTTCGTCGTGTTCAAGCACAGCGATGGCAGTACGTCCCCCGTCTCCCCCGTCTCGTCTCCCACCCCTCACCCTGACTCGTCTCCGCGGCACAGCGACCGAGCTCGTCACGCCCCCGCTCGATGGCATCATCCTCCCCGGGGTGACGCGCGACTCGGTGCTCGCGCTCGCTCGAGCGCACGTCGCGGGCACGGCCCCGGTCCCCGAGCTGACCGACAGGCTCGTCGTCTCGGAGCGGCCGGTGACGATGGGCGAGGTGAAGGAGGCCGCGCGGACGGGCAGGCTCGTCGAGTTCTTCGGGGCGGGCACGGCGGCGGTCATCAGCCCCGTCGACCGCATCGGGTACCTGGGCGAGGACCTGCGGATCCCGACGGGCCCGGACGGGATGGGCCCCGTGTCGCGTCCGCTGTGGAAGTATTTGACGGGCATCCAGACGGGGAGCATTGCGCACCCCTGGAGCGTCGAGGTTTGAGGAGGGGGTCACGGTGCGGGCTGGGGGATTTGGAAGGTCAGGGCCGGTTATTGCGCGGAGGCGCGTCGTAACGACGGCGCTGCGCTGGATGTGGTGAAATCGACTAGGAATGCATCGTATACGCTTCCTTATTCAATGTTATGTCGATCGATTCAGTCGCGTTAGTAGGTACTTAGCGGGCTGTAAGTAGCGGCTAACTGTGCAGTGCGTGTGGGAAATGTAGCGTATGACGTCATGGCGAAGTGTATTAGCTGATATACCGATGCGTGCACTGTCCACTTGCCGCTGACTGTCGTTTGTTATCGTATGACAGCAACATGCGTCTTCCCTCCGTCGCGAGACCCAGATTAGCTTATTCTTCTCGTTCCCTTACTCCATGTACTCGCGGGAACCTCAGGTCTCTTACGCCCCGCGGGCCAGGCGCCTCCCGCTCTGTTGTCAGACACTACGCACAAGTCGGTTCTACCACCTACGTCGGGGAACCTCCCGCACCCCCCAATTATCCTGCTACCGGTCGCTCAGGCACCCCCAACTCAAACGCAAGCTCGCCCACGCAGCCACCAACACCAGCGAGGGCGTACGATGCGCTTGTGCTCGCCGAGCTCGCAAAAGAGGGGGCCTCCTCGTCGACGTCGCTCCCAGAGCTCGTGGAGCAGTACATGAAGCGTGCGGGACACGTCCTCGACACGTCCCTGCCGTACGAGTCGCGCCCGGATGCCAAGCGGCGCATCCGATTCACGCAGGACGAGCGCGGCGTGGAGGCGAGCAACGCGGACGGCGCGCTGGCGGTCGTCGCCCACGCCGCGCACGACCGCACGGGCAAGCACAAGGTCACGCACAGCGTGGGCTTCGCTATTCGGCCCCCGGGGCTCTCTGACGGCGAGGCGGTGTATGTTACGTGCGCGCATACGCTGGAGGAGGTGAGCATGCAGTATTAGATCATCCCCGCGAGTGTCGTGCACGCAGGGAAGACGGCCGGTGCTGACGCCCAGTGAGAATCGACATGGGTTCTGCTGTTTTAGGTCGATTAGTATGGTATCTAGTAGGGAACCCCGAAATCATACATAAATGTACCGTTTTCCCTACTTCGGCTGTATGCTGTCGGATAAGGCGGTATGGTCGTACGATGCCATACAAACATCCGTCGGGTTACCTTGGGCATGATCGAGTGCGGCTGATTACGCTCGGTTCGCGCTCGGGTCTGGTCGGGCAGGGATGGTTGTCGTCGAAACACGTCATCGAATGCGAATTGATTACTACTGTATAAAGTGGTATGCGGTCGTATGGCTACACGGTACGATACAGCTACAATCAGAAATTGGCGAATGGAGGCGGGGCAGACTGGAAACAGTTGGATTTGATGGGATACCGACGGGACCAGCCTCTCATGCCACTAGCACGGGTGCCATGCGGCCGTGGAGCTGCCCGGATGCGAGCCAAGGACACAGGTGGGAGGCCGACGCTTCCGACGTTCGACCGAAACGCGCCCGATTGCGAGACTTGGGATGTCCTGAAGGTGGCCTCGTCAGAAGGGTTCGGCGATGAGACTCAATAGGAGTGCTCCTCACATACCGGTTCGGCAATGGGACTCAATAGCGGTGCTCCTCACGTACCGTCTACGAGGGAGAAACACGTCCGAGTTTCTGGGTCGAGACTTTGAGCAAGCAGAC